TTTATGTGCGCATTTGCTCTATAATTATTACTTTTTTTTCTAATTATTTAATTATAATTATAATTGTATTTTATTTTATTTTACTTTTGACTCATTGTTCATTTATTTATTTATATTAATTTCTTTTAATTTTTATTTTATTTTTAAAAAAAAATCATTAAAATTCATACTTGAACAAAAACAGCTAGCATTGAACGACCAAAGGCATCAGAATCTACAACGAGTAAAGACCCGAAAGATGACAACAAACCAATTGAATCTTATACAAACACTCGGTATCTTGATTGGCGTGATCGAGACCGGGATCGAGAGAGAGAACGAGAAAGAGAACGCCGTTACCGTGAGGAAGACAGACGTCGTGAATATGATCGGAGGAACCGTGATCGTGACAGGTAAAAATAAAACAAAAAAATAATATATATATATGTATATATTATTACCTACACCCACACCTATGCCTATACGCATATATATATATATATATATATATATGTATATATATATATTTTAAAAAAAATTTAACAGTTATATGATGCGCTATGAGCCTAGTCCTTATGGTGCACCTCCTCTGACATCAATTGGTTACCCTGCCCCGTTTGGCGGAGACTCATATCGACCCGAACGAGACAGAGATCGTGATATCCCCCCATCTCCAGGACACATGTACTACGAACGAGATCGACTAGACGAACGTGACTTTTATCGACCCGGTCGCACTGATTTTGAACGGTATCGAAACCGTCCCGGAAGGGGAGGAGGGGTAGGTGACCGTGTATGGACTGGTGGTAATGGTAATGGTAATGGTGGTGGTGGTGGTGGCAATGGTAATGGTGGTGGCGGTAATAATGTCGGTGGCGGTAAACCTGATATACGCTCACGCGACCATCGGGATCCGAAGAGCCCCAAATCTGCTGGCCCATCATCATCACTATCTTCATTCAAAGATAAAATGAAAGATGATGGCGAAGGCGACGGAAAACGGCAATCAATAGAAGGAGACAGACGATCTGACACCGAAAAATCATTCCTCAAAGACGATTATCTACGTAAGAAAATTATAGATATATCTATACATATAGATATAGATAAATACATATACACACATACATACACACACATATATATATATATATTCAATAGATTTATAAATTTATATAGAATAAAGCAAAAAAAAAAAGAATTACTTAAATAATTAAATAAAATAAATAAATAAATAAATAAATAAAAAGAAATACACAAAAAGGAAGAAAGAAAGGAAGAAGGGAGAGAAGAAAGACAGAGGAATAAGATGAAGATACATATCAGACATTAAGAAAATGGAGATATGAAAGTTCAAGAAGTCTCACTGTACAAAACTATTAGAAGAAAGAAGAGATAAACAACGGGAAGGAAAGGGACCTTTTGGATTTGCGGACGATTCACGAATAGACGACTACGAAATCATGAGCGATTCTGGAAGACCTATCGGAGGAATGAATACATCTTCATCATCGTTCAACAATCGCCAAGATATGTCTTCACCTCTCGGTTCGCCAATGGATACTCTCGAAAACGACCACGATAACGACCGCGAACATAGCTATGACCATGACCGTGATCGAGATCGAGACCGTGACCGAGACCGAACCAGAGACCGAGAAAGAGACAGAGACAGAGACAGAGATAGAGATAGAGACCGAGATCGTAACCGCAATCGTAACCGCAACCGCGACCGCGATCTTGATCTTGATCATGATATCGACCTCGATAACGATCACGACAACGATGCTTCTTCCACGGACACTGCCGATATTTTCAAAGATTTAGGTCCCAAAGATCCTTTTGGTCGAGATCCTAGCTTCAAAAAAACATATTCTAGGGATAGTACTCCCAGGAATCTTTTTTCTAGGGACACCTTTTCCAAAGAACCTATCTTTAAAGACACCACATCATCCAGAAATTTTAAGGATAATAACATTCCTGTGAGAGAGTCTCTTTTCAAACCGTTTGTATCTGGCAGCAGCAACATTTCTCCCAAAGAATCCTCTGTCGACGAAAAACCTGCAGAAAATAATATTAATAATATTAGTAGTTGTAGTGTTAGTAGCAACAACATCAACAACAGCAGTACCAGCAGCAGCAGCAAGAATGACTCTTTCGTAAAAGAAACTGCCGAAAAAGATTCTGGTTCAAAAGAACTGACTATAAAGGAACATCCTCTCAAGGAACCTGTCGTAAAAGAGGAAGCTGCTAAGAATGTCGACACAAAAGAAAACCCTGTTAAGGAACCAACTGCTGCGAGTCAATCTGCTAACAAGGATCAAATCACTAAAGTCTCTATGGTGGTAGAAACACCAGTCAACAAAGAAGCTTCGCACAAAGAAACTACTTCTACACAAAAATCCTCTTCCACGAAAGAATCGATTCTAAAAGACGCCTTTTTCAAAGAAGCAGCTGCCGAGAAAGAGTCTGTCGCAAAATACAGTGTCTCAAATGTGGTTCTCACGAAAGATCAAACTACAAAGGAACCCGTAACAACCGCCGTAAAAAAACCCTCTGTAAAAGATGTAGATCCCACTAAGAAGCCTGGAGTGAGCGTGGTAGGCACAGCGGCAGTGGTGGATGAACCTCCGGTCAAAGAAAATGTGGCAAAAGAAACACCAAAGGAGTCTCCTTTCAAACTATCTTTGTCCAAGGTATCTAGACCTAAAGAACCCACACACAAAGATAGTCTACCAAAATCAACAACTTCGTTATCATCAGCAGCAGCATCATCATTAGCAGCAGGAGGAGAATCTACTGCTCACAAGCTCGAGTCACCCTTGTTTGCTTCAAAGTCTCCAGTCTCCAAGAACGAGCCGCCGAAAGAGAGTGTGTCAAAACCATCTCAGCCTGAATCTACTCTCCCAACTGAAATCGTTTCCAAAGACAATAAAAACAACACCAGCAAGGCTACAACAGCTGACAATGTAGTGGAAAAAGCAACAGTGTCATTTGGGGCTTTCAAAGTTGGAACAGCAGCAATAACATCAACAGAACCATCTTCATCATCGATACCACCACCATCATCAGCTACAGAAACAGCAACAGCAACAATAACAAAATCATCATCATCATCATTATCATCAGCAATAACATCATCGGCTATAGTGGCAGAAGCAACCGGTAATAAAAGATCAGAAATAGTAGAAATGGAAACAGAAGAACATATTTCAGATCCCATGGAGACTGATACAGATGTCGTTCAAGATAACACAAAAAAATCTGAAATAGCTGAATCTGAGAATGTTTCCAAGGAGGTGGAAAAAATGGATACATCAGAAACAGTTACATCAACAGTAGAAGCACTGCCACCACAACCATCAGCATCATCATCATTAGCAGGATCAGCAGCACCAAAAGCAGCAATCGATAATATGATCAATGAACCCTCTACAAAAGCTGTTACGAAATTCATTCCTATCCAACGACCCCATTCATCACGACCTCAACAAGCTCCTTACCATCGAGGATTGGATCAACAGGCACAATCACAGCGTACTTTTGAGTTCCACAGACCACCCCAAATTACTACTACTGCTACTTCTACTGCTGCTGCTACTTCTCAAACTACAGCTGCAGCCCAACCATCATTACCTACCACGACAGCGACCACCACCACCACAACCACAGCCGCCAATACAACATCCACAAACTCTTCCCGACCTCTTGAATCGCCACGCACACCTACTACACAACGCTCACAATTCTCTCAACGTTCAGTAGATAGCCAGCGCATGCCACAGTCACCTCAGAGACCGTTGGATGGACAGCGTATGCCACCATCACCGCAGAGACCTTTGGATGGACAACGCATGCCACCATCACCGCAAAGACCTTTGGATGGACAACGTATCCCACCTTCACCTAAACGGCCTCTAGATAATCAACGTGTCCCACCGTCTCCTCAAAGGCCATTAGATAGTCAAAGAGGCCCTCTCCCACAGCGACTACCTTACATTCCTCAGCGTACAACCGATGCACACCAATTACATCATCAACAGCAGCAGCAACAATATCAATATCAGCATCACCAACAGCAACAACAACAACAACATAGTCGTTTTGCGAATACTCAGCGTACAAACATTCAACACCCTTCTCAACGTGCAACTGATATTCAGCGTACAACCTACAATCCTACTCGAGCACCATATACGCCTCCTTATCGCTCTCTCCAACGCTCTCCTGAACGTACTGTTGAACAATCGTCACTTTTAGAGCAACAGCAGCAGCAGCAGCAGCAGCAACAACAGCAACAGCAACAGCAACAACAGCAGCAGCAGCAGCAGCAACAACAACAGCAACAACAGCAACAACAACAACAACAACAACAACAACAACAACAACAACAACAACAACAACAACAACAACAACAACAACAACAACAACAACAACAGCAGCAGCAGCAACCACAACCACATCAACCTCGTCCTGCTGCACTAGAAGTCTCAACTAGAGAAAGCGAAACACCAGAAACGTCTTTGGGTGACATCCAGTCCCTGACACAAGAACAAATCGTGGAACGTATTGGACAAATTGAGAATGACATTACTATGTACGAGGAAATTCTGGTAGAGAATCAGCGCCGTATGGAGTCTTCCAATGAAGACCGTGACATTATGGACGATCGCAGCACAACCGAAGAGATGGCAGATGAGGCACGTCAGGATGAAGATGACACCAGGGCTGAAGAGGAAGCCAAGCAGCATGCACTGCAGGTGATCAGCGAGAGCAGTCAACCCTTACTATTGTCCGACATCAATCAAATGCCATTCTCGGCATCGCCTATTCTCAGAAAACGACCCCAGCTCCTGATTAACCAAATCCACACCTCAGATGACAGCGATGCACTCTTATACGAAAATATCATCAAGGATAATCAAAAGACAGCCCAAGAAAGCTCTCTGGCAATCGGGGGATGGCAAGGACACCCTGATTTACCTAGTGACTGGGAAGATCCTCAAAAGTGGTCAAAGCCTGTTCACGAGCGCGTGGAAGATTACAGCTGTTACCAGGCCAATATCGAGGCATTCGGAAGACTCAAGATATCTGTAGCCGGAACACTTGCTGTCCGTAATGAAGCACTGAAGAAAAAAGAGCGTAGACTGAAACAGGAGTTCAAGAATCTTTATGAGCAGTGGACTGAAAAGAACGTCGCGTTGGACAGAGTGCGAGACCATGAGCGAAAGGCATCTGAAAAATACTCATGTCGCCCATCGAGTTCTCGGAAGAGGGTAGAAGAAGAGCCAGAGGAGTACACGGACGGAGTGATATTTACAGGAGATCATGATGCACTGCGGTTCAGACAGGATGGAGCTAATCCGTACCATGTTCCAGGTACTGGATCCTGGACATCTGATGCAGCTCGCTCTGAAGCCGAATTGTTAGAAATCATCCAGTCTCTCGAATCTGCTGAAATGAGAAACCCTGAGTTGCGTGCCAAAAAGACAACTGCGACCATTCCACCCATGATTCTTGACGTACGGGAGCGTATGCGTACCTATGATGATCGTAGTGGACTTGTAACCAATCCTCTAAAGTACTATCACACCGGACCTGACACAGGAGATGTGTGGACCCAGCAAGAGATGACTACATTTATGGAAGCGTACATGCAGTATCCCAAGCAGTTTGAAAAGATCTCTGTCGCTGTAGAGACCAAGACCGCGCCCCAGTGTGTGTTGTTTTATTATCGTAAAAAGACACAGATTGACTTTAAGGCGTTGATGAAAAAGGGCAGGCGTGGTAAGAATAAGCGTAGAGATCGTCTGGCGGCTGCGATTAGAAGAGCAACCGGCGACACATCTGCACCAAACACACGCAAGGCCAAGAGCAAGGGATCTGCGTTGATGACTGATATTGGTGAGGCTCAGGTTTCTCGAAAAGCTAAAGAGAAAGAATCCGAACGTAAGAGCCGCGAGCTACGCGAGTTGGAAGAAGCAAACGCGTACTGGGATGGTGTTAATGAGCGCAAGAAAGCCAAGACACGCGGAAGTGAGCGATTCGTTCAGCCTCCATTTCCAACTACTCCTACACCACCCACTACAAATATAAGTTCATCTACTCCTCCTAATCCTCCTACTACTATTACGACTACCGCTACCGCAACACCTACAACTGCTAATACTGGTGCTTCCGCGGCTGCTGCTGCCGCAGCCGCCGCCGCAGAAGCAGCTACAGCTACTAGTTCTACTACTACTACTACTACAATCACAGCCTCGGCTCCTTCAAACTCCTCCATGACCACTGTATCACCTTCAATTCCAAGTTCTGCTTCTGTTAACAACTCATCTACGGTACCCGAAGAAGACAGTCGAGACAAAAAACGCTTACCGCGTCGCAAGGGTCGATCTCCTCGCACCAACTTTTCGGAACCTTTTGTAGAAGAGATGGCTCGGACTTCCTCAGCTGAGAGTAAAGCAGCTCGCAACTTAGAAGAGAAGAGAGAGCAAGAGAAAGAACGTGAGCAAGAGCAAGAAGAGGACGAAGAAGAGGAAGAGGAAGATGATGATGAGGAGAAGGATGCGTACCATCCAATATCTACTGCCAAATGGTCTGATGGGGACAAGGATGCAGCCATCGGAGCCTTCAAGATACATGGACGCAACTTTGTTCAGGTAGCAGCAATGGTGGGAACAAAGACTGAAGAACAGTGTCGCAACTTCTACCACAACTTTAAACGCAAGCTTGGACCTAATGTATTTAATGAAGATTCTACCACAACGTCGACACCAACACAAACACCAACACAAACACCAACACAAACACCAACATCAACACCAACATCGGCACCAGAATTAGCTCCAGCGCCAGCATCGACACCACTACAAGCACAAACAAAGGCAAAAACACAAGCACCAGCACCTGCACCAGCACCAGCTCTAGTACCAGCTCTAGTACCAGCTCTAGTACTAGAGCCAGTTCCTGTCTTAGCGCCAACACCAGCACCAGCACCAATTATAGTGCCAGAGCAAACTCCAGTTTCAGCGCCGACTTCAGTGCCATCGTCAGCGCCAGTATCACGGCCAGTGCCAAAATCAGTGCCAGTGACAGTTCCAGCATCAACATTGCCAACAAAATCAGCATTACCATCAACATCAAAGCCAGCATCAATGCCGGTGTCAACGCCAATGTCTGTGCCGATGTCAATTGTAGCACCAAAACCAAAACCAAAACCGGCTCCGGCGCATATTCCGACACTAGCACCAACCACGAAATTTCATATAGAGAGTAGCAATCGTACTGCTAATACCAATATAAATACTAGTAATAGTAGTAAGAATAACAACAATATTAGCAATAGTAGTAGCAGCAGTGCGCATACTAGCCGACATTCTATTTTTGTTGGGAATATTCCTGAAGTATCACCTGTGAGCAATACTATCAGTCGAGCAGGTCTCAAGGCGGAAGAAGAAGATGCAGCTGCAGCATTAGTTGGAATGTTCCAGATGGGAGGTAGTCGAGACGAGAAACCTGTTTCTGTACCACCACCGACAGTAATACAATCGACACCAACAATCCAGTCGTCGTCGATGTCTTCGATTCCCACAAATCGATCTCTGGGTCATCATTCACGTACACCGAGTGTCCAGGATGAAGGGCCAGTATCTCGGTCATTTGTTTCTTCTCACAATGTACCCGGATCAACCCGTCGACGGAGGGCTCGTACATCGTCTAGTAAGATAGACAACACACCCGAAGATAATGACTGGATGGATGGAGATTATGGAGCACGGTCTGTGCCTCGTCGTCCTGGACGGACGGCCTCAATGTCATTTCCGGAACCAAAGCGACCGACTTATTCATCATATTGGTCTGTATCTGAGAAAAACGACTTTGTGTCATATTTGAAGCAATATGGAAAGGATTGGGAACGGTTAGCGAGTGCGATGAAGAGTAAGACGGCAATTCAAGTGCGGAATTTCTACACAAACAATGAGAGCAAGATGCAGCTCAATGAGATTGTTAATCGGCAAGAAACCCACCAGGAACCACCATCACATCAGGACAACAGTCGGGAAATGCCTCGAATGGGATCTGCCTTTGATAATTCGCCGGGAAAAAACAGCAGCAGCAGCAACAACAACAACAATAATACTAATACTAATAACAATAATAACAATAACCATGCGGCTGCTCAGGCTCATTTCCAGGCATTACAAAATTTCCCATTCCCCGCGCCTTTGGTTACAAGTGGTGAACCTGTTGTGGTTCCAAAGCCAAGCTATGGTATCGGACCTACTTCAGTTGGATATTTCCCTCCAACCCACCGCCAGCCAATGCAACAAGACCCACGTCGTATCCAAATGGATCCATATGCTTCTTATTCTTATCCCACTGGAGCATTCTCAATCCACGAACCCTCTCAATCTACTCCCACAGCCTCCCCATCCACCTCTGCTGCCGTTGCCAATTCTTCTGGTCGTTCTAGACCATCTGGACACGGTGCAACACTCCCGTCCGCTGTTACCAAAGTAGCTGATTTACTGAATAGTGACGATCCACCTGAATCAACCTCAACAAAGCAAAGTTGGAAGGCTTGGTTTGGTGAATGAAAAATAAAAAACAAATACTTTATACACATACACATACATACACACACACACACACATATATATATATATACATATATATAATTATACATAAAAAATACATAATACATAACATAGATAATATATTGAAATATATATGTATATATGTATATATATAGCAAAGAAGAAGAAGAAAACAGATAAAGAAATACAGGTAGTTTATATAACAATTTCACAAAGGCACCTAACTAAGCTGGAATGGTATTAAATTCATTCCCTAAGGATAAAGCAAGTTTATTAGATAAAATATCGATTAGTTTTACTCTGAATAAATATCAAATATAGGCTTTTGCACCACAGATCTAGGAATCGTTTGCACAGGGTCTAGATGCAATCGATAGTATATAAGAAAAGATGATTGATGATAATGACGTTGAAGAAAACATTTTTCTGGAAATGTATTCTACAATCGTAAAGATCAAATAAAGTACTATTATGTTGGAGTAGAGGATCTATGGGAATCTAAACTAATCCACAAAGAATGTCTTGTTTATAAGCAAACAAGAAAGGCACAGACATCAAGATGTTAGAGTTTTTGACATTTTGAATTAATTATAAGGTTTCGGGTGTGCCAATTTAAGAGTTCAATTATAGTAAATTGCCTATAAGATTAATTAAATTGAATCTAAAGATATGATTAGATGTACAGACTCTCTGCTATCCCTGTCTCTATCTGTCTGCTATCATCTGTCTGCCCTCTATAGGTTTGGATGTGGATGTAAATGAGGGGGTGGCTTGCTATATATATAAAAAGCTGTCACATAGGAATCGAGCGCTCTTTTTTTTTCTTTTTAAAACTGGATATTAAGATTTTTGGTTTTTTTTTTGGCAGCTTTATTCGACAGCAAAACCAATATAGATACACACACACAAACACACATATTGCATACATACATTACAGACACTACAGAAATCATACACCTTTATCTCTGTATTATTTTTGCTTATAGTCGGTTCAACCCAACCCAACTCAAACCCTACCCTTCTTTTACTTACATTACATCTCAACTCTTGCCATGCAGTCTGACGAGGTGATCTGGAACGTTATCAACCAGCAATTCTGCTCGTACAAAGTCAAGTAAGACTTGGAAAAATAAAATAAATCAATCGACGATCCGGAAAGAAAAAAAAAGGAAGAATGAATTAAAGAAAAGGGGAAATGAAAAACCAAGTACTCTTTTTCTTTTATACCTTTTCTTATTCATATTCTTCTTCTTCTTCTTTTCATTTCATTTCTCTCTTTTTTTAAAAAAAACCCCTTCAAATGCTCACCATGATTCTTTTGATTTATTTATTTTTAGGACCGTCAACCAAAATTTCTGCCGAAACCAGTACAATGTAACCGGTCTTTGCAATCGTCAATCATGCCCACTTGCCAACAGTCGGTACGCAACGATCCGTGAAGAAAAGGGTAAGAATATAGCTTAAATTGATAATTGATAAATGATAATAATTTAAGGGGTAAGATAATAATAATATTTAATTCAATACAGGTATTATCTACCTTTATATGAAAACACCTGAACGTGCACACTCACCTGCAAAAATGTGGGAGAAGGTGAAGCTATCCAAAAATTACGCACAAGCATTAGAGCAGGTAAATATATATACATACGCACATTTATAAAACAATATATTTATACAATTCTGTGGTGTGAATTGGGGGTAAATAGATTGATAATGCAATGATCTACTGGCCCAATTTCCTTCAACACAAGTGCAAGCAGCGTTTAACAAAGATTACACAATACCTCATTCGCATGCGTAAATTGAAGCTTAAAGAAGCGTAAGTTGTGTACATGCATGTATGCATGCATGTTTGTGTATAAAATTTAATATATACGATCATTTACTGACCCACCATTTAAAATTATAGTGACAGACCACAGTTGATTGGTGTAAAGAGAAAGTTGGAGAAGCGCGAAGCAGCACGCGAACGCAAGGCAGAGGCAGCTGCACGACTAGAGAAATCAATTGAAAAGGAATTGATTGAGCGATTAAAGAGCAAGGCCTATGGTGACGCACCCTTGAATGTCAACCAGGAGCTCTGGCAGAAGATTCTTGATCAGGATCTTGAGGATGCTGAGGATGAGGAGAGTGACGAGGAGAACGAGGAAGAAGAGGATGAGGAAGAAGAAGAGGATGAGGGAGGAGATATTGAATATGTATCTGATCTGGAAGAATCTGACATTGAAGATATGGAAGACGGTTTTGAATGGGAACAAGAAGAATCACCAAGCAAGATCCGTCATGTCGACGCTTAGATATAAAAAAAAATGAATGAATGAATGAATGAAAAAAAAGAGAGGGGTAAAAAAAATTATACATTCACACTCACACTCACACTCACACTCACATGCGCACACACACAAACACTACACACTACGCACGTATATACATATACATAAATATATATATATATATAATGAAAAAAGTAGAGGAATAAGAGGAGAAAGAAGACCAAGAAAAAAAAATAACATCATCACATAACGCACACATAGCAAACGCTTCAATATATTATATATATATATATTTTAATATCATTTTTATTATCATTTTACATGTACACAATATATATATATATATATATATGTATATATGTGACATTCCGTTGACTTGGGTTTCTTTAAAGAAAACCCCAAAGTAAAAGGAGGTTTTTTTTTGTATTTTTGATTTGCTTATGTTTCTCTCCATATATATACATATATACTTATACTTATACTTATATAAATATAAATATGTATTACTCTATTTCCCCTTGGACTTTATTCTTTGTCTCCTTTGAACGTGACTTTTAAAAAATAAGGGGAAAAAGAGGAGTTTGGGGGGAGGATCTTGTACGCATTAAAGGCGAGTAATAGACATTATAAGACAATTGATAAACCTATATCTCTTTTCTTCTGTTAAACAAATTTAATATACATTTCTATAAATCTTATAAATATTTATATTTATATTTATATTTATATTTATATTTATATATATAAAAAGTATATAGACAGTAAATAAATTATATATATATATTTATATTTTATATATATATATATATAATATTGGTATAGAAAATATATCAAAATATTGAATATTGAATATTGAATATTTGTATATGATAAATATCAAATATTAAATATATACAATGTCGCCATCTATCCCTATGCCAGAACATCCTCTACCTTCCTATTATTCAGGGAACTATGCTCGTATAAGATCAATTTTGGGCTTCTCACAAGCCAGGAAGCTCGACAACCCAGTATTTGTAATCCCTGACAATTTTGGGAATCTATCCCATCAAAAGGGAAACAAGAGCAATAGCTGGCTCAGTAATCAGTTCAAGAAAGATACAAAATCCATGCGGCGCATCATATCTACACCAGACACCTCTCCGTCCAATTCATGTATCCCGGCAGCATCCTATTGGAAAAACAACGTCAGCGGAAGCACTTTCAATGTACCCATTCCAGATAACGATGACAGTATCGATTTTATGGAAGGAAGCGTTATAGAAGAATTGCCCTATCTACCGCCAAAAAAGGCCCAAGACCGACACCAATCCCATCGACGTTCGTATGCAGCCAACAGTATCAAAGTCCGTGAAGCCCAAGTCGGTCCAAGTAGGTTCGTCTACACCTTTAATTTTTCTTCTTCTACTACTACTTTTGGTTTTGCTTTACGCAAGAAATATCTATACAATTGTTATGGAATTGAGTTTATATTAAAAAATAAAGACTTGTATAGCTTTTACCGAGTTAGGATGCTTGGAAAAGGCGACGTTGGCAAGGTGTACTTGGTACGGCAAAAAGGAACTGACAAGCCCATGGCCATGAAAGGCGAGTCTCCACGAGCTTAGTACCAGTAACAGTATCCATATCAGTGTTAGACATTAACAAATCAATCGATAGTTCTATCCAAGAAAGATATGCTTAAACGTAATAAGGTCAAGCGTGTTCTCACCGAACAAGAGATCCTTTCGAGTTCAAATTACCCATTTATTGTCACACTCTACCATTCCTTTCAAAGTAAAGACTATCTTTATTTTGTGATGGAGTACTGCGTTGGCGGTGAATTTTTCAGAGGCAAGTACTTATTCAATTAGTATTTCAACAAATCATAAAATATCATTATATAAAAAAGTCATTTGTCTGCCTATCTAATAATCTAATTATATTTATATATCTCTATAGCTTTACAGGCAAGACCTGGTAAATGCTTGGACGAGAATGGGGCCAGGTTTTATGCAGCAGAAGTGATTTCAGCCCTGGAATACTTGCATCTTCAGGGGTTCATATATCGTGATTTGAAGCCAGAGAGTGAGTCCCAGCTTTGATCTGGTTACTTAAACCTAACCTCACTTGTCAGACATTCTGTTGCACCACACTGGGCACCTCATGCTAACCGATTTTGACCTGAGTAAACAATCCTTTTCTCCTTCTCCACCTGCTATTATCAAATCAACCTCACGAAACAAGGTAACATTACTCCACTTAAACTTTACTTTATTCTGACAATTTTATTCAACTTTATATATATATATATATGTATTAAATAATGAATCATTCAAAAATGAAAATGAAATAGGATCCAATCATTGACACCAAGACATGCATATCTGATTTGCGTACCCACAGCTTTGTAGGCACAGAAGGTATGACTCGATAGTATATATTAAGGATAATAGCTATACTATCATACTTAAACTCAAAGAAAACTCCCTTATCTATATATACATATTCTTTATTTCCTTATTTCTTTCTTTAAGAATATATTGCACCCGAAGTAATCAAAATGTGTGGCCACACAAGTGCAGTCGATTGGTGGACATTGGGAATATTTATCTATGAAATGCTGGCAAGTTTTCTTTTCCTTCTTCTTCTTTTTTTTTTCTTTTTACTCAATTTCACGGTTTCTCTAAGTTTTACTTACCTGTTGCGGCATATTGCTTTTTGTAGTACAGTACCACTCCCTTCAAGGGGGCATCGCGACATGAGACGTTTTCAAAAATACTAGATCAACCCGTACCTTTTCCTGAGCAGCCCTCATTTATGTCGTCTTTACAGTTACGAAATAAGAATAAGCCAAAGACAACTGAGCTGCAGGCGGTTTCGGGACTGTGTAAACAGTTAATACGACGTCTCTTAGACAAAGAAGAGACCACACGTCTTGGATCTCGGGCAGGTGCAAGCGACGTCAAGGCCCACCCGTTCTTTCAACCTCTTAACTTTGCTCTACTGCGAAGTATGATACCTCCCATCGTTCCTGGAAAAAACCTACAGAGTCCATTCTATTCCCGGCCAATGCATGACAGTAGTAGTCTTGATCTTGACAAGGACAGTGCTAGGTATGATCTTCCTGGTCATGATCCCTTTTCAAACTTCAATTCAGGTAACTTGTTTTCTTTTGCGTGTGTTTGTGTGTGTGTGTGTGAATTGATCTACAAAGAAATACTGGTTCTAATGATATGTACTTCTTTTTTTAAAAAATAAATAAATTAAAATAAAATTAAAATAAAATAAAATATATATATATAAAGTGACACTGCACCACGACGGCGATTCTGATTCAGACACTGTGTATGAAGCTACACTTGTTTGAAGACAAGCAAATATATATATATATATATAAATAAATAAATAAATAAATAAAACAAAATAAAGACATGTGTTTGTCGACACTGTTGTATCTGGATCATTAAAATAATATGTAACACATTACACTTAATATCAAGAAATATACTGGATATGGTATTTATTAAGCTCAAGTCAACAGCTAACAGCAGCAAAAACAGTAACAAGAATAATAGCATCAATAGTATCAATGGTACTCTTCAATTGAAGTAACTATTGGTATCTCATCCCCAGGTAATTATTTTATAGTCAAAAACCAAACTAAAATAAATAAATAAAATTAACAGCAATTCATATAGGTCCAGGATAATTAATATATACAGCCTGAACCCTTTTTCAAATGACCTTTAAGCACACCCAGCAAGAGATATATAGACAAAGAGAAAGAGAAGATATATTCAAATATAAATGTGTTTGGGAATTTGTATCCAATACAACAAAATACTTCGGAGACACAAAAAAAAACTAAAATGGAAAAAGAAAGAATGATAGACTTAAGCAGCTTTTTTTTTTGTCTTTCTTGCTTTTATACTTTTTGTACTGAAACCCCCCCCTTCCAATTTAACAAGAACTTCAAAACTTTCTCTTTCCTTTATTTTTTTCTTTCTTTCTTTGTTTAGATTCGTTTCATCACAAAATGATAGATTGTACCTCAACATTCGAATCTAGCAGCTCTAGTCCTATAACAAAAGCACGCATCAGGCTCACCGAACCTTCAACCTCACTTTCCAATACAACCCTCATGGCAGACACTACTTCTGCACCATTATCTCTAGCTGATGGAGAAATGGTAAGCAACAGATCCCGATAACAATACGATACGATACATTCTATTATACTAAATTATTCAATCTATAATCATATCAGGCCTATGACAAGTGCATGTGTTGCAGTAGGCAAGTAATCGTAGTCATCCAAACATAATTCAATTCACTTCAATTTTATTTTATTTTATTACATTATATATATTATCCTTGTTCATAACTTGCATCTCTTTTTTTTTTTTTTACTCTATCTCTCTTTCTATTTCTCTATATCATTCTCTTTCATCTTCCTTTTTATTATTATAATTTGCTTACATATTTATTATTACTACTACTGTTATATATATATATATATCTTTAATAAACATATAAAGTGAGTTGAGATATCCACAGGCCGTATGGAGATTTCGTTGTCCAGTTTGTGACACCATCAACGATCTCAAACCTCGATTACGTTCTCAAAAGACCCAATCACCAATCTCACTTCGACAACTCAAAAGAATCGTATATGAATGTCGATTGAAAGAAAAAGCTAAGAAAGTCAAAGGAACCGTGGATGAGAAAGAACGAGAACGATTGTATGAGCCTGTCGAACGACTGGTTGATGTATTATTTGGTAGCTGGATTTGCCTGAACCAAAGCTTTGGAAATGTGAATATTAAAGATTATTGGAATCGAACCAGGCCAGATCTTCTAATTGAGCGAATCCAACATTTTTCTTTCTCTTCTTTATCTTTTTTTTCTTCTTCTTTTTTATTGGCTTAGGGAAAAGAAACGACATTGCAGGACAGTGGAGTTGCAATGGAGGATGTGCGAGATGCGTATAGTATTCTATTGAATTTGGTATTCATCTTTTCCAATTTGATTATATTTACATACACATATATATATGGGTATATGCAGACTACAAATAATAATCAAAAATCAAAAAATATATAGCCTGTAAATGTGATCCGTGCGATGATGACTGCTACAGATCGATTGTTAAAACGACCTTGCGTACCACTCAGCCGGCCAAGTGACATCAAATTCTTTCTAATGATTCTCGAGGTTAGCCAAAAGATAGATTTATTTGCTTGGTAAGCAAATTTTCTCTTGCTAATTATGTTGTATAGAATCCACTTTTGACCCAACACAATTTCCCAGCCGAAACAAAATATCACCACAGTCTATTAAAACGAGTGTTTGGTATGCTCAGTTGCCTTGACAATACATGTCATCAAGCACTTGTCAATTGGTTTGCAAAGTATGATTTAATTACATTAAAGAAAAAAAAAACAAAAAAGTGATAGTATACTAAATTAAATGGATGTTGTAGATCCAATACAACTCAATTGAGTACTCTGGTAAATTTAGTGCAAGCATTTGTCAGCCACAGAATTACCCGTGCGCGTCGAAGCAAACTTGAAATGCCAGCAGCATATGAATCTGACTGGAAGATTGCCAGTGCCGCTCGGGTAATGGCTCTTTTGTGTAAGTACTCATCTATATGTGTGTATATATATATGCGTGTGTGTGCATGAGTTTAATTTGCGTTGATCTTTTTTTTTTGGGGGTATTGTTATAATCTATTTTATCTAGTTAGAGCCAACCACAAATCAAAAAACCTTGCTCTCTGTGAGTTCTACAATACAATGGTAGATTACATTCACCTAATGGGAGACTATGGCTCTTGGCAATCAAGATCTGGGTAAGGAAAATTAATCAATAAACACGCACACACGTATATATATGGGTGTATGTATAAGGACAAGGAAAATTCATAATCTTACAAAATATTCTCAAGGACAGGAAGTTTGCATTTTGCCAGTATCCATTCTTGATTAGTATGGGGTCTAAAATGCAAATTATGGAGGCAGATGCTAAACAGCAAATGGAAACCAAATGGCGGGAGGCATTCTTCAATATGATTTTCCATCAAAAGGCAGTAATGCCATACCTTGTCCTGAGAGTACGCCGAGAACATCTTATTGAAGACTCGCTTCGTCAAGTAAGTAAAAGACGATTCAATACAATAAAATCTTAGTGAAAATGATTGGTTTTGCTTACTATGAATGATATGCAGCACAGCTTGCTCAAAATGAACTAGATCTTAAAAAATCACTCCGGATTGAGTTTATTGGCGAAGAAGGCGTGGATGCAGGAGGACTAAGAAAGGAGTGGTTCTTACTTCTCGTCAGATCTCTATTCGATCCTCAATACGGAATGTTCACTTATGATGAAGACTCCAATCTATGTTGGTTCAATCCGGCTAGTTTCGAGAACAAGGATCAATATTTTTTGGTGGGTGTCGTGCTTGGCCTGGCAATCTATAATTCCACAATTCTTGATATACACTTGCCTACCGCATGTTACAAGAAATTATTTCACCAGCCTGTCGATCTTACGGACTTGGGTGTATTTCGTCCGTCTTTGACACACGGGTTCCAGCAACTTTTGGAGTTTGAAGGCGATGTTGAAAACGTGTTTTGTCGCTCGTTTGTTGCCGAATTTGAGAATTTCGGACAACGTAAATGCGTCTCGCTTTTACCGGATGGTGCTCAGAAAATGGTGACAAATGAAAATCGACAGGAATTTGTAGATCTTTACGTAAATTATGTACTGAACTCAAGTGTTGAACGACAATTTGATGCTTTTCAACGTGGGTTTTATCATGTTTGTGGAGGAAATGCCCTTTCGGTAAGCAATATATTATGTAAAAATCAAATCAAAAGTGTAGATAATGGCGGATTAATGTGATCTTTGCTAGTTATTTCGCCCAGAAGAGATTGAATTGTTGGTGCGTGGTAGTGACGAGCCTCTTGAGATTGATGAATTAAGAAGACAGACAGAATACAATGGGTTTGAGGAAGATGAGCGGACAATTGTGTAAGTAGTGGTGTAAGTGGGTAACATATAGGATTACTGCTAACCAGAATACCGATAGCGATTTTTGGAGTATTATGAAGGAAATGGAGCCTGAGAAACAACGTCGTCTTCTCATGTTCTTCACGGGAAGTGATAGAATTCCAGCCACAGGAGCATCTAATATGCATCTAAAAATTACATGGGGTGGAAATGTTCTTGACAGGTAGATATATATGGATATACCTGGGTGTAGTAAATAAAGATATAGAAACTAAATGTATATGCTTTAATAGACTTCCTTCTGCGCACACATGCTTCAATCAGCTGGTTCTCTACAAGTACGAGAATAAGAAAAAGTTAAAGCGCATGCTGGAAATGGCAATGATGGAGAGTCAAGGGTTCTATGTAAAATAGTTTTATTTAGATATGCTTCTGATGACCTTTTGTATGATGTGGCATTTATTATACTACTTGTTATTTCTATTTGTCTTGTTTATTTTTATTAAGCATATAAGCTCATTCTTTCTGTGCTTAGTCTTCATAAATTAAAGAGAGATATTATACGATCTGTCTGAGAGAAGACGTAGATTATGCAATGCTTCTTAGATTTTAAACCTTTTAAACGTTTAATGAGATCAATATCCCAATACAGCCATTATTGTAAATAATCATTGATTACTACTACTGAATCTCAAAATAAGATAGAAATTTTAAATAATATATGTTTTTAAATATGTATTCTTTCCCATAGTATTAGTAAATATCTTTGTTTCTTTTGTTTTATACCTCTTTTATTTTTCTTTTTTATTTATCAGACCTTATTTTCAACTTATTGTAGGATTATTAATTACTAGAACTTCCTTTTATCTAATCATGTTTGTTTTTTTGGTTTTTTTTTAAATAAATCTGTATCTAATTATTCTTTTGCCTAGATTATTATATGTGATTTTTTTTTGTATTTAAGAGTAAAAAATAACCAAGTATCCAATATTTGATAAAGTCCTTGTGAGAATCGAACTCACCCTCTTTTCCAATCAAGATCAGAAAAAAGGCACCAGTCATGTCAACCAAGGTTAACTAGACAAGGACCTAAATATATGTATATATACAAGAATCCCGAAGGTATTGAAGGTGTTCCGAAGAACAAATTCAAAGACAAGGGCTTAATCTTCAGTGATAAATGATTACAGGATCATTTTACACCTTCGACACCCCGTCGATTTCATATAGTCTGTATGCGATTTTTTCCTTCCCAGTATTAACATTACATGTAACCCGATCAATCAAGACCAAGGTCAGCTAGTATAGTACTAGGCCCGAGAGCCAGGGTGTACAATTTGTACGCGGGAAGTATATTTTAGCATTGTCTAAAACCCAGAGATGCGACTTAAAGACGTTCGGTCACATTCTGACAAGCGTGACTTTGTAGCACTGGCCAAATCGACCGACTACAACGTTGCAGAGGCTTGAAGATAAGAAAAATACTTGCGTACTTTACTTCTTGGTTCGTACAATACTGGTACCATCAGTAAAAAGAAAATGACCTGACATCACGACGGTCTACTGCCGAACTCTGGTCCAACCTTTATGGTAAGGTTTGGTCCACCCCAGACATAAGTCTCTCGCACGGGCTGAGTGGCTTGAAAAAGAATGTCACAACAGCATACTCCATAGCTTTACTGCTGCGCGCACCAAACTTGTCTGTTCTTCTTTCTTCGCCTAACCTCAGATCTAGAATAGATGCCAAAGTTGCGGAAGAGCACTCCACGGCCTCACACGCAAGGGATGAGAAGGCTTCAATGGAAGGTTTCGGGCTAGTTCGTCTGCGTTGAACAGCGTTACTCCCAAGCCATGTCCACCCGCTGCCGATGCAGGGGGTTGGCCAAATGGGTGGTGGTATTTCATTGGCGCCTCTAGAAAGAAGCTCCCACCTAAAGACGCGCCCAAAGGCTCCCGTCTGTGACTACACCCCACTTGGCCGCGTCTATGTTTGACTTTGATATGTGGAGACTGGAGCCGAATCGGACAAGTTTGGTTTTTCTTTACTGAACGCTGAGAGGCCCATACCCCCTAGTTGGTTTGGTTGAGACCAGCTTTGGTGTAAACACCTCCGCTTCTGTCTCCAAGAGGCTTACATCAATCTCCCCCATTAGACCGAAATCTAACAGAAAAGACTGAATATGGTAATTGTATACCATGTGTAGGTGCATGCGCTTTTGGAATGTACATAACATAAAATGAATAAAGAAAATAAGTATAAGAAATAAAGCATGGGCAGGAATGTAACATTAATGTACTTACAATCTCTACGACCACAGAGCGTGTACGCATCACACTACGAATCAAGCATTCATACACTACTATTATAAATAATAGCAGAAAAAAACAGCCTCAAGATAAATCTCATGGGTTTCTTAAACAGTATAAACCTTGTAAAAAGAAGAAGAAGAAGAAGAATGAAAAATGAAAAAAAGAGTTAATGTAAAGTCAATGTTTTGGTAAAGCATTAAGTAATGCATAATGAGTAATGGTGTTGCTTGAGTAAATTGGTTTTTTTATCAAAAAAAACGCGTTTTACACGTAATGCTGTGTATAAAGAAGTGGTACTTACTTGATTGTTCCTAACAGTGGTGCTTAGAGGAACAAGAGAAAAAACTAGACAGCAAGTTCCTCAGTACATATTTATCTCTTTTTCTCTCTATCTCTCTCCCTATAAAAAATTAAGGGGTCATTGGCGTTATTTGTTATTTGTTATCAAAATAATACTATATCCATATTTGGTTAAGCCTAAATTCTTATAGAAATTCCTTGACTTTCATATGCCAAATAGTTTTTGTATTGAAGACCTCTTGGTATTATCACTTTGCAGCCTATACTAATAGTAGATATGTTTTATAATATAGTTGATTAAAGACATACAACCACCAAGTTGCTTTAAAGAAGCTTTGTAACCAATGCTAAATTGTGTGTATGTGTGTATGTGTGTGTGTGGCTGTGTAATAAGATTTATATGATTAAATCATGCATATGTTTTATTTTTAAAGATCAAAATCAAATAAAAAATCAAGTATTCTACAGCTATCATTTTTTATTTAATTAAAGTACGTCTCATATTATAAAAATAGTAAGTTTAAAGATTGTATTTTGATAGATAAAAGTTCTGAAATAATAAAGTAAAAAGGAAGCAGAGGTAGAGTCAAAGCTCAATATAACTGGGGTAGACAGACAAAAAATAAAATAAAAGTTTAAGCAATATTGAATAGCTAGTATTCTTTCATTGTAAATTGAATTGAAAAAAATCTGTTTTTGATGGAATATATACTCCATAAGGCACAAGTCCCTAAAAAACCTGCAATAAAATATTTTCACCTGATAGAAGAGATGGTATTAAGGGTGGGCAGGAGAAAATATTTTTTATTGCGGGTTTTCTATGTCTTGCGTACTGTGGCATTTAAGGCGACCCAATGAGAGATAAGAAATAATAAAAGACATGAATTAATTGAGAATATATAACTAGGTACTGGCAGTACCAAAATTAGGAACACATTTTAGCAGGGATATAAACTCCAAAGAGGGGTTCCTTTTAAAAACTCGAACAATACATTTATGGATCCATAATACACAGAAATACCAGACCAAGTCGGTCCTAGTATACACAAATTCTGGCTGGTGCAGATTGTAGAGCTTTCGGATATTAGGCGAGGAAAAAAATCCAGAAACAGGTTCTATTGGCGGTTCTATTGCTCAAGAAGTTTTCATTTTTATTTTGAGAAAAAATCTTGCTACAATGGTAAGAATGATTAGCCTATAAACCTATTTTTGGAAGTTTATATAATGGTTTGATTTGACCTATCGTACATAGTAAGACAGGTAAGAGCAGCTACCAATACCATCATGTACAAGATAGCTTAGAGCATCTGAAGAAACAGTGGATAGCATAATCTATTAGGTGGTGATCTAAGAAGAAGCAATATTTTTCAAAAACAAAAGTTTTTGTATAAGAGCAATAGTAGCAGGGTATATCAACGTGGTATACACAGCGCAATTGAGTGAAGAACAGTCTTCTCAGCTAGATACTGATTCCTTCTTGCAAATAAATCTAGAAAGTTAGAAATCTCCAGAACTACTATACATCAGACATACATACACTACACATTCATACAGTGTAAGTCAACCATTACACTATAGAGATTCGAACTAAAGGGATTTTAATAGTAACAGATAAAAACAATATTATTCTGTCTATTTAATAAATAACACTCTCACAGTATCTACTTTTCCCAGTATTGAGCATATAGAAATTGGCAATTTTTTAATTCAATGTAGATTTTTCTTTATCATTAGTTCACTTGCTTTAGCCCTTGATGTCAGTATTTACAAATGCAATTAAATCCTTTGATAAAACAAAGAATACAAAAAAGAAAGCTTATAAAGAAAAACTAAATATTGCCAATATATAGTATTAGAGTTATGTATATGTCTGACATGAGCCGTCTTTTGATCAACTGGGTGGATAATAGTCCGATTGATATCTTTTAAATATATTGAAGCGTGTGTAGTATAGAACTTTAGGAAAGGTTGATTGTTTTGTAGTTTAAATGGTAGATTATGAAAGTCGATGAGAGGGCTTTAAAGCTTTTAAGTGTTCGAAAAAAAAAGAAAAGTCATTGGAAGCATGTAGGATTACAACTTAGTAAAAATACGCATATATAATATACTACAATACTGGATGTAGTATTGCAGCTTAATATTCTTGAATCATTATGTTTAATATTAGAGCTAGTATATAGAGCACATCACAAAGTATGTATAAGTGAGTTTGCTGGTTTCTATCATTGCTTTTCTATCCTCTCACTTTATTTTCTTTTGATTGCTTAAAGTATAGCTGCTTTCCATCAGTTCTTTAGCGTTTCTGGTGTGCTTACAAAACATTTATATCACATTCTTCTTACTCTTTCTATGTTGACTCATAGAACCAACTGTTATCTATTATTACAAGGCATTTTGGACACTAATATTATTTGTCTAATAAACAAAGAAAAATAAAAATAAAATTATACCGCCTAAAGAAAATATTCCATTTGCCTAATTGTTTGTGAGAATAGTCTCAATCTCAAGTTGAACAAATGTAGCTAAAGTAAAATCAAAACAAGCTTTTATATTTTATTGGAAGTCCGAATTTCGAACTCTTTAAAGGTAATTACCCGATATGTAGACAGGGTCTCTGAAACAGAAAATGTTGCAAACTCTTCCATTTATCCTCATTACCTTGATTACAGGTGTTGTCTCTCAGAATTGCCCTAATGGTGTGTTCTAATTCAAAATAAATTTTATAAAGTGATCATTTTAGGACGACATTAGAATCAACAAACTTAATCTCTTTATTTTTTGTCTTTTCTTCTTTTTTTTTTATAGGTGAAGGCTATTATTGCGGAATAGGAGTTGCCAAAGATGCCATGAGTCTTTACATCTGCACAGAACTCAATGGCTGGCAAATTTCCGAGGTGTGCCAGTTTGGCTGCGAGGAAAATCTTCCAGGTAAATATCTCGTTGCTCTACTAAGCTATATTCTATTCTATTTTTATTTTATTTTTGCATAGAGTCATTAACCTATTTATTTATTTATTTATTTATTTATTGTATTTATATAGGCTTTCCCGACCATTGTTTCCAGCCAGTATCCCCTTCTGGCTATGAGGAGACAGCTCAAATTATATCGGCATCAAATGATACTGTTACTCAAACAGCGAGTACAAGTGCAGAGGAGAGTATCAATACAGAAGTACCGCAGCCAGATACTGTGACACCCATAGTATGAAAACATCATACGCAAATACATATTAAATATAAGAAATGCTCTTGGAAAAATAATAAAGATGTCTGTGAGGAGATGCCTTTTTAGAATAAGTCTAAATATCAGCATTATTATTATTTTGAAATAATTTATGGCAAACATAATTATTTACCATTAGCGTTTGCCTTTCTTTGAAACACTGACTTGATAAGAAAAAAGTTTATATAGACATATTTTTGTTCTATAGAGTATATCAAGCACTTTATGATTTTTGAATTTTCTTTATTTCCTATTCTAACAATCCCCCTTTCTTTATTAGAACTATCTATTTTACAGCCGTGTTTTATCATGCCGGATATTTATGTATCAAATATATTGCTCAAATCAATAGCTATTCAAGGCTAAATCCTTGGTTCATGTCTTGCTCTATTTTATTTTATCTTATCTTATTTTGCTATGGAAAGTATTTGCTCGTTCTCTCATAAGAAGTTCGATAAAAAGGTATTTTAATAGAACAATTGATCCAAGGGTATATGCATATCAAGCCAGTATAAATTTTACTTTTGACCCATGTTACTAAAGCAATAAATATCTCAATCTTTTTTAAAAAAAAGTCTTCGTAAACAAAAATAGTGAAAAGGGTCAATTGATATAAATGTGAGTTTCTTTCAATATGTGGTATGTGAAAAATATATGTTTTATTGTATCCGTGAATTGTGATGAGCCAGTGAGATGGTAAATGCGGTTTTTATTATGGATATCCTTCTTCGTTTTGTTTTGTTTTTCTGGAGCAAGTATGAATTCCGTAATTTGATGTATATTTCATACTGAGAAATTTCAGAGCTTGTCAATGCGAAAACTCAATAATGATAAGCAAAAGACTTTTTCATATGAGTTAAGCTGTCTTTTTTTATTATGCAGTTAAGCTGTCTTTTTTTATTATGCAGTTAATTATAGACTATGATAGAATACCAAAAATCTTTGTTTTGCCTTTGTGATATCTAAGCATGGCGCTTCTTTCAAACATTGATAGTCTGCTGTAGTACCTAAAAGCATAAACACTATGGTGTAAACATAACTTTTAAGATATTTCAATTGAATTCAAGAGACTAAAAGGGAAATAAACAAGCCAGCAATTGAATATCTGAACGAAAGAATGACTTTATATATTATCTTTGGATTCTTAATGAGTTATATATCACAACTGTTAGCCACCATTTTAGTCTTGCGGAACTTTCTGTCTCTTAGCAGTGTGTATGTATGTATGTGTATGTGAGAATAATGCTGGCAGTCTCCCTTATCTGTCATCTTGTCTTTTGTTTTTATAATTGAAGCATTTTCTTTCACAGATATTATGCAGCACTTTTAACATTTTCAGGTTACGATGTCAACGATTTGTTTGTCATGCCTGTCCTTACTCTTATTAATACCTTTATTCTACGATATATGTATGCATATGTTTAAAGAGATCGAGAGCTATACATAAAACGTAGGCGGGCGTGAATAAATATGATAAGAGAAACTTTGTATATTCTGTGGCTACTATAAACTTTACCCACAATATTGACTCTATAATGTACACTCGCTACAAGAATATAAAGAGTTTATAAAAATCCATTTCTTGATGAAATTGGTAATATCCCGCTAGTTTTCGATACCAAATAGCATACGTATATATGGTATAGTATAGAGTCTATTCAGTTTTCTATAAATTGCATTTTTTTTATTGATATAGCTACAAAGGGGTTTAATAAATAAAGGAAGAAGAAAAGGGAGATGGAGGGACATATTTTACATGAGATTACAAGCAGGATTACGTTGCTCTTTAATCTTTTGGTTAGAGTACTGACTATTATGACTATGGTGATGATGATTAGTTGCATTGCCGTCTATAGGTGAGATTTGTTCAAAATATTCTTTTTCAGCAAGAGCCTTTTTTTCGTCTCTTAATCTGGTATGTGCGGCAATGCTAGCGTCTACAGGGTGCCCGCAAGTCTTGTCGAGTTCATAGAATAGGATATATGAATTCTTGGATAGTTCACGGAACACTTCTGCGGAATTCTTTCCTTTGATGGTTCGCACTCGTTGATTTACATCCATATCATCTAATCACCAAAAATATTATAGATACATTCACATGTATTTTAGTATACTGTAATTCAAAGCTTTCCACCCACATTAACGCACATAAAAGCATGTCTTTTTTTTTGGTTTGTGTTGATAGGTGTTGTATCTTTTCTATTTTTTTCTTTTTTTTTTACATACCCAGCTTCAGCCAGTCAGATTCGTCTTCGATACCCAGACGCACAAATCCAATGTAGTGGCCAGAGTTAGGTGAGGATCCAATGTGACACACTGCGCTTCTAAGGCGCATCACAAACTCTATTTGCTTGTTACAAGTGGGGCACACTGGGGCATCTGCATTCTGATTTACGAATTCGTTGAATGGAACAGTTGCCGGAATTTCGACCTGAGTATGTAGTTTGGTACAGCCACCAAATTTATCATACTTATATCGCTTCAGTACAATTGGCAGGATCATGTTGGAATCCGGGAAGGAGTTCTCAGCCTGTGTTTTTATGGATGTTCCTTGTTCATTCGTTGCACTGTAGAACGGCAAAAGTTCAAGAACCTGCCAGGCTGTTACATCAACTTCTTCCTGATGATCTTTCGCTTCCTTATTCTGCCTCTCTTTGTCCTTTCTAATCTTCTCCTTCAATTTCTTTTCTTCTGGAACATCATCCATGAGATAGTTACTTGTGCTTTGAGGAGAGATCGCATAAGCACTATAATCGATCTGCCGCTTAACTCCGGTTACCATGCTGTTGTAGAAATGGTTGATAAGCACACTTTCTAGCTGTACAGATTTGTTTCTGCCATCGCTATCTGGAAGACTAAGCATTAGAAGTCGGTCTGTCATCACACGATCGTCGTCAGAGTCCTTGTTGGCTCCGTGGAATAAGCGGATTTGAAACTAGGACATCATCAATCCCCCACATTTTCATTTTCACTTGCTTGATTAATTTTCTTGTTACAGTAACAACAACCAAAAAATAAAACAGAAATAAAAATAAAGATAAATGGAGAACAAGAGAGAGAGAAGAGAGAGAGGACAAGATTCTTACCGGAATAAAGGGCAAATCAAAAGTTTCAGTAAGGAACATAAAAAATTCGCTAGCGTCTTCCTGAGTCCACACCCCATCCTTATTCTGACCATGCCATGCACAGTCCTGCAATACTTTTCGTAGCCATTGCACAGAATCCCCTTTGACTAAATGTCCTTTGCGCAGTGTATTGACAAACAATCGCAAAAGGGCCTGGAGCTTTTGTTTCTCGACAACATCGGAGGTTGTATCATAAGTCAGGAGAGGATCAAAGGTAGTCATGTTTGCGTACATGGCAAACAGCAGACTGTCGATATAGCAACTAGTGTTTTTGTCGTTCTCACTGCCCAGTAACTGTGTCTCAGATTTTGGCAGAGGTCTGAGAATACCATGAGCGGCTTCTTGATAGTCTTCCAGATCGACAATGGCTTTTTTCATATCCCATTCATTTGCCTCTAGCAGGCTCTGGAATGCTTCTTCTTCAAGGTTGACTGCCAGGTGCTCTTTGGCGTACTCATTCAGAGTTGTGATCTTTGCAATGTGCTCATCCAGTAAACATGTAGCTTGTTTTGTGTCTTTGTTGGGGTGCTTCTTGTGATGGTAATGAGAAAAGAATCGCCAGATTTTGAGTCGCTTCTTGTGAGACTTTTTCTTGTCAGAGACTTCCTCATCGCTGCTGGACAATGAAGGTTTGAGGATTGGTGGGATTCCGATAGTCGGCTCAAGTGAATCATACATTGGAGATAAACGAAAGTTGTATAATAGAAAAAACCGAGATATTTCCATTTTGAGATTTATGTGACCGAGGATCCGTCGGGGAGCCAAATCAGTTGTCGATTTATTGGTGGTAATGGTATAGCAAAGGCATCCCTTTTTTTTGTTTTTGTTAATTTTTTCCTCGTTGCATAAACTACACATTTTAGGCGAACTTATTTGGATATTTGTATTTTTTTGACTGATTAAAAAATTTCGATAGTTATTTATTATATACTTTGAGAAGAGGTACATATTTTATTTTATTTAATTTAATTTTATTCATTCGTACAAGACAACAAGTATTTCTGAATTTTCTTATATATATATATATGAATTTTATTGATAATGGGCATCAATTGATTGTATTGTTACAAGAAGAAGGAAAATGACATTCACAATTATAATGTTGCCATGGAGTTTCGGTGATAAATATGCACACAGCAATTCCAATGGAGTATAGTTTACCAGAAGTGTAGCACAACAAACCCAATCGAAGCTCAGAAGGACAGAATGACTGTTTAGCTATTGTGTACAAAAATTGGTTACAATGGTCGTACATGATAATCCACAGTCATTTATATAAAAGAAATATACGCACATACACACACGCATGTATATATAGTGTGTATATGTATATGTATATAATAATAATTTGATATTAATATACTTGATCAATATATAAATGGAGAGAAAGGGCTCATTGAACAAATAAATAAATAAACCACCACAGGCAGACATACAACATACAATAATGAAGTGTTGAAAGAAGAACAAAAATTTATATATACTAATAGTAGTATATATATATATATATATTATATTATATTTCATATATGTGTATGTTGGGAAATAAGTAAGATGAAATTAAATAAATAAGTAATGGAATAAAATATAATGGAATAAAGTGAAATTAATGCTAATATTTAAAAAGACTTCTTTGACTGTAAAAGCCTGTAGCCTAAATTAGAATATGGTAAGGTAAAATTGTCGATGATTTATCTACGGACAAAATCTGACTTCAAGTTGACATTGTTGATTTCGGGGTAGTAAGGAGCTGGTGGACATCTTCCCTTGATACACTGGGCAACATTGTCGCCAACCTCAGCACCGCTAAACCAGGCACCTTGCAAGAATCCAAAGTAATCCTCAGACATGGCTTCACCGGCAAAGAAGAGGCGGTTGTTGATAGGGGCTTTCATGTTGGCGTGGTGCTCTTCCAACTCTCCGACAGGCCAGTTGGAGTAACTGCCTCTGAAGAGAGGGTTCGAATGCCAACGAGGAATGAAGATTTCGGTGGGCTCTGGAATATCTTTTCCGTACATTGTCTTCAGGACCTCCATAATTTCGGCCTGAACTTCGCTGTCTTCCATAGACTCTACGGTGTATGACTGCTCCTGGGTGACAGTAACAAAGAAGATGTTTGTGTCTGTATTCTTGGGCAAGAAACCAGGGGCATTGAGATTCTGCCATGCGGCATAGTATCCACGCTTGTCGGGATCAGCATACACAGAGAACTGTTCATCGCCCCAGAACTGGGTAGGGAAGTTGAGGAAGATCTTGGTGTATGTGGCCATGTGGAAACCGTAGATGCCCTCCATCTTCCAGGCTGGCAAGGCTGGACTCCATTCGACATCATGGTTTTGCAAAACACCAATACTAAAATCCCCCATAAGAATAAAAATAGCTAATGAGATAAAATGTATTTTTTTTTCTTTGTGTCTACAACTTACGAGAATGTACTGATGGCATAGTCAGCCTTAAAGATCTCATCTTCAGTGTGAATAGTGACTCCACGCTTGTTATGCTCGACCTTTGTAATGGTACTGTTGAGTTTGACACGGCTGTCATCCTTTTTCAAGAACAAATTGGCTTCTTCCAAAAAGATGTGCTTGAATCCTCTAAAGAAAAATAAATCAATTAAAAGTAGTGTGAGTAATTGAGATCTTACGAAAAAGAAATTATCTTTTTTGTGTGTGACGCTGTTGTTTCTTTGCCTCTTTATATCTTCTTTTTCCTTTTTACCTTGGGTCAGTGACAAACAGATCACCATCACTGTCAGGACCAAAACCAGTGTATGTCCAGTTGGAGTTCTCAACAGAAAACTGCATAGAAGACACTTCTGGTGTTTCTCCCATTTCCCAATCAAATACATAATATTCGATTGCCTTCTCCATAGGTGTCTGTGGGAACCAGCCCGCAAGATCAAGACCAGCACGGGCCGAAAGATCGACTTGGTCATTCTTGATTCTCTCAACTATATACATATGATAGCAATTAGTATGTTTAGCGAATATCTTTAAATTTGTATTAAATGGTACTTACATGAGAGTTCAGTCATTCGATCAGAAGCTGCCATAAAACTATAGGGGGTGCGTACATGTTTTTTTTTATAGAATATATAAATAAGCAAATATAAAAAAAATAGTAGTTTTTTTTAGTGAGTGCTACCTACTAGATTTAGGACCAAATTCTACCACTATTATCACTATTAACTTTTGTATGAACTTACGCATTATAAGTTTCAGAGGCATCTGTTTTGCCATTTTCATCAAAGAAAGCGAGACTGTCGCCGTCTGTCACTGATGTAGTCAGGTTGTATTTCTGACGGAGCTGGTTAATGGGGTTGTCACCGAGACCTTGGACCCAGTTACAGCCGGCCTCTACATTGATTCCAGCAAAAGGAACATCTTGGGCTCTTCCTGTAATAAATAAATAATTGAGCAAAAGGTAAAACAAGTTTTGTTTTAATGGATTGAATATAAAGAAAATAACAACAATTAATCAATTAAAGTAGTAATTCTGACCTCCAAGTATTTCTCTGGCTTCAATAATGACAAAGTCATCAATTCCGGCGTCTGTCAAGTGGCGAGCAGCATTTATGGCACTCACGCCACCACCAAGAATAGCAACCTTGGATTTGGTAATCTTCTTTGCATCAACCTGGCCATAGAATGAGGTTGCCAGGGCGAGCGAGAGGCTGATTGCAAGGCTAATGGAGTGGAATTTCATGATTGAAATTATTTGCCAGTTACTACTGTGATTATAATTTAAGAAGAATGGTGAAGGAGGTTGTGTGTAGAAATGTCTTTTATATTGAAATTTATCTATCGTCGTGTAACACGTATTGTCCTTGTATCTGATTGCATAGTTATTTTATTTTATTTTATATATAAGGAATTATTTATGCACTCTTACTTTTGCCCTGAGTAAAAAGAACTTGCTGGACCAAAAAAAGCAATAAGGAACAAGGGGAGAGGAATAATACTATGTGGATCTTTAAACTGATCTTCTTCTTCCTATTCCTCTTCTTCTATTCATATTATATCAAATATACAACAATCTGATTAAATTTAATGGCTAATATTTATACACCCACAGTTACAAATATACATATTATCTTCCAAGCCATTGCAATAAACACCAATTTTAATTTATTTATTTATTTTACAAAAAAAGAAGACTATGTTGTTTATGGATCAGATAACACCAATCTTATTAGTCATCTCGTCCTACAAGAAGCCTCAGAGAACTGGGTTGATTCGTATTAAAGCTGGTTATTAATTAGTTTCCCACCACCAAACTAAGGTTTTTTTATTATTATTATCTATAGCGCCCATACATAGCTCCACTCTTTACCTTTATCTTTCTCTCTCTTTGTTCCTTTATCTTTCTTTTTCCTATATGCTTGTATTTGTGTTTTTGTCTATCTTTGCGCGTCTGTGTCTGTCTCCTCGTTTTTTTTGTCGATCAAAATATTCCTTATTGAGTTCAAAGCTTCATATTTTATTTCTCTCTTTTAGGTTCAGTCTGCGCACATCGGTAAAAATAACAAATAATAAGTTTTGCGGCAAAGAGATCGATTATAGACTTCCTAATGGATTTCAAACATCTTGAAAAAAAAAGCATAACCTAATAAATATAGAACGGGTCTAGAAATACATTTGGTTATATCTTCTTTACAGAATATAAAATACATAAAACTTGTACACATATCTAATAGACTATACATAACTAATTCCAGTCCTCCCATACTGAGTCTTAAACTAAGTCCAAAAAACATATATGTATACACTCACTACAGACATAGATATAGACTTGGAGATATACAAAATGTCATATAGTACAAGATACGCGTTATCTTGTAATTCATATTTCATTTTTAAAAGCCAAAAGGACGAACACATTATTATTACTATTATTATTATACTTGGTTTATTATGTTGTGTTGTGCATACATGTATACCTTTGATCTACTGTAGCACACGGTTCCACAATAAAGATGACAGTTAAAGATCAGAACAAAACTGCTGGGTATGTTTGTGTAATATATTATATGGCGGGTATTCTTTAACTAAAGAAGAAGTGGGTGAAGCAGCTCAAGCCGAGATATCCGATGACCCGGTACGGGCATCTTCACAAAATTAGTAGGTGCGCTTTACAAAATAGTTAAAATTCATTATTTTTTTAGAGTAGTTTAATCCAAACATGAACACGTTTTCTTCTTCTTTCTTTGTTTTGCTTGACTGACATATTGGAAAGCTTATTAACTATAAGTTAGGCCTTTATTCAGACAAGAGTAATGCCCATATTTTACCCGTATTTAAAATATATTCATTGGCTTGGGATTTATTCAATAATAATAGACATACCTCTCATATATATCCTCAAAAAACCATTTGGATATTATTAGACTCTTATAATATTTATAAAGACGTGTATGTATTTATTGCTGGCACTGGACTTATTCGTGTTATTCTTATGGGAGAAATCTGAATCTCAAGCATGGAAGATATGTTATATATATATTAAGGAGTATTTTTTTGCGGGTGCTAAGGTTTTTGTTACCTTTGACCGTCCAAAAAAAAAGTATGTCAAATGTACTTATACCTGGCTTTTATTATTCCTATTATTTAGCAATAAATAATAGATCGTGTTAAAATTTCTAATTTATTGCTCCAAAAAAAAGAAAGAAAGAAGTAAGGGCAAATCATGTCTCACATAGTTTTCCTGGCATATTCTGTTCATATTTTCTCCATGATATATCGAATAAATAGGCTGTATCCCCGTAAAAATATATTTACAGTAGCTATAGCTTACGCATAATATAGAGAAGACATACATGATATATATAGTAATTATGTAACATAAAACTTTTAAAACTATAGAAATCTTGTACATGTCGAGGGTGTATTTTCACATTCGACATGGAAGTAAAATGGGAAATAATATCCCATATATAGCATACTAAACAGCCATATTTACATAGCTACTCTTCATAAACACTATGGAAAAAATGGTGTTTTTTTTGTATTTTATTTTCAATTCTACTTTTTAATAGGGGGTCTCAACAATCCTTTAAGCTTTTAAAGCCCTGAGATTAAATTTTAAAATATAATTGGCTATAATTAATCTATAAGCATTACAAAAAGAAAAGATTAAAACTCTTACTTTTCTTTCGAGAGTCTTGACTTTTAATACATCTTTGCTTAAGTTAGATTTTTAAAAACTAAAAAAATATTGATGCAAATATCTTTGCCTCTTTACATATTATCTTAAACTGATATCATTTTATCACCATGCCTTATAGAACTGAAAGAAGCATTTAAGGTACTCAAAAAATCTCAGAAATTCTTACATATTATTGGTTACTGTCTTAAAATTCAAGTAATTGAGTTTAACGATTTAAAGGACTATTTAAAGTCAGACTTTTATTTCTTTAATTTTTTAATTTTTTCATAGATTTTGTTAGGCCACTGTATATCCAGCTTTCTACTAATGTGTAGTTTATATTATGAAAATATAGAATGTCCTTTTTATACCATAACAGTTTGATAGGATAAGTCTTCAAGTCCACACATGCTCTTGTATATAAATGTAAGTATATTTTTTATATTCTTTTTAATTTATTTATTTTCAAAAAAAAAAAAACAAGTATTTTATGTATATACACACGCCCTAATCTAATCCGACATTTATTTTATTTCTCATATTTATGCTTCCTTTTTCTCTCCGTTTAATTATAACTAGACTTTCTTCTTCATTAAACATGATCTGGAGACAAAGGAGATAGACGCTTAGTGTGTCCTTCATGGGTTGAACCGGCATCACTGTCCTCCCAGTCTACCCAGTCCTCATCATGTGCTTGGTCTCGATCTGGTCTCAGGAACGCCATGTTCTCTTCATCCTGCTGATCCTCTTCGCTAGCCTCTTTCACTGCCTGTTTTGCAACCACATATACGTAACCCATCACACCAAACGCTAATATAGATCCTACACCTGCAGCAATATAACGCACCATGTCTGATCTTTTTTCCTCGTCTGTTAACTCTTCCTCTTCACCCAAGACATGTTTTGCAAAGGATGTCAGGTTAGCTCCAATGTAGACATGGAGGGCAATTTTTGTAAGTGTGATGGCTGTACCGAGAGTAAAATGGTACAAGGAAATATCTGTTGCAGCAAACAGCATATTCTACACAAGCGCAAATAAATAAACAAAGATAAATTTATATATATAAGCACATATAAAACTAAACACTTGAACAGTAGTAGTAGTAGTAGTAGTAGTAGTAGTAGTAGTAGTAGTAGTAGTAGTAGTAGTAGTAGTAGTAGTAGTAGTAGTAGTAGAAACTTACTCGGACACATCCCACAATAATGATTATTGTTAATTTTTACTTACCAGCATGTTGAATGGATAAGGTGAAAGACGAATGAGTACAAATAACTAGTAAATTATAAATAGGATTTTCGTTTTGAGTATTCATTTCTTATACCCCGTTATCATCATAATCATCTTTTACCTTGAAACCCTTTTTCTCAACTGCTTTTACAACAGCCTGTAGGTTTGGGTACCCTGCCATGAAACGTCTCACTCTGTCCTTGAGCCATATTCTGGATATTAAGAAACAAGACACAGCACCAAAGAGGGCACCGAAGTAAGATATCGGAAACCCCCGGGCAAATCCAAAGGTAAAACCAGATAGGGTCTGATATGTTCCATATCCAAGCATAGGTGGAAATGCACTCAGGAAAATAAGACCTGCTATCAATAAGTAACCACTACATAAAATAATATATACACGACGAATTTCAATTCGTTAGCAAATAATGATTTAAAGAAGTTGCTATGAAATCAATAGTCCACACACACACATATTGTGCTTTCTTTCCCCTTTTCCTTTTTTTTTTATTATATTTTTTGTAGACGGACTTTTTTTTTCTCATCTTCTTTATATGTATGTATATAGATTTTGCTCTTTCATTCCTTCATTCTTTTTTCTATTTTTTTTTGCTTTCTTTACCTTGTTCCCATCTCCTTTACTGTATTACTGAGCGTCTCGAGCCCTTCTAGTAATTCTCTTCGGTAGTGATACATGATCGAACTCATAATAAAAACAAAGAAAAAGAAGCCCCACACCCATCGCCACTGAACAGCATGCTCCCACACCATTCTACGATTGATACGATTGAATCTTATCATTTTTCTTATCCGTTGGGATCGAGATGTACTTGATTGCCAGTGATGATCCTCAGGATTTGCAAGAGGATCAACCCAGGCGCGATCTTCTCCCTCCTCCTCTGTTTCCTCTGTTTCATCCCCTTCCTGCTCTTTTTTTACTACTTGGCCTTCTTGTTGTTTTTTAGAATGTTTTGTGTGAGGGTCTATTTGGACAATAGATGACATGGGAATCAAGCCTTCATGGTCGGGCATCTTGTAATATATTTATATATATATAAGAAAATATATAAAGGAAATAAAATTTGTAGTGTAGAGAGTAAATGAATAAGCCAAAGGCAGGAGATAAGAAGAAGAGGGAAAAATGAAAGAAATAAGCCTTTCTTCTTTAGATTGGCTGAGTGAAGCATGTGACCTGGTCTGGCTGAAAAGACTCTAAAGCTTTGGCATTTTTACACTACACCAAAAAGAGAGAGAGAGATTATATATATATACATATATATGTATATAAACAAGAAGATAAAATAATAAATAATCAAGAGATGATATCGAAAATAATACAGAAAAATAAGGGGTGGAGGAGGAGAACTGTTGTTTCTGCTGCTGGTTCTGCTGCTGCCTTTGTTGGTTACTATCTGTTGTCTGGTTAGAAGTCTATTTAGATTTTGTCATTTACTTGCAAGTACATATCCTCTTCAAGGGCAGTAAATACACACACACATATACACATATACACATATACACATATATGTATGTATGTATACTTGTGTGTGCAGGTCTTTTTACCTTTCTTTCTTCCTTCTTTTCTTTTTTTAGGCTTAGTATTTTACAATTGATGAGCCAATCTACATGTACTTATTCAGTAGAGTGGGCTGTTGTCTCTGTTTATATATGTATTATCAGTATTACTGTCATTATAGCCATTGTAAGTTTCTCAATTAGCTATCATACCTATTATTTAATGCATTCATTAGCTTTTCTTTTCTTTTCTTTTGTTAAAATAAAATAGACGCAAATTTACGAATATGATGGTATTCAAAAGAGGCTGTGCTTTCTGCTTTCTGCCTTCTGGTCTTGAGTTTTCTTTTTTTCTTTTGCATTTGCCTTTGCCTTTGCGCATTAACCCATAAAGAGGCTTTTGTAAGATACTATGCATTTGTGGTCGTACCCAAAATCCGGTTTTTTGTTAACCGGAGAGAGAGAAAAGAAAGTGAGTAGATAATAGAGAAATTAGAGGAAGAAATAATTATAATTATAATGATTTATATTACGGATAATCATTGAAGCCTACAAAAAATTAGAAAAAGAGGAAAAGGAGAGTGGAAGGGGAAAGGGAGAAAAGGGAGTTAGATGACCAGGGAAGTTGCCGATTCCGAGTATCTTGGTTTGTACTGTTCCTGCAGCTGTCTGTTAAGAAGGAAAGAAAGAAAAATATGATTATAAATTATGTGCATATATTCTTGGATACATATAATTTTCTATCTTTATTTTCTTCCCTTCGTCACTATTTGAATTGACTCAGACTTTGGGATAGTTTAAATGATGAAGATATACACAGCACAATGTACAAGTTATCAGATCATGCAGAGCTATCAAGTAATCAATAAATCAATAAATTAACCAGTCAACCAGTCAACCAGTCAACCAGTCAACCAGTCAACCAGTCAACCAGTCAACCAGTTCACACATCAAGATCAATAATAAGTCCTCTACCGTACAAAATCCGATTACAAACACATCAATAGACATACAAGAAAAAAATCAAGAGCAAAACCAAAACCAGAATCAAAATCAAGATAATTGAGAATGTAGAGTATGTAGATACGCGAAGAGGAAGAATAACACAAGGCCTTTACATCTGTTACTTTTCAATACTCGACAAGTAAATAATGTTTAAAATAATAATAAGAACAGCAGTAGCAATAAGGATATTATAATGTTTTTAGTTTTATTTTATTGGACAGCTATACTTGAACATGGCTGATTACCCTAGTTCTTGTAAAAGCGAACACTTCCTTCATCTTCTACAAATTTACACTTGGTCCAATTTTCAAACAAAGCCTTGATTATTGGAGTATTGTCTTGAAGGTAATACTTTCCGAGAGCCTTTTTTACATGCTCAGTAGCCTCGATACAGTGATAGTGAGGCATGGTCGCCACCAGATGATGAACCAGATGAGTGTCTCCGATGTGGTGGAAGAAATGATCGAGTATGGGACCGTAGGACCTGTCGACCGTGAGCGCGATACCACGCTGGAAACTCCAGACATCGGTGTCGTAGTGAGGTATTTCAGGACTGGTATGCTGCAAATAGGTGATGACGACCATCCAGGCGTGCACAAGAAAGTATGGAACCACATAAAACTTAACGACGGCAAGTGAACCCCAGATCTGTCCAGCACGAATCAGGACCCCAACCATGACTCCAACAGCAGCAGTGGATTGGACTACCTTCCAGTACTGGTTCCTTTGAAATATGAAACTAGCTGGATTGAAGTGAGAAACCCATCGATCCTTGGTGGTATCTCCAGGATTATTGAACAAAGCGTAAAAGGGCCAAGCAACCAAAAGAAATCCAACGAGTTTCAATGAATTGAACAAAGGTGAGCTCTCAAAAACACTGTGGGGTCCATCAGCTTCAGTGTCCTCATCATAGGGTGGTAGGCCCAAGGCTGATCGCAGTCTAGGAGTATGAGTCTGACATAAGAAGAAAAGCATAATTAATTACACACATATGTATTAAAAAAGAATGAATTTCTTTGAATTCTTGTGATTTGTATAAGTATTTACCTTGTCTCTAGTTACATGACCAACAGAATTATGATGTCTAGCATGAGTAAACTTCCAAGAGTAATAGGGAACTAGCAAGAAGGTGTGTACAATCAGACCAACTCCATCAGAGATCAACTTGATATTTTTAATAAAATAATTAGTTACATTTAAATACTAATGATTATATATATATATATATATATGTACCTTTGAGGAGCTAAATGCTTGATGGCCACATTCATGACATATCATCCACAGACCACTGCTGGCAATACTCTGCAGAAACCAGTAAGCAGACCAAAGAACAAGGCGGAGTGGATCAGAAGAAAAGGTATCAATCCAGCTAGCCCCGTAGGCCAGTATTCCGACAAAAAAGAAATCGTGGAAGAGGTAGGCGAACGAACGTAAAGTGTCGCGTTCGAAGCAATGGGCTGGAATCAATCCGCGTATTTCCTTTATGAAAATTTCGGTAATCTCCCACTCTTTCAAGTCCTTTTCTAGAGTAAGAGGTACCTTTGCTGTCTTTACAGCTTTTGAATTTTCTTTCATATCAAACAAAAGGAAGAAGAGGTATAGATGTATATAAATTTAAAATATATTTTTATAACTATAACTATAGCTATGCATATAAATATTATAAATTATAAGAAATAAGATATGTTTTACAAGGACGATTGGATATAATATAAAGAAAGATCAATGTCTATTGTCATTGTTATCTTGCTTCTTTTATATACTTTTTCTTTCTTTCTTTTGCACCTTCATTCTTCCAACATATTTTTTTTGAAGGGCATATTTTTCGGTACTTTCTTTTAGTTTTCACAAGGTTTTCAACATTGTATATGTTTGTTATCAATCGATATCACCACAGGGAGTGCAAAAGATATGAAATGAAATAAAGGAGATGCATCAACTATACCCTAATTCTAAATAATCATCTCCATTTTTTTTCTCTTTAATAAGCTGAAACCCACTAAAGATTAAGCCAATTTTTATATTCTCGGTTGTCATTATAATTTAAGCATTTTTCTTTCGGCTAAAATAAAATAAAATAAAATACTATTTTATTTATGTATTTACACTCCCAAAACTGAAATCACCGACAAAATCTTTGATTTCTACCCCCGAATAAACCATACATCAACTTCATTATGCTATATCTTCTCAAGAAGTTGACAAAATAAAACCAAACATTGTGTTGTTATAGAGAAATGTATATATATTATAGAATAAAAATAAAAATAAATGAGGTTTAATATACGGTATGATCACCACGAGCTTTTATGACTGCTTTAACTCTGTCAGGCATACTTGCCACAAGAGTTTGCAGAACTCCAGGGTCAAGCAACTCCCATTCCTGAAGAATACAGGCCTTCAGCTCTTGCACATTGTTAATAGAGGCCTTTCTCTCTTGAACCTTGGCCTTTAGGGCATGTCAGACATGCTCAATTGGGTTCAAATCTGGACTTTGCGACGGCCAGTAGTCAAATCGTTTAATCTCCCAACTGTTTTTCCACCACGTCGTGTAGGACCCAGTATGACAGCTAGCACCATCTTCTTGGAATGTGAACATGGTGTCATGTTCTTCATTCAATTGTTTGTACCAGGGATTGAAGTCCTTAGACAGACAATTGACGTATGCATCTTGGTCTACAGATCCTTCGATAAACGATAATGGCCCAATGCCACCAGCCCAGAAACAACCCCATACCATCACGGAACCTTTTCCATACTTTTCTGTTGTTAGTGTATGGCGTTCCTGGTGCCTCTCCCCTCGTTTACGAATTACGGATGGGTCAGAATCATTGCCTTTCACCATGAACCTCGACTCATCTGACCACACCACTCTGCTCCAGTCTTCGATGCTAAAACTGGCCCTGGCTCTAGCCCAACGCAACCGATTCTTTTTCTGCTCACGGGTTAACTTTGGTTTAGATACAGGGGTGTAAGAACCGAAGCCTTTTGCTCGTAGGTATCGGATAACTGTCTGTCTACAGACAATAACGCCAGCAGCTCCCAAATTTGCCTGGTGGTATCCATAACTCTCAAAAGGATTACGTCTCACACTCAAACAAAGACTTGTAACGTCTGTTACACTAAGTTTCTTTGGTCTCCCAGGTCTGGTCTTTGTCTTGGCTGTTCCAGTAGTCTCCCAGCGCTTTATTGTATCGAAAACTGTAGTTCTAGGAATGTTCATACGGTTTGCGATGCCAGTTGGAGTATGATCGGCTTTTGAGAGCCAAACAATGCCTCCACGCTCAAAATATGACAGCTCGCGTCTGGAGGGAGTAGTTTTAATTCTTTTATTACTTTTCGACATTGGTGGTTAAGTTTGAGGTAAAGGTGTGAGGAAGAGAAAGGTAAAGAATGTTATAAAAAAAGCAGCATGAAAAATGTGGTTCATCGATGATTTTTATTGTTGGAGTGTATAAGATTATTAAATATATATGTATATACCAGTTTTTTTTGAAGGAAATGAACTGCTTGACCTATACGGGGGTTTCAACTTGCTTAATACATCTAACGGTTTACTTGGTCTTTTTTTTATTTTTTTATTTTTATTGTGTGGGGATTACAACTATAATAGGGCTTTATAGCGGAGAATAGCGGTGATTATATTCTCCGAGCTTTATCTCGGTTGCCGGAAGGTCCGGTGTTACCGTTGAAATAGCCAATGGTAAGCACAATTACAAGAGGTATCGTCAAGTCCGAAACATACAAGATAAAGAGAGAGAGAAAGAGAGATAAAGAAAGAGAAATAAGACCCGTATATTCGAGAAGTTTATTAATAGCTCGAATGTCTTGCCTTTTGAATATCAGTAATTCATTACTAGGTTCTATATAATCTACATTTAATCATTGTATGTATAGTGTTCAAAGTACACTTGGACTAAAAGATTCTTTGCTGAGCCAACAAGCTTACCAAGTAAAGGAATAAAATAGTTGACAATAGTAAGAGAAAATAAACATATATAGCACAAACGTGTAACGGGCTTCTTGTCTTTCTTTCTATTTCTTGCAAAGTCTGTGTAGTACTGGTACTACTGCTTCCAAAAATAAAAATAAAAATAAAAATAATCTATGATATGTAGTCTACCTCTTTTCCTCAGTTCTATAGTAATCTATTTTTTGACTTATTGGACCCCTCTTCTATCCCTCTCGTAACCCCCTTCAACCTTTCTTCTCTTTCTTTATTTCTTTCTTTCTTGTTCTCTTCTTTCTTTATTATCGTTGCACATGAGTCAAATATTCTTTACCAAGAGATGGCGCCCAGTTCTGATCCTTCTATTCGTCTGGATACTAGGCATGTTCATGTGGTTGTTCTTTTACCACACAGGACTTATCACTGACCTAGGATACTACACTCGCCCACTCTGGGACTCCAATCCACAGTCATTTAACCTGATACCTCACTACTACGCCGAAGACGTGCCTATGAAAGATCTCTGTAAGCTTCATGGATGGACCTTAAAAAAGAAAGAAGACCGCCCACGAGTCTTTGACGCCATCATTTTCAGTGTCGAGCTAGACTTACTAGAGATCCGTATCCACGAACTCTGGGACACCGTTGATATTTTTATCATCCTGGAATCCAATGCAACATTCACAGGTTCTCCAAAAGAACTTGTCTTTAAGGATAACAAGGAACGATTTGCATTCGGGTCCTCGAAAATCCGCCACTATGTCATCGACCAATTTGCGTTGCCACCCGGAGAAGGTCCCTTTTGGAATGAGAATGAGATGCGGAGAGAGATGAACAATGTTTTTATAAAAGAGGATGTCCAAAAGGGTGATTTGATTCTGATGTCAGATGTCGATGAGATCGTGCGTTCGAAATCTCTTGAAATCCTAAAGAGCTGTGCTGGAGTGCCTGAATTACTGCATCTCCAGTTACGAAACTACCTTTATTCATTCGAGTTTCTTTTTGATGATCAATCGTGGCGTGCTCATGTCGAGACATTTATACCCGGCCAGACTATATACCGCCATGGACAAGTTACTCAAGATTGCCTTGTAGATGCAGGTAAGGAATGAGATTTTTTTTTAATGAAAAAAAAAACCCCAATTACTTTTACCAACAACAACATTTTATTTTTTGATACTTGTTAAAAAAATTAAACATTTATATATATATGTTATATTCATCTTTTATTATTATTATTATTATTATTATTATTTTACAAGGCTGGCACTGCTCATTCTGTTTTAGAACGATAAAGGAATTCCAGTTCAAGATGCAGAGTTATTCGCATGCTGATCGTGTCAGGAACCCTGGATTATTGGAAGCTGACCGGATCCAGAAAGTGATCTGTGATGGTGGCGAAATCTTTGACATGCCACCCGAAGCCTACAACTACAGAGAATTGATTTCGAAAATTGGAAATATACCCAAAGATCTTTCTGCTGTTGGCTTACCGAGCTTCCTTTTAAAGAATGCCCAGAAATTCAAGTTTCTCATGCCAGGAGGGTGTATTCGCGATGATGTAGATACATATTGATATTGATATTGATATTGGTACTGATAGAGAGTATGTGTGTATATGAATGTGTATGTGTATGTATGTATGTTTTGCTCTTTGCTTAAAAGAAGAAGAAGGGATGTACAAGTATTATAAAATTCTTCTATACTTTAATTAATTAAATGATTATGTCTTTTATATATCAATATTAATACTAGTCAAATTACTTTTACTATCAAATAATAATAATAATAATAAAGATAGGCTTTAATTTATTGTCAATAAAATTAACTAGAAATACCAAGCCTTTTCTTCTCTTTTCTCTGTCAAAAACTTTTGTCTTCTTTCTTTCTTGCTTAGATACATGCATGTACATATACGTGCAAGCAAAAAAAAGAAGAAAAAAAGACCTATGCTGCTTATAAGGAGGTAAAATAGGGGAAGGATCGGAAAGTCCTTTGTATCATTGATCTCATAATACCTTATCCAAAATAATATTAGTAGTAGTAATAATTAAAGAGAGGTAAAATAAAAAAGAAATAAAGGGAGAAAAGAGAGCGAGAGCGAGAGAGGGTTTATGCGGATAAATACATTTACCAGTATGCTTTCCAGCTTCCATGCAATAAGTTGTTTTTATTGATTTATCAGCTACAATGAAAATATACAAAAGAAAAGAAAAATACAGACATACATATATGTGTGTCTTTTAAAGGAGTTGATTTTCATTATTCATTGTACTATTGTACCACTGACTATTAATGTATATATTCTTAAAGTAGATAACCAGGGCTGTCCATAGCTTATTCTGTTTGCATCCATACAATCACTCGAGCAATAAGGCCTGGAGGAGTGACAATAGACTATATAAAATAATGATGGTGGTAATGATAAAGTCGATTCTTAATTCTTAATGAGATCTGTATTTAGCCTGTCATGGAGGCTATATAGATTTTTCTTTCTCTTATATACCTACACAAATGTGTGTGTATTAAAAAGACCATCAATAGAGGATTTAGGGTCTAGAATAATACCCAGTTCATTTTGTTAGCATTAGAACCTCATCTTTTTTTTTAAAAAATAAAATAAAATATACCATCTAAATATATATTGTAAAATAAGCATAAACTAGGCAGAGAACAATGTACCAAGACTATTGCTACGATTATGGTTACGGTTACAGATCATTTTACTAGTGTTACTGTTGCTATTGCTGTTACTATTCAGCTGCTAATGCCGAACCGGGATTTGAGGGAATATCTTTACTCCCTGTCTTTGTCTTTCGATTCATTGTTTTATTCTACTCTATAACAATGAACGATATTATGAATATCAGCAACATAACAAAGTGTTTGATCGTACTATATTAGTCTTTTAACCTAAGCATGTACCCCATAATTTATTTATTTTTGGGTTTGTTTCAAAAATAAAATAAAATACAATTTATCAATATTTTTACACAAATATTCACAAGAAGAAGAAAGACAATGAGTTTGCTTGTATGTTTTTCTATCAAACATGGCTTCTTGTTTTTATTTTCTTATCAATATATATATATATATATATATACACAAAGATAAAAATTCGACATCTTTATCTCACTAAAGAAAGAAGAGAAAATGAAAGAAATATATCATCCCCCAATGTCCAGTATCTCTAGTGAACGTAAATATGGCGGTGCTCACAGGAAAGGCAAAGAAGTAGCCGGTAGAAATTATCCAGAGCAGAGTACTTCTCAATCTCGTCGTGCTTCCCCAAGACAAAGGTCTTTCAATAGGTCCAGAGAAGGCTCGACTGATTATCCTGCTCATGCTGGCTCTCATGTCAATATCTCTGATCCTGTTGCTTCTGCTGCTGCCATATTTGCTGCATTTGAAGCAAAAGAGCTAGAAGCAAAAGAAAAACAAAGAGCAAAAGAAGTAGAAGAGTCCCCTGTTGTTATTTCTTCTCATTTCGATGATTCTTCAAGCGAATTACTTGCCTTGCCGTATTCCGATACTTCTCCAGCAATGGTTTCCCGTCTAGGTTCACGGGCCCAGAGGAGTAGGCCTCAAACCACACGTCTAAAACGTACGGCGGAGAGAACATATGCTATTCCCAAGAGTAAGACCAGCCCTGCTACCGATTATCGTATCCCAGAACAAAGTACTTCAGCCGCTGCAGCCGCGTTTGTACATCCCAGCCAAACCAGTCGACCCAACCCAGCTGAATATGATTATAAAACTCTTGCACCGTGGTGTGCGATTGAATCTGATCCAGGTAAGAAAAGCACCCAACCAAGGAACCAAGTAACTGTTATGAATTGTGATATTAATTGACTATTACTATCAATATATATATATAGATGTCTTTACAGAAATGACACAAAAACAAGGTGTCAAGAATATTATTGTTCAAGAGGTTTTTGACCTCGATTCTAAACTTCTCAATGATAAAAAGCAAGTATAATATATATATAAATTGGTATTTCTATTTATATTTCAATTAATGTTACTTTTTATTATTTGTGATAGATTATCAGAACAAAATGTACATGGTCTTATTTTTGGGTTTTCGTACAGCGAACGGGTATTACCTGATAATCATACAAAGCCTGACCCTGATGCAAATGGAATCCTTTATTCATGTCAAGTAAGTATATATATAGATATAAAATTTTCTACTTTAAACTCTTCATAATAATATTATATTCCTAATAATATATATATATATAAAGGTAATACAGAATGCCTGTGCTACGTTGGCTCTTTTGGGTGTTCTACTTAATTCTCGTGATTATGTGGACCTTGGTGAAGAGCTAATGCAGTTCAAAGACTTTGTTAAAGGCTTTGATCCAATAGTAAGTGTGTATAAGAAAGTTTGAGTGTTTTGTATCTTATATGTGTAATAACTGTACAATAGAGTCTTGGTTTGGCAATTGGAAATAGTAAAATGCTACGTGATACACATAACTACTTTGCCACGTAAATATATACATTTTTTTTTTAAAAAAAAGAAATTTATTAGAGAGCTTGCACACATAACCTCCAATTTTTTTTTGGTAGTGAGCAAGACAAAAAAGAAGCCGAGGCTGCACTTGAGGAATACCGCAGACGATATTATACAGCCAAAGAAGAAGAAGACTATGATGAAGAAGACAAAGATGAAGAAGATGAAGAAGATGAAGAAAAAGAAGAAATTTACCATTTTATAAGTTATATATACAAAAATGGATATGTTTGGGAACTTGATGGCCTAAATCGAGCACCACTTAAACTCGGTTAGTATTACACACAAGTATATACACTGAAAAAGAATGAACAAAATGATTATTACAATTGAATCTAATGTGGCTTGCTGTATATACATTTGTTAGATGAATGCCATTTATATAATTGGACAAATGTTGTAAAACCTTATTTGGCTGCACGAATGGAAAGGTAAAGGATTAAATATATAGTAATAGCTTGATCTTAAATCCCAAATACATATGTATAGTAAGGAGGAAGGATTTTTATTCAATCTGATGGCAGTTACGGATGACAATTTGCCGATTCAACATCGCACCATAGCAGACAAGAGCCGGTTAATAGAGGCATACAGCCAGAGAGTTGAATTAGAACAGCTTCGACTACCAGAATATTTAACTACCCTAGGCAAGCGTAAGCGTGATTACCCAGGTATTGGGTACACAATCCAGGTGGAGATAATTGAGTACATGAAGAAGAGGCAAAAAATATTAGCAGACGATATTAAACAATTGGAGGAAGATATCGAAAATGAGAACTTGGAGAGAGAGAAGACTAAGGTGAGCCTATTATTACTATTTGATCTAATAGCAGTAACAAGATATAAAAGAAGAAGAAATGGAAACTGCGATTTATTTTATTTACTTTTTCTTAACCTATAGGCCAACAACCTAAGACTTGGCCATGATTACACTCCATTTATTGAGACATTGTTTCAAAGGCTAGACGAGCATGAAGCATTAGTGCCTATGTTAAAAGAAAAATAACTTGTATGCATGTAGATTATATAAACATACACATAGATACCAAATTAATAAATTAATAAATTAATATATTTTTTTTTGATATTTAAACGAGTGATTTCTTGGTGTCTAAAAAGTTATATTTTAGATTGTTTGATATAGTCAATTTCTTGAGCTTTATTTAAATAATAAGAAAGTCTTGTAAATGATTTTCTTGAAAGACAAATGAAAGAATAATAACAAAAGCTATTTTGAACAGCTCGAGTTTTGCTGCTTCAAATGGAAGGTGCACGGCCATTTGGTACTACATTTTTTTTTCATTTTATTATTTCATATAGATTTCAATTTTTTTTTGTTTTGTTTTGTTTAGATAGTATTATACATATATTAATTAATTTAGAGTTGAAATTGATACAGGCAAGATAAAATCTTGTATGTAGATATATATATATATATCCCTTATAGGCATTTAATAGTAATTTACAAGCAAGGAGTATAAGGCTATAATTTGATCTTACTAATAAGAGATAGGTGTCCCATGTCTAGTTAAATCTATCCATAAACTATTACTTTCTATCTACAATTTAACTCCATAGTTTAAAGGACTATAATAGTTCAATAAAATCCTTGATATACACTATCTATACATATAGTTGTTAGAAAGCAATGCACGATTATTATTAGTATCGAATTTCAGAACTTGTGTTCACAAACTGTACGTAAAATAACAAGGTTGTGATGACAATCACAACAGAAACAACAACAAAAGAAGAAAGGTATATCTGCTATAAATCCTAATAAAATATTTTCTCTCTCTCTCTTTTTGTTTTGTTGCTGTTATGTATAATATATATAGATATATAAATAGTATACTATTTCATAAGTACAAGTATAAGAGTAAAGATAAAATAAAATAAAATAAAATAAAGAATATAGAGATCAAATACTTCTTTACTCATAATTTATGCCATTTTCACATGGTGTGCATTGGGCTTAGTCTACGGCATGCTTATTTGAAAGTTACTAGGCTGTACAGTTAGCTTTTAAGCTAAAACCAATATATCTATGTAAAATAAAATGACAACTGCTGACTAATTGACTCATCGATGAACTCGAGGATTCTTTATTTTCCATAAGCTTATATATATTTATACTCACAAAATATCCCAAAGTAAAATAAAATTATTGTTAGAGACTTTTGAGTAGAGGATAAAGAGGTTAATGTCCTAGAAATTGATCTTAATTATAGTATTCTCAATTAGTGTTTTGTACAATTTTTTTGGGAATAGACCTTCTCACTTTACACTACACCTTTTTCTTTATTCTACGGATACTCCATGTGTGTATGTAAATGTAGTTTCAGGCCAAGATATTTTGTATATATACTTTTGCTATTTAATAGAAATAACAACAACAGCAGCAGCAGAAGCAGCAGAATCAGCAGAAGCAACAACAAGCTTTCAAATGTCTTTTGGTTTTATATGTATTTGTGTTTATATTTGTGCTTTTGTTTGTGTGTGTTTTGTACACATATATGTTTTACTGAATTTATTTTAAACTCCTCTTCTATCTCTTTCTTTATTTCACTCTCTCTTTCTCTTTTTGTACCTTTACGCTTGTCCTACTTTTATATATATATATTTTATTTTATTTTATTTTTTTATTTTTATTTTTCATTTTTTCTCTTCCTCTCCCTCTTCCTCTTATTCCTCTTGTTATCTATCAATACATCTACCTTTCTCTTTCTCTTCATTGTTTATCTCTTTAAAAAACCAAGCAGCACAACATCTACATCTCTTCATTATCCTCACCTCCTAATCTTGTTTCGCAATGTCTGGTAACAACATCAAGGTTGTCTGTCGATTCCGACCTCAGAACTCCATTGAAAACAGAGAGGGCGGTGTTCCCATCATTGAAATTGATGACGAAGGAACAGCTGTCCACATGAAGGTAAGATAAGATTCCGAAATACCGATGTCCGAAACAGAGAAAGAGATAGTAACATCTATCTTGTGTGTTTATATTTCTTTCTTTAGGGAAAAGAAACCCAGGGAACATTTGCATTTGATAAAGTATTTGGCATGAATACTCCCCAAAAAGACGTCTTTGACTATTCTATTCGAACTATTGTTGATGGTAAGTTAGTTATTGTGTGTAAATGTGAAAATGTGTAGATGTGTATGTGCGGGTGTGCGTGTGTAAAATGTGCGAGTTAAAAAAAAATCAAAAGTGTGTTACCGATACAACCATATAATTTTTCCTTTTATTTAATATATATATAAATAAAGATGTCACGGCGGGTTATAACGGTACAGTGTTTGCCTACGGACAAACAGGCTCTGGAAAAACATTTACAATGATGGTAAAGAAAATAATAATAATAATTTTATGCTTAAAAATGTATATCTGTACTCGACTTGTTGCTTATATGTGTCTATATACATAATTGCTTACTAGGGTGCCGATATTGATAATGAAAATACAAAGGGTATCATTCCCCGTATTGTCGAACAGATCTTTGACAGTATCTTGGATGGTCCAAGCAACTTTGAATTCACTGTAAAGGTTTCATACATGGAGATTTACATGGAGAAAGTGCGTGATCTATTAGCCCGTAAGTGTGTTCAAATAATGTATATATATATATATATATGTGTGTGTGTGTGTGTGTGTGGTTTATAGTTGTGAGAAGTTGATAATTGAATATTGTTTCTTTTTTGACAAACTCACTAATGTATATCTATTATACATTATTAGCCACAAATGACAACCTGCCGATCCATGAGGACAAGGCAAAGGGTGTCTACGTAAAGGGTCTACTGGAAGTTTATGTTGGCTCATCTGAAGAGGTCTATGAGGTTATGCGTCGTGGCAGTAACAATCGCGTTGTAGCCTACACAAGCAAGTCATCTGTAGATTATTACAGCTTATTCTCTCTCTTAAACAAAATATGACTAATACTAATACTAATACTAATACTAATACTGACACTGTTATTGATAATGCCTCATTCTGTGGATACTATTTCTTCTATTTTGGCTTTTCTTGTCAACTAAATAGACATGAATGCTGAAAGTTCTCGGTCTCATTCTATTGTAGTTGTTACAATTACCCAAAAGAATCTTGATACTGGTGCAGCAAAGAGTGGAAAACTCTATCTCGTTGATTTAGCAGGATCTGAAAAGGTAAAGAAAGAGAAAGAGAGAGAGAGAGAGAGAGAGAGAGAGAGAAAAGAGAAAAGATAATAGAAATCATAGTAAATCAGCTACTATTAAATAAAGAAAACGAACAAATGATTGGCATATGCACCATAACTACTATAGTCACTAGAAGCATTACTACTGTTGCTGTTATTTACTCTTGATATTATTCTAGGTGGGAAAGACAGGTGCTTCTGGACAGACACTCGAGGAAGCCAAGAAGATCAACAAGTCCTTGACCGCTCTCGGAATGGTTATCAATGCTCTCACTGATGGAAAGGTAATAAAACTAATAGCAGTAATAGGAATTAATAAGCATAATAGTATTAATGATAATACATATAATAAAAATATCAATATCAATATCAACAATAATGATAATCATAATTATTATTATAATAATAATAATAATATCAATCATACTCTTTTTTTTTCTTGGTTACAAATATATATTATTATAATTATAATCATATATATATATATATCTTCTTCTTCTTATTCTTACTCTTATTCTTAAATGTGTACATTTGTACTTGTGCCTGTGTATATATATATCTGTGCGTTTGTGCTTGTGCCCGTTTCTTGTTTCTTTTTTTTTTCTTTTCTGTCCTGTCCTTAGTCAAGCCACGTGCCTTACCGTGATTCTAAATTAACAAGAATTCTACAAGAATCACTTGGTGGTAACTCCCGTACTACTCTAATCATCAATTGTTCTCCTTCTTCTTACAATGAAGCCGAGACACTTGGCACCCTTCGATTCGGTATGAGAGCCAAGTCGATCAAGAATAAGGCCAAGGTCAATGCCGATCTATCACCGGCTGAACTCAAGGCACTCCTGAAGAAAGTCAAGTCAGACACCGTCACGTTCCAGACCTACATCGCAGCACTCGAAGGAGAAGTCAGCATCTGGCGTACGGGTGGCACGGTTCCGGAAGACAAGTGGGTCACAATGGAAAAGATCGCAAAGGGAGATTTCAAGGCGCTTCCTCCCACGGCTGGTTTCAAGAGTCCGGTTGGAGGAGTTGGCCAAGACGATTCGTCTCGACCACAAACGCCTGCCGTTGTCCTAGAGAAAGATGAGAAAGATGAGCTTATGAGACGCGAGAATGAACTCATGGATCTTATTTCAGAAAAGGTTTGTCATTGTTTTTGTTTTTGTTTTTTTTAAAAAAAAAGGGCAGAATAAGAAGAGATATAGAGGAAATTCACAGACAGAGAAACGTCTATTAAAAAGATATATATATATAATTATCTTACTTTTAACTATGTGTAGGAAACCGAGCTTGCTAATCGAGAAAGGCTTCTGGAAGCACTAAGAGAAGAGGCGAATGATTACAGGGAGCAAGCAGAGACAACCACTAAAGAGAACCAGCGAATCAATTCTGATCTGAGCGAGCTGAAAACCGAGTTTCGAAAGATTTCTTACGAATGCAAAGAAAATGCAATTACCGTGGATTCTTTAAAGGAAGCCAACCAGGACCTTATGAACGAATTGGATGAGCTAAAGAAGAGTCTGGCTGATGTCAAATCGGCCCATAAGGACAATGTCAATGGCGAGAAAGAAAGAAAGAAGGCCGAAATGATGGCTGAAATGATGTCTGGATTTGATGCATCTGTAAGTAAACAGATATATATATAGCAAGAAGGTTATAGCTTATTTAATATAATATAATATGTAGGGTGAAATTAATGAAAAGAAGCGCCAAATTCGTGATGCTATAATCAAACTTGATGGTGAAGGTAGTGGATCATTGTCGATCGAAGATCTGGTGTCTCTTCGTCGTGATTTGGAAGATTCCAAGGTTCTTTTGGAACAACACTCAAAGACGATCAATATCCTCACCAGCGACAAGGAGGTCCTTGACAAGAAAAAGGCCGAATTGGATCATAAATTCGGTACCCTTGAGAAGGAATATGAGGAATTGCTCGACAAGACAATTGCGGAAGAGGAGGCTCAGGTGCAAAACAATAGCGAGTTTGCCAACACAATTACTACAATCAAGGTAATAATAATATTAATAGTTAAAACACAGAATTGTAGGATTTTTTCTTGGATACTAAAAACCTAAACTTGATTTTATAGAGTAACCTAGAATCAGAGTACGCTACAAAGAAAGAGACTCAACAAAAAGAAATCGACGAGCTGAAACATGAGCTTGATCGCAAAAATGATCATCACCAGAAACTCAGTAGTGCAATGAATGATCTAAAGTCTGCAAACGATCAATTACAGGTAGGTTGGAATATACATATACTTGCGGTAGATTTAAAAGGGATTAACTTATGAGAATATATATTTGGTTATTGTCTAGACTGCTCTTTCTGGACAACCTCATCCTACTCAAGGAAGAGAAATTTCTGAACGAGAGAAAGAGCTCGATCGTATGCGCAAGATCATGGCTAGTCAGCTGGGTGAATTTGAGGCTATGAAGAAGGCTTTGATGCGTGATCTTCAGGCTAGATGCGAAAAGGTGGTCGAGCTTGAGATGTCTCTGGACGAGACCAGAGAACAATACAACAGTGTTCTTAAAGCAAGCAACAACAAGGCCCAGCAAAAGAAGATGGCCTTTTTGGAGCGTAATCTTGAACAGCTTACAAATGTCCAAAAGCAGGTAAACATATCTATCCATAAAGAATATTTGTTTGGCGAAGTATTCTGGTAATAATACTTCTTCTTTATGTTGTGTATACTATACTTCTTAGTTGGTCGAACAGAATGGTTCTTTGAAGAAGGAAGTTGCTTTGGCTGAACGTAAGTTGATTTCCCGTAATGAGCGTATCCAAAGCCTCGAAACTCTTCTCAAGGACGCTCAGGAAAAACTGGTCAGTCAAAATGACAAATTCGAGAGTCAGTTAAAAGCAGTTCGAGACCGTCTTGAATTGGCACGGACGCAGAAATCCCAGAATACCATGTCCGTGAACTTTAGTCGTATTGTTAAGCCTCTCAGAGGTAGAGGAAATGCAGTGAATGCAGCCGAAGATACCGAGAATGTAACTTCTCCTGCTACAGACAGACGTTCTACTTGGGCATTATTCAACTCGCGATAAAAACTTTCACACCCACACACACACACACTTTCTACCAAGCTAGCTATTCCTTTTTATTTCTATTTTATTTTTCACTTTATTGTTAGTCTTTATGACAGCCTTATATTTTCACTATTCCCCCCTTTTTCCTTATCTTTTTGTACGTGTGTACGTATGTGTGTGTGTGTGTGTATGTATGTATGTATGTATGTATATATGTGCTTGGGTTTGTACTTGGGTTTGTGCTTGTATTTGTATGTGTGTAATTTTTCTTTTCTTTGTTATATTGTATGAGAGAAGGTTTGTATTCACGTTATGCACATAACCTTTTTTCTTTTCTTTTCCTTTTTTTATCAAACCGTCTTTTGACAATTCTATTTGTTCCTATGTTACGCTATTCCATTCCTTATGATCTCTTTTACTATCTACCTCTACCTCTACCTCTTTCTCTCTCTCTCTACAAATACGTACAAATACATACAAATACATACAAATACATAGCATACATACCACACTTACACACATACATATATGCACTCACGCCCACGCTCTCACTCACACTCAAATGCACACGCATACATAGTTATATATGTGCCTGTTTATAATCTACAAATGTTCAACGTAAATAAATCATTGTTGTTGTTCAAGTATTAAGAGTATTAATGTAGATATTTTTATTCTTCTTTAAGAGAATATGATTTTGACATCATTTAATTCAATTGTGTAAAAGTAAATCATTTCTCATGATTTTTTTAGGGTGTTCATTCTAAGAGTAGTCATGGTAATATATTGGGGGTTTAATTGATTCTATGATTGGTATTAATCAATTTAAGTGAAGAAACAGAAACAGAAAGCATTCAACGTAATGTATTATGTATATGGTTCAAAATTTGATTGAATATTTATATGTATATACATTCTTTTAATATCAAAGCTTCTGTACTTCTTGAAATATATATATATATTTTATACCAAAGACATGGTTTCTATGCAGGTCCGATTTTTGTTAATTTATTTTTATTTTGTTATCAATTGAGTTTATAAACCTCTTTTCGTATTGATAGTACAACAAGTTTCATCCCTCAATCTTCTTTTTTTTATTATTATTTTTGTTTACCTTTAATTCCTTCCTTTTGTTACCTCCCTGCTTACCCCAACATACTACCCCTTCCCTTGACCTCCTAGTTTTACTCCTGCTACTCCTCATACTCATTCTAATCCTCTATCTTTCCCCTTTTGTACTTATTTATTTTATGTACTGCCCCACACGTTTGTACACCTTTGTATGAAAGGTATTTGGTTACCTAGTTTGTAATAGGCACAAGTCAATTAAGCTGTAAAATATATTGTATTGTATTGTATTGTATTGTATTTTATTTTATTGAGTGAATTCATTTAATGCCTGTCATTATCAATCCAAAGTACTTGCAAAATATTTAACATTATAGATATATATATATATATACATCTATAGTGTTAAATATACATATAAATCCTGAACCAGCAAATCGGATTATTGAATGAATTGAAGCCATTATAACTGATGTTATTTCTTGATCTATACAAAAACAGCAATAGCAATAGCAATAGCAATAGCAACAACAACAACAACAACAACAACAAAAGTACTAATACTGATCATTATATCCCCAACTTTAACAAGATGAGAATTATATCTATATGTGTGGATTCCTTTTTGATTTGCTGTTATTGATAACATTCTTTTTTTCCGTTTAATTCCAATCACAGCTTTCTATATATTTATATAATTAAATGAGGTTTATCAATATTATTAATATGAAGAATAATAAAAAGGGATTTATGAAAGATTTATAGGGTTTTTATAGGTATGTCTATATGTTACTATAGCAACAGATTGTATATTTATTTGCTTTAATTTTTTATCTTTATCTTTGATTATCTTTATGTTTTATATATTCATACAAATACAAACCAAGACTCGTAGTGTGGTAGTCAAGATAAAATAATATATAAAAAAAAAGGCGTTGTGGCAGCGAATCATCTGATATGAAAATAAAAATAAAAATAAAAATAAATAAAAAGGAAACCCCTTTATTTGTGTGTGGATGTGTGTGTGTGTGTGTGCAAGAATTTCACTTTATTTATTTATTTATTTATTTTCTGCTGCACGCATAACTCGACCCCACTGTTTTCAAGGAATCCAAGTCCATTCCTTGCAAACCTCGGCTCTCTTTTCTTTCTTTCTTCTCTTTCTTCTCTTTCTCTTATTTTTTAGTCTTATTCTTTGTGGATCATGTATGTAGGTATCAATTGTGTGCAAAACCAGCTCTCTTTACAGCTCTACATGATTGTGTTGTACATTCTATAATATATATTCATTGATTCGTTTAATTCTTGTTTTTTTTTAAAATTATTCTTTTGGTGTAGCTTGTTGAAAAGAACAAATCGCTCAAGGAAGAAGTAGCCCTGGCAGAACGGAAATTAATCGCCCACAACGAACGAATTGAATCTCTTGAGCCAATATTACAGTGTGGACAGCAGAAACTGACAGCTTGCAATGAACGAATTAAATATCTTGAGATGCTCTTGATCGATTCACGAGAAAAGCTGTTCACTCAAAAACAGACATTTCAGGGTCAGCTTAGGGTGGTTCGAGAGCGTCTTGAACAGGGACAAAGACAGAGAGTGGAGACCACCTTGCTCATCAATTCTGGCCGAATTGCCAAGCCCCTTCGTGGGAGAGGAAACGTGGTTGAAAGCTGAGATTTCATCTTTATTTTTTTTTCTATACGCACACATATCCCTTTTCCACCAAAACCAAAAAACCAAAAACAAAATACTTCACTTCACTTCACTCATATTCGCATACACACATACATACATATATACATACATACATATATACATATTTACATACATACATATTTACATATACATACTTAGTTACATACATATATACTCACACGAGTTACAGCATGTGAATTCGTCCCAAAAACCAACTTCCCTCGCGATAGATAACTTCCCTTTTCTTTTGTACACAGTTTTCCTCTTCTTCTTCTACCTTAGCTATTGCTTGATCTTCCCCTCCTTATTCTTTTCTCTGAAACAAAAAAAAAACAAAAAAAAATGGTCTCTTTATATGTGAATATTCTCCAATTACCATCATCATCATATATATATATATATAAAATTATTGTAACCTATTTACAATATCCTATATCCAATCTTTTATACATGCACTCAAAACCAAAAACCAAAAAAAAAAATGCGTGTTTAGGGGTGTACTTAGAGGTGTATTTTAAAATGTGACATTACTTTTGAACTATAAAGTAAAATCGTAATAATATTCTAATTAATAAGCTTCTTTACAATAGCAACAACAATAAGAAAGCCATCTCTCTCTCTCTCTCTTTTTAAGGTTGTTCAACATCTTTTAAATCAGATTTTTATATATATATACACGATTTTTTTTGATGGACAGGAAATTACTTTAGGGTAAAGGGTTTGACTTATTTATCCATTTATGTATGTATCTTTAATTATACAGGCAGATCGGAAATTTAGAAACTATATCATTGTGTCTTTAAACGCAGTTTGGTCTATAGTTTCTATCGTATCTATTATGTAATGATTGCAATATACATCTGTATGCAGAACCGCTGGAACAGACAGTAACACTATGTACACATATAGTGCAAGTCTGAGGGGCTCGAAGCCGCCAAAGTAATGTGACATCTTCTCCTTTAATACATAAAGGACTAGACTGTAGCTTTTGTTTTTTTTATTCTCTAGTCTTGGTAGGGGGTTTTATCTAGTTAAAGGCATACATATTGGCATAGTTGCGTACAAATGTACATAATACTCGTGTTTAGTATTTCACAATTGAAATATACGCCAGCTTTTTGGGAACAAGATGCCTGCCCTACAAAAATCTGCTCATGTAATAATGTTTCACCATAAAGGTTCTGATTTAGACGGAAAAGAAACAAGCTGCAGCGTTACACCATAAGATTACTTCTTTATACTCTCACTCTATCTTCCTATCCCCACTCGTTCTGTTACTAAGAGACATTCAATTCGTCTAATTGTAAGAATAAGATAGCTATAGTTCTTGCGACAAATACCGATTTTTCTTTTACAAGCATGAGTGGATAGTGGTACACCACATTTGATTGAATTAAGGTACTCTCCGAAATGAACGTAAAAATTCTTATTTCAATATGGAATGTTTAATATTATAAGACATAAACTTAATATATATATATATATTAGATGATTTCATTATGATATCCTACAAAAATAAAACGAACCATCAAATTTACAAGATCATATTCTGATACTTGTTTATTTTTTTGTTCATTTGTTCTTTAGAGATAATTATATATACATTAGGACGTCTGTTAAAGAAGTACCCTATATTATGCTAGTACTTACACATGTATATATAATGAAAAGGCTATATAACAATCATGGGAAATGAACAGTGACTCCGATGGTGTTTCTTGGAAAATGCCTATGGCTCTTTTCAAAAATCACCATCAGAGTCACTATTAATTTCCCATGGCATAAAAAAAAAAGATGAGAAAAAATGCTGAAAATTCCTCCAATAGCCCGGTTTTTTGAGGTAAGAATAAAAAAAACAAAAACTCAAGTGAACTTTTCCTATCTTTTTTTTTTGGTGTTTCGAAAATAAATATTGTCATACTATGGGATGGGGTGGGGAAGAAAGAGAAACAGAAAACCTGCCCAAATTAGCGAAAATCTCACCTACAGAATTATGCATGCATTCATGACCACAACAGAGGGTGAAAGTTAATTGTGTGGTCCAGGGGTTTTTTTTTGGTGCGAGGGCTTCAGTAATTTATACCCTTTATTGAAAGTATCTGGATCTAGATGTTAGCAAGAATAGCCTCTGAAGATTAAAGAAAGGAAAACTTGGATCAAAGCTTTTTCTGTCTGCACTAGAGGTCACTTTATGGTTACTGTAGATCGATGGGATCATAAACAGCTCAAAATAGATAAAACTTTTGAATAAAGACTTGCTGAATATGTTGAAGAAGCAGTCCTTTGACAAGTCTGATACCATTCTTCTGTATGCCAACGTTCCTTGCCTCTCCTCTACCATACGCACACACACACACACACACACACTTATACAGCAGAAAGATACAAAACAGTGGCTGAAAAGAAAAAGACAATTAAGGTCATTGATTTCCCCATCGAAAACCTTTGAGACATACATAAAAGATAAAGCTGTATAACCAAGAAGAGCCAGTCCGCTAAATAAATAAATAAAAATTATTACCTCAAAAACTGGGCCACTAGAAGAACTTTCCAAAAAAAAATGGTGGTTTCGATGGGGATTTTGTAATAATTTCCATAAAGATTGGACGGCTTTACAGTTCATATGGGCCAGTCAATGACAAAAAAAATTCGAAGCCTTGGCTTGAGCGATTTTTTTTGGGTCACTCCCTATTTCCAAAGCCCAAGTAAAAGGGCAATGGGTTCCTATACAACTCACGTGTGTATATCCTTTGTGGTCCGTGATGAAAATAATATATATAAAGAAGGCGCGTACATTAATTATTTTCTCGGTGTTTTACAGCTGTCAATTCATAAAGGCTAACTCAGTCAATAATTCTTTAATGACATCTAGATTGCCTTTCGAAGTCCTTAGTATCATCGCATCACATCTCAGCATCAAAGATAAAGTTTCTTGCATAACAGTTTGTAAACTGTGGTCTGCACCATTTCAGGACTCTCTCTGGTCTACTATAAATCTCAACAAACGTCATCTGAGAAACATCTGTAACATCAATCACACTGAACAAAATGCATACAAAAAGAATGGAAATCGTGTACAGACTCTTAATCTCCACCAATCAACTGAAGTAGATGACGGCCAACTTTATTTGCTACAGCAATACTTTCAGCGTATAAAGTGCCTTAGAATACAGCACAGAAGTCTCTCGAATCACAACTTTGGAAAGACTGCAAACTGGAATCTCTGGGCCAGCCTGGTGAGCCTCGAGATACATATCCCGGAGCAGAATCAGCATACTCCAAAACATGAACTATACCAGATATTAGCCTGCCTTCCACACCTTAAACATCTAACCGTTCCAGACAAAATATGTTATCGTGTGGTTTGCTATACCTGGCGTGACTTGGATACAATACACAATTATCTACCACACCTCGAGTCATTGAACCTAGCTTTCTTATTCACTTCTATAGCCAATGAGGATATCACACTAATCAGATCCACTACCCCAGCAGATAAATTGAAGCGAGTCAGACTCTCCAATCTCGATATTAACATCGGTTGGATCTTTTACTGCGCTCTCAAATATCCCAACATTCACACATATGAATCCAAAACCAATTTTGGGTCCAGATCAAAATTGGTGGTGCCATGCGCCGATACTATGTCAGTTATAAAAGCGTCAGAACACAGTTTTTCTAGCCTGAGAGTAGCCACGATATCTCAGAAATTACAATTAGATCCATACTTTTATGCATTTTGGAGAACCTTTGCCCAAATGCTGGAATCACTCCAATCTCTAGACTACCGCGTGAATTTGACATGTGGAGAACCGCCCCAACCAGAGACCATTGCTACCAAAGCTATCCCTCTATCTTCCAAGACACTACAAAAGCTTTTTATCAAAATCATACCACGGGGATTGATCTATAGTAATTTCCCACTACAGCTGGACTATTGTCCTTGTTTGGCGGATCTGACGCTAGAAGTACCAAAGCTCGTCATAAAGATTGACACTATCTTGAGAAATTGTGTTTCTCTAAAAAAGATCAAGCTCAAGGATGGCCGTATTCTATTGAGTCAGGAAGCTAGCTACATATCAGAAAAACACGGCTTACAAAGGATTGAAATCTGGGATTCAGATGTTGACCCATCTATACTTAGTTATGTCTCATTCTGCTGTCCCCAATTACGCGAGATGGTACTATGCGTTGTCAAAATAACAGATTCGGTATCCAGCGAAACGACGACTTTACTTTTGGATATGTCCTTTACACAATTCGATGTATTGAAGCTGAATAATGTGGTCTTTCGATTACAAGACAACGAGACCCTCGATTCAAATGACACACACTTGAGATCAAACTCCAATATTCATCTACTTGTTATTGAACGCACACAATCCATCTTTGATTCTGGCGAGATCGGCTCTGTTGTTGGTACCCCACCAGTCTCTCTATTGCAAAATATGATCCCTAAACAGATATGGTTCCAGCATTGCTTGAAGAAAGTTGCCAGACGATTGTATTCTGAAGTACGAATGCTAAAAAAGCGAGAAGTCGAGTTTGCCAAAAACTATTTCCAAAAACTTGCACTAAAGAACAAGAATATCCCTGATCCTGAACCTCCAAAGAATCAATGTCATAATGGTTTTATGGACAAGAACTCATGGAAAGACGATCTTTCACGTGGATATGTTTTATTACGCTGTAAATATGTCGGTAAATATGAAATAGAGACTTACTCATTTGACCACGACATAGATATTCTGTAATACCCTTCTACCACTTTCCCTCTCCAAAAAATAATAATAATAAGAGGTAGAAGACTACAAGTCAACTTCTTTGACTTCTTTCAAAGATTATACATATTTTATTGTTGCTGTTATTATTAAACAAACAAATATTTGGGTTCATAGCGTAAGTATATTACAGATGGATATGATAGTATTTAAGGCTTTTAAATTTAAATCAAACTTCAACCAAGATGTCTTCTTTTTCTGCTAAAGTAATCACTGCGTTCCTTGCTCAAGAAATTATCCTCAAATATATCGGTAATTTTTTGTATGAATGCAGTCTTTGCTGAGGCTGTGGGATACTCTTCAGTGCCTGTGAGTATTCCTTGGTCTTCGTTACCTTTCTCTTGAACAGAGCCATCTGGTGATACATTTTGTGATACGGAATCAAAAAGTGGCATTGTATTGAGTGGATCAGTCATGCTTGAAGGCCCTCCTACTGAGGATGGTTCCGGTTTTGATGTCGATCTCGGGGTCAATCTCGGTTTTAGTCTCGAATCTCTCGGATCTCCCAAAGGCTCGGATTCTCGGTGTGGGCTGTATGGTATCGATCTGCTAGGCACTCTAAATCTTCTCTCGGAAGGACTCTTTAAATTACTGCTCATCTCGACTGTTAGTCGAATGATATAGGGTCCTTTCTTCTCATATATTTTGTGTACTACAGGTGGGTTCGTATTCTCATAGGAACTTTGAGAATCGTGCTTGAGTAGTGTAGGTTTTATACTGATGATGGTTTCCACGAGTAAAAGGGTATTTGATATATTGTCATCATCAGTCGTGGGGCGGTTATGACCATATTCCAAGATACTGGCTTGAATATAAATCTCATAGTAATAAGATCGATTGTATGTTTTCACATTAGCATCTTTGTAGCAAGCACTGGTCATCCGGCAGCATATTGGTTTCGGAAATCTATCAATTATATATATATCAAACATTTTGGTTAGGCAGTAGAAAATTGATTATTTATCCTCGAGACTTGAAAACAGTACATACTTTTCATCGCTCCACAGTGTAAATATATATTCGCATTCTTCTCCAATAGGTGATGGTATACGGAGAATGGCTTCCAAGTTTATAAAGCCTCTTGTATACATAAACGCAATATATTTGATAGAAGCTAAAGTAAAGAATATATCGACAAGCCAGAGTAGCAAAAAACGTAGCATGTATATATATATATATATAAACTTATCCAGGCTTATCCATGCTCACTATCAATTTGGTAATTTTGGACAATAAAAAAAATAGAAATCTTTAGATATAAGATATATAGTAAAGGCATATTTTAGTGGTTTGACACCAATAACACACAAAGAGATTAAACAGTATGCGGTGAATACAAAGAACAATATATATATATATATATATATATATTATTAATGCCATTATTACTTAAGAAGAAAAAAAGGGAGAGCAGCTGGAAGGTCATTGTATAGTCAAGTCTTAATAAAAGGGACGTTAAGGGATATTATGTTTTTTTTTTGTTTTTATTCTTATTTAAAGAGGAACAATGCGTTTCGAATATTATGAGGTGAGCGTCTATCCACCGAATACTTTGTAATCTTTGTAGATAATTTTCTTTGTCTTATGTGCCAGTCGTTTGTTTGCGTTGGTTACTGAAAATAAATACTCTTCTGACCATCCCGGGGAATATGTAGATCTATTCTTTTCCAAACACACCCAAGCTCCGGTAGTGAGCTTCACAATAATGCATGTCATCTGACGAATACATTGGACTCATTATTATATGAATAAACAACCTATTTTTCTCTTCTTCTTTTTATGGAATGATAGCAGCCAAGACACTCGTGATGATAAGATATTTCTTGGAGTAAGCGTCTTAGCCTTTTATTTCTTCTAATTTCTTTAAAGCCCCTGGTACCTTTGGGTGTATTTCACTATTTGGGACTAGTATTTCTTTTTCAAAAGCGGAACCTTTAAAGCCTTTGTGATATTGTTAAAGAAAATCGAGAAAGAGTTTTCTATACCAGAAAATAAATAAATAAATTTCAGTAACAAGGCGAATTGATTACAGAGTCCTCAAGCTATTATACGTCAATTGTTAAACATACACTTGGTTGTGTAACAAATTGGTTCTTCGGAATATATTAGATTTGCTTTTGATATTCTATCTTATTTATTTAACCAACAATAGCAATCAATTTTCTCAATACATGCTTCGACGTTCAATTGTTTATGCACTCGAGAATCAACATAAATAAAGGTATCATATATACATATTTACGATTATTGTTGCAAGGTAGATTAATATTTTTGCTTGTGTGTGATATCCGGACATAGCCTACCCCGGAACAATTGTGCGATCCGAACATTGGAAGGCAACTCCATCGATCAACTTCTGGCCTGGGTAACTGGAAATCCCTGGGTAGATAACCCCGCCAATTTCTCTTATACGCCATTTTATTTTATTGGATTTTATTTGTTTAATTTGTACAGGGGTTTCTTTTTAGTGAAATGGGATCGATTAGCCTTTCTATTTGAAAATAAGGGTCATATTTCTTATTAATAGGCTAATTAATGATCTAAGAAAATGAAACCATTAGGGATAGAAGAGATCTAAAAGACAAGATACAAAATATTGTAAAGGTCTCTAAACCAACTTATTTTATAAACACATTTTTTTTTGGATATACAAAGCACTTCTTTAAGTTTTAATGTTCTTCTTTAACTAATTAAAAGCTCTATAATATATATATAATGTTGTAATCTTTTTATTATCATTATTTAAGCTTTTATTTCAGTAGCAAGTACTATTTTAATAATGGAGAGCTTGTGATTAACATTTCGTTTTGGCTGTAATTTATACTTGCTTGTCTGTCTATACTTTTTTCTTCGATCCAGGTACCCTGTTTAATGATTATATAATATATTCTAATACCAGATTCTGAAATTGTTACTGGCTAACCCACAATAGGGATACTTCTTGTCTATAAAACGTAGTAGCTTCTTTACTTGAATACATATTTTGTAAGATGGAAACTACCAAAAATAAAATGCGTCATAATCAGACTTAAGATGATAAGGTCCCATTGTCCTAATCCTCGGGTATTCAATCAAAAGCACAGCTTCTCCAATCCTTACTTGATCTGGTTTCAAAAAAAATGCTCGTGGAACGAACTGTATGTTACTCTACATGCATGCCTTTAAACGTTGTAAGCGCTGTTCCAAAATAATATGCAAGTAGGGTCTATTACAATATTTTTCCTTTATATATTCTACTCCCTTGACATTAGATTCTCACTGTAACAAATGGTTTATTAAGATTTATTTAGAATATATACTTGCAATACTACTATTACTACCAATATTACTATTAGTAATAAAGAGCTTGTATACACTATCATTATTAAACTGCTAGTTAATGAATTATATCATTTGCCTATATTTGTATTATTATTTTATTTTTATTTTTTTGAAAAAAGAAAAACGGGAAAACCTTATATTGGTTTACCCGTTTGTTGATTAGCATGGTCTGTCTATGACAGTGAGCAAATATGTGAGTAAGAGAGAGAGAGAGAGAGAGATCAGGATTCCTGGTGCATACCGACGGGAAACTCCCAAATATAGTAAGATCTGAAATGAAAGCATTGGATATCCCATCTCATACGGTTTATTCCTCTTCTTCTCCAGCTGTTACACCAATGAAGGTTGCCTGGGAAAACGCGGGGTATGTGGGGAAATTAGTACCAACCGGACTATTTTACAAGATCTCTTGAATCCAAACAAGTTGCTTGTAGAAAACAGTTTGATCATTGCATATACCTATATAGGATATTACAGTTGGACAGTAGAAATCTATACACATATACTGTTAATTGTTTCATAAAATAAAAGATGATTTGGTGCAGTAAAAAAAATATTAGTTATGCATAATACTTGTAATCTGCAAGAAAAAAAATTTACCAATGTATTCAACGCGATCCCATAACTTACCAAATGAGTACTCCAAAAGAAAAATGAGCTATATAAAAAAAAACAAGCATATTGTCAGCTATGATATCAAAGAAGTGCTTCTTTACCTTTCTTATCAAAACAAAATCAAGGAGAATTTTTATGTTTGAACAGCTCAACTGTATGGTCCAATTAGAGCATATCGATATATCAATATACACATCTAAAGAATCTTGGCAGCCCCACATTACTCTAGTGAAACAAAACATTTTACTAATAGATTTGGATGATAAATGGCATTTTGTTTTCTGAAGCTTAGATATCATAGGTGGCTATTCCCGCAAAGTTATTAGTGGGTAACGTGTGTGCATTAAAGGCTATACTTTAAAGTAATAATAGTTTGTTAATATTATCCGGATAACTTTTTTAGCTTTATTTCGCTTTCCGTACAACCCGCGGTGTATATGCAGTAACGTCTTTTATATCAGCGTTAACAAGGATTGGATGCTGCTGCTTATATACAGACATTCAAGTCAAAAGGGAGTTCCGGCGGCAATAAAACTAGAAGAACTACCACTATTACTAACAGCAACAGCAACAACAGTAATAATTAAATATTTAGTATATAAGGAGACTTTATTTCGCTTTCTTACTACTACTATTATTATCTTTTTACTTGCGTTTTTTTTTATTACTTATTTAACTTCATCCTGAATTTTCCTTTTCAACCCCTTTCTATTCCACTTTTAATATGTCACTCAATACAAAATATGAGGCAAAGCGCCCTCCGCCTGATATTGAAACCTTTAGTACCAGGGCTGCTAGTCATTTTGACGAAAAAATCGATGATGAAAAAATTCATTCTGGTATCAAAGGTTTAATAGCAAACCCTTATGTGTTTGCTACTGCTATCTTTGCATCTCTCGGAGGTGTATTGTTTGGTTGTAAGTATTTAATATATTTGTGTTATTTTTCAACCTAATATTTAAAACAAAAATCCATAATTTCATAGACGATCAAGGTGTTATTTCTGGTGTTCAGGAAATGGAGGTAAACCATCTTTTTTTTATGAGAAAGAATATATCAAGTATTCCAAGTTAAACGTATGCCATCTATAGACTTTTAAAGATCGCTTCCCAATGTCACCTACTGAGAATGGTTTCGTTGTGTCTATTCTCGAGCTTGGATGTTGGGTGGGTGCCTGGCTAGTTGGTTACTTTGCAGACCGCATCAGCCGAAAGTACTCCATTGTCCTCTTTTCTGCTGTCTTTCTCGTTGGAAGCTCTCTTGTAAGTAAACCACATTATATATATATCTATAGTAGTTTATTATCATTATTATTACTATTCCTCACCTAATACCTTTTTTTTTTTATCTACTATAGCAAGGTGCTGCCCAAAATCTCAGTTATCTTTTGAGTGGTCGTTTTGTTACTGGTCTGGCTGTCGGAGGTCTTAGTATGTTGGTCCCTCTGTACCAATCAGAGATTGCTCCTCCGGAAATCCGTGGATCTCTCGTCTCTCTTCAACAGCTGGCCGTCACATTTGGAATCCTCATTTCGTTCTGGATCGACTACGGAACGGCCAACCTTTCAACAGAAGCACAGTGGCGGATCCCTCTTTGCCTCCAATTGGCCATTGGCCTTGTACTTGGTGTGGGAATTCTCTTCTTTCCTCACTCTCCTCGCTGGTTGATGAGTGTTGGAAAGGAGGAACAGGCCCTCCAGGTCTTATCCAAACTTCGCCGTCTCCCCGACCATCACCCAAAGGTTATCAAAGAATGGCGGGAGATCAAGATCAATGTCACTTTCGACAAGCTGGTCGAGATCGAGACCTACCCCGACTATGTCGATGCCGGAACCTCTGGCCGTTTCAAAATATTCATGATGGGGTACGTGGAGCTGTTCCGCAAGGGTATGCGCAACCGTCTCTTCATCGCCTGTGCCATCCAGTTCTTCCAGCAGTTCGTTGGAATCAACGCCTTGATCTACTACGCCCCCAAGATCTTCCAGTCTGTCGGTCTCACCGGAAGCTCGGTGTCTCTGCTTGCCACCGGTGTCGTCGGTGTCATCAACTTCCTCATGACCATTCCAACAGTCCTCTTCCTCGACATGGTCGGTCGAAAGAAGATGCTCATGATTGCCTCTGTCGGACTCTCCGTCAGTATGATCATTGTTGCCATTATCACCGGCCTTTACGAGGATGACTGGCCGAACCACACTGCCGAGGGGTGGGTTGCAGTTGTATTTGTGTACATCTTCATTGCCAACTTTGCCTACTCGTGGGGACCTATTGGTTGGGTCATCCCATCCGAGATCTTCCCTCTTCGTGCTCGTGCAAAGGCCATGAGTATCTCCACTTCTGCCAACTGGATGTGCAACTTCATCATGGGCATGATCACTCCTCCCATGCTTGCCGGAATTCATTACGGTACATACGTCTTCTTGGCAGTATTCTGTGTCCTTTCCTTCCTGTTTACCTGGTTCTTCATTCCTGAGACCAAAGGTCTGTCTCTTGAAGAGATGGACAATATCTTTGGTGGTGACATGGCCAACTCTGACTCCAATCTCATGTCTCGTGTCAGGGAAGAGGTCCACCAACAGGGTGTTCCAGCTAGGCCTGTGGACACAACCAGTGATTCTCGAGGAGCCTAATTTTCTCCCCTTTCATTTGTTTTCTTTTTTTCTTTTTTCTTCATACTTCTTTATTAAAATCTTTTACTTTATATATTCTTTTATTTTAATTTCCATTAAGTACACAGACACAGACACAGACACAGACACAAAGAAAATATCTGCCTGAATTTGTGTGTGTATATTTATATATATATATTTACTCTTATTTTTTTGTGCCATATCAATATCTTTTTCTCTCGTTTTTTTTTTCCATTTTATATTATACTATTTTATATATTCTTTCTCTTCTTCGCTCTCTTTTTTTTATACATATATTTTATTTCAGCCAATAAAAAAAACACCACAGATCAAGCCTACTTCTTTATTTCTCTCTTTAACTGTGCAATACAATTAAGGGAGCATGTTCCAATCTCAAATATATAAAAAAAGGGAGCTTCTTCTACTTGCTTTGGCTAATCTCTCTCTTTCTCTCTCCTACATATATTCTGCAAATGCATGCAAAGATATGTTAAGTGCATAAAGAATAAAAGAAGAAGTAATCTTCTACATCTTTATATTATATTGTAATCATGAAAATTATGATAGATTTAGATTTTTTGCAAATGCATAAATACATTGTACATATTTTACTATGTATTGTATGTATTGTATGTGTATAAAATTGCATTTGGTGGAAAACATATTGATATATTATGAAAATCTTGGGCAAGAATATATATTTGCACAAAATATAGGAAGGAGATAAAAGTAAAGGTTATAGATTTATTAATTGTGTTTCAATAAATTGAAATATATGGTATTGTACTGTAGTTTTCTCATGGTTTCTATGATTTCGTGCGTGCATGGTAATGGTTAGGTTGTTATGTTGGAGTGTAATTATGCATTCAATCACCAGTAGGCTTCTCGTCATACTCATCGAAAAATTTTCTTCATGCTTAGTTCTACAGTAGCATCTTGGTATTGTTGATATCTAAAACAAGAAAAAAATCAAATTGAAGAATTTAGTCTCTTTTTTGGGCATTTTACATTTCTTTTGTATACACCTCTCCAAAAATAAAAACAAGCACGAAAGTAACATTTGTGATTCTTAGTGCAATTTTTAGTAAGTATGATCGAGATTGGAGGCTTTTTATACAGGTTGAAATATGAAAAATTTGGACAATAGTATTCTCTATCAATCTGAACGAATGGTTTTGTATTTCTTAATAGAAAATATTATTCTTAACCTCTTCAAGGCTAGGTGAAAAATAAATGTATTTTAGTAATAGTTTAAAGAAAATTGACGATGCACTACGGGAAATGAGAGGCGATTCCGATGGTAATTTTGAAAAAGTATCTTAATTATATTTCAAAATCGTCATCGGAATCGCTACTTTTCCTTCACAGTGTTAGTATATAAGATTATTATTTTTTCTTTTATCTTTGTTTATCTTTCCTAAATTTCTTTCTTCCCTTCTTTCACTTTACCCTAAATTCTACTTTTTCAACTCATTTTCATTACACTTTTAAGATGGCAACCAAACGCACAAGTCAAGCTCAATAGACCTATGCCTGACGGTGAAGATTTTAGTACCAGAAAAGTTAACCCATCTGTTGAAAAGTTGATTCTGGTAGCAAGAGTCTTATAAAAAACCGTTTTGTGTTTGCTATTACTATCTTTGTATCTCTTGGAGGTGTATTGTTTTGGCTGTAAGTATTTAACATATTTATGTTATGTTTTCGATTTAATATTATTATTATTTTTTAAAAAAAAGACTCCATAATTTCATAGACAATCAAGGTGTTATTTCTGGTGTTCAAGGAATGGAGGCAAGCCATTTTTTATGAGAAAGAATAAACCTAGTATCCCAATTTAAAAGTATCTAATTTATAGACTTCCAAAGCTCAGTTCCCAATGTAACCTACTGAAGATGACTTTGCTGTGTCTATTCTCGACCTTTGATGCTCGGTGGGTGGGTGCCTAGTTAATCGGTTATTTTACTGATACCATCAGTCGCAAGTACTCTATTGTCTGCCTCTTGCTATTTTCTTTGATGGAAGATCTCTTGTAAGTACAAACAAATATATGCATAGATGTACAGACATTTATTGCTATTATTATCATTATTGCTACCATTTCTCATCCAATAATTTTCCTTTTTCTTTTTTGTCTTCTATAGCAAGGCGCTGCTCAAAACCTCAGCTACCTTACGACTAGTCGTTTTATTACTGATATGGCTATTACCGAAACACTTGCGCTTGGGTTATTAGAATGGAAAATGATGCATGGCTCATATCGAGAAAATAAAGAACCAAGAAAAAATTAATGAAGTTGAGCGAATTCTCTCGTCTTCATTGTAAGATGTCAAAACACAATACTAGAGGCTTTTTCTGCTGCCACGCCGGCTGGGGGAAGAGAGTATTCAAAGCCAAAGTTCCAGTGAGCACGCCATATTGTATGCACAGCAACAGTCACCTGTACAGTTTACGGGTCTGAATTATCCAACCGCAAGAAAAAATACCACGAAGGAGAAGATTACTAGTCACCCTTACATTACATCCCAGTACATGACGAGCTACCATGATATTTCACACATGTGCTTTGGAGAGACAGGAGAAGAAAAGGTATACGGGGTCTTTCAACGGGGTAGAGCACTGCAGAAAAGAAGTGGACAATAAAATGCTTGGAATGATATGATAAAGGCGAGCATGAGAAGGAATACGTTTTTAGATGGCTTCCCACCAGACGCTACGAAAATAATGGGGTAAAAATGTTGCCAGAGCTGCTTTTACCCGATAAATATTAACTATAGCTTTATCAACCAAAGGGCCTATATGACAACAAAAGGCGCCAGTGATAATTCGCGCTAAACGCTTGTTATCAATACAATACTCCCAGAGGCCCTAATATAATGGTCCCTCTGTACCAATCAGAGATTGCTCCTCCGGAAATCCGTGGATCTCTCGTCTCTCTTCAACAGCTGGCCGTCACATTTGGAATCCTCATTTCGTTCTGGATCGACTACGGAACGGCCAACCTTTCAACAGAAGCACAGTGGCGGATCCCTCTTTGCCTCCAATTGGCCATTGGCCTTGTACTTGGTGTGGGAATTCTCTTCTTTCCTCACTCTCCTCGCTGGTTGATGAGTGTTGGAAAGGAGGAACAGGCCCTCCAGGTCTTATCCAAACTTCGCCGTCTCCCCGACCATCACCCAAAGGTTATCAAAGAATGGCGGGAGATCAAGATCAATGTCACTTTCGACAAGCTGGTCGAGATCGAGACCTACCCCGACTATGTCGATGCCGGAACCTCTGGCCGTTTCAAAATATTCATGATGGGGTACGTGGAGCTGTTCCGCAAGGGTATGCGCAACCGTCTCTTCATCGCCTGTGCCATCCAGTTCTTCCAGCAGTTCGTTGGAATCAACGCCTTGATCTACTACGCCCCCAAGATCTTCCAGTCTGTCGGTCTCACCGGAAGCTCGGTGTCTCTGCTTGCCACCGGTGTCGTCGGTGTCATCAACTTCCTCATGACCATTCCAACAGTCCTCTTCCTCGACATGGTCGGTCGAAAGAAGATGCTCATGATTGCCTCTGTCGGACTCTCCGTCAGTATGATCATTGTTGCCATTATCACCGGCCTTTACGAGGATGACTGGCCGAACCACACTGCCGAGGGGTGGGTTGCAGTTGTATTTGTGTACATCTTCATTGCCAACTTTGCCTACTCGTGGGGACCTATTGGTTGGGTCATCCCATCCGAGATCTTCCCTCTTCGTGCTCGTGCAAAGGCCATGAGTATCTCCACTTCTGCCAACTGGATGTGCAACTTCATCATGGGCATGATCACTCCTCCCATGCTTGCCGGAATTCATTACGGTACATACGTCTTCTTGGCAGTATTCTGTGTCCTTTCCTTCCTGTTTACCTGGTTCTTCATTCCTGAGACCAAAGGTCTGTCTCTTGAAGAGATGGACAATATCTTTGGTGGTGACATGGCCAACTCTGACTCCAATCTCATGTCTCGTGTCAGGGAAGAGGTCCACCAACAGGGTGTTCCAGCTAAACCTATGAATACGGCCAATGACTCCCAGAAAACTTAATTTTCTCTTTCTTTCTTAACTTCTTATTAAAATTCTTAGCTTTATATATTATTATACCTTAAATTATATCGAGTACACAAGCACACACCCAAGCACCAAAGAACTAATGGTTTGTCTGCATTTGTGTGTGGGTATGTATCATCACTCATTTCCCATATTGTAATATTATTTATTCTTTTGTGCCATACGAGTATCTTTCTCTTGTTCTTTTTGTGCTCTTATTTACAATTTTTTAAGAAGAAATAGACTACAGATTTAAGCCTACTTCTTTCTCTCTCTTTTTGGTAATGCAATGCAGTTAAAGGAGCACGTTCCAATCTCAAACAAAAAAGGGAGCTGCGTCTGCTTGTTTGGGCTACCTTCTTTCTCTCTCTCTCTATCTCCTACATGTATTCTGCAAATGCATGCAGAGATATGGTAAAGGCAGAAAGAATAAAAGAAGAAGAAGGAATCCTCTACATCTTTATTTTATTTTATTAAAATTACGAAGATTATGATAGATTAAGACTATTATTATTATTATTATTATTATTGCAAAATAGATACGTACATTGTACATACATTGTACATACATTTTACATCATATTTACTTCATTATGTATTATAGTGTATACAGTTTCATTTGGTGGAAAGTAAGTATATTGATTTATTATGAAGAATTGGGGCAAAAAATATAAAATATATATAAATATATATTTGTGTAAAGTATAAAGGGAAATAAAGGTGAAGGATATAGATATGTTGATTGTGTTTCAATAAATTGGAGTATAATATAATATAATATAATATAATATATTGTGTATGTGTGTATATTCTTGTGTTGTAGTTTGTTTGTAGTTTATATGCGATTACATACATACATACATACATACATAGATACATATACATATATATATATACGTGTGTGTGTGTGTGTTTGGTTGGGTGATATTTAGGTGGTTATGTTATGTTGTAGTGTAATTATGTATTTTACTCATCAAGAGGTTGTTCTTCTTCCTCATCGATGTACTCTTCTTCTTCCTCCATGCCTTCTTCTACACTAGCTTCTTGGTATTGTTGATACCTAAAACAGGAAAATCAAATTGATGAAATTTAGTTTTAGTTTTTTAGTTTTTTTTTTTGAAGCACTTTATATTTATTTTGTGCTCCCCTCCCCCGCCCCTTGTTGTGCTTACTCTGACACCAAATCATGCATATTGGACTCAGCTTCTGTGAACTCCATCTCATCCATGCCCTCGCTCGTGTACCAATGCATGAATGCTTTGCGTCTAAACATGAGAGTGAACTGCTCGTTCACGCGCTTGAAGAGCTCCTGAATTGCAGTGCTGTTTCCGATAAAAGTGCCAGACATTTTGAGACCAACGGGAGGAATGTCACACAAGGTGGTTTTGACACTGCTGGGGATCCACTCAACAAAGTAGGACGAGTTCTTCTGTTGGACAGCCAACATTTGGTTCTCAACTTCCTTTGTAGAGAGTCGGCCACGGAAGATGGCCGACACTGTCAAGTAACGGCCATGACGTGGGTCTGATGCAGCCATCATGTTGCGAGCATCGAACATCTGGGCAGTAAGTTCGGGTACACTGAGATTGCGATATTGCTGAGAGGCAAATGCAGTCAAGGGAGCAAAGCCGACCATAAAGAAATGTAGACGTGGGAAGGGCACCATGTTGACGAACAACTTGCGCAAATCAGCGTTCAATTGGCCTGGGAAGCGCAGAGAGGTGGACACACCTGACATGACTGCAGACACAAGTTGGTTGAGTTCGTCATAGCCAGGGTTGTTGAGTTTGAGAGTACGGAAACAGATATCGTACAAGGCTTCGTTGTCAATACAGAATGTGGCGTCACAATTCTCGACCAACTGATGGACAGACAGGACGGCGTTGTAGGGCTCGACTACGGTATCGGACACTTTTGGAGAAGGTACGACAGAATAGGTGCACAACATACGATCGGGGTATTCTTCACGAATCTTGGACAACAGCAGAGAACCAAGCCCGGAGCCAGTACCACCACCTAGCGAATGGCAGAGTTGGAATCCCTGAAGACAGTCAGTGTTCTCGGCTTCTTTGCGGATCACGTCAAGGACAGATTCGACCAGTTCAGCTCCCTCGGTGTAGAAGCCTCTGGCCCATGAGTTACCAGCACCCGACTGGCCAAATATAAAGTTGTCTGGACGGAATAGCTTTCCATATTTGCTAGCACGGATGACATCCATAGTTGCAGGTTCGAGATCTACAAGTACAGAACTGAAAATATTGATTTGATTTGATTTGGGTTTTGGATGAGTGAGTAAAATGATTTATACTTTCAAGCTATTTGTTTTTCTTTAATACTATTGCTATTATTGTTGTTGTATCTACCGTGGGACGTATTTTCCAGTAGAGCCTTCATTGTAGTAGACGTTTATTCTCTCCAACTGCAAATCATTGTCGCCTGCATAAGCACCACTCGGATCAATTCCGTGCTCTTCGCTAATTGTCTCCCAGAACTTTTGGCCAATCTGAAAAATAGAATAAGATATGAAGACAAAGATTGATTGATTAGTTGATTGATTGATCGATTGATTGATTGATTGATTGGCTTATTGACAGTGGGATGGATATTTTGTAAGGACTTACTTGATTGCCGCATTGACCTGTGTATATTTATATATATATGTATGCATGTTAGTGTATGTAAAGGTGTATATGGAAGACGTGGGTCTGGATAGATGAGTGGGAATAAAAGATATAGAGACTGATAACTTACCGGCTTGTACGTGAATGATTTCTCTCATTGTTGAATAATGAAAAGGAAAGGTTAAAAGAAGGATGTAAGAAGAAGAATGGAGAATTTAATTTTTTTTTTTTAATTTTTTTGAATGGTTTATATTTTTTTATTTTTTTTTGGTTCTAATTTTATTAGCCTATACATATATGTCAGTGACCACCCCACCCCATCCTATCCCATCCCATTCCACCCCCCAGCTCATCCCACACCCCCAGCTGCTCTTTTCTCCTTGTTGTCATTAGAGAACCAAAATAAATAAAATTATATAACCCAATAAAAAATAATAGAAATAGTAGCTAATAGTTTATGTAAGGGCAAAAGGGAAAAACCAAAAAAAAAAACCTGTTTCTAATTCACTTTAGTGGGTTGATAACTTTACATCTGTTTCACAATTGCAAAATCTTCTCAAATTAAACCAATTGAGCCCGCACAAGTTTAATCTTGTTGATAAAAAGAAAAAAAAGAGAGTTTCCTCTTGATAGTTCTTGTTACTGTTTTTCTTTAAAAAGTAAAAAGAAGCAGTATATTGAAGAATCAATAAAATAATAACTTGAAGAAGTTCAAGATTATCCATTATATTTCATGTAATAATTGGCTCAACTATATACAGATATGTATGTATTTATGTATATAAATATAAAGAAGAAGAAAAAAATTTTTTTAAAAAAAGGTTCTGGTCTAGTTAACCAAAAACACATCTTTAACATCTGAAATATCTTTTTGTTTTTTGTTTTTCTTTGACCCAACACGTATTAACCACGATGAAGCACAAAAATTCATATCACGCGTCTAATATGGTGGAAGCACCCGATTCCATGTCAAAACTATATTGACATTCAACGTTTCACACAAACACCAAGGAGGCACATATATATACATACAATACACAAATAATAATAATAATAATAAAGCAAATAAATACATTTTGATCCTTGACACTTTTCAACAACACCAGCAACAAGAAATACATATAGTTTTATTTATTTTTTAAGATTTATGTGAATATCTTTATTCACATTTGATCGAATATTCAAAAAAAAAAATTTAACTTTCAAGATCTTTTTCAATTAAATATATATATACAAGGCTTTTCGGCTGGAACGTGCAATGGCAAGACAAGAGAGAAAGAGGAGAGGAGAGAAAGGAAATGAGGGATAAGTTGGGACAAGATGGGATGTAATTGAATTGAATTTGGGGGAGAGAGGAGTCAAAGACCAAGATACACACTACACACACACACAGAGAGAGAGAGATTATAAACATGTAAATAAAATAAAATAATTATCGTCGCATTGACTCGGCCGTAAATAATCCACTCCGATATTTATCCATCCAATAAGATCCAACCTTTTTTTATAGAAAAACCTTTGTTCTTTTTATAGATCATTCTGTTTTTCTATAAAAGGATATTTGTACCACGTATTGCACAAAGTGCATCGCAGAAAAACAATTGGCATTTACACTCCGCACAAAAGTTGTGCTCAAGAATAAGTTTATGAAAGATCCAAAAAAAAAAACTTTAAACTCTTGAGAAAACTTTATACTACAAATACAAGAAAATTAAAATGAATTAGAGCCTTTATAAGTAACTTGGTATATACATATATATATATATATTTGTGTGTGAGTGTGTATGAGAGGTTCTACATAAAGCTAAAAAAAAATTAAAAAAAAATTGTGGCAAGGTGTTATTACATTATATTTTGTAAAGTCGGCTGTTTGTAACAAAACCAAAAACACATATAAATTTAGAAAATTAAATGTTTTTTTCTGTGGCAAAGAAGTTCAATTGATATTGTTGTAGCACCGGAAAGAAAAAATCATACTCGTACTAAAATTTGATTTTTTTTCTTTTCTTTTTTGAAATGGACACATAATAATTATGGGCAATTGTTTTGTGAGAAACCAAAGGGTTAACACATCTTTACTTATCTAATATAAGTAAATATAGTATATATCTGAAAATGATCATAATTGGCTGCGTAAATAAAGATGAGCTTAATAATTCATAACTGGGTGGTTAAACTTGATCTCAATATTTTGCTGTTGCTGCACAAAATGCTTCCTTGTTTCTTTTTCTGTTGTCGATCTAGCAAATCCCATGTGTACATGCACAACAGCTTGTTAGCCTTAAGTACCTTGCCTTTTATGCCTTTATGTTTTATTTTATTTTTATTTTTTTTTACCCCTCTCTCTTTCTCAATTGACCTTTTAAAAAAATTAGCCTTGCTTATTTAATGATGTTCCTTGCAGTGAATAGAATTGTTAAAAAAAAAACAAATGGGTTAAACTTTTAGGTTTCTACAAAGTCAAAGAAGAAACAAAAAGGGGATTAAGAGAAAAGAATAATGTAATTCTATTATACTATAAAAATTAGAATAAGGCTATAGTCTACTTTTTTTTTTTTTTTTTTTTTTACTTTTTAAAAAGATTATTCCAGTTCATTATTCTGCTCCTTCAGTCTTTCTCTTGTTTTGCCTTTTTGTTTTATGCTATGATTTTGTTCTGTATTCCAAATCTTTGAATACACATATACATTGAGTTACACATTGATCTAATAATTTTATTTTCGTTCATTATAATAATGTCAGGCATTTTGGCTTATATTGAGTCGTCAGACTGTATACTCTCCAACGGGTCTGTCATTCCATCATTTTATTCAATGAACAATTGACTATTGCATTAGATAGACTATTGCTCATATTCAGTTTAATTATCACTGCTACATTTATAATAAGCAGTTTGTCTTTATTCTTAAGAAGAATATCTGTTTAACTGCAAATTATATTATCCTAATGCATGCTTCCAATTGAATTTTGAGATACAATGAAAGCAAAAGCGGGAAAAAAAAGGAGCTCTTTTGCTAAAAACAAAAAACGCATATTATTGTTACACAGACCGCACATATCACTATATTTTTATTGAGCGCATAATCGCCATTTAAATCACCGCCACATGTTGCGAGATATAAAAAAAAATATATGTACGACTTAATTCCCGTCTGTCCTACCCTGTCAACGCGTTCTACCCCAACCTATCTCTCTGTCTCTCTCTCTCTTTTTTTTTTGATTACAATTTATTATTGATCCCCATCATCATCATGGCAGCCCTTACATCTGACCCTATTCTTGACAATGGTCTTGGCGTTATTGATCCAGATGTCTATTTTCAAATGAACAAACCTCCTGCAAACCTGCCAGAGTTTGAAGCAAAGCTTAAAGACTTTGTAAAACTCCATGAGGCCAAAGGCAGTCGACTAGTCTTCATTACCGTATGTTTAACAAAAAGAAAATATTAACACACCCATAACTACATAAATAAATGCACCGAAAAAAAAACAAACAAACAAACAAACCAATCAATCGATCGATCAAACGAATATAAAAGTACCCTATATTTTCACTTTAAAGAAGAAGAAAGTAGATTTTGTGCATATCCATTGTATAATATATAATTAGTGTTATTATTTGACAGAATAATAAATTGTATATATATATATTTATATATATATATATTGGGTCCTTTAGAGTGGTGGAACAACAGTACCTTTGGAAAACCAGACTGTTCGATTCATCGATAATTTTAGTAACGGCAACCGTGGTGCAGTTTCGGCCGAGTACTTTATTGAAGCTGGCTACGCAGTCGTGTTTATGCACCGTCAATTTAGTCTACAGCCCTACCAGCGCCATTACACCCAAGATCCTAACAAGGGATTCCTTGATTATCTGGTCCCTCAGCCAGATGGATCAATTAAAGGTAAACATATACATGTGTGTGTGTGTATGTGTGTGTGCGTACAAAAATTAAAGATACTTTAAATATTGACATTTATTTCTTTTTGTGTGTTTGTGCGCTTGTGTACTTGTGTGCTTGTGCCTTGTACCTTATTATTTTTATTGTTATTATTATTTTATTGTTAAATTTATCAGTCGATCCTCAATACGCACCAAGCATGATCAAGGTTTTGGAAAAGTACCAAAAGGCTATCCGTTCCAACCAGCTACTTCTTCTAGACTTTGTTACCTTGCCAGACTACTTGTTTAAATTGCAGGCCGGAACACGTATCCTGGCACAGCTTCAGGAAAGGGCAATGTATTATCTTGCTGCTGCTGTCAGTGATTTCTTCATTCCTTCTCAAAAAATGGTAATTATGATCAATCCTAATAATAATAATAATAATTTAGATAATGAATTGGGAAATTTTGTCTAACGGAAAAAAATGGGAATATGTTTAGAATGAGCATAAGATTCAATCCAGAGAAGGTGCATTGACTCTCACACTTGACCAAGTACCAAAGTTTCTTAAGCCATTAGTCAGTGTCTGGGCTGCAAAGGGGCTTATTGTCTCTTTCAAGGTATAAATATATATATATATAAATACAACAAAGATAAATACAAGCTTTTATATATTCATTTTATTTCTTTATTGATATTCCAATTTACATGTCTGGTCTTAGCTCGAAACCGATGACAAGCTGTTGGTTCCTAAAGCAAGAAATGCCTTGACACGTTATGGCCATCAAGTTGTCATTGGCAATATGCTCACCACCCGCAAACAGACCGTTACCTTTATTACCAAGAACTCTGAAAAGGTTATCTCGCTCTCAAAAGACCAGCAGGCAAAGGATGTTGAGATTGAGAGTGAAATTATACCAGAGCTTGTTCAGATCCATGATTCCTGGATCAAGTCTGGTGCTACTCAAGTGTAATTTCAGACAATATCTAGATAGAATCGATAGATATATCTTTGTATAAAAAGTTTGTCTAGTTCCTTTATCTTTCCCTTTCTTTTTCCTGTTCACAATTAACCATCACTATAACAACCGCTATCAAAAGGAAAGAAAGAAAGAAAGAAAGAAAAACAGCATCCTACTAAATCGAATAATAGAGTACAATAAACAACTCCAAAAAAAAACACATACACACACACACACACAAGGTACATACATTTGTGCTTGTATGTTGTATCTTACTCTTCATCTACATTCCCCTCTTTTTTTTTGCTTTCTTTTTTTTCATCTTTTTTTATTGTTATTATTGTTATTATCTTGATTTATTTTGTGAGTCTTGAGTTCCTCCACCCGGTCGATCGTGGTGATGGCGCTTTGAGGTAGAGTTAAACTTGGCCTCTTCTGCTTCCCGGCGTGGCGGTCTAAACTTAAACTCTGACATGATAAGAATATGGCTGTAAAAAAAAATTAAAGACATTGATTAGCAAGGTAAAAGTTAGATAGACATTATTATTATTGGTTAGTTATTTAATATTGCTACACGTTTACGTACTCGGATGGGAAATGAGCATTTGGGAAACCAACAGCCTTGCTGACATAGTCTTTGTCGATTGCTCCAAGAAGTGAGATGACATCAAGAGTGTTGTTGGAATACCAGATATAATCCAAAACTCCCTTGAATGTGGGTGTATAGTTGGTGAAAGGAAGTTCTCCTATGTGGCTGTAAGAACTCTTGAGAGAAAGTTTGTGCGAGAGTCCGTCGGTGGTGTAGTTTCCATAGATGTGGTCTCCAAAATCGTCGTGATCCTGACGCACTGATCCTTTTGATAAAAATTCGTACACACCCGAATCAGGCACAGAGTTGAAATCACCACAGATAATGGTCGGTAGTTTGGAAGTCGATCCATAGACTCTACCACTACCACTACCATTGCTACTGCCATCAGCAGATGTAGTTGCTGTTGTTGCAGGAGGCTGGAGGTGCTTGGTAGCAAAAGCTTCGATCTGGTCCATCAACATACCGACCTGAACAAGTTTCACATCTGCAAACGACGGGTCCCAATGGATGTGTGAATTGGCTACCAGCACACGTTCAAGTGTGTCCCTGTTCTCCAGCATCGTTAAAATGGCAATGTTGTCTTTGGTCATCACACGGTTGTAAATATCGGCTGTTTTTTTGAAATCAGATCTCTGGAGTGCATGGTAAGTGTATTCGAGTAAAGAGTTTTCAACCAAATTGAATCTATCGTTATCATTATCATTATTGTTATTTTAATATGCAATATACCACACAAATGTATACTTACTTTGATGCCCTATAAAACGTCGCACAGCCATCCACTGCTCGCTGTTCCTTTTCAGACATGGTCCGTGCTCGTGACTTTGGGTAAAATACGCCATCATAGTTGCCTGCTTCCTTGAAGTATTCCACAAGTACGTCCTCGTAAAGAGCCATCTCCACTTCCTTTTATATATATATATATATATATGCATATATATATTGGCAATACCGTATATTGCATATGTATATATTTATATTTTAGCCTATTTTAATTTAACCCAATTCTCCCTTCTTTCCGTCTTCATTTAATTATATACATAACTATAAAGAAATAATAATACAAAAATAAAATAAAACTCACCTGAAGACAGATAACATCTGCATTACAACCACTAATCTCTCTCAGCAAGAGATCTTTGCGATATTCGCCATTGAGTGCCCATGAAGGTGTGTAACCATAAGCTTGACTTGTTGCATATCTTTGAGACAAGATATTGTAACAAAGCACGGTGAACTTGTCTAAAATTTTTGTTTTATTATATATATATATATATTTAAAAAAAACAAACCCAAGCCAAACCAAGCCAATATATACACCCACACCACACACACACATACACACACACATATATATATATATATTAATATATAGATATGTACATATGTGTATTTACCCCTAATAAACTCTGTTTTTTTTTTCCTCTTTTTCTTTTGCCAGATAACCAAAACAGCAGCAGCAACAGCAGCAACAGAAGAAACAGCAGCAGAAGCATCAATAATAGCCTCTTTTTTCTTACCTGATTGTTCTTCAGAAACATCACTCTCAATTGTTTCCCACATCCGTTGAGGAGGCGGCATACCAACTATTAAAGCATACACACACACACACATACATGTATATACCTACATTAATTTGTATTCTTTACAAAGTAATATTATTATTTTTCTTTGGTTCTTTACTTTACCAGGTGCATTTTCTCTCAAGGAGATTATGACGGCTTGAGAACCTTCTTTCATCAGGAGATTCTTTATCTCGGCGTCCATGGGGTTACCTTCCAATCCGAGGGTCTCAAGGTTGTATAGGGTTCCGAGTTCACTTGGTAAGGTTACAAGATTGTTGTCAAACAAAAGAAGCTCTCTAAGTTGGATCAAAAGGCCTAGTTCAGGCGGGATGGCCGTCAGCTTGTTCCCCGACACATCCAATGTTCTGAGATTTACGAGCTTGGAAATTGTGGGTGTGAGATAGGTAACGTTGTTGTGGTTGAGGAAGAGGGCGGTTAGGAAAGTGTATTGACAGAGGGCAGGTGCGATATTCTTGAGACCCATTCCACCCAAGTCAAGCGTAGTCCAGGTCTGGTTAGGGTCGGCGGCCGTAGAAGCAGCCACAGAAGTAGTACGATTACCGTCGTCGGGCTTCTTAGTGTTAGTGCCGTTTATAAAGGGCTTGGCTGGGTTATTGGGGTCCACGATAGTAACGGTCGATGTGACGGGTGCACTGCGAGCCATTGCGGCTGCTGCACGAGCATGATGATGAGGCGATGAGGATTGGCGTGACAGTTGGGCATAATTGAGCTGGCGTGCTCCATGAGGTGTTGTAGCTCCTCCTCCTCCTACTCCTACTCCTCCTCCGCTTCCCAGCGTTCCTCCCAAGTCGCCTGAGGGACTATGGAGGGATCCAAGGGGGCTAGAGAGTAGCGGGGTTGGACTGTGAGGCTGGGACAGCTTTTGCTGAGCGAGGTTCATTGACATAGGGTAGCGTGCAAATGAGTTATTGAACATTGGATGGAAAGTACCAGAAGGTGAGGCAGGTGTGTGAAAAGGTGGTGAGGGGTTGTAGATATGCGTCTGCTGCAAAGTGTGGAGAGCGGTAAAATTGTTGGTGTCTTTCTCCTTCTCAAAGGACATTTGGAGATGAGGAAGATTCTTTAGGCTTTACAATCGATGACCGCACTTTTGAAGCATAAAGATCGTTCTTTCGCTTAATATATCTTTGTATATACTTTCTTTTTTATATATGTGTATATATATATAATGGTTTGCTTGTTTGTTTGTTTGTTTGTTTGTTCGTCCGTGTGAATGTATAAATGTGTAAATGTGTATATATACTTGTGTATATGTATGTATTCAAGTAAAGACTTTTTTTTAGTCCAAGTAGACTTTAATGAATCAAGAAAACCTCAAGCAAGAGAGAAAAAAAACGCAAGATAGTTTTTTTTTTAAAAAAAAAAGATTATTATGATAGCACAAACTAAAGTGTGGCTTGCAAAAGAGATGTAGAAGGAAGGGGTGCTTCTTGACGAATAAGCCAACTTCTTGCGTGTGTCAGCTTTCCCTGTGTATAACCGATTGGCACGCTCTCCATGCGTGACGTCCTTTAGAGGAAGCGTCACCGTCGATGAAAAGGATTTACTTTTGCTGGTTAACTTTTTTATATAGAGGTTATATGGATTTGAATATCCGAATAAAAACACCTTCTATTTTACAACACACACACGCATCATTTATATATATATATTTAGTATATTTATATTTAGTATATGAATGAATACGATAATAATGACCAAACTTATATCCAAATACATAATGAAGAAATAACATAATCTGTACCCACTAGAATATACGCATATTCATACGTACTCTTTTGTCTTTATACAGCTGGTTAATAAATAAAGAATATAATTAGAGGGGCGTGGTGTATAGCTTACAATAGAAGCAATTGTTTTTTTTTAAAAAAAAAAAAGAAAAAGAAAAAGAAAGGGAGAAGGGGAAGGGGCAGGAAAGATGTGTTCATTGGCCTTTGTGGATCCTCTCCGCTCACTTCAAAAATGGCTGGAATGACGGTGACACCAAGGAGTTCGTCTGCACAACCGCCCTTTCCATTTGCTTTGCTTTATCTTTAGGTCATTGTATGAATATTATACATATATGAAATATCAATCTTACTTGACATTAATATAAGCAGTTACATTTAAATCAATAAATGAACGACTTAATGGCTGATTGTTATATTAAACAATAAGTCTAAAAATCAAATTAAATCATATATTTTAGCATTCAATTCGAGTCATTGATCAACACACTATAAAGGTAATTTTGGTCGTGTGTTGTTTCAGCCAAGTTTTGGTTCGCTGATTATAGCATTATCTTTAGATTATAGAGAATATAGGAAGAACAAAAGAAAGGGAAAAAACTGGGGTCCGTAACACTTCATTTTAGAATACACAAGTATAAAATGAAAGAAACCCAAAAGAAATATTGTGGGGATCAATTTTTTTTTTGAAACAACCCTTTCTTAAAACTGATAGGTCAAATAAGAATAACCTCCTTCCTCCTCTTACTTACCGAACATTGATTTGTCCGGAACGGCTGTCCGATACCGCTGTCCGGCAATTTGTTCTTCTCTGACCCAAAATGAACATCTACATACATTTGTATGCATTTATTCTTTATTTACTTATTTAATAATAATAATGTTCATAGCACTTTAGCGTATTATTCTAAAGACCTTATTAACCGCTGGCTATCAAGTCGAAAATCTCTTATGTATTTACAGCGCAACCTCATAAACCCTAATTGAAGATCTTTTAATAAATTACTATCAATTTCCTCACTCATTTCTTCCGCTTCAGTGCTTTTTGATAATCCAAAATGATTTTCAACAAATTCTGTTTCGTCCTCTCCAAGTTGTCGTAAACATCTTCTTTCTTCCTCTCCGATCACAAGAGGCTGATAATATATCCACATCCGCCCATTGGCTGGTTGGCTAAACCGAGTCTCCTGGGGTTTGCGTACATTGACATTGGTAGAAGAAATGTCGGCAGAATTCGATATAGAGCCTAGTAGTTCAAGTACTATCAGATAAACAGTGTCTCGAGATGAATTCACCAGAGCCATCCGCTCAACAGTGCTGTAAAGATCAGTATTGAGCGAAAAATGCGTGAACTTGAATTCCAGTGAATTGAATCCTGTATGTGGCATATCCAGAACAACTTCCTTTTCATCACTGTCATTACTGTCATCAGATGGCATCCTTTTCACCTTTACATAGCTGAGTGACAAATTCGAAAGACTTTTACAATGTGTTGAGATATATTCAAATACGTTGGTACCAACTGTTGAAGACCAGAGCGAAACCTCCTCAAGACAGTAGTCCTGCTGCTTGTGAGCATGGACCTCGCTTTCTGAATTAAGCTTTACCGAGCCACCTCTGAGTACAAATGTCTTTAAGGAACTACAGTTCCTCAAGAGGAGATCAAGCTGTATAACCCCGTGTCTTGCCCCAACTTCTAGCTTAACAAGCCGGGGACAAATACCGAATTTCAATTGAGCCCCAATCTGGTGATCGTCTTTTGACTTGATAACAATGTGAGCACTTCGGAGTGTATTGGAGCTAAATCCAATTGAACGGCTGACTTCTCCCTGAGGTAGATCTGAAATATCATCTTCAAACCATACAGTGTAAATAAAATGGTCTAGTGATCCAACAATCTGATAAAGACTCTTCCAGAATATATCAGAGTCTACTGAAGATTTGATCCTTTGCTCCATTGTAACAGTCTTTAGCCGAGAAAAATTGTAGGACCAGGAAGAAACTTGTCTTATTTCATCTGGATTTGTGGTTCTCTCTATATATGAGCCAGAGCACCGTTTTACTTGAGAATAAAGAGAATCTATGTTTGGATATTTTAGTGAAAAGTAGTAGAGCCATCCGATATCCATGTTGTGGTCGATGAGTTTCAATTGTGTTATCAAACTGGCTGGAGTGATAGACTTTATATATTTGATATCACCAGGCTGCACTCGGTTCATGGGTATATTTGTGTGTAGGTTGCGGAGTCGTGGCAAAATAGCATGAATTGATTCCAACATTTGCCATGTGTAGGATCCAACCTCTTCCATATAGGTCTCTACAATTCTCAGCCGTGTGAGACGAGGCAAACAACCCAAGATCTTGAGCATTTCTTCTCTGCGTATTTCTAGACTAACATCTGGCATAAATAGGTCGAGTTCTGTGAGGGATCTCCAAAGATTCCAATCAGCCGTCTTTCCGAAATCCTGTTTTCCCAAACTGTATTGTTGAAACGATAGGTGTCTCAATGCGCCAAAGGTTTTCTGTAGCGTGTAAAGCTTCTGGTCGTTGAGCTTATGAAATTCCCTTACAGCTAAGCTTTCTACAAGATATCCGTTTTTTTGGTAGACATTATTCTGAAGATCGCATGTACTACATATATTGGCGAGCTTGGTATAATCGAGGTCCAGTATGTTCCATAAAGAATCTTGAAATGGCCGTGTCCAAGCTTTACACACTCTAGTGCATTGAAGCTTGTCCCTGTTTGTCATAAAAGATGAAATCTCTGTCAATATTTCGAATGGCAATCGGAAGATCATCTCAGTAATTAAAAAGAAAGATAAAAAGAGAAGCAAGAAGAAGGGGCGTTGTATAGCCAGCAAAGTTAATTAATAAATAAATAAAGCGATCAAACCATTTTGTGCTGCGCGTTATTTAGAGTGACAGGATCCAAAAATCATGTGAAATATACGAAGCGCAAGTAAGAAAAAGAGAGAAATAAAGAAAAGAAGAATGTAAACCTTAAAATGGTGCTCATATTCCCACACTAGATTAACTGTATTCTAGAAAGAAATAATTGGATTTTTATTCAAAAAGTATTTACATGAAATATTATTAAAATTACCAAGTAAATTTAGATGGCTTCTTGTATTAAAAGGGTTGGAGTTGACGCATTTTTTATAATAATAGTAGTAGTAAGTGCTTATAAAGAAAATATTGCATACCACGGAAGCTTTATATCATGGTCAAACAAAGATTCATTAATGATATAGTTGCCGACATATCCACATCGCAGCAATAAGTAACCTCGTCCTAGATCCTCCTTCCAAAATGGTTTCTTCACCAACCCTCCCGGAAACCTGGATTTATATGTACAAGGGGTTGATCCACTGTTTAAGGCAAAGTATTTGAAATAGTTCTCAGCAAAACGAGTTTCTTGTCTTTCGAGCATCCGTGCTTCTTTCTTTTCGTTATTAATTGTCGCCTCCCAATATTGATGAAACCACAATCGTTTGTCTACAGTTGTCGGAGGCACGTTTTCAAATAAGACTACACTGTCTGTACAGCTGGCGTGTTTTGATTTAGAATGAATTCTTTCGATAGCTATCAGATTCACATTGTATTCTTCGTATTGCAACAAATCGTATTCATCGTCGTCTTCGTCGTATTCATCATATTCATCATTATCATCCAATAAATCAAATTTGACTCCTTCGAGATTCAAGACATCAAAATGTGTGTAGGACATATCAATACAGAAAACACCTGTCTCCGGTGCTATTGACACCGGTACCCTGACAGTCTGTAGTCTCAGTTTACTCAGATGCCAGCAGCGAGAAGATGTATATTTGAAAACGTCTGCGTCAATGCTAGACATGTAAAGTTCTATTGACTGTAATCCGTGGTGGACTACAGGCTTGGAAGGATCAGAGCTTAGAACAATCCGTTGATCTCTGAATCTGACCTTGTTGAGGAGCGCACAGTTATCCAAAAGAACATCGAATTCTATGGCTGCGTTGGAGACTTCCATTGTTAGATCCACCAGACGAGGACATATTCCGAGGTTTGTGAAAAGGATACTTGGGATACTAAATCTGGATTTGACTCTTAAAATTAATTTTTCGAGAGTTTCTGAGCGAAAACAGATTGCGTCTCGTACAGTGTCTTTTTGTTGCCCACTCACAGCATCTTTTAGTTGAAGGTTGTATTCTAATGATTTAACGGATCTAACGAGCTCATGAAAAAGTCTCCAAAACGCGTCGTAATGTAGTCCTTGAATCACTTCTTGACGCAGTGTCACTTTTTTGATTCGTGAAAACTGTTGTGAGACTTCAGGTACTGTATCTATTGTTTCGTCGTTTTGGGTATATTCTTCCAACTGGTTTTTGTATATTGCCTTTGCGTTCAAGGTTTGGATATTTGGATATTTCATAGCAAAGTAAAACAGCCATTCGTGATCCATGTTATGCCCGAGAAATTCTGCGGAAGCCATGTGTGTTGCTGGAATAACGTCTTTGATCAACAAGACGTCTTTTGTTGGAATTGGATGAAGAAATAGATGCAGTCTTAAATGTTCAAGCTGTGATAAGTATTCGTGTATTGACTCTAATGTTTCCCATGTGTAGGGCTGAACCCTATAACTATACTCTTGCGCAAGATCCAGTCGTTTGAGGCATGGTAGAAACGATAAAATATTAAGGAGTTCTTCCTTTTGATTATCCAAAGTCAATGCTGGCATAAATATTTCCAAATTTATCAATGATTTCCAGAGACTCCAATCAGCCGTCAGTCCAAAATCTTCTTTTGTCAAACTACCGAGTGGCATGTGCACGTTCTTTACTCGCTGGAAGTACGTTTGTATTGTGTGAAGTTGGCTATCATTCATTCGGATCATCTTTCTGAAACTCAAGGTCTGAACACGGTTGCCGTTGGCCTGATAGATATTTTTTTCAGTGTGAGATACGGTACATATGGCTTTCAGTCTTTCGCTAGTCTTAATGTTGACTGTCTCCCATAGAGTGTCTTTAAATGGTGCATTCCAAGCTTTGCAGACTGTTGTGCAGACTAATATGTCATCCGTAGAAATAAATGTCGAGATAATTCCAAGGATTTCGAATGGCAAGACATTGGTCAACATGTTAAAGGAATGAAAGGCGGGTGTGTCTGCCAACAAACACCGAGAGAGAGAACTTTATTCTCCCCGTACAACCCTAAGCCTCTGAACTTTAATAAAATGAAAGGCAGCATACCTGAAGATCGCTTGCAGGATTTCAGAAATCAATTGGTAAGAGCGTCTTTTGCAGAATTTCGATTCGCCTTTTTTTTTATATATGCTTATATATATATATATATATAAGTATAAAAATAAATAGAAAGTAAAAGGAGAAGAAAGGTTTATGATAATTAAAAAAAATGGCTCGCCTGTATAAAAATTTAATGCTACAAGAACTGAACATTGTGGTCAACGTCAACACTCTCAATAGAATATTGACCAACGTATCCACATCGTAATGTTACGTGTCCTCGTGAAAGGTCTTTTCTCCAACAGGGCTTCTTCCGTATATCAGAGTCACAAACAGTCTCGGCTTTTTTGTTGGTATTCCATATGGATGATAAAAAAGCTGTATAGTAATCCCGGGCAATCATGGCTTGTTTTTTGTCAAGAATTCGCACTCTACGGCACATGGTGTCACTTTGATCTTCCGAGAAAAGGTGAAACCATAGTCTCTGGTTAACTGGGGGTAACATGCTAGTTAATAAAGTGAGCCCATCGTCACTGTGTACAGCCTGTGGTGTAGCATGTATTCGTTCAATGGCGAGTATTTTCATACTGTGTTTCTTGTCGCGATAGGTCATGCCATTGAGCTTTAGCACTTCGAATTGAGACCAGCTCATGTCCATAATAAGATTGCCTGTGTATTGGGGTGTTGATCCGTATATGTTAACGTAGCTTAATGTCATGCTCCTCAGTCTTATACAGCGACGTGAAATATAACCAAATGTGAGTGAGTTGACTTTTGAGAATTCTATAAATATAGTCTCTAGACAATGCTTTTTTGGTATTTCAGAGGTGTCCCGGGAAATTCTGACCAACACATCATCCAGTTGGATATTTTTCAGGGCAGGACAGTTATTCAAAAGAACGTCGAGCTCAACCACTGTTTCAGGTAATTTCATCTTTAAGTCCACTAATCGACTACATACACCAAGCTTCATCGAAAGATTAAATTCATCCTTGCAGGGAAACTTGATAAAAAGGTCGAGATTTTCGACTGAGGCTGATGAAAGCTGTACACACTCGTCTAAAACTCCTTGAGGCTGTTCAGAAACCAGGTTGGTGAAATGCAAGATGTATTTCATATCTTTAACATGTTCAATAAACTGCTGAAACAACTGCCAAAACATGTCATGTCGTTTACTAACCACCGCAGTCTGGCAAATTTCTATAGTCTTGATGTGAAGAAAAGCATCTGGCAAAGTTTTCAGAAGCGGGGTGGTATCGTAATTCTGAAAATCATCTTCAGGTTGGTCCACTCGGCAACCTTCCAAACTCAAGATAAGCTTTTCTAGCTTTGGGTATTTTAGAGAGTAATATATTAACCAGCCTATGTCCATATTGGTACTGCTAAGCGTCAGGTCAGTCATACAGTCTGCTGGCACGACCTGTTTGATTTCTGAGATGTCTTTTGCGAGAACTGGTGAAAAAAGAAGACTGGTGACTAGATATTTAAGTCGCGGTAAGCTGGTGTGAATAATCTCCAGCGTCTTCCATGTGTACCTGTTGTCCGCGGTGTACCTTGTTTCTATAAACTCTAGTCGAGTAAGAGAAGGAAGACAAGGAAATACTTTGGTCATTTCTTGAGTAAAAAAATCTGAAAATGGGCATAGTATGAACATTTTTAGATCAGTTAATGAACTCCATTGACCCCATTCTGCCATGGTTCCAAAACATTCTTGAGTTAATCGAGCGTCCATGGTATTGAGAGACTTTAGCTGGGTGAAGCATTGCTGTAACTCGTGAATCTGTCTCTGGCGAATTTTGAGGTTTCCACATATTTGTAATTCACGCACACGATGTCCATTTTTCTTGTAAATGTTTTCTTCATTAGGGAGGTAGATGATTAACTTTAGTAATATTCGATTGATCCTCAAACTGTGCCACAAAGAGTCTTGGAAAGGCGTTTTCCATGCTTTACATACGGTCGAGCACTCGGACCTTTTGAATTTTGGGACAAAGCTGGCAATAAGTGCCAAGATCTCAAATGGTAATCTTGATGCTAGCATAATGAGAATATAAATAAAGAGTCTTACGCAGCTGCAAGCAAGGTTTTAGTTACACTCTCGAGATATACATATTGTACTACACAAACAGATTAGGCCACACGATACGGAACACAAGTTTAATTGGGAGTTTTTTTTTTAAAAAAAAATAGCTTAACCTACAAAGATCTGATCTTATTTTCACATGCTCAACGAGACTTTGTACAATGATATTCAATATAATTAATGTATTCAATACTCTATCAATTATTAAAGTAAAATCTTAAATCTTTATTATATTATGCTATGTTCTGAAATAAGGCAGGTTATTCCTGTTCGTCAGCGTGAATAGAGTATACTTGAACATGTCTACATTGTAATTTAGTATACAAATTTGGATTATAGCTATCTAATGAATTTTTTGAAAAGTCGGTAAGAAACTTGTCTTCGTATACAGTCAATGTCTTTTCGGAAATAGAAGAGTCCTTAAGAAAGTCTTGAACCAACCGGATTTCAGGACTTTTAAGAATCCTCATCTTTTTGTTCTCATACATAGTACGGTGGCGGTAAAACCGCGTCTGCTTGTCGTCAATTGACTGTAGATGATCAGACTCCTGGTTTTTTGGATCCTTTTCTGGGTGGGTCTGTTCGATGACAAATATGCTTGTTGAAGAGACTTTAAGGTATCCAACTCGGTCGGATTCTCTTATTTGAGCGTGAAATCTTACATCGTGCATGCTTAATTCCTCAAAATTTGTAAAGGACATGTTGATATTTAAGTGATTTTCTAGTTCAGATATTGTTGCTGAGATTACTGTGTTCATCAAGAACATCTTTGTTAATTTTCTACAGCTGAAAGAAAGATGTTCGAGTACTTCTGACCCGATTGTCGAATGTACTATGATTATTTTCTCCAAGGCATGGAAGTCTGGGGTATGTGATACGTGAAGAGTTAAAGTGATAGACTTGGCCCTTAGTCTCAGAATTTTCAGAGATATGCAACCGGTCAAGACAGCGTCAAGCTCAAATACTCCTTGGCTTATATCCAGATCCAGAATATTTAGGCGAGAGCACATGCCGAACGATATTGGAGCTTGGTATACAATTGTTTCAGGAAGTCTGATATTTAGTATGAGTTTTTCGAGAGAGCCTGAATTGAGCTCAAATGAATTACTCGATAGCTCTATTGGACCATCATTTGTTCTGCAGTTAGACATCAAGACAAGATTTAAGGATTCGATTGATCCAGCTAGCGGTTGTAATACATTCCACAATATCTGGTGATATGGACCGAGAGTAAAATTCTGTTTTAACTTGGCTGATTTGAGGCTTTTAAAACAGCCTTTTAAGCGAGATAGAACTGCTATAGCCTCTTCTGGGATTGATTGCTTGTTCACAATTTTTCTGAAGCATTTTTTTGATTCAAGTATTGATAGGTTCGGATACTTTAAAGCAAGATAAACTATCCACCCGAAATCCAGATAATGACTTTGAAACTTGACGGTAGTAATACTTTTTGCTGGTCTAACGTTCATAATTGATTCCATGTCTTTAAAGTCTACACCATCCAAATAAAAATTGAGTTCTAGGTGCTTGAGTCGCGGCAAGTATTCATGAAGTGTTTCTAGCATTTCCCAAGTGTTTGGAACTAAGGGTACAATTCTTCTGTCTAGTACATTCAAGAACGTAAGATTTGGTAGACAATGTAAGATCTTTAATAGTAAGACATTTTCACAAGTTGAGTCGTATTTAGGCTTATATATTACTAGGCAAGTCAGCCTATTCCAAAGGTTCCAGTCAGCCATGCCACCAAAGTCGTATTTGCTCACAGTGCCCATTTGCATGTCGAGTTTCTGTAAGTTTTGAAAGCAATGCTGTAATTTGTAAAGATGTTCATTACTGATTTCCAGTGTTTTGGACCAAGTTATTTCTCGTACACGATGGCCATTCTTTGAATAAATGCTCTGTGAATTGTCAAATGCATCGACAATGTTCTCCAGTTTATCCTGATTGATTTTTAGACTGTTCCACAAAGCCATTTGGAATGAGTTCATCCAATTCTTGCAGACGATTGTACATTGTAACTTGTCTTTAGTTGTAATTAATGTAGAGATTATGGTGAGAATTTCTGGAGGAAATTCAGACGGTAGCATTGAGAGATAAAGAATGTATATATGTATGTGTTTTTACGCAACAGATAATGTGGTCCTGAGCCAAAGTCTAAAAGCAAGTGTGTCAAGATTTATTTTCCCAAATTTGGGATTTCAAAGTAAGGGGAAGAAAGGATTGTTTTATTGATGTATAATATTATCAAAGTTTTTCTGGCATATGGTCTTCTGCCATGGATATATACAAAGGGGGTAATGAGGGTAGTGGGTGGAGGAGAGCTTAGCTTCCTTTTACTGGTTTTCATAATCAAATAATAATAAGGCTGGGATCCCAAGAACCATCTATATGTACAAGATGCGTTTAATAATTATATTTCAATTTAACTACTTGTTCTGGATTGTTCCATGTATATAATTCAAGCAAGTTAAATACCAAACTTTAGAGTGCACACACACACACATATATATATAATCTAGACTTATTGAAGTTAATATATTCAACCATTATTTGTTTATTTTTTTTATTTGGTTTGATGATTAATATGTAATAGATTATGAATTCATTTAATAATCTCATCGTAATACATTATAAACACTATATTCAATTTAGCGCAAATCTTGTAAATGTAGTCTAGATATGTTACAGTAAAATAAATAAATAAAACTATAATGAATTTTCATAAAGTATCTATATTATTATTCTTTGATAAACTAATATAAAAGCATATAGTTAACTTATTCTCATAAAGCATATTCATATTCCTTAAAGAGTTGATAATAATATTTTTTAAAAGAAAAAGAAAACAATGTTTACATTAAGCAAACCAAAAAAAAGAAGAAGAGAAAAAAGAAGAACTAGAAACATGGCTTGTTCGAGAAAGAGAAGAAGAAGAAGAGTAAAAAGAAATCCGCTATGTGGGTGTATTTTTTGTACATGTATATATATATATATATGTGTGTGTGTGTGTGGGTGGGTGGGTGTGTAGGTGTGTAGGTGTGTAGGTGTTTGAGTGAGTCCTTGAGTCCTTGAGTCCTTGAGTCCTTGAGTACATGCGTGCGTGCGTGCGTGTGCTCTTGAGTGAGCGAGTGAGCGAGTGTGTGAGTGTGTGTGTGTATGTATGTATGTATATATGTATGTATGTATGTATGTATGTATGTATGTATATATGTATGTATGTGTATGTATGTATATAGTTCTTGTGGTGATTGATGTCCATATCATATTTTGATTCCAGGGATTCATACTTCTTTTTTTTTACACGCCTTGGTTTATTATTTACTTTCATTATAATTAGTATGAGTACTGGTTATGTGTCTTTCCAGGTTGAACTTGCTAGAATACGATTTAGCGCACGTATCGCACTTCCATTTTTGTCTTTCGTCATCATGTTGTTCAATGTGCCTTGTATAGTTGCTCTTTCGACTGCTCATATATCCACACTCACTGCAATTAAATTTTTTGATTGGTGGTCGTAAAATGTTCTTGTCACTTCTTCTTTTAATCCCTGCGCCTATTCTTGTAGTTTTGTGCTTTTCTGCTCTAAGGTCTCGATGTGGATTTGATATACTGTCAGATAGATTCATCAATTTGATTCTGTCATGATAATCTGTATTGAACAAATACTGCTTCTTTTCATACTTGGCTTTTCGTTCTGCTTTTAGGACTGTATTTAGGACTGGGGAAGTTTCGGATGAAAGAGAGTAAGGCTGATCTAAGGAGGGTGTTGGGAGAGCTTCGTCTAGATGTGTTCTGATACTGGGCGAGGTTGGCGCAGTGGACGAAAATAGTCCCGCAGTATATTTTTGGCTATTGTACATTGGTGGTTTGGAAATGGGCTGATCATACTCCAATACATGAAGAGGGACCTTGCCTTGTTTTCTATTGACGGGCTTCTTTTCTGATGGGATCGGACATGTACTTGATGAGGTTTTTTGGTGATCTGAATAAAATGTCTTTTTTGGAGATGAATTACTATTTTCTTGATATAACATCACGGAAATGCTTTATAGGAGACATGTATAAAATGAGAAAAGATTAACAATAGCATACTAGTTGCAGCGGGAGGAGCATTTTATCTTTTTTTTTTCTTTAGTCTGACGTGTTACCAATCATAGTTGAGAATTATATAATACTCTTTATAAAAAAGGCCGAATGTCCTTTTGCTCCTCTTTTAATATACAAAGCTAATCCAGGATTATTTTGAGTAATTGGACGAATGTACCTTTAAAAATGCTCTTTGAATCAGACTATATTTTTCAATAATACAGATATATTTATATATATATATATATATACATTACTTAAGCCTTCAATCTCATTGAGCCTTTAAATTATCCAAATTCCACTTTAAGTACCGAGGAAACAAATAGAAAAAAAAAAGGGAAAAGAAGAGGGTGTATAAATACAAATACAAATATATATATGATTTCTATTTAAACAACAAGAGATCTTTTACGATCTTTGAAATCAATAGTGTTAGAGGTATAATATGTTCTGTATGCACAAACATTAAAATAAACCAAAATAAAGATAAACGCCTTTGTGCATAAGACTTCTTGTTAGAGACTGGTACATATATTATACTTAAAATCACTAAAAGGAAAATTCAAAGACATTGATGGTATATTCGAATATTTCACATGTACTATTTGACTTTTTACACTTAAAGAGTGACCATGAATACTATAAGGTATGTGTATTTTAGTATAGAGATTGTTTAGAATAGAGGAGTTTAACTAAAATTGATTTTATCTTCTAAACAGATCATTCTAACTGATAAAAGGATGACAAATCAGATGCCATTGATTGTATCAGTAAGCATAGATTCTTCTTTTCACTTGTTTTATTTTTTAAAAATAGGTCTAATAAGCCTACCATTTTCTTTTGTATTCTAGGATTTATAATGTATTAATAAACGGATGACTATTTCAAAAGGTGTATATATTTTACTTATTTCGCTCGCTCGCTCGTTCTCTATCTCTCTATCTCTCTCTTTATATCTAATATATCTAATATATATATATATATATATATGGGTACATTTGCTTCTGCGCCACATATTTTATATCGGATAATAGCTTTCAAAGGTGAAATATTAATTAGTAAAATTAGAGAGTGCTTGTTGTCTTTTCTTTTAAAAAAAAACTATTAGCATATTTCTAAAGAATATCGATATACCTGAACAAACTAATTTTTTTTTGAATAATCAATAATTTCCCAGTTTCATCCTTGCCTTAAATATGTCATTTGATGAGCTAATACCTTTTTATACTTTATATATATATTATTGAATATTACATATGCAAACATATTGGTTTTATCTTTTAATTACTTTTGTAAACTTGAGCTTTATTGAGCGAAAATTGCGTTCTTTAATAATAATAACTAACAACTAACATAACACTAGCAATAACAATAACAATAACAATAGGAATTCTACCATAAGTTTATTTCCAATTTAAAGACGAAGAAAAAAAAAGAGAGTTTGTTAACATGATTTCAATAGGATCAATCTATTTATAATAAACCAATACAATGGTAAAAGACACTTCATTTCATAATCTTCACAGATATATGTAATTGGTACTCATATAATCATATCACCCATTAACTATTCAGATAATTAAGATATACGCGGTTTATTGGCTGATTGCCACCTTTACTCAAACACTTGAGACCATACATATCCATTTTTGCCATAAAGCAAAAGAGAATATAAAACAAAAATAATAATAAAAAGCCACTGTTTCAAGACCAAAAATAAGAGAGAGAGAGAGAGAGAGAAAAAAACATAATACAACAATAGTAATATCAAGGTTTCCAGGTTTAGCTATACATAAGCCCTATACCCAATACCGTATGTATACCAAGAAAACAATTATATGTGAGCTCTTTATTGGTAATTATTGACTATAGAGTAAATACTAATATCTATTATGTTTTTTTTTGGCGCAGTAACTTTGTATTCTTTTTTTTTGCACAGTTAAAATACATAAAAAAAAACAGCAATACCATTGGATATAAGGCAACCGAATGTATAGAATGTGGTACATATACTAGTTAGTATTCATAGCGCAGCCATATGTACAACATTCAATGTAGCTATGCTATGATGGTATTCGATCTATAAGTATAATTAAAAACAAATACCCGATACGATGAGCTTATAACACAAAGATTCAGACTTACGGGAAATTGTTTTATTCTCAAGAGTCTTAATATAAATCTGTATATTTTCTAGTGCAAAAAAAACAGTTTGGGATTACTAAAATAGCTCTTCAGGCTAGAATCCAGTTATGTAATAATGTCTTGGATTTATATACCACATCAAGATACCTTTAGTTACACCTAAGGGATCTTTTATTATCATTTTCTCTACTCTTCTTGTGTAAAGTACAAAAAGAAAAAGATCTGGACCAACTATAACTATGCTCCTCATTAATTCGAATGGACTGCAATGTAATGTAATGTAATGTAATGAGAGAAATAAAATAAAAGAGTCCCAGTGAATTCTAATTACAAAATAAGCTTATTATTTCTGCATGGCTTACTCCTCATGTATAGTATGATTTTAATGACCAAATAGTGCTCGGACTAGCCCGAATATCAATTTACAAAGTGTGGCGCTGGGAATATACTCGAAAAATACTTTATTCTCTTCCTTTAATAAACAGAGATATTGGTAATACATATCCGTGTATAAAATAAGATCAATAGCATGTGTATAGTCCTTTTATTTCAAGCATAAGAAACTTTGGAATATAAAAGGCAGTAAAATACTCTCACGGCAATATTTCAACCTGAGTTGTCATATATCTTGGCCAAGAATGTATTTATTGAAAAAGAAAAAGAAAACTACTTACCCAGTCTGACTAGAAATATATACATATATATTAGGTATGAAACAAGAAATCAAAGAACAGCTAGATCTTTATTTAAGTGAAGAAAGACACGATACTTTTGCTGCCTATTTACTGTTTAATTTCTTCCCAGTACTATTGAAAGTAATATATCATTTTGGACAATAAGAACAATAAACTTTTTTTTTTTAAAAAAAAAAAACCTATCTGTTTCCTTTGATATTAAAATAATTGTAAACATTCTCATGATACTAATTTCCAAGCAATTCTTTTATTCAAGATAATATGCCTCTTAAAGTATCAAATAAATAAATAAATATCTAATTGCATCATGTAATAAATACCAATTGGTATATTCTTACACAATACACAAGCGGATTTTATAGTTAAAAAGAAAAGGGATCCTAATATTGTCCTTAATATAAATTATAAAACAAATTGTCATCCTTGTACTTTCATGAGGAGCACAAGTAGATTGTTTTAGAATATACTGATAAGAGCTCATAACATGTCCCAGAACTTCTACTAGAGCGACTGATCAAATGGGTTTTTCTTTTAAACTACTTTAACTACCAAAAAGGATATGTATAATTCGGTTGGTATTTTTCTTTTGTATCGTTATAGTTAGGTTGGTAAGTAAATTTTGTCAGTTTGATAAAAAAATAAATAAATGCCTGGCAGCAAAAGAAGAGCATTTAATACCCAGATGTTTTTTCATACTCAGGATCAAAGAAAAAAGAAGAAAAAACTGGTTGCGATAGTACCTGCCTAAATTGGAATCTCCGATAAATTGCGATTGTACCCTCCTAGAATGTGCTTGTGCAACACATTATTTTCACAACTTTGTTTTAAATAAGAAAAAGTGGGGTTGGAAGAAGAGTAGATATTAAAAAAAAATTAGCTTTTAAAATAGATATTCTATAATCTTTCCAAAAAGAAGTAGTTCTGTAATATTTACACCATGATAAAAAAAAGGACTTTAATACAATATTCCTGTTGTTGTTTTTTATTAGAGGTATATATCTGACGATCTATATAGCATTAAATTTTAGGTCAGTAAAGATGCTCTATATTACAAAAACAAAGTGGTTAATAGTTATAAATTGTTTATAGTCTGTTATTTTCTGTAGTGTCTACATTAATCATACTATATCCGTCATTTCGGAATATAGATCTTTGCCTAAGCCGAGATACTTTATAGCTTAGAGAACCTGGATTCTATTCAACTTGTGAACAAAATTGGCTCTGAATATACAAGAAAATATTCCCAAAAAAAAACTAATTGCCAAGACAAATATGATTGTCAAAAAATAATAATCTCAGACTCTTTTATGGAAGATCAAGATTTCTATTGTAGAATACTTCATACTGCAATAAGTGATGAATTTAGCACACAAAAAGAACATATTCTTATATACATCTTTAACATTGTGGTACTTAAGTTATAGCTATCGGATAATGTAACCACTTATTGAAAGTTTATAAAAAAAAACATGGATACAACAAGATTTCAGGCTAGAGAAACTAGACTGTAGACAATATATAATGCACTAAAGCGCTAACACCAAGACAGTAGTCTCTAATGCCATTCTAATAGCTCAATAGATACATAACATTACAGCACAGCTGGGTATAGACTGGTAACAGTACTCCACTATAGTAATCGAAAGTTTCAGTACAAAATACCTTGACATGTTCAAAAAAAATATTATTGTACAGCTTTTATTCAAGTAACACATCTAATTTCTAATTTTATTTTTATTTTATGCATTGTAACCAATAAGTTAATACTAGCTTTATAGCACTAGGCTGAGAATCTGACAAGATTATGTACCGCAGTAAGAACCAGTGAAGAAAGTTTAAAATATTTCCCTACAAATACATTGAATAAAACAATGACTACGAATTAAAGTATCTAAAGAGATATTGTTAAATCTAAAAGAACTTTAGGCTACAAAGTCTAAGCAGATGTAAAAGTTCCTATTTTTCTTTTCTTTACTCTCTTGTTCAAATGTCTCCACCATTTTTTTTTTTCATTTAAAAAAGTTGTGAAAATAAATGCTATATAAATACATTATAGGAAGGTACATTCGCAATTTATCGGAGGTTCCAAATTTGGCATGAATTATCGCAACCATTTTTTTTTTCTGTTGATGAAATTGAAAAAAAAAATATCAGTGGGTGTGAAATATGGGATTTAATTCCCGTTATTTATTTTTATCAAACCGCAGAACACTCCAAGCTGTACGCGTTTGTAAGAATTGAACACAATCACCAAATATATATATATATATCAGAGAGAGCGAACCCTCGGTTTCAGATAATAATAAATAGAGACCAAGCTTTAATACCGCGTCAATTGGGTACAAACATCGGACGACTGATATAATCAGGAGAAGATATACCTTCCTTGCTGAATACGCCTAACACCCCTATCCGCGATATTTAATAAACTGATTATGTTAAAAACATGAAGATGTATGTTGTATCTGTTTTAGATCACATGGCCGTAACCTAATTACATTAAATAGCTCATTTAATTCATTGAAAGTAAATGTAAAATATATGTGTAACAAATTGAATGTTATTCTTACCAGAAGAAAAGAATGATCCGTGTACTTGAAAGTCTAGTATCAGAATGAGGAGCTCACACACGCTTACGACTTTTTAAGTCAAGTGCCGTGTAAGTCACCAGGAGCGGGAACAGCGTGAAGAAAAATAAAGGTTATGATGATGCAGTTTAATTGAATCGGTTTCTGTACAATAAATCAGTCAAGCTGGAAATGAATTGGTAAGCAAATAACCGATTTTTATAGTGAAGATTTATAATACAAACTACTGAACAACACGAGGATGTGATCTTCAACTACGCTTTGCCTATTGCGAGTAGTACTTAATATTAATTAAAGAATCTATACATCAGTTAGGTATATGCAATTCATTGGCACCCCTCCAAACATTTAATAGTTTGTTTTTTTTTCACTCATTGAAAAGAATTGATTTTTGAGTGTGGCTAATATTACTGTGGCGCTGAAAGTATAAACTGTTCATTCTCCGGGTGTACAAATTTTAAATATTTTTTTTTTAAAAAAAACAACAACAAATCCGCTACTTCTTTTGTATATGAGGTGATTGCATATTCGGACTCTTGGTTGTACATATTTACACACCTGTTTTTGTCTTGTCTTGTCTCGCAATCTAATCAAGATTTTTAAAGCTATACCTAACTACACATCTTGACGCTCACGGACCAATACTAAAAACGTTTTGGATATAAGAAGAAATGTATAATAATTGGTCTCCACAAACACCACATAACTACCACTGGCTTTGTTGCTATGGATAATGTATTTCAATACGTAATTATCGTATTATATAAAAAATCCCAAGGAAATTTTGTGTCAACCGGCACCTTGACCGACAAGTCCTTTTTCTTTCTTTTCTTTTTTTAAAAAAAAAGTCTCATTATTGAATGTGAATAAATAGCTGCTTTTAGATATCGGAAGACATTATGTACGTATTCAAGACAAAAGCATGTAAGCTTGGCGTAAAAACAAAATTAAATAAATAAACATTGCGTCAAACAGACATACGTTACTGTGTAGCTTAAGTGAAACATCTTACTAACTGAGGAGCAAATTTCCAAATGACATAACGTATCTGTGAACCAAAAAAAAAAAAATAGGGTAGAACGGTTGAATAAATAGCTGTGAACTGCTATTCGGAAATGGAAGAAAGTACTCTATTTTCAAAGAGAAATAAAAACAAACACAGACATAATTACGACCAATATTTAAAGAGATTATCATCAAAGCTATCTAGAGAAATAAAAAATCAAAAGCCAAAAAGAAAAACATCCTATAGCCCAAATAGCATCGAAAAGAGCAATGTAATGTCTCTTTTGTCCTACTCATTAAGAGGCTTTTTAATACATTTTAGCCTATCAGCAGCTTCATGCAAACAAGAAACCTGGAAGTATAAAAGGGGGTCTTTATTATTCTTTGGTGATGTATTTTGTCGCCAGGTATTGTACAACATCTATTACTTTTCTTAACAGTTACATTAATCCGTCAAAGTGCCTGGAGATTCTTGAAAAGCACACTTGTTTATATCCTATTAAAAGAATTCCCTTTGTTGTCAGAAGCGGATATGTGTTCCAAAAAGACAACTTTACAATTTATAAGATACCAATGGCAACTGAATGCCAGACAGAGCTTGTTATACATACCTGGGGATAAACTATCAAAAAACCTTATTCTATACCCGACAAAAGTTTCTGGAGTCTTCTTGACCATTCTAGGCTCTTTTGTGGCCTTTAAAAAAACCATTACTCCAAGAAGCTCAAAAATAACTAATAAAAGGATGAAAGCTATTGGTCTTGATACTTGTGAAAACTACTGTCATACCACCCCAAATCGCACGACTAGACCGAAGAAAAACAAATCCTTGAATATTTCTTATTAAACAGATCTCCGCTTATAAGTATATTCGGTACATAAGCATATGTACACTGGTAAAAAAAAAAGAATACATTTGTTTAATCGAACACTAATGGTGAGAGAAATTAGAATATACTTACATCAAAAATTTGAGGTACTCTTGTTTCTTGAATTATTCATACTTTTGCAATATATTCTGTATTCACTTGTACAGTATGATAAAAAGAAGGAGGAGACTTTAGTAAGTTAGTTTTGCAAGCTTTTGTGGGTGTTTAAGGGTTGTTTTGAGGTTGAATGTTCTCGAATCGCGCAGTAAACCCACAGTTTTTTCCGTGGTTATAGTTAAAAGAAGAATAGATAGAAATCTAATAGTCGGAAAGCTTTACTGCAGCATTATGTATGATGGTTTTATCCAAATAGCTAAAATTGAACACTTTTGAGTGTAATAAACTTGAAATATCCGGCAAATAAAGAAGGGATATATAGTCTCAAATGATCACCTTGTTATACGTGCTTTATTCAAATTGTCTTATATCTCTAAATATTGGTGGCAAGTTGTGCGTTGGGAATTACAAAAGAACATAATCAATAGCTATAATATGCAATAGGCTGCCGTAATTGTGTATCTATTTGGTGTATAATTATCTTGAGAATTTTCTTATCACGTTCTTAAGAAAAATGACGGTTAAAAGCTATTGACAGTCTTTCTGTTTTGGTCAATTGTCGTGTGTGTGTGTGTGTGTGTGTGTATGTGTGTACTGAGAACACGATAGGTATCCTCCATTGAGTTAGAAGAGAATACGATAAGATTTCTATCTAATTTCTGTAAACAGATTTTATTGTGATCCACAAGAACTATTTAGAAGATATATTGTAATTTACATATTATTTCTCGGTGCAGAATCCAACTAGCCAGGATTTAAGATGCAATGCTGATTATAATCTTGAACACAGATGTACATGAGCCCTTATTACAAAAAAAGGGATCACCTCCAGTTTTCAAAGTAGTTAATAATTTCTGAAAAAGGAAAATACTTGAAATGAGCATGAGAAATATTAATCCAAAGTGGATGAATTTCTTGACTTGTTGGGGCTTTTCTTTTTCTTCTCTGTGGAATTGAGAAATATTTTTGAGCCTTTTAATTGTATAACTTATTGTAGTATTTATTACTTCTTCTTTTTTTGCCAATATTTCTGTGTATATTAGCCAAGTATGTTATATAATTAGAGTCATGTAATGGTTGGATAATAACCAAGTAGTCCCTCAATTCAAATTGTTTAATGAATAGTTTATGTCTCTATGATTACATGATAATCAGAATGGGTTTCACGGCTTATTTTCAGGTAACCATTCAACTCTAATAGAATCAGCTCAACAACTGTTGTATATATACTTAATAGGCACTCTATATATCATATTTATTCACATTGCGCAGTACCAGTATACTATTACATATATATATATATATATATATCTTTAAAAATCTATTATAATCATCATTATCTTTGTAGTTTAGAACACATGCCAAAGTTTCTGGATAGTGACCTATTAAAGTTTTGTTAATTATTTTCTGGTTACACACTCAGTCTTTTTTTTTTTTTATTTAATTTTTACTGCGGCTCAGCAATTGTAGTGTATTTGTCGTGATTGACTACAAGGATGCTATTTCTTAGTATTACTTGGATTATTAGCATTTCAAACAAAGGTAGTGTTCTTGCTTTGAATTTCTTTTTATAGGATTTCATAATAATTAAACCAAGAAGATTAAAACTAGATTTGCTGTAAGCAGATATTTTGGAGGCAAGCTTACAACCAGCTCAAGTGTTAAGAGGGAGTTGATTCTTTTAATACCATTTCCACAACGTGGTTCTTTCTTTCTTTATTTCTAGGAGGTTAAAAAAAAGGAACTAAAATCAATAAAAGTTTGGAATTAAATATTGATTAAACTTTATACATGTAAATTAGGTGATAGATAATGGGGTTGCCCAAGACAAGTAATCAATATTGCTATTATGTTTATAAAAATAGGAAAGTATTTATTCGCAATACACCTCCCTAAAGAACAATTTTTTGAATGTGTGCTCTTATGTGCGCTTGTGCGTGTGGCCCTCCCTTCCCCTCTCCTTTGTTGATTTGTTCGATTGAGAGAGGCTTGGGCCGCACACCATGCCCTAGCATTGGGATAGTTTAAAATAGATATATATATAAAGCTAAATGTTTGACCTGCATGAGAATAATTCTATACACACACACACACATATATATATATATCAAAACTTGGGCATAATGAGAAAGGATGTGGATCTAACAGTGATATTGATAAGCTAATCTTCTAATGCATAAATGATAACAAATAAAAAGTACAAATAAAAATACAATACAAAGAAAAAGAAACATATAGACATAAAGAGAAGAAAAAAGAAACATATAAACATAGAAAGATATAGACATATAGACATATAGACATATAGACATATAGACATATAAGTTTTGTTTGTAGCTGATTTGTATACAAGTACTTCATATACCAGCAGGAAATGAAAGTATGTAGCATAAATCAAGAAAGAAGAAGAAGGTATGGGCAAGAAATTTGTCCTTTGGAAATCGACAAGGAGATATGTTGGTTTGCGCAAAATAATACGAGCATATATCCTAGCTTTATGGATGTGTGACCCAGGGATGTACCTATGTTATGCGTCTTTGCTTAGAACAAAGGGTTGCTTTTCTTCTACATTGTTTTGTAAAAGGAGACTTGCTTACCTTTGCTTCTGCTATTGTTAGCCGCTGGCAAGGATCTTTTGTCAGTAACCCGTCCAACAGATCACGTAGATCCGAATCTATTTCTGGAGAATGGACAATTCTGTAATAGAAAGTTAGCAAACCTCATTTTTTTTTGCTTAGAAGAGTCTTAAACTTACGAGTCGTATTCGATCGAATTCAATAAATCTATTCGACTCTTTTTTTCAAATGGGAGACGACCATAGACTAGACAATAAAGTGTTACACCAACGGACCAGACATCTCCAGAGGTCTTTGGCTGCTTATAACCAGGGGGTGCTAATTATATATATATATATATATATATTAAAGAGTCAGCAAAGTAAAATAATGGAGTATATTCTTTAGGGAGACCTACGTTTTCTGACTACTTCTGGAGCCATAAAGGCAGGTGTTCCGCCGTACAACATTGGGCTTAGAGGAGTGGTGTCATCGTAAAAGATAGCACTGCCAAAGTCGATGATCTTGAGAACTTTTTCAGATGACAAGAGAATATTTTGTGGCTTGATATCTATAGAGAAAATTAATTAAACAAACTGTAATGAAATCGATAAAAACAAATTAAGCTTACCTCTGTGAATAATACCTTTGCAGTGAACTAAACAATGAAGTATATGAGTAAAATGATATACAAGTATATATATATATATATATATATATATATATGAGTTTAGGTACTTACTATGCTCTACTGCATCCAGAATTTGCTTAAATAAAATACGACATTGTTGTTGTGAGTATGGAGAGCATATAGTATTAGGTGCTATGTCCATCAGTGGCCTAGGATCCAAATGTTCCATGACTAAAAACATTAGCTGATCTGTCAAGCTACAGCTGCTAATATTTTGGTTATCGCTTACCCATCATCAAAGATTTTGTTTTAGGATCATCGACAACATCAACTAGGCGAATGATATTGGGGTGATCTAAGCGTCGCATGACAAGAACTTCTTTTGAAACTGAAGGAACTGGCAGTGGCGCCACTGTATTAAATCGACGTCGTTTGGATGCACAAGTGGCTTGATTTGGATGAGCCGAAATGCCGAGACCAGAGCGGGGATGGTGAGGACCAGCCCCAAAGAGCCGGGTAGTGGTCTCTTGGCGTTCAAGGCGAGTCTTTCCGATTTGCTTGATAGCCTAAGAATAAAGTTTATAGATTAAAGCTTTGTTAAGATGTGTACACAAATATGTAACTTGGCTTACTTGAACATTGCCAAGATATAAACTTACATAGCATAATCTAGTCTTTTTGTCTATTGCGAGATGAACAATTCCTGAAGATCCGTTGCCAAGTTCGTTTAATAGGCGGTAGGTTGTTGTGGAGGATTGAACATGCTTTCGAGAGTGCGTCCATGAGTGGAAAACAGAGAAGTGTGGCATTTTTTTGTGTTGATATTGAGGTTGATATTGATGTCAATACTGTTGTTTCTGTTGTTGTTGTTGTTGTTGTTGCTGCTTCTGCTGTTTTTGTTTTGGTATTTACAAGAAATAAGAAAGGAACAAGACCCTTTTTATTATATAGCCACCATGCGCCACCATGTGGGTCATACTGGCTTGACCGTTTTTTTTCTATTACTTAATTTAGCTTTACTATTTTAGTTTGTGCCACATGGCATTCACTGTATATCTATCTTTAGATCTGCAGCTCTAGTCTTTACCACAATATCAAATCTGGTGATGATGACATACAGTTTCTGTACAAGGAATTATATATGGAATCCAGCTGTCAAGAATAGATTGTAAAATCAATCGGTACAGAAACTCAAATTATCTAAATCAAATCGGAATAGATTCTGGTTGAATGCCAAGGTACTACTAATGGTCTTACAAAAAAAAAGCACAACAAGTACGTAAGGCTATTCGTATAGTGTCAGAGTTACTCACTATTAAAAGCCTCACCACAGCAGTTAGGGCAGATGATTATGTACAACATGACAATGGCAGGCAACAATGGCTTCTCTATTGGAAGAAGAAAAAAACAGATAAGCAAACAAGCAAATGCACATACACGCACACACAATTTCCATAGAGTAGAAACAGATGTGAACGTGTACAAAAACGTGCAAGCAGACAGTACCACAAATAGACAATGCTACGTATTGGAATACTTTCTTGAATCATACTGTATATTTTTAGAGTGCAATGACACATTTTTTTTTCCATACAGCTCAAAATCGCTGCGAGAGAGATATTTTGGTTAAAAGATAAATTCTTTATTATGGGAATATGATCAAACCAAGTTGACATGTACCTAAAGTATACATAACATTTGAATGACAAGTATGCTTCTTCTTTGACTTTTTTTTTCTCATGGTCTGGTACATACTTTTACCACATCACACACTCTATTTTTGTAGCAACTGTACTAACGAATGCCCTGTACGAGCCAGAATTGAATATATATATATAGAAAGAGAAGGAAAGGGAGAAAATTGTAAATAAATTTTGCCAGTACGATATTGTAGTTGTTATTATCATTATTTTCAGATCATGGCATTAGGCACCTTGCATATTGACAATAAACCTGTTGCAATTGTAATGATAAATAAGGTTTGTATATTGTGTAGGTACCAGGAGTGAGAAAATACAGGAAAAATGTATATATAATTTTACATACTCTGTACGGTCATATTAGGGCTTGAGGGCTTACCAAGTAATATATATATATATTATACTTAATTAATATCTATATTATTAAATAAGGTGTTTTTATTTTATTTTATTTTTAGGCAAGTACTGTGAGGGAATTCACTATTAGTTGCGCCTTTTTGTTTGTTAAAAAAACTTATATGAGGATAATGTAAATGGATATATAGACATAATGAGTAGAAAGAATGAAATAGAGTGAGAGGGAAAGAGTAATAGAGGGATGTAGGGAGATCTGTCACTTTAATAAACCATAATCATATTTCATATTTTATCCTTCCTTACTCTGGGACGGCTGAGAAGTGGCTATTGAAAATCTCGAAAATGGATTGAGGTACATGTATCGTTATTGCACGTTCCACCACTGGCTTCAAATTTACACAACGTGCTTTTCTTGTTGAAAGGCTTTTTCGGTTTCGATGTGGCTTGAGGTGGCTGGTATTCTTGGTGGTTGATACCAAAGACTTTTAACGGAGACTCGTAAGCTGTGAATGAAGTCTATATATATATATATATATCAAAGAGAAGAAGAAAAAGCCAATTCAGTAGGTAAAGATAGTACCACAATAATTATCTCCTTGATTAAAGTAATATATATATATATACATACCGTCCTCGGTTTAATCGAGACATCTGGGACCATTGGCTCAGGAATATTGGTCTGAAAAATGAGAATCGTTTTGTTTTCTTTGTTTGAATATTTGGCCAACACACAGTTGATCAATGTAATATAATAATGCAATATACTATAATGTGAGTTAAATTAAAAACCGGTGGGTCTTACCGTAGCTGCACCTGGAGATTCATCAAATATAGCGACAGACTTCTCTTTACTTTTTTCCCTCTCGTATTTTGCTTTCTTATTCACAATATTCAAGTCTGAATGCTTATAATCACTCCTTTTTCTAGTCAATATATCGTCACTCTCAACTTGTTGGGCTGACTCAGTTTTCCGGGGATCCTGTTTTGTATGTGGTTCCTGTATTGGTTCGCTTTTCACACTTTTCTGAGCTTCATGTTTTGTACGTGTTTCCTGTACTGGTTCGGCTTTCACAATTTCCTGGGATTCATGTTCTGTATGTGCTTCCTGTACTGGTTCGTTTTTTACAGCTTTTTGAGTCTTTTGTTCTGTGTGAGTTTCTGGTACTGATTCGATTTTTACAGCATTTTGAGTTTTTTGTTCCGTGTGAGTTTCCTGTACTGGTTCATTTTTCACAGCTTTTTGGGTTTTATCTATTGTCTGAGGCAAGTATCGCTCTTTTTGTTTTGTACTGATTCCATTTTGCAATGCTTCTGGATGATCGGTAGGTTTGATGGAGTCGTGCTGTGTGGATGATGAGACAAATGAAGGTGCTCCCAAAATCTCTAAAAGTGAGAGTCCAGTGTAATCTGGTTTAGGTTGATTTTTTTGGATTTCTGCTAGTTTTTTGGCTTTTTCTCGATGGTCTAGAACTTGTGCAATGGCAAGAATCTCAACTAGATTAACTTTTGTAGATAACATATTAGGAAAAATCTAATTAACTATGGAAGAACGTTTCTTAGGCTATGATTTTTTTTCTATTTTTTTTTAATAAAAAAAAAACTTCCAAACTACACCCACCTTTAGGCCGAGGAGTTTCTGGTGACGTATTCATCAGGGTCGTACTTTCGCTGGTTTTAACATACGAATTCAATGCACTTTCCTCTTTTTTTATACTAGGAAACTCACTTTTCCCGTTGCTTTGGGTATTAGTAGTTGTCTTTTCAGCTTGATTAGAGGGAGAATTATTATGAGTATTACATCCACCAAATATTTCATATGGAACCGTGCTGTGAATGAATTTTTGATTATTAGCGTCGGTAGGCAAAGGGTGGGCGGCGGTGGGAGTAGCTTCGCTTTCTTTTACAGATTTAGAAGCTGTTGTATCTTTTTTGGCAGCTACATCGCTACGATCTACAGTAGTTGGTCGGATAGAAGTTGGGTTTGAGCCTTTGGTTTCCTCTTTTTCACCAATTAAGTCAAATGAAGGGACTTTTTTTGAAAAAGTCTTTTGTTGCGGTGTAACCTTGTTTGCATTAATGTTCTGAGCTACGAACCCAAATATTGCCTTTGGTGCTCTAGATTTTGTGGAGCTCTGAGGTGTACCTTGGATCATAAGCTTTTTTTCGATTTGAGGTTGGGCTCGGTCAAAGTTGTTATTCGTTGATAGTGTATTTACAAACCCTTTAGATTCGCTTGAGGACGATAATGATGAATATTGTAAGGGGTTGTTTGTGTTTTTTAATGGAGCACGTTTAAAAACATTGGTTGAGTATTGTTTTGGTATGGGAAAGGTTGACTCCATGGAAGCAGATTGGGAAGTTCCATCAAGAGGAATGCTTTTTATAACAGGGGCAGTCATTGGCTGACTGATGCTAAAACTAACCCTTTCTGATGGACCAGGTACTGCGACTTTATTGTGCGTGGGAAGGGATTTGTTAGACATAGGCATTGGTTTCTTGACTGGGGTAGGGATAGTGGGTGGTAAGGATACTCCAAATATATTGGTAGGTCTCAAAGTAGGTTTACCAAATGTATCCATAAACAGTTTCTTTTCGGGTACTGGGTCATGTTTAGTTTTGGTTACTGAAGGTGTAGACGTGTGTGGTGCTGAAGTTTGCTTTGGGGGAGTAACGATTGAAACGTTTTTAGGAGCTTCTTCAGTTTTATGTTCGGGTGGAGGATATTCAGATAGTTCTAATTTCTTTTGTTGAGGAACGCGAGTGTTAATCTTCTTCCGCTTGAGCGTTTCTTTGAGTTTTATCGTTAGCAGTTCGTTTTCGAGTTCCATTTTCTTCTGAATAAGATTGCTTAACTCCTTGTCAACGATGTCTAGCTCATTCTCGGTATTGGATAAATCACTTTGTAATCTTTCTGTGTCATTTTCAGGTTTGGGATTTCCATTAAGTGTCATTGAACGGTTTTCAATTGGAGAGGAAGGCGCGGTTACGAAACTTTCTCCTGAATCGCTTTCGTCACTATTATCAATGACTATTGTTTTTGGCGAGAGATTTTTTTTGCTGCTCGCCAATCTGGGTAAGGGTTTTGCTCGTCCTGATCTTTTAATTACTCCTCTTTGGTTATTGTTTTGTGCGCTCTCTACATTCTCATAATCATTGAACTGATAATAGGGGGCATCTTGAAATCTTTGGGTTAATGCTGGATTGATGTGGATTGATCTACTGCTCCCAGATGTGTCTTTTCGATTTTGGTAAACTCGGCCATCTGGATAACTTTGTTGGCTGCGCTGTCCTTGGGGCATGGAATCTTGTATCCATGCATCGATAGAATTATGTTGTTGCGAGAATTCTTCGTTGTCCGAAACTTCCATGTCACTTAATGCATGTTCATTAGAGCCATTCATCATTGGAAGGTTATGTGAATACAAATGCTGACTTTAATAACTAAAGTACGCACTAAACTTTTTTTTTCCTTTTGTTTGTGAGAAGCAAGGACTAAGTTTCAGTGTCCGCTAATTCAGTATGAAAAAGGAAAACGTCACAGGATAAATTCTTCCAATAAGATGAATTTCCGAACCATTTTTCTTTGCCTTGATTCTTTTTCATGCACGGTTTTTACGTATTTCTTTAGCAACTTGGAAGTAATAAATTCATGCACGGCTCTTTCTCACGGCCAGGGTATTTTCTAGTAATAATTGTGTGAAGAGTTTACTGTCATGTCTGGGTTTCTCTCGGTTCTCTCTTAGTTTGACTTAAGGTCATTTTCATTTCGGGTAGAGACAAGAACCCTTCAATCTGCTACACCTCTTTTGGATAGCTGTCCTACTGAGGTGTACTTCCTTTGGATTCACTTAGTACTCGACCTAGAGCATACTAAATCTCAAAAAAAAACTGTGATGACTTTTTCTGTTTCACATTAATAGAAGTTTACTGTTAATCTGAGCTGAAGACCCCTACAAAAGATATATATCCGAAATCGACTTTTTTTTTACATATGCCGAAACTACGTTTACCGCAAAATAATCATTATCATCCGATATATGATGAGTTACTTGATATAATTAAGTGTCTACAAGGTGAGTAAAGCTGTCTGATAACAACTATTTATTTGTGCTGATTGATGGTAATTGGCAAAAGATGTATAAAAAATAGTGAAAGAAAATCTAAATTCCTAATCAAATCTCCTTCAACGTCATTGAAGATTCTTCTTCTTCTTTTTCTAATATAGATATATAACTGCTTAATAAACAGCTGTCTTTGCCTCTATATTCAAAGTAATGGCTGAAGGAGAATGTTTGGATAACCTGAAAATATTTATATTATATGCAAACTAAGTCCGAGTTTTGAATTAAAGACTATATTTTTTTAAAGCATCACCTCTTGTACATTCTTATCAGGTATACAAAACTTATTCTGTTGTTATGTCGTATATACAATTTTATAAATGACAGCTATTTACCTATTGTATGAAACTATTACAGTAATGCAATATATGCCAGACACTTGTACACATTATATTAAATTAATGATAGTTAACCATTACTCAACAGAGATCTTAAATTAAGGAATCAAATCATTTATATTAGTACCAGGACCTTATTTTATTTGGTATTAAACAAGCTATGATACCCAGAATATATGATCTAAATACAGAAACTTTGGAAAGTAAGAGTAACTACGTGCTTAAAAAGATTTATTTTGCAACTCTGAGCAATATTTCTTTTTAATATAGTAGCGGGTAAGCCTAGTAATTATCCCTGTTACAGCCTCATCTTTGCAAAAGCCAATTTCTCTGCACAACTTGTCAGTTTTATTAAGTCTGAGTACTCCAATAATATTTTTGGGGCTGGCAAGATATTTGCTTCTATTCGTATGAGGATGGGCACTATTTAATATGCCCCGGCACCTTTTGGGAATAAAGTTGTAAAAAGCAGTTTTAATAATCATCTTATTTTTTTTTATCTTTACTTAAAAACCAATCATAGGTAATTATACACCAACACACCATACAAACGACATACAGCGTATATAAAGAGATAAGGCAGATTATATACCTTTAAGATTTTAGAGTTGCCTTTATTAGTATTATTTATAGTGCAAATAGGTAAATCAATAAAATCATCATAGCCTTATAATCTTAATTTTGTTATTTCATTCATTATTGGATATCAGATCTCTCAAAAAAGCGTATTTTATTATCAAACAGGGAATTCAGACATTATAAACAAATATACAGTTAAATGTAGATGATTAGTAATATATACTACATTTATTATAATGTGCAGAAATGTATATCTGTCCTTATGTCGAGGAAAAATATCTAATGTCAGGAACCGATCTGGACAAGGACAGGGGCCGGGACAAAGAATTATAGATATGTTCCTTTATTGAAGAAATTGTTCACTTGATCTTTCTACTATCAATCTCTACTGGTAATTATATAAATATTTCCGCCTGTTGTACATGAGGGATAGTTATTATTGTTGTTATAAGGGTTTTTTCTGGGGAAGTAAACACAACAATGTGATTGAACTAAGAGTGATAGGATCGGAACGAATTATGATTGGTCTAGAAAGTGAGACAACTTGGAGGTTCATTACACTTGCTTGCGAGAGTACGGCGAACTTCTGAGTCCAGTATCTCCCTCTTCTGAATAATGTAAATCTTTATATATTGGACATTGTTTATGAACACTTTTTCTCTTGAACCTTGCCTTTTAGAGCATTCCAAAAGTACTCGATTGGAATCAGATCCGGACTTTGAGATGACCACTAATCAAAATATTTGATTTCCTCATGGTTTCTTCAACATATCGTATAGGATTCCAGTATGATAACTAGCGACATCTTCCTGGAATGTAAAAAGGGTGTCCTTTTTATCATTTGCCTTTGCATAGTAGGGATTGGAGACCTTGGGCGGATAGTTAATATGTGCATCTTGGTTTACATAGGACGATATCAGTAGCTACCAGATTCTCTGAGGATATACATGTCTTTCGAAAAGATTGTATATCACACAAACAAAGTCTCGTAAAATCTATAAACCTGAAATTCTTTGGTCTCCCGGTGCTATTTTTTGATTTAGTGGTTCAGGTGTTCAAAAGGTACTATGCTTTTGACATTTCAATATCGCCAATTTCTAAACTACTATCAAAAGAAAATTCAGCTTAACCTTTAAAGAAATTGAGAAAAATATTTTCTTTCAAGAAAAGATAAGCCGTTGATATAGATTGCTAGAAAAAACCCTTGCGCATATTGTCATACATAAGTTATTTAGTCAAGTTGATTCCATAAAGTGTTCAACTTGTTTAAAAATCATCTTATTTTGCAAAGTAATCCAACAAGATCAAACTAACGTTGGATTACTGTAATTATTTCTTTTGAACAAAAGAAAAAGATATTCTATATTGGAATTTTTCTTATTTTACTTATACTTTTAGGCAGTTTTTTTAATTAAATTCATAAACTCGTTTCTGTGCATGTAAAAGCCAGAATATGTTTTTGTCAATTTAATTGAAATGTGTATGAAAATATATTTGACTTGTAAAAAAGAAATTGACCAGTGAGTTTTAGAAAAATGAATTCTTGGAATGACATGATTGTCCGCTTTGAAAGTCACGCAGTCACAGCGTCTCCTAATAAACAGGCTGGTCGCAAGCTCGACAACTCTCGCAAGGGGTCAGTCATGTCAGTAGCAGCAGCAGCAGCAAAAAAAGCCATTCCAAGAACCAACAATGGTGCTGGTGCATTTGTGCTCCAGTGCAGAAAGATGGTCTTTAACTACTGTGAACATTGGGGAAGCAATAAAGGCATGGTGTAGGTTGACTAAAAAATTATGCTTTTCTTTTTAAAAAAAATAAAAAGAAAGAAAAAGGAAGAAAAAAAAGACTTATTATGCTATAGTGAATACATCAAAAAAGACCTTGTAAAGTTTGCCCAAGAAAACCCTCAGGTTGAGATCGTTGTTCAGCCTAGACCCGGTCGCCATCCTATTGTCCGTGGTCTCTACCGTATGTTATTGATCAACAACATTGGCCTTTATACGTTGAATTCTCACATTTTGTGTAATTCCACACACACACGCAAATTGCTTTTTTTTTTATTTTTCAATGTTCCTAAATTCAAATAGTTAATGGCCGTGACAAAGTTATCTGCACCCGTAACCTTAACACTGCCGAGATTGCTAATAAGGTTGCTCTTCTCCGTGACTCTAGTGGTGAAAAGCTCAAGCTTCTTGCAAAGAAGCCTGTTATTTCAACAACCGAAAGTGTCCGTGGCATCTGGTCTCCCTTCCACACAAACCCTCACACCATTTAGATTAGGGATTTATTGCTGGTTCTAGAAAAAAAAGAAAATTATATATATATACTACTAAAAAAAAAGAAAAAAATGCATGTGCTTCTTTACAATCTACGTCTTTGTATTTCCAAAAATGGGATCTTTTGTGTTTTGTATTGGCTCCTAAATATCAATGGGTTAAAGTTATCTTTTTATAATTCGTATATATATCAGCAAGAATCTTTGTGAGCTTTTTCTTTTACTTTTGTAGTAAATCAACTTGTTATTGTTTGTCTTTAATGGTTTGTTTTGAATTAATCCAAGATGTTTAATTCTTGATCCGGGCATGATCCTGTTTTTTCTAGAACCTTATACAATTCAGATTAAATATATAATAAAAAACAGAGTTAATTCTATTTCTCTTCATACCCTTCTTTTTACTTCCTGTGATATGCCGAAAGGGATCTGTTCATTCGTCTTTGGCTGTGTGACTGGCTAGAATGAATAAGAACACGAAACGGAAGGAACGCGAATTTTGGACGCGCGCTACAATAGGACGCGTGCATCAACTCACTCAGCCTCTCCTTTTCGTCAAGGCCACCAATTGCCCCAAAGCTCTGCAGGAATTCAAATGGTCCTCATTACAACTGCATCTTATGAGAGAGCATACAAAGAAATAAAGCAAGATTCTGTTGAGGGGAATTGCATCATTTTTATTGCTTCTGATGTCGATTCAATTTGTGCTTGCAAAATCTTCCAGGTACAATATTACTTGAAGATCGCTTCCCGAGATGACATTATAACCCTTCTTTACGCTTGTGATGCTAGGCTCTTCTGAAGGGTGACATGATTCAACACAAGATTGTTCCTGTCTCTGGTTATAGAGACCTTGAGATTGCCAACGACAAACTTGTTAAGCGAGACAACGACGTTAGTTTTTTTTTCGAGCGACTTCAATCGATGGTCTTTTATATCATTGTTATTGTTATTCACAGCTAATTTCCACTCGGACACCCGTTTATGTATACTTTTTTATACATAATATATCTTTAGCTTCGATCAATTGTTATGATAAATTGCGGAGGCTCAGTTGAGTTGAGTCACTTTTTCAAAGATACACCCGGCGTAAAAATCTATGTTTTTGACAGCCATCGACCATTTAATCTTGACAACCTTACAAATACAGACAAGAGACTATTTGTTTTTGATGAGGATGATGATGAAAGAAAAATGCGCAAAATGATCGAAGCACATAAAGCAAACCAGGTATGGGAATTATTTGGTCATTATCCACTTAGAAATCGTTTTGATCCACTTCATGGATCTCTCTTATTTACAGGATATGGGAGAAAGCGACGAAATGTCGAGTAATCCGGAGTTCTCGGACGAAGATGAGCACGGCAGAGAATCAAGTAATAGACCTCGACAGAGACGACGATACAACGACGAAGTGGTCCGTAATACACATCACCAATTGAACGAGAATAGCCGAATGCTGACGGATGCTTCTTTTTATCAAAATAAAGGTTCATTCACGATCAAAGCGTCGTGCATTACGGAGGCAACAAACACAGATGCTGTCAGAGTATTACGCTTCTGGCATTTATTATGCTAATTCTGTTGCGGGTGTAATGTATTCACTTGCCACAATACTTTCTAAAACAAACAATGAGCTGCTATGGTAACAGACAACAATTACGCCTTGTACTTTTGGATCCTTGAATTTTCTGACTCAACTATGCAGGCTGGCGATTACTGGCGTGACAGCGCAGTACGTATTCGAACGTATCGACACAAAAAAGTACTTGGATAAAGTGCAGATATTCACCGAAGATGTCTCACGGTTTGATGTCGGACTTGGTGAGAACACTTCACAATCAGCACTGGAGAATAGAATTCATATTGAAGAGGAATATCGATTCATGCTTTTCCGACATTGGAGTTTGTATGATAGCATGTTTCATTCTGGTTATGTGGCTAGTAAGATGGGTGTGTGGCGAGAATATGGTCAGACCCGCTTAAAAAATATGTTTGCCAGAATGGGGTAAGTGGTGTTATATTAATTTGAAATCTGGGCCATTAATACTAACCTGAGCTTTCAGATTCTCATTAACGCAATGTCAGCAAGTATATAACCATATGGACATGGAACTTAAAGAGACTCTTCGAGAAAAACTTGAAACAGTAGCACCTATTTACGGCCTTACAGATATTTGTTTTCCAAGTTTTTTGAGAGATTATGGGTACAAACAACAGTTGTCAGCTAGTGATGTAGTATATTCTCTTGCTGCACTTTTAGAAACAAGTCCAGCTGCTGCTCAGCACCTCGATAAAACAGAAAGTACGAATAATACCGAAGAGAATTGGCGAGAATTAGATGAAATTGCACCTGAGTGTGTGGATGGACTAGCGAGCGTAAGACGGAAGTGGTGGTTAGGTAACTTTTATGCGGCTTTCGATTCTCTGGGAAGGTAAATAGTATTAAATGATAATAAAAAGAGTAGCTATTAATTATAATACTGATTATGATACCTTAGTCCGGACGCTATACAACGCGGAATCTCACTTTGTATGAAAACACAAAGGGCAGTTGTAAGGCAAGGCATGACTGTACTTGCAAAGAAGCCTCCGACTTTCAACAATTTTCGAATGGTTACTATCGGAAAAGGAGAAGACCTTCCTATATTTCAACATCCACTTACTGTATCCAAACTAGCATTATTCTTAACCGATGCTTATCGCGTAAGTAAAAAAAAGCAAAAGAAACAAATATATTGAAAGAACGTGAAGTAAAAGTCAAGAATGGGCTTAAAGGTACAAACATTACTTCTCCTCCTTAACATGGATATAAATAGGAACAAGGCAAAAGAAATTTACCTTTGGTGATTGCATCTTTGGACGAAGAAAACGATTCATACCTTATAGTATCAAGTACAGGCGCAAACACATTCGGCGACACTCGTAAAAAGTAAGTAGATAATGAAAAAAAGAACGTGAGTTTAAACCCTGGTCTAGTCCCTTTGCCATTGCATTCCAAGACACAGCTTTAAAAACAAAAGCAAGGGCCTCATTCGACAGCTTTGAGGCATCCATCCTTCAAATCCACAAGAGCGATTTAGAGATCTTCTTAGAGAATTTGTATGGTCCATCTTAATAAATACAACATTCGCATTCATTCCTAAAATATAAGATTGTATATCATTTCATTAAAAGATTATTACTGGATCTTTATATTCAGCTGTTAAATGAGCGTGTAGAACAAATAATAAATCAATAATTTTTCTGTTTCTGCTGGATACATCTACACTCAAACATAGAATTCAGCCGATATGATATTAAACTTAGTATTATTATCACTTATCTCAAAAATGTTACTGGTACTCCTGATTCTTTTCAATTTATGCTATATATCTAGACAGGGCCAATAATATGTGAAAAGTAAATATCTGTAAACCACCACCCCCCCCCCCCCCCCCCCACTCCTTTTGCGCTTAAATAAACTTATATCATTGCGTAAACCCAGTCAAATTATCTTATAGCCCGCAATTATATCTTTAAAAAGTACGCATACACTATGGTAAAAAAAAGGAAATTTTGGTAAGATATATTTCCAAAAGATACCTTGAAGTACATCCCAAAGCACATTAAAAAATAATACACCTAAACATGCATTTTTTCCTGTTGTGATAGTGCACATCAGATTAAGCTCTTTTTGTTTTAAAGATAATCTCATTATTTAAATCCAAAATTCTAGGTTTTTTTTTAGTATTAAGATACCAATCAATTGAAAATAAAGAAAAAAGATCAAGCTTAGAGAGAAACATCGATACCAAATGATCTTTTTTTTAGAAAATAATATTATTATTTTATAGCAATTCTCTATAAAGTATAACTTTCGCTGGAGTAACTGCTTCATTTGCTCCTAGGCTGTATTACTAATACAGCCTTAACTATATATATAGATAATACACTAGGCATTGTTGCTGTAGAGTTAACAATATTATATCCAATCAAGTCTGGTCATAAACAAGTCGACATTAGCTTTGAGTAAGCCGGAGGTGTACTCGGATCATATTGCCTAGGAATATTCAAAAGTATTATGTTTCTGACAATATTAGCGGTAATAATCTTGTTTCAATATTATTCAAAAGCGAAATATTAGACCTAGAGGTTTTTGTACTTTATGAATTCTTTTGGTATATACTTTATTCTTTTCTGGGAAATCTAATTTAAACTGGATAGTTTAGAACAACTGGCTTGACAGTGCCAATTATACCTTCTAATAAAAGGATAAAATTCAATATCTTCAGTAGTATTCACTTGCTAATTGCTTTCCCTTTTATTAATCTCTGCCTACTACTAGTATCTGAACCTCTTAAAAAGGAAGGTTAGAAATATATGCTAGGTTTTATACCAGCATCACCAAACATATGATAGCAATTACTTACATTCCCTTGTGAAATCATCTTAATACTTTCAACTATCGGTATAACTTCATTTCAAGTCAACCTGGAATTCAAAATCCCGCCACCTGCTGTGATGAGATCCAGGCAATATGCATGTATACTTATTGCTTTCTTTTCTGGTTTTTACTTTTTGCTTAATATTGGTTTGAGCTGTACGGGTTTATTTTCGAGTGACGGATGAGTCTCTTTTTGGTCTACTTGTCTAAGCAAAATAAAAAAATAACTTTCTCTTGTACCTTTGAACAAAAAGTGCACAGACCACTTTAGAGTAACCTACAAATCGCCGCTATAGAAACCTGTACTCCACCTTTAGATATTTTGTCACGCCGATCAAGATCAGACCTTTCATTACTTCATTACTTCATTACTTTATTTTGCAAAGTCGCTTTTATAAGTACTTTGAGTAAATATTATTAGCTGTTTCTTCTGCCGTAGAAAAGTTACACAAACTTAGTAAAAAAAAGAAACATACAGCTATATCACGTTTGCTCTGACGTGGACATCTAAGGCTGACAAAAAGCGCAGTCCTAAACTTTAATCGCAGATGAAAAATTTTTCTGTTACTTATAGACCTCCTCCAACGCGCGTCGTTTGTTTTCTCCTTGAGCAACAACAGTCCCGGTTTCATAGTGAGGCGTCTCTTGCGACCGTTACAGGGAGATTCTTCCATGCTACAAGCATCGGAAAGTGAAAGTTGTTACTCGCCAGCTCAGTTAATTCTGAGAAGTCGTGGGGCATGGTCTCTTTTCATTTATGGAAGGACTACTGTGTACATCGCATCGCCAATGTGGAATCATGATGCTGGGGGGAGGGAGGTCTAACCTGTGGTGAGATGTGCTGGCTCTTCACTGCTAACCTGACTGAACTCTTTAACGGCTGACGGTGAAGCTACTGGTAGTCGAATGAGCTGGACCTTATCACCTGGTGATAAGTTCTCTGGCGAGTTCGCACCCACATTACTCGGTGACGAGATGTGGGGCTGGATGAACGGGTGCTTTCCGTTGGTTTGCCACCATTCCAGCACCTCCTTCGCTACCAAGTCAGGTTTACGTCCTGAAGGAGATTGAGCCGCGTAATGCGGGGACAAAGAACTTGGTGTCATGCTTTTTATTCCTTTACTCATGTAAAAGAACATTAAGTGAAATTCAATCAAATAGAATAAAATAGCTTCTTTATGTATATCTTTAAATAAATAAATAAAGTCCTTTTTAACTAGTATCGTTTCCAATGAAAAAAACACGCTTTTAAACTTTTTTTTGCTTGATTGAAGAGTTCAATGTTGTAATTAGGTCTCATTTATAAGAAAAATTAATCTAGTAAAAAAAAATCTAAAAAGAGATAATATTTGTATGTTTTAACGTGGTATTGATAACCGCGTTTAACTATAGAGACTGTTGTTGTCTACAAAGTATATAATGAATAAAGTCAGAATAGTTTTTGAGAATGCTGCTGGCGTAAATTGTATATTACTGACATTGGCTAATTCGGATGGGCATCATGAATGGCATGCATTGGAATGAAATAGAGAGAGAGAGTATGTGTGTATGCGTATGCGTATCTATGATGACAAAATAAATTGCTTTTCTACTGGGAAAAGAAGAATTTTTAAAATAGGATGCCATTCCAAAAATAAGATAAAAATATATACATATGTTTTCTTTTTTTTAAAAAAAAAATGAAGAGAGATAAAAGGTGAGAAGGAATAAAAGAATATATGCTTGAAAGAGAGACAGAAAAGGTGTGGTTAATTGAATACACAAGTAATTTCTTCATTGTACTTATACAAACTATATAGAAGAAGCTCAATATGGATGTTTTTATAAAGCAATAATCGTTATTTGCAAATATTTCTGCACTTTGAATATCAACTAATTCGTGTTGTCTACCATTCGTTATTAGGTACACGCATGTGCAATTATATCCACGGTAAGAAATAGTATTTGAATGCAAATAAGAGTAGACAAGTATTGAAAATTACAAAATACATCTTTCAATAGTATGTAGGAAAATAATTCGTCAAAAATGTAGATAATTTTACGTTATAATCTTTAAATATAAATTCAGCCATAGAGCATATTGAGTAAGCAAGACATGAATATCCTAAAAGAGGCGCATTTTCATATTGAATTACATGGAGTGGATTGGAATTCTGATAAATGCCAGCTATTAAACCTGATTCATTGATATTGTTTATTTGTATGTAAGTTCTTCTTTTTAGTTTAAGTTCAAGTGCTCAAAAGATACTGCAAAAGAAGCATAATGCTTTTTGTGGAATATCATGGTCGAGCGGATCAAAAATAGTGCACACTGTGTACCCATTCATCGCTGTAATAGTTCTTCTATCTTTCTTTCTTTTTTAAACAAAAAGGAAAGTATTTAATTATTTCTATGTGAGTCTTCCCAGTGGGATATTACATACATAAAGCAGACATAGTGAGCGAACCATTGTGGAACAGCTATATAGGTGTTGATCAAAAATTATATATTGTATATAATAGCGAAAATAAGAGTTTTTGATTATCTCTATATGTGTGTGTGTCTCTTTATTTATATATATATTTGAAATAAGATAAAATAAAGAATGGTGAAATTGATCTATTTTGGTAAGGAACTTCTTTGCTGTAGGCAGATGAACATATGACGCTTATAAAGCATCGATGCGATAAAAGATAAGAATAAAACACAAATTACAATTTCTAATTTCCAGATAGACAGTATAGACCATACTTGATCTCCTACTACCTCTCCATGTGTCGAATCCCCGCCCAATTGAACAGAATCAACTCCTTCATGTGGTACTTGTGCCCAGGGTGCAATATACGGAGGTCCACTAGATGCATAGTCCCACTTTCCCGGTTTATTGCACGATCGGTCGATTAGGAATCTATCTTTGCGCTCTACAGCTGGTACGTATGTGTAATAAGGTTCAACTCGGCCGCGCCAGATGGGTGCAACTCCTCGGCACACAGAACACCAATCTGATCTATTCGTGTGCAAGCCATAATCTCTCCAGTTGTCAATAAATGCAGGAGAAAGACGTTCCTTGGCGGGCAGAGTTTGTGCGTCCCGTTGGTGTGACAGATGCTCAAGATAGGCAGTATCGTTTTTGTCAAGATAATCAATATATGCTGCTAAATCTCGTGGATCAGGGTATTTGTCCATTCGGATTCCAGCTTTGCTATTCGGCAAGAAGCTGTCATATGAATCTGGACCATCTACGATTGGTACGGTCGAAAGGACAAGGGTGTCAAATAGCTTTTCGGTAACTACAAAAAAGAATTATACGAAATAAAGGTCCGTTGTGAGACATTACAATGAAATAAAGAAAGAAAGTCAAATCGGATTATATGGTTGTATTTTAGAAATCCTTTTTCCTTTTAGTTTGTTTGTTTTCTCATACCATAGTCATCGCAGTTGGCGTTTTCGATAGCTAGATAGAATTTATATTCGGCCATCAAGTCAGTTCTCGTTAAATTTTCTGTGAACTCCATGTTGTTCAAACAAGGCCCGTAGCTGTCGACTTTAATATATTTCATCAGTTCGGCGACATATGTCTGACGTCCGCTTGTGGCATAACAATTCTTGGCAATCCACAGAATTGGTGCTCGTGTTGTCTTTTTCTTCATGAAATCGTCGGGTAGGGGCCTATTGGCGACTTCGTACACATAAGGAGAGAAGTAGGTGAAAAGAAAGTCACTTTTTAAGTGATAAGAAGCAAGGAAATCAAATGGCTCCATGAGTCCTTCGTTTGTTCGGAAGCTTGCTGTTATTGGAGATTCTTGGGTTTCTAGAATCCATGGCTGATTGTCGATGCCTGGTTGATTTGTTGTATAAGTGAATGGATAGTCAGATGATACTCATACATACGTCTAGGTACCTGACTGGGTGCATAGTCTGCTGCATGAAACAGTAAGGCCGAGGCATCTTCCGGGTTATTTAGGTCTGGTGTGATTGTACACCAAGGTTCACCGCTTGATATATTGAAGACAAAGCCTTCTGGTACAGGGCACTCATCACCAATATTCTTATCGTTGCCTAGGATTTTGGTATAATTGGTTTAGTGGAAGGAGGATAAGGGGGTGAGGTGGATATATATATATAGTTTGTCATGGCTACAAATTTACCATCGAACATAAGGCTATTAAACCATCGAGTCCAAAATATGATACGGACAGGAGGCAGGGAAGAGGCCATGAATAGAAGAAGTAGAAGAAGAAAGAGCGGTGGAGCTGAGCTGGCAACGAATTGAATTTTATTTTAGCCTTCGTTTTTTGTTGAGATTTGATTCGCATGTTTGGCTTTGACTGTGGTATAAAAAAAACGGCGCCCCTGCCTCTCTCGCAGGAGCCGTTTATCGGTACTCCAAAAGCAGCCAAATTTGATCAGCCACTCTTACACGCAAAAAGACAGGCTCTGTGTGATGCAAATACATATATATATATGTTTCAAAAGCTGTACTTATTGTTGTTTAAATGATTATGGGTATGGTATTAAATTTAAAGAGTAATAAGTATAGAAACAATAGGTGCTTAATGATAGTTTTGATATCTCTTACTATAAACGACATTTCTTCCTTTTCTTAAAAAAAAACGAAACGAAAATAGCTTCTTTTTCCTATTCAATTCAATTCAATTCAATTCAATTCAATTCAACTACCATTTGATAGTGATATCCCGCGGCAAGTTGAGTCTATTATTCTGTATTAAGTTTGAGTTTGTTTTTTTTTTAAAAAAAAAGGTATCGTTGATATCAAAGGCTAAATACCAAGCGGTTAGTTTCTGACATTTAGACTTGTTGCGATATATAATATTAGCCTTGTCTTTAAAAGAAATTAATTAATTTAGTATTAAGGTTTAAGATTTAACTCGCTATTTGGTATCCAATTTTATGTTGTTTTGATCTTTATTATTATAATATTAATAAGATTTCTGACTACTCGCTAAATAGCAAATCACGATTTTTTTGCCAAAGTGTCTAGTATTCTATAAGATATTACTTGAGGTTTGTCAGTCTTGGTGATTTTATTTCAAATTAAATATTGTAGATACAGAATGTATAATTATCAAGAATTATATATATACTGTGTACATTTCATAGTACTATGGAAAATAAGTGGTGATTCTGATGGTAATTTTGCTTTCCATAGTGTAAGGCAAGGATTTGATTGTAAATAGTAATTAAATACTAGCCTTCAGCCATACGTATCAATAGTTCAAGAGTCTCTGCTAGAAAATGTCGGCTTATGTGTACATATGTACTTCTTTTGTAAAGGTTTAGTAATTAATATAGAGGAAAAGGGGGTGATTGCGATTTAACAAAAAAAAATTAGACATTTGAAGGACATTCAAATTACAGGGAAATCAGAGCAATAAAAAAGAAAGGTAAAAGTATTCTAAAATACTCCGTCAAACAAACTCTTATTCCTTTTCTTCTCATTATGCCGCTGATTACCTTGCCATACATTTCGGTACAACCAGACTGGGATCAAGTTGTAAGAGATGTCAGTACAAATACTACACCTTCTGAACAATTTTGGGTGTCATGCTACGAGACAGGTACAAAATAGTCTTGAGACGTAATTTACAATGCCAGAAAAAAAAGAAAACCAAAAAGCAAATTGTCGTATATGACTGACATTACGAGGAATGAATTGGTTTCTGGAAAAACAAAACAACAACAATAAAAAAGGCAAACAATCAGTACACGCCAAGGTTGCTGTGGAAAAGTCAAGTAGTCCTTCCAAACCACAGCTAAAGGGTATAGAAGGTGTAGAAGTCAAACCTATAAATTCTGTAAGTAATTAATTAATTAATTAGCTATTTCACATAGCTTACGTGTACATTATACTCAAAATTATTAAATAATTAAAATTGACGGTTTACGAATTATTAGATATCATTCAGTCTAAGCTGCCCATCTTATTCGTTAAAAGACATCTTGATTGTTGGACCTAAGCACAAGCTTAGTCCTTTCCAAGGAAAAGAGGTATATTTTAAGATTAATAAGTATTATTATTTGGATAAAAAAATCGTACAATATTGACACCGCCAATACGCACATCTTTAATTTCATCAGTTGGGTTGTATTAATGTATCTCCTAATGGGGACTTATATGCAGCAAGCTCTGGTAAAGATATATCAATTGGAAAATTAAATAATGAACAAGCAGTGGTAAGTGCTATTCTCGTGTTTTAATAAGGAACAAAGAGAGAGAGAGAAAACTTAAAGGTGTGTATAGCGAACTCTGGAAGGGCATCTTGATGATGTTACTGTAGTTCAATTCTTTCCTAGCAATCAAGGTAAGAGAGAGAGAGAGAGGACTTGTTGTACAATTGGTCTTATCATTCATGTGTTTTTATATGAGCAGTTTTGTTGAGTGGAGCATCTGATTTCCAAGTAAAAATCTGGTCTGTATTGGATGGCAGCAACCCAGTAACTCTTAAAGGACATACCTCAGGTATTTGAGCATTTAATTACCAGTGAATATATTCAACCAGTATTTTACACAGGTTAATTCTTAAATATATATGTTATTAGCCATCACGGATCTTGATATTGTGGGTCGAGGAAAGAATGTTCTGTGTAAGTAAAATTATTGAATGAATTTTTTTTTTAAAAAAAAGGTGGGAGGGGGTATGTTACTTACTAATTTGTATTGCGTTTTCCTATCACTTGATTTGATTTAGCATCTTCGCGTGATGGTACAGTACGCTTGTGGCATTGTGGTAAGTATTTTACTTTTACTTTTATTTTTGTAAATAGTACAAAAAGAAGTAATTGAAGCTAAACATAAATGGTGTGGGAATGTGTAGGTACTGGAACAACTATTGCAGTCTTGGGTGATTACGGTACCATCGTCAATAAGATTAGCGTAGTGGCTTTGCCAGCCAAGTACATGTCGGTAGTTGTTGAGGGCACAGATGAAAAAGAGAGTGAGACTGCAGATAAGCTGGTATTAGTTGGTTTGAGCGATGGTACAGTCCGCGGTATTCACTTAGGAACAAAGGAAGAAGTAAGTTCGTGTAAAAAGGAAATATTTGTATATCTTATATACTATGTGGGTCTAATAAATATTCTTGTCTAGTTGTTCTCTACATTACCCAAAGATTCTGCTATTACAGCGATTGCCTTTGATGATAATACCTCTACATTGTGTACGGGTGATTTGCATGGCGTTGTAGAAGTATTTTCTTTGTCTGATACTAGGTAACTTAAATATTAGGAGGGAGGGACAGCTTGTTAAATAAGTTCAATGTTATCTAATATATAATTGGATTCATTACATAGTAAACCTTTGGTCCATTGGAAGCGCAATGACCATTCAGTTACTGCCTTGACAACAAGATTAAATGAAAATGGTGACCGAGTATTATGCGTTTCAAATGGTATATTTTTTATTTACACCTTTGAAAAAAAAAGTACTCAAAATAATTTAATTTTTACTTTATAGCGGACGGAAGTGTGTACCAAACAAACTCTTTTGAATTAGTATTAAAACAAGGCTCTGTAGCCTTGGAAGTAGAATATACCGGAAATGAATTGGAGCCTGTGCGAAGCATGGTTATTCTTCCCAGTACAGAAACAATTGGATTCAATCGTATTGTTTGTGGTGTTCGTGATGGAAGCATTAACATTTATTAAGATATATTACATTATGTACTCAAATGAATGGTTTTGTATGTATTTGGGTTCTTTACTCCTTCTCGCTTAGCTTCCATGTATTAAAGTAATAAAAATGAATGAATGTAGATTTTGTTTATCTCCTGAATTCAAATGGAATAGTTTGTAAGTGCTTTTTGGTTTTCTCCTGTGAATCCATCCACTTTTCTTTCTTGTTAAAAAAAAACAAAATACGTTAAAGGGATTTTGGTACAATGAATATGTGTATAAGAACTTTTCGATAATCTTACATTGGTGTGTACCCCCTAAACAATTTTCGCCCAGGGTTATTGTACACTTTATCCTGATTGAATGTATAAGTTTGTTAAACTTTAGAGTAGGTTCTAAATAGGTTCTTATGCTTTTGTTTCGTTGGTTTATTATGAATGATGTGGATTTATAGGAAGTGTAATAATTTATACGTTCGAAAGAATTTATGTATATATAAATAAAGTACAAAGATTAATTAATGAGAAGAGGTGTTTTTTCGAGCAAAGATTAGAGCACCTCCTGCTCTACCCTGACTTGAGTTTCTCACTGCGTCCTTTCTTGGTGTAGACTTTCTGTTGAGCTTCTGGTTACGGAACGAAAGAATCTTTGCATCGACACTTTGAGGACGAGGACGGTTGTTGAGTACTCGAACGGTATATTCACCTACTCGTCTCTCAGTTTTCTTTGATTTCTTTGTTTTGCGCTTTTCTTCCTCTTCTTCCTCTTCCAATCTTTCAAAGTCTTCGAGTGACATATGGTTTCGTTTTCTAGTCGCCTTTTCTTCTTCAGCAAACTGAGCCAAGAGATCGGTGGGTAGCAATTTCTTGGTTGATGTAGTCTCTTCTGCTTCTTCGTCTGCTTCGTCTGCTTCTTCTGCTTCGTCTTCTTCCGCTTCGTCTTCATTTACTTCATCCTCTTTTTCTTCTTTTTCTTTCTCGGCAACCTTTTTTACGGCCTTTTGTTTGATTCCTCTTTTACTAGTTGCCTTTTGCTCCTTCAATATCTGGTCACGCTGTCGTCGTTTCTCTTTCTTGAGTTGGGCAAGTCTAATAAGATATAATAAAATTAAAATTAATTGAATTAAAATTGAATTTTTTAAAAGAAAAAAGAAAAAAATTCAATACGGGATTTATATGTATTGATTTGAATCTTCACCTGGCTGCTTCGTCTTGCTGTGCCTTCAACTCTTTGGCGATTGCTGACTTGGTAGCTGAGGTTGACACAACTTCGGGAGCATCGTCATCCGAGTCTTCCTCTTCTTCGACTACATCGACAGTTTTTTTGATGGGTTCAGGTACAATAATCTCTTCATCCTCTCCAAAAATCTTCTTTGCCATTTTTATGTCTGTGTGTGTGTGTGTTATGGAGGGTAATTGCTGTTAGAATGCGTGAATAAAAAATAAATGTAATGCAATATGTGTGGTGGCTTGTACAGTAGATGAAAGACAGGTCACACAAGAGGGGACTGGGAGGGTATCTTTGTAGCGGACTATAATTTATTTTTTATTTTTTTGCTTAAGCTCATTTTAAGGTACACACACACACATACACACACACAACAGATACGCACGCACACACTCATACAGAGAGATAATGCGTATGTTCGATTGCTTATCTTTGTGGGACAAATCTTTCTCTTACCTCTTTTTATCTTTCTTTTTTTTCTCTCTTTCCTTTCTTGCTCTCTTGCTCTCTTGATTTCTCTTCTTTTATAGATGAAACGCTTCTCGTCTGCAAATACTGATATTCCAGGAAAAGGTATTCTGGTGTGTCAATGCCATGACCGTGAAACACGCTTTTCAAGGATCCATGCCCAGTATCCTCTGAAATTTATCCCGACCAAGGCATATGCTGACCGTCTGGCGGTGGTGTATATGCTTAGCTACGGAGGAGGTGTTGTTAGTGGAGATATGTTTGATGTGGTGATTGAAATTGAATCACAGGCTATCCTTATGTTGCTGACTCAAGGCAATACCAAGATCTTCAAGGACAGGATCCAGCAACAAAAGTGGATGGCCTCTCTTGCCCAGACAACACAACCCTTGCTTGGATTTTCTACTTTGATACCCTCAAACTTAATCAAAGCAGAAGCAGAAGCAGCAGCAACAACAGCAGCAGCAGCGACAGCAGAAAAAGAAAAAACCTTTGTAAATCCAGATGACGTTAAGGTGTCCCAACAACACATCACAGCCGCTGTGGCGCCTTTAGGTACACTTATCATTTTGCCTGATCCTGTTACTTCTTTCCGTGATTCTTCATTCCAGTCAAAGCAAACCTTTCGTCTTGAGGATAGTTCTTCTCAGCTGGTCTTGTTGGATTGGTTTACGAGTGGACGACAGACCCGTGAAAACTGGTGTTTCCGACACTATATGAGTCATATTGATGTCTGGGTCGGTAAACGCATGGTATTAAGAGATCGCTTGGTTTTGGAAGATGAGGAGTATATGAGAAAAGACGGTTCAGAGGAGACTTCATATGCATCTCGTCTTAAGCCATATACTTGTTTTGCGACGCTTATTATCATCAGTGCGGACCCTACCACGGTCTCTGATCCTCTACCATTGAAGCAATCTATTGACTTCCTTCAGGAAAAGGCAGAACAGGTCCGTATGTTACCCAACTCTATGCACAGTCCCGAGGACAGAAGTATCTTGTGGTCCACTAGTCCTCTTCTTGGCGGCAGGGGTGTTTTGGTTCGTATTTCAGGGATGACTACTGAGCAAGTTAGAGATTTTGTTAAAAATGAGTGCCTTGGTGATGGACTAAAGGGTATCATTGGAGAAGGAATGTTCAAAAAGGTTCTCGCTTAGTTAGATAGATAGATAAAGAGAGAAAAGGCCATGATTTACTTGTATTCTTTATATTCTTTGTAATTTTTTTTGTATTACTGTATTTAATAATGTGAAATGGTTTTATTAAGCCAAGCTGTGTGAATACGCACATATTGTATGTTGGTCTTGATGACTTTTTTCTTTTAATAATAATAATTCTTATTATCATAAAAATAACATTTTTCATATATACACAGATTGAAGACCCTCGATTCTATTTATTATTATTATTATTATTATTACTATTACTATTATTATTATTATTATTATTATTGAAACAAGAAAGGGAAAGCAACAGCAACTGTAGCAACAGCAACTGTAGCAAAAATAAATAAATAAATAAGAAATTGTCAAGAATGGGAATAAATTTGACAGAAACAGTTGAAAGCAAAGATCATCCCTGCATATTTCTCTCTCTTTTTTTTTGGTTTTGGAAATATGCTTTTAAGTATGGGATGAGTTTGTTTTCACTGCTGCTACAAGGAGTACCAAAAAGAAAAAGAAAAATAAGAATCCTTGAGCCTATAATGGTCAATATTCTGACTACGACCATAAAAAGGAGGAGGAGATAGAGGGGAGTAGGGGTATAATGGTGAACCTAAAGTGGAATGAGATTCGGTGATGTTGATTATGTTGATTATGAGAACTATCGACTCTGGCTAGGCTCTACTCTGGCCTGACTAGATTCGACAAATTTTCTTCGGCGAAGATAACTACATCATCATAATAATAATAATAAAACCAAGTATATTATATTAGGTTTACTTAATAAGAAAATTTAAACAATTTATTAATTTATTAATTTACCTTTTTGGTTGTGGCCTGCAAAGTACATGGATCATGTTTTGAGCTGGACTGCCCTTGTTAAACGGATTTGCACTAATGCCTGGATATTTACTGTTGATTATTGAAGCACGAAGCTGCAAAGATGATCAAAACAAAAGTAAGGTAATATTAGTTTAAGGAAACCACAATTCTATTTTCGCTCTTTCTCTCTCTCTTTATTGATAATATATAATATAATATAATATTTATATAATGTATAGGATATACCTGCTCGTGGGTGGTGACGCCTTTGAAGATCAGGGAACAGTGATAGAATGTCAGGCCACCGACCATCCAGAGGAGAAGAAAGCAAACGATGGCAAGAACGAAGCTTACTGGAGCTGCATGAAAAACCGTAATAAAGGTGATGTTCCCAGAATGGTCTCTGACTATAAGTAGGAGATGTACAATCGAAAACACAATGACAAATAGGCAGAGAAAGGTAGCAGTGACAATAAATGTAAAGAATGGTCGGTAATTTCGTTTTCCAATGCAATTATTCAGCCAGATACAGTGATGATCTTCATTCTCTAGGAAGAAGAAGAAGACATAGAACGTTAGATATATGTATGTATGTATGTATGTATGTATGTATGTATGTATATAATTCAATAGGACTTACCCACACAATTATCGCATTGGCGACAATGGCTGGCACGAGGTGGTCTATAGAGCTTACATGTATCGCAGTAACGCAGTGCCCAAGTGTTGTCTCTGATCTTTACTTCTTTTTGAACTGGGACGTGACTCCACTCAGATTCACCGTAGTATGCTGACCCTTGGTCATCAAAGAACTCGGGCGTAGGGTCTAAGTCGCGCGGGATGATCTGTGGGTCGTCTTTGTAAGCCGGTAATATTTTATCTTATTTATTTATTTTATAGTCATAAAGAATATACATACTCCGGGGTCAGTCCAAGAAGTCTTGATCATCGAAGCAAATGAAAGAACAAACAGATAACAAAATACGATAGGAACAGCTGGATGAACATTATCCCATAAGAACGGGCAGCTACAATTTTTTATAAATAACATATTAAATAAATATTTTCCTTTAAAAAAAAAGAATTCTTACGTAAATATACCAAATAGAACAGATGGACCAACAATAAGTACAAGTGCAACAAGGAATGCCCAATATTCTCTGCTAGTCATAAAGCGACCTCCACAAAAGAACTTATTGCGACCTGGAAAGTCTTGGTAGTTACGTCTCTGTAGTTGTGGTACTGCCAAGGTTTGGACTGGAGGTTGAACTTGGATGGGGGTAGACGAGATAGTTGGATTAATCGGTGCGGGAGAGGACATGAGTGGTGTGGGTAATGGAGGTACATAGGCTGGACTTGATTTGTAATTGTCTGTATTTAATTGACGTGATTGTCCAATCAGGGTTGTACTGTCATCATTTGTCATGTTTGAAAGGGATGTAACACCTGAACAGTGAGGTATTGGATCTTCGTTGTGAGATGAGTCAGTAATTGTCTTTAGACTGCTTTCATCCGTGGCTGAGGCGTTACTTGAGCGAATGAGACGCTGCTTAGAAGGGAGGCCGAGGTTCTCGAGGGAATCTGGGACTTGGGTGTCTGTGAATCTTAGTATGGAATTAGATTGGAAGAAGGGTGACAGGGGTTGGGATGTACTGTGCAGTCCCAGCCTTGCTTCATCCCATCCAGCAGGTGGGGCTATAGAAGTTAGCAGTCTGAAGCGACTCTCGGTCGAGGGTACAGCAGAAGTGGTCGCAATAGAAGAAACTACAAGACCCGGGGGATTCGACTGTTGTAGTGTTTGCGGTGGCCGTTTTGGCGAACTGGCCATTGCAAAACTTGCTTTTTACAAGGGATGGGGTTAGCAGAAAAGAGAATCCAAAGTGAAATGATTTATTTTATTTGGAAACGATGTTGGTCGCACGACTCAGTGAGGGCACACACACTCTTTCACACACACACACACACACACAAGCCCAAACATTCATACAGAATACACACGTATATATTTATATACAAGTACTTATATACACAGATACATATATGTATATTTATATTTATATTTATATTTATATTTATATTTATATTTATATTTATATTTATATATAAAAGTGTATCTTTGGCTGGGATATATTCTTCTTCTTTCTTGCCTTTTCTCTTTCCTTTCATCGACGATCCTTTCTTTTTATTTTCTTAATATATTATTATTATTATTTGCTTTCCTTCTCCCCTCTCTCTTATAACCCCTTGTTCCTTTTATATACATATATATCTTTACCTATACTATCTAAGCTATGGAGTTGATGCAACACAAAGACACCTCTCTTAAGAACTGGTGGAAGAAAGTCACCTTGAAGAAGCAGAACACTCGCAAATCAGGTAAGGGACTATTCACCCAGCAAGTCTAGCCACTGACCCCCTCCCTCTGGAAGACTCAGTTCAGGTTTTCGGTGTACCATTGGAAAACAGTCTTGAATTATCCAGAGCAATAGTTACCTATACAGACAATGGCAATAAACCTATTGTAGGCTATATACCCACTATTGTTGCAAAATGCGGCTTCTTCCTCAAAGATCAGGGCAAGTCGAATCAAATCAAATCAAATATATATATATATACAAGAAGCTTTACAGAATTGATGTACTAAACATATCATTACCATTATCACTATCACTATCACTATCATTGTTACTCTTATTACTCTCACAGGCCTATATACTGAAGGAGTGTTTCGTATGAGTGGCAGGTGAGAACAATACTTATCAGACAGAAAAAAAAAAAAAAAGAGTTGGACTGACAGCACAACACACCAGCGCAAAACGTATCGGTGAACTCCAACTCATATTCAATACCCCACTTGACTACGGCAAGCAATTTGACTGGAAAGGCTATTCTGTCCATGATGCTGCTAATGTTCTTCGCCGCTTTCTCAACTATATGCCTGAGCCTGTCATTGTCCACGAGCTATACCATCCTTTCCGTAATGTAATGGGTAATATAAATATATAAATATAAATAATAGGGTCGATTTATCAAGTAAAAGATATATATATATATATATATATATAAATATAAAATGATGGAGCTGATGAGTTTATTACAGAAACCGAATCTACGGATATTAACCGCATTAGGGCATTTCAACACCTACTTGATCAACTGCCATGCGAGAATCAACACTTGTTATTCTACCTCCTAGACCTCATTGGCGTATTTGGCAAACATGCGCACTACACCAAAATGGATATTTTCAATTTGGCTTCAGTATTCACACCCGGACTTCTCCTGAGCCCCGAACACGCAATGAACCCGATTCATTACAAGACATCCCAGAAGGTTGTCCAGTTCCTGATTGAGCACCACGCCAGCTTCAAGACACCCAAACAAAGCGGGTCTGAGACTGTGCTTGGTCTACAGGACTCGGCTGGATCCGATCGTTCGTGTGCTCTCGAATCTCTCTATCCCGACTTTCACTCTGGACTCAATATGCAGCCAAGTATTCATTCATCACCATCACCATCACCATCACCTTACGGAAACTCTCCGGCCACACCTTGTTTCCATCCTAATGACATGGCATTTGCCTCCTCTGATGAAAAGCATCTTCTTCGTGCAAATACCGTCCCTGCCAAACGATCTCGTTATGGCTTTCATGATCCTATCCAGACCATTCATATGAACGAGGGAACTCATGTCTGATATTTCGAATTATTGTTTTTCTTTGCTTCTCTCTTTTTTTTTTGCTGTGCAAAATAGAGAGAGAGAAAAGAAGAACAAATATCATTCATCCTTTTGCTTTCTCTCTTACGCTCCTAACCTACATCTTACATACACCTTTCATCTACATAACTGCACACACAATTCCCTTGTTACTTGCAAAGAAAACTGGTGTTTCTACTATAGGCATACATATAGAATTATATAGCTATAGGCATAGTAATTTATCAAAAAATATATGTAAATGTAAATGTGTATATATATATATATATATTATATATACGTTCTATACATCACTCGGGTCACAAAGATCAAAATATAAACCCAAATTGAGTTGTGTGCGATTAATCTGACTGATTTTATTATCGTCATTATTATGACTATTTTATTATTTTATTATGTTATTATCATTCTGTTCATCTCAATTGTTTTTCTTTGTGAAAGCGTGGCATTCTGGCAATTATCCAAATTCACTTACTTTGCGCCACATGGAGCGGACCCATACTTCCCGCTTGTCGGGGACCCGAAAAAAGGGCCGCAAGTACGACTATTGAGTAACTTTGAGTTGTACAATCATTAAGAGAGAGAAAAGTATATTTTGTCATATAACACACAACTTAATAACATTCAAACCAAAAGCCTTCTTTTATGTGTGTGTATATATGTATATATATATGTATATATATTAGAGGTCAATGATAATTGTATAGCTTTCTTACTTTTGAGTTTATACATTCTATATAGATTTCAATACAGAAATTAACTAGCTACAATGTCATATTCTGTAATAAACTTGGATCAGGAACCAAATCTTTTATTGTCGTTTTTATTACTACATTTTGAAAGCTTACTTTTTAAATTTTTCTAATTTATTTATTTTTTGGTGAGTTTCGTATGGCTTAAAATATTACTAAATTGTATAGTTCCGTTTAATGTCGCTTATGTATATATATATATATATATATACATATGTCATATGAAAAGGTAATATATAATCCAATCAGTGCGCTTAGATGTATACACACCAAAAAAAAAAGGGTCTTTTTTCTATATCAAATAATAAAGTAATTGAAAAGGTATATAACAATGATATATTCAATTAGTAGTGCATGCTTACTCCTTACATTTAACAACAAAAGATAATGAAAGCTTTTGTTTTTTTGGGGGGTTTCTCTCTCATAATCAACAAAGCTAGTATTTCCCCTCTTTAAGACCTTAATCATGGTTGAGATTTGTCGTCTCTTTTTCTTTGTGTTTGTAAGCCATCGTAAGACCCGTAAAGGAGTATAGAGATTCTTTGCCTCGTAAAAATATTAAAAAGGGGGAGGGCAAAAATAATCAATTTGTCTTTTATGATTAATTACAAACATTGATAAGTGTTAGAGAAAGATATGTATGTATATAGCACAACATTAATTCCTTTTTCAGGTATTGTTCCTTTGAGTCCTTCAGTAAAATGGAAACCGAGTATATAACATATATTGTGCTCTCTTTGAAAACGTGTTGGGAATGAAACAAATGCAACAGTAACAACAGCTTTAACGGCTATTATTCAGTGGTCGTGACCGACTGAATTAATGAACCCTTGAATGATAAGGAGAAGGTTACAAAATTCTTGTTAGTACGATGCTCCTGGGCTAAATATTTACTGTAATTTATCCATGATTTGAATTTTGTATCCATACACATATAGATCTATTGAACATTAGTCAGAGAAAGAAGAAGCAAAAAAAAAGTACATCTATACAAAGCCACTTCGCGGACTTGATCGACGTCGTTTATGACGATCATGAACTTTTAAGCAATGGTTGGTGACACGAGCAATATATGCCAAGGACGATGCTTCTTATAAATGTTGCGGCATAGAACGAACAGGCATATGACAGCTGTTTCTCAAAGGGTATCAAAAGGGACATATTCAACAAACTAATGTATTAATGATACCTTATTTCTACTATATATTGACGCGACCATGAGAAAGAAATAAATATTGCTCGTGGTTAAAATAAAATAAATATATTTGTGTCTGTGTGTGTATGTGTGTCCTGGCAAAAATTAACGCTGCGACGACGATTGCAGGGTGGTATAAGAAATGAAAGTCGTGATAGACACATTGGTGTCACTTGGCGTATCGGATTCTACAGTCTGTGGCCCTATTTTTTTTTATATTTTATTTTTTTAGTTTTAGAGAAGATTTAGGCGCTTATTTGTGGGTACCAATGTTCTACAAAGACTGGGAATGCCATACACTCAAAATAAAACCTTGACAGTAGACCATGTCCTTCTAGACGTTGCTTTGACAATGTAATAAGAAAAATCTCTTGGGCAGATAAAGTATATATGAGACATCTTGACTTGACCTTATCCGGTGAACTTTGCATTTTTGAAAAGAAAAACCAGAAAAATAAATAAAATAAAATAAATGCCCGAGTTAACCTTGTATCTCGCCGCTCGTTTTCCGTTCTTGATGGGCGAGACTTTGACGGTATTCTAAAGAATATTGTTTCCATGAAATTCAATTAATCCAATACGTTCACCTCTTACTCTTACTCTTACTCTTTCTCTTTTCTACTTTTGTTGAATGTATTTTTAACATGTCTTTTCTTGTTCTTTAATATATTTAACTTGATTTTCACTTAATTACTACAATAAATATCTTTGTCGATTTTGACTTTATTTCTCGAACCTCTCACGAAATTAGTTTTGAAATGTCTCCAAGTTCATGATATTTTGATAGCCAATTCCAGCCTCTGGTTCAGTGTGACCTTTTTCTTTAGTGTGGTGGAACAAATCATTTTGTACTGTACGACCTATAAATTATTTGAAGAAAAGATGGACCACATCATAAAGACCTCTTGTCTAACCAACTTGGCTAGTCTTGTTTAGATTAATAGTACATAATTCATTTAGAAATATGTATGGGTTTATCAATTGATGTTTTTTTTTTAAAAAAATTCTATGTATTATTATTATTTAGCTTTATATCTGGCTACTACAATATTTTAGACTAAAGAGCTTATTTAGGTTGTCCAAAAACTAAAAAAAAAAAAAGTTTATCGGTGGCTTATAGTCCATAACGAGTAAAATTATCAAGTAAAAAGAAGAAGAAAATTGAATCCAAGAGTCTCAAAGTAAAATACACTTTAATCTTTTGGGAATTTGGAATAGATAGAGTATATACTTTTTTCTTTCTCAGGGCAGGTACTTAGATCCAATTATAACAGCAAGTATATTATCAGTATTATTTTTCAGATGAGCAAAACAGTCTTTCAACTACGTCCCCGGCGGTTTAGCATTCATGTGTTTCTGTTGTTCTGTGGCTCTGTGTTCACTTGGACTTTGGAGAGCTGAGTATTCACAGCATATTTAAACAACCACAATATATGGCAGCCCTTTACCTGGTAACCTTTCAGTATCCGAGCTATGTATCTGCCAAGATATATAGAGTATAAGGAACATTCTATAAATGGCAACTATTGCTTAATTGCCTTTTCTCCTTTTATACTGTCATTCATAATGTTTCCTATTGTCCCTTTGAGATGAGGATCTACATTAAAGACATTGATTTGTTTTTTAGTAGTAAGCTGTCTATTGATCGATACAACATGTTCGTTCCTCAAAATGTATATTTATTCATTAAAATACAGGTTCTGTAAAGTGTGTGTGTGCACGCATAAATACATATATATATATATATATATGTATATCAAAATCCTCTCGTGGCCTGATTAAATCTCCCAGATCAAACAGAAAAGAAAGCAAAGGATTCCTGAAAACAAATTTATACAACAGTAGCATTTCCTTTAAAGTCTAAGGACATTGATGAGCACATCTTTTAGATGTTTTTTCTCTCTCTCTTTGTTATGAGAGCTCTACAAGTCATCCACATAATTTTATGGCCAGAGCTCAATTATATATTACCTTTTTTGAAACCAGATCCGATGGCTTTGTGGATTGTAAATCTAAAAGGGGACCACTTGTTCTACTATTTATTATCAGGATAATATCCTTGAAACTTCACTGAAAGTAAATAAATTGTACTAAACATTCCAGAATTCCAAGTCCCTAGAATATAACATTGAATAAAATATGTATATAAAAAGGTCCCAGGTCAAGTCTACCTCTTTAACTCTTGAATTATATTTTGAGTACAATAGATGGTCTGACACTAGACCACTATTCTTATTATTCTTATTGCTTTGTGCCAAATTCGTACACCCCTTTATTAGATTTATACTAGTGTGTATCATACAGCTTATACTGGTAATGTATTTGAAAAGTAAGCTGTTTACAAGTATCAAGACTTTATAAATATTTGGATTAAACAAGATTTCTTTTAGTTATTTATACGTTTATAGAACCTATAATTGCGACTTTTTTTTGGGGTCAATTGTATTAATTAACATTATTGAGGACTTGATCTTTTCCTTTTTTTTTCTGCTGTCTATCTTATAAAATATATAAAACCAAATGCTGTGATTTGAAGAAATGAAGTGTCTAGAACATACTTTTAAAGTTTAGCTTTAAGTTGGGTTTTAGGTCTCTTGAAATATAATGCTTTAAAGGTATACTTAATAGAAACCAGGATATTTTTAATTGCTGTTATACCAGCTTTCCTTCTTCTTCTTTTCTTTTTTCCTATCAATAAAATATAAAACAAACCAAGAAGTATATTTCTTTGGCCCCGGTAATATCTTCAAGGGTAGTCTGTTAATACAAATTATTCTAGGCTTTTATACTGTTCATAAAAACAAAAAATAATAAGAATATTAGGTCAGGTCAGGTCAGGTCAGGCCAGGCCAGGCCAGACCAGGTCATTTGCCTGTGCTACTTGACAAAACAAGTTCTAGGTTTTACACTCTTCGTTCTCTATACTTCTTCCCTTCTTGCTCTCATTTTTTTTATTGTTTCTGTTTGTGCTTATATTGCTTCAACAAAAAAAAAGGAAATTAGGTGAGCTGCCAAAGTATAAATAAGAATTCACTTGGCCAAAGTAATTAATATATACAGTCGAGGTCTCAGTACAAGAAACAAATTGAATGTGGAGATGCCTGAGTCTAAAATATACATATAAAGCTAACCCTATTCATTCCCTTTAACAACAATAGATCCTGTGTTTGCCTGTCTCTGTACGGTAGTCAAGCAAGGCTAGACTGGCTCGGGGCCTTTAATTTTTTGATTTTTTCGTTACTTGGTGGTTGTAGTCGAGTTTTACTTAACTCAAACTAACAAAAGAAAGGCAAGAAATTAGAATATGCTTCATAAATAATGTCTTGGGTATTGAGCTAGCTGAATTGAGGTAGGGGGACGGGCTACATCAAAAAGCACATTTTCGAAGTGTGTCTAGAATATACAGACTCACAAAGCTTACCTTGAAGCGTGAGGTGTATTTAGCTAAGCTATATTTTGACTTGGAAGGGTATCATGGAACTGATAGCTTACTGAAATAGCTCAAGAATAATTCCTATGTATAGCGTGATCGAACCATGCGATTGGTGGGTATTGATATATTCTACTAACATTATGTTCCTGAAAGATTAACTTGAGAATAATATATTTACACGCATTAGTTATGCTGACCACAGCTATATAACTACAGATACGGCAACAGTTGTTACCTTGACAAATTAGTCTGTGCTGCTTGACTTTAGATTTTATTTATTTCTTTCTTATTTTGCGTACCCCAAATAAAATTTCTGTGAACCGTTGGGTGTACCTCATTTGCCACACCTAGATTCTACCAGTTACAGCTAATCTCACAATATTTTCTCTCTCTTTCTCCCTTCCTGTATCTTTTCACAGTCTATCCATATATCAAGCCAAGCTCGTTCCAAAAGATAGTAGAATTAGGTAGAGTTATAGAGCTCTATGATAAGGATATATAAATATACATTGCTCGTATCCTGGCGCTATATGTATTCGTGTGCTCATAGTTTAATATTAATAATAAATACAATCAGAATAATTAACAGCATGTACCATTGTGTTTTCTGGTTTCCTTGTTTATATTTCTTCTTTAAAAAAAATAATGTCGCAATTCAGATATTTTATTAAATAGTATGTGTATGAGTGTGCATATGTTTACTTGCTGTCAATTTGGTTCCAATGGTGCAGTACGCATACAGGAATGAACCGCCTTCGTGTGACTGTGCTGACGGAGCATTGGCGGCGACGAACCAGTCACTGTGAATCTGCATGAAATTTGGATAGCCCCACACCTCCAAAAAAGAAAAGAGCCGTCTTTGACACTACTCTTTGACAATTCCATTTCATACAATTACATTTCTTTAATTTCTGATATTGCTACATAATGAATCCTCACAAATTAGCGGTCAAGGCCATTAGAACAAGTCCTCACATTGGCTTCATTACACCAGAAAAGATTATGAATGTGTAGGAATAAACTAAAAAAAAAAAGAATGACATTACATTGCATTACATTACGTTACGTTACGTTACGTTACGTTACGTTAAATGACATTTCATTAAACGAACATTATTAACAAGCTGTTTATTTTCTTTCATGTATTAGCTTTCCTTCCCTTGCTATCTGGGGTATTGCTGGTGCGGCCGCATTCTCTCTACTTGGGTCTGACGTGCCTATTGTTCAGAAGGACGTTTTGAGCAAAGTTCCATTTGTAGGTGGCTACTGGTTTGTCTCTGGCAAAGATCTTGAAGAATAAATATGTCTACAGACGCGTTGCATTATAATGTGTTTTAATACATACATATAAGAATTTAAATAAATGAATAAATGACAATTGGTGGGAATTGGTTAAATAATATGTAATGATTGGTTATATAGTTTTTTTGTATAATAATAATGATACTTGATTTGTGGTTTATTTGTTTATGTGGGTCTTACTTAGAAGCCAAATCACGTATTTCATTGGTTATAATTAACAAAGTGAGAGAGAGAGAATAAAGGGAGGAATATTGGAGATTTCGTTTTGTGATATGTGTGACATTAGTATCAAGACATGGAAATTTGGTTGAGATAAACCCCAATAAACAATAAAATGTGCTTGTTTTGTTTTGTCTTGTTTTGACTTGTCTTGAAGATAGTAATTTGGACTACAAACAAACATAATGTTTTCTGTACGCATAAAAAGGGATTATATTAAAGTGCTAGAAAATAATATAAAATCAAAAAAAAAACGAGCGACATTGACTTTAACAAGTATTCTTATTACATTTACACCTCTCTTTCTTTCTTCTTGATCTTCTTCTTCTTCATTCTCCTTCCTACTCTTTTTCTTTCTTTCTTTCTTTCTTTTTTGCTTTGTTTTTTAAGATGAATATAATTTTTAAAAGCGCCTTTGGACTAATGTGTCTTGCGTCTTTTACAAAGGCCCAGACTTTCTCTGAAGATGCCATTTTACCCTGTCAGAATCTACGGTCAGAGTTCTCAGAGACATCGTCTGGTTGGATTGCCCATAGTTTGAATATGGATACTTACGAAATAACTCCCTCTGATGGCATCAAAATGGTCCTTTTACCACCCAAGAAATACATTCGTCATTTCGATGAATCAGTAGGCAAGTTTCTTCTTATTACAAGTATTATCATTTCTGTTTTGGTAGGCTTGCTATCAATGCTCACTATTATATTGTATTTACGCTACTGTTTATAATTTCTATTGTTTTAGAATTGCCGTATAACGAGTTTGAAGGCGTTGGCCCCACCTTCAATTCAACAAACTATATGAAATATGGGCGCTTTTCGGCTACAGTCAGATCAGCGCCTGTTGGAGGTGCCGTCACAGCCATGATTCTGATGGCAGACGGTGGTGATGAGATTGACTATGAAATACTGGGAGGTATGATACTCAAAATCTATAGTATAGTGTGGATAAGAAACAATAATAATAATATGGCAATACCTTATTGTTGTTTCTGTCCGTGTATTTCTTTTAGGTGATCCAAATCATGTTCAGTAAGAAACATTATAGTTTGTATAAATGCGCGGATAATTTATTTATTTATCGAAAAAAAAGAGACAATGACATGAATATTAACTGATCCAATATTCGTATAGAACAAATTACTTTTATGGAGGAAAACTGGAATATATAGTCAATGGAGGTCTTCATGAGGTTTCTGGTGAACCGATCTTTGATGCATTTCACACCTATACAATCGACTGGTAATATTAGTGTATGGATAATATAAAACATAGAAAGACCAAGAAAAAAAATGAAAAGGTTACTAACGCTGTTTTCCGGGGGACATTAAGGAGTCCAGAGCGTATTGTCTGGGAAGTAGATGGTATTGTGGTTCGTACACGAGAGAAGAAAGATACATGTGAAGATGGAGTCTGTAAATATCCTACACACGCAGCGTAAGTTGGTTACCAAGTTTACATAAATATATACCGTTTTGCGGCTGTAATTAGTGCATTTTACATATATGTATTTGGTTTAGTCGTGTTCAACTAGGTTTATGGGATGGAAGTACAAAACCAGGAACTGCACAATGGGCTCGAGGACCTATTGACGTAAGTATCTAAATAGACTTGGATTTGTGTAGACTTCTTTAGAATATTTACAGAACATTTATTCTATATTATATATATTAAATTTATTTATTCTTACTCAATTCAGTGGTCACTACATTCATCGGTCAATGCTTATGTAAAAAACGTTGTACTTGAATGTGATTCGAGATATAATTCGATAATGATTAGTGAAAATGCTCCAAAGCCAAGTGAAAAGGAAGTCTCTATATCCAACGGAACTCCTTCTGTGCTAAGCAGCGAGTCACCTAATGTAGCCAAGAAAGAAATTGCTTATTCTCAACCATCCCAGGCATTCCGTATTCCTCTTGACATATTGAAAGTCGGTTTATTGGCCGTTTCGTTAACATTCTTTTTTTAGCCAAGAAATAATTCTTGACTGACTCAATCTCTCTCTCTCTCTTATTTTATTTTATATATACATATATTACTTTGGTTCTTATCCTGTGTTATAGCTCATATGTATCATCCTATGTATGTGTGTATCTGTGTTTGTGAGTGCTTGTATACTAGACTATTGAGAACAAAAAGAAAGAAATAAATCTCCTTGGATGATTGACATTAATGACAGTATTGATCTTTACAAAGATCAACCTTTTACAATGAAGTGTATATATCGAATAAAGATGAGTTTGGTTCCAAATAAACTACAATGCAATTAGAGAGGTCTCTGAAATACATATACTGGACCTACAGTAAAAGATTTTGGATGACATTCACATTAGGGAAAAGAATGCAAGTAAGGGGTGTATATCGTATTTCTGAGAATTTACGTATTTTAGAAAGGTCATGGATAGGAATGCTGTCAGAACCCGGTGGTCTTACTGTTCTATAGAAATAAAGAAAATAAAGAAATACATGTATACATGTATATATATATATATAAAGGAAGCGGTGCTGATGCAAATTATACACCCAAAACTAAATATAATAATCTACTTTGCTTAAAAAGAAAATAAAGAAAAAGAGGCAGAAGCAAAAAGAAAATCCTCCTTTGAATCTTGCTTTTTATTTGTGATTTTGTTTATTCTCTAAAATCTTTACTTCTTTCCTCTTTCTTTCTACCTCTGCATCTCCTATCCTCTTTACCTCTATACACCTCTTCTGGTTCTTGAAATTTATAGATATGTACTTTCACCCTTTTTTAGATCATCGGGTAGTCGATTCGCACCCTGCAAAACCACATCGTGGATACCAAGCAACCCTTTCCAAAGTAAAAGCCGCCCAGAACTGGAAACGCATTGGTCCTTTTCGCCACCAAATTGACTTTAAGCATAACCATCGCCCAGACAATATACCCTCAAAACCCCAGATAGTCCCACGTTATATCTACGACAAAGCCGCCTTTAAGCTAAAAGCACGAGGCCTGAAAAACATCATCACAAACTTTTCTTCTGATCCACATGTAACCGTACCAGCTGCACCAATTGTACCGGTCGTACCAGCTGTGCCTATTTTACCTGATGTGCTTTCTGTAACTATGGTACCTTCTGTAGCTACTGTACCTATTACCTTACGAAAGCAGTGCCTTCGATACCCAGATACCCCGCAACTCTCTTCTAATAACTCATCTACATCTCTCGTAACCTGTTCAGAAGCTACGATATCTGTAGAGACACGAGACGTGTATGTCCAGACATTGTCTCAATCTGACGTCCAAAGCATTGTATCTATTCAGACTGGCCTTGCTTCTTCTTTTGTGTCCATGTCGATCCATGAGTCAGATGAAGAATCTTCTTTTGAATCTTCGTCTATTTTGTACACCGACAGCGACACCAACAGCAACAACAGCACACCTTTCCAATCAACCGCATCTTTTCAAAAACAGACTTTACCTACCTTGGAAAAGACCCGGACAGCATGGACTAAACCTAGTCAATATCAGGGCTACTTAAAGCCAAAGCAATCGATTAAGCGAATCGGAAAAATGGCCTGGAAAGTCGTTTCGCAGGCCACTCGGCAGCTCTTTGAGAGATCATTTGAACCCTCGCGCCGGTTGTCATTTTCGCCTGGATCTACCTATGATGATCTTGATGAATATGACGATGAATATGAAGCTGGCAGTTATGACGCTGATCCAGAACAAAGTTTGGACGTTACTTCGGTTGAACTACAAAGGTATCGATTATGGATAAGAATGAGAGGAAATAAAAGGAAAATTAAAAAGATAGAATAACCGAATCAATCAAAATTCTCTTCTCTTCTTTTGTTTCTGTTCTCGCTCTCGCTCTCTTTCTGGTTATTGTTACTGCTGTTGCTATTATCATTATTATTAAGATGGTATCTAGATAAAGCTATAAGAGAAGAAGGTCGAATAGAAAGACGGTTTTCACCTTTGGATTATTCTCCAGTCACAAAGCCGGTCTGGAACGGAACTCTTCATTGTAAAGGTTAGGTCGACAAGCGCTTCACAATTTGTTCTAATCTATATGCTTTACTGTGTGGGTTAAACTATTTATTCATTTTTTGATGTGTCTCTTGCTTTGTCATTTGATTTAGTGCTCCAAGTAACAAATCTTGGATCTGCTAAAGGTGAATTACATGTTTACTTTGACATTTACCTTGAAATAATAAGCATAATTATAAGCATAAAGCAAAGAGAAAACATGCTAAAACATGATGTTTAATTTGTTAGGCCTTAAATACGAACTTCAAATACGCTGTCATGGTATTTCAAAGGTTACAAGGCCAGGGATCATGAAAAAAGTAGCAAAAGGCATAAGTGCAGCAAGTCCACTTGAATTATTTTCATTGCAAGTACCCAAAAGCTATATAAGTAACAACAGCAGAAAGAAGAATGTATATATTTATATTAATATATTTGTAGTGATATTACTACTCCATCAAGTATTGAGTTTGTTCTTGTAGCTCGTCCCAGAAATTCGGCCACTCGCTTAATAAGCTATGGTGTATCAAAAGCAAAGAAACTGCTGTATCGTAGGATCCGTTTGCTTCGGGAAGACTCTGATGATTCTCTGGGTGATGAGGCGTGTGAAACTACTCAGTGGATTGGGTACAAACGTATTGATTTGAATGAGAATATGGATAGAGAAGTCTCTAGTAGACACCTTTATTCCTTGGCTAGTCCTTTTGAAGCAGCTCAAGTGTGGCAACCTGAAATTGCTGTTGTGTACCGATTTCAGCCAACCCAACCGATATCTGAGTTTAGCTATCCAAATGGGCCAGGTACAGGAACTGATGAATACTTGAATATAACGAATGCCTTGAATCATTGTAATCGTGGCGACTATCTTACTATATATCAACAAGGTCCTGGATGTCCTGTAAGGAGAGCATCTTTATTGAACGTTGTTTTTACTTATTTACCTTTTTTTTCTTTAGTTGTGGATTAGATATTGGGCTAGGCTTGATAAATATAACATTGTACTTTATAGACTCTCTAATGAGGTAAGTATAATGGGGGGGAGGTTACAAAATCTGCATTGTTTTGTTTTTTTTTCTTTATAGATATATATTTATTTATTTATTTTATTTGCCTGCTTGTTTATGTGGGGTTTTTGTAGCATAAAAACCCGGCTAGTCTTATTTCACTCAAAGATCTATGCTTTGTCTCAACACCTCTGGAAGACGAAGAGCAGATTTTCCTTGGCAGACCTCTTGGGCTTGTTCTAGACTTTGACAACGATCACACAGGGAGTTATATATCTGCAGACCTTGAAGAGGGCAATAGGATAGGAAGACAAGAATACATTTTGATGGATAGCTTGACAAATGCGGATTATTGGTACCGGGCATTATTGTATTGTGCAAATTCGTTTCAAAAACAAAGGAGAGCTGTCTAGAAACCACTTTAAAAAACAAAAAAAAACTCCATTTATTTATTTTATTTTATTTATTTATTTATTTATTTATTTATGTGTTTCAATTTTTTCTTTTCTTTATGTGCTGTCTTGGAAGAAGGAAAGGAAGTAACTTGGTCTATAGAATATCTTTCTGATGACTTTAATTGAGTCCATAACAAATATTAGTATTAGTATTAGTATTAGTATTATTATTATTATTATCGTTTGCTAAAAGAGTCAGAATATCTTGTGTGTATGCGTAATACATATATAGAACATTTGGGTCAATTCAATGCATGTTTTAGTGTTCAAGTAGGATGAGCATTAACTGTTTTTTTACGTTTTACCGTTGCCCATAGCAACTAACACATAGTATATATCAGTTGCCTAACAACAGATGAGAAAGAAAGAAAGAAAAGAAAAATCAGGTTTTTAACGTAAATGTTTGGATTTGTTAAGATACATTTTGTTCTTTGCGCTATTTAATATCTGTTATTCAGAAAATCAGTTTCTGAAGTTTCCTTTTTCAGTAAAATTAACATAAAACATATATATTTTATTTTTATTTTATTTTTCATTTTCATTTGCAGGGTTTGTGGCAAAGCAAAAAAAAATATGTATTGGAAAATTTTTTTGATTTAAAAAATAAATAAATAAATAAAAATTAGTATATAAAAAATAATATAAAATAATATAAAATAAAATAAAAAGAAAAAGACAAAAAAGAAAGATAGATAAAAAAAAGACAAAAAAAAATTCCCTTTCGGGAGGTGTAAAACAATAAAAAATCTCGATTGAAATTTACCCCTTTCGCACCCCTTTTTCATCACTAGATTTTGAATGATGAGCAATGAAACAACTAATGCCAGCAGCCTAGACCAGCGATTCGGTACTTACTTAATACTTCTAAAATAACAAAAGCCTTGTCCACATCACCAAAGCAATCAACTGACGATCTCACTCTCATACTATATATCATTGTTCTGTTCTGTTTTGTTCTGTCCATGTCTATATATACATCTTTATATACATTCATAATGCTATAAAACATCATTATATACAAACATATCCTTTCATTAGCTGGAATGGGTATTAATGAGAACAAGTCTGCTCCTCCCGCTTTCGAAAAGGGACGCTATGTTCCTCCTCATCTGAGAAACCAGACTTCCCGAGAGGCACCCCGCTCAAGCTCCCCTGCTTCCAACAACAGCTTCTCTAGAGCTGGTGGTAACAACTCTGGCTGGAACGACCGTCCCGGCCGTGGTGGCGGAGGGTATGTAAAATTAGTATCAAGACACAAGCAATATAGATGAGAAATAAAAGGGGGGGGGGGGGGGGGGGGGGGGGAGTCAAGTAGAGTGGAAAGTGAAAAAGAAAAGGAAGAAAAGGGGAGCGTAGGGGTATATGATTAAGCAACACTAGATATAACAACAGCGACAATAACAAATAATAAATAGATAAATATATATGTATATATGTATACATGGCTTATGTAATATGTTATATGTAATTAATTACTGGATCCATGATTATAGATGGAATTCGTCCCACTCTGATATGGGCAACGGTGGTGGCCATGAATCCAACTCTAACTTCTCTGAACGTGGTTCTTATGGTGGATATAACAACAACAACAACAGACGCCGTGAGGACACTGGTTACGGTCGCCGTGATGAGGGTCAGGGTTACTGGAAGGATGGTGTCCACCACATTGGTGCCCGCAACCCCCGCACTGAGCGTGAGTTGTATGGTGTTGTTGAAGATGTTGACCGCCAGCACACTGGTATCAACTTTGAGAAGTACGACGACATTCCTGTTGAAGCAAGTGGAAACGATTGCCCTGAGCCTGTGACCCAGGTAACATAAGATAAAAGCATTATATATATAATATAAAAGAGGGATACATACAGTTACTTATGTATATATATATTTGTGTTTGTGTGTTATTAGTTCACTTCCCCTCCTCTTGATAGCCATCTCTTGACCAACATTGAGTTTGCCCGCTACACCACTCCCACTCCTGTCCAGAAGTACTCCATCCCAATTGTTGGAAATGGCAGAGATTTGATGGCATGTGCCCAGACAGGTAATATATCATTACTAGCATTATTATTCATGTAAAACAACGTGGGCTTTCCGACATGGTCAGCAAAGAGATAAAAAGATAAAGAAGTCTAATTAATGAATAAAAATAAAAAAAGGTTCTGGTAAGACTGGTGGTTTCTTGTTCCCTGTCCTTTCCGAGCTTTTCCTCAAGGGTCCCATGGAAATCCCTGCTGAGGATCCTAGCCGTGGCTACCGTTCCCGCAAGGCTTATCCTTCGGTTTTGATCCTTGCCCCTACCCGTGAATTGGTTTCCCAGATTTTCGAAGAGGCCAAGAAGTTCGCCTACCGCAGTTGGGTCCGCCCTGCTGTTGCCTATGGTGGTGCCGATATTGGCAGCCAGTTGCGCCAGATTGAGCGTGGTTGCGATCTTTTGGTTGCCACCCCCGGTCGTCTTGTTGATTTGATTGAGCGTGCACGCATCTCGCTGGCCAACATCCGTTACCTCGTTCTTGATGAGGCTGATCGTATGTTGGATATGGGTTTCGAACCCCAGATCAGACGTATTGTCGAGAAGGAAGACATGCCCGATGTCGAGGAGCGTGTCACTCTCATGTTCTCTGCCACTTTCCCCCGTGACATCCAGTACCTTGCCCGTGACTTCCTCAAGGACTATGTCTTCTTGTCCGTCGGTCGTGTTGGATCTACATCCGAGAACATCACTCAGAAGATCATGTACGTCGAGGACGAAGATAAGCGTTCGGCTATTCTGGATATCCTGCACTCTACCGAGGTTCCTGGTCTGACCTTGATCTTTGTCGAGACCAAGCGTATGGCTGACACTCTGTCTGAGTTCTTGCTCGACCACAACTTCCCTGCTACCTCTATCCACGGTGACCGTACCCAGCGTGAGCGTGAGCGTGCTTTGGATTCTTTCCGTAGTGGCCGTACCCCCGTTATGGTCGCCACTGCTGTTGCTGCTCGCGGTCTTGATATTGCCAATGTCTCTCACGTCATTTCTTACGACTTGCCAACCGACATTGACGACTATGTACATCGTATTGGTCGTACTGGTCGTGCTGGTAACACCGGTTTGGCTACCGCTTTCTTCAACCGCGGCAACAAGAACATTGTCAACGATCTTGTCGACATTCTCAAGGAGGCTAACCAGGAAATGCCCAGCTTCTTGGAGTCTATCTCCAGAGAGTCTAGATCATTCGGTGGCGGACGTGGTGGACGTGGTGGTAGCCGCGGTGGTCGCGGTGGCAGCTTTGGTGGTAGAGATTTCCGTAAGCAAAGCGACTATCCCCGTGGTGGCAGCGAGTAAGTTCATATATATATATATGGTTAGTTGTATCTAATATACTCATTGCTATTATTATTATCATTTTAGTTATGCTCCTTCCAGCGGTGGTGGTAGCAACAGCTATGCTTCCAGCAACAGCTCTTCCAACTACCCTCCTCTTGGTGCTAGCTCTGCTTCCCCCAGTTCCAGAGCTCCTGCTAGCAACAATGTGCCTCTTCAGTACCAGACCAAGACTAGCTGGTTCTAAACATTTTTATTACTTTATTTTTTAGATTTGCTTTGCATACATCGCTGCTCTCTCTCTCTCTTTATCAATCTATTTCGTACTCGCTCGCTCGATTTCTCTTGCTTTTGCTCTTGCTCTTGCTCTTGTTTTCGTTCTCTATCTCTCGTTTACTTTCTTTAAAACAAAAGAAAAGAAACTCCCCTCTCAAAAACAAACAAAAAAAGGATGTTATTCCCGTTCGTGGATGTCATACATACAACATTTCCCTAACTACTGTTTTATTCTTCATCACTTAAGACGGGTTATTTTACATTATAGATTTCATTTTTATTCACTACATTTGCAATCTAAGTTTTTTATATACATGCTTTTTTTTTAAAAAAAAAATCCCTAAAACCAAACCCAAAACTTTTTACTTTTTTGTTGTTGTTCTTGTTTTCTGCTATTGTACAAGTATAAATTTTAATGTACGGGCATGTATATATATATAACATAAAGGAGAAGGGGGGTTATCTATATGCTTGATTTTTATTGGAATATGTTTCTTAGTGGTTATTGCTTAGCTTTATATCATAGGTGAAGAAAGGTAGAAGATACATTAACATACAAAGCGAAATAAAGGGAAAGCATTGAACCACGGTTCTGGAATTGCCACTAGACTTTTTTTTTATATTTTAACTGACAAATCCCCGGTTTCAGGAATAGATAAATGTTATTGATGGTGTCTGACGAGTGAATACCATGTGTGTTTGTATGCTTTTAGATCAGCGGTAACAAACTTCATAGGCCAAGAATTACAATATATGTATATGTGCAAACCCTATATTGATTATGTTTCACTAATCCAATAGTATATACATTTTTATAAAACTGAATTGAAATTCATAAAGAAGTGCATTGACAATATTTTTCTCGGAACACAAATCATATCAAAGTAAAAACCTACTATGTATGTCTAGTGTGTTTATAGAGTACAAAATCAAGATTCATTTTCTTTTCTTTGATCTGTGTGTATGTGTGTAAACGTTTTTGAAGGCATATCAATTATTAATTAAATACTAAACTACAATATAAGATAAATTAAAATAAAATAAAATAATTAACATTGATCGTTTTCTGTGTCCTACCGACCTACTTGGTTACCATAGTTACTATCAATGCTTATTTTACTCGATTTATTGAATATAAAGTTTAAATCAATTATTTTTTTGGGTATTTGAATTTTTTAAAAAAAAATTATTTGGCTTTTTTTTCTTTAATTTATTTGTTAAACAAAAATAAAGTATATATAAGAAGAAAAAGAAGTGGTCAAATGTTGATAATGATAATGAAATAAAATAAGCAAAATATAAGTGCAAACGGTGTTAAGAATACAAAAAAGATAATAAGGATAAAAGATGTGTGTGTGTGTGTGGTAGTAGGGGTAGTTATCGATATATTATATATACAAGGTTGAAAGTGATAGGGTAGGATAGGATAGGGTAGGGTAGGATGTAATAGGTAGAGAGAGAGATAATATGAATACTTGTTATAATACTCTATTTCATAATAAAAAGAAAGGATTAAGATATTAAAATATTAAAATAAGATGGGTAATAAAAAAAAAGAGCGAGATTTATGAGAAGGACTCAATCAAATCTTCGACGGCTTCTTTGGTACCAAAGATGAGACCAACGATGCCCATCACAACAATCAGGGCACACCATGCAAGCTCGTAGAAACGCTTGTTGCGCCAGCCAGTTAGCTTGAAGTAGAACAAGACTGGGAAAATGAAGATGAGGGCACAGTTGGCAAAGGCACCAATCAGAGACATGAGGTTGTCGAAATGGGGTACGACACAACCAATCACACATACGACGGCTACAATTAGGATACGAAGAGCGGCACGGATAAAGAACTCGCCCCACTTTCCGAAGCGTTCGACAGAGATGTTGAACATGTCTTCGACGTCGAGAGAGAAGGAAGTCATCAAGATAGGAGCAGCCATGAGAACGTGAATGGTCATCAAAACGATAGCAACAATCTGGGGAGGTCCTTCGGGGATACTGTTGTAGATCGGGTTAACAACGGTATCACCATAGACATAGTAACCAGGAACAGCAGTGACAAAGTACATCAGAACACAGGTGGTCAAACCGCCGGCAACAACTCTGGGCCAGAGATTGGGTTCTCTCATTGACTTTTCGACATGAGGGTAGACGGCATTGCCACCGAATGAAAACGAAATAGTACTGAGGGCAATTGGGAACTGCTCCCAGATTACACCGTCATGATGAACGTTGATCTGGTTCTTCTCATCCACACAGGCCATAACCAAAACGATGACGACAACGATGACAGTTGCAGAGGCACCAAAGGCACTCATCCAGGCAACTTCTTTCATTGATTTGACGAGAATAAAAGGAATGGCGACAATGGCAGACGAGATAATTGTCCAGGGAATCGAGCCGATTTCACCGACGGTGCCTTTGCACAATTGATTGAGGTTCTGGCCGGAGAGGACCATGTAGAGGACTGGAGCACCAAGCAAAATCCAGGCGTTGAAGAAGAAAGTAACCCAACCACCAATCACACCAAATGATTCGGTGGCAATGGCTTTGTAGTTGACAAGTCGTTTCGTGGTTTTGCTTGCGTAAAGGCAGCGAATGAGTAGAATACCGGTATATACTGACATCGACCAAGACAAAAACAGGATGAAGATACCTACATTAATAAAACAGAATTGATGTTAGAAATTTAAAATCGATTGATTGAAATAATATGTTTATATAAAATAAGAATTTAACATACCGATCCAGCCACCCTGTCTAAGGGCATAAGGAAGTCCGAGAGTACCAGTACCGGCTACAACACATACGACGTTGAAATAAGCAAGGAAAGCAGATCCCTTGTGTTCTTCGCTGCTAGGTGTTACAGAAGCTTCATAGTCTCTGGCTATTATAGATAGAAAAGATTATTAGAGCTGAATTGTATATAAGTTATAAAGTATAATTATATACTCACTGCTTTGGTTATTCGTAGACAGTGAGTCACTAAATGTAGCCCCTTTCTTCTCTTGAATGGACATTTAAAAGAGGTGGAGTAAGATGAAATAGGGTAGAAGATTAGGAAGAAGTATAAAACAAAGGATATAAAACAAAATCTAAATTGACATTTGCTTCTTTTTATATTTGACTGGCAATTTTTTTGTTTTTTTTTTGTTTTGTTTTTTTGTGTATCAGATAAAGTTTGGTTGCTAGGAGATCCAATGAACACAGTGTTTTCCTAATTTAGAATGCTCTCCAAGGTCTCAAGTCATATGCTTCTACCGGCGCGTTTATAGTAGTTGTGCTCTGTAGACACAAAAAAAATTGTGTGTGTATGTTTAGATTGGCATTCCGCCCCGGGGCAAGTTACTCCTATTTTAATAAAGAAAATAAAAAAAATGTATAACATTATAAGAGGAAAAAACATCAGATTAGGTTTTCCCACCCTATAGATGACCAAGATATATTTCACACGATACAGTAGTAATTTTCCCTCGGTCATTTTATATATATACTTCAGAACAGCTTACATATATACATATATATGGTAAAGTAGTCCTTAAAAAAAAAGGTAGCCTTCTGTCATGACAACCAAAATATATTTAAAAAAAAATGAGTGGATTAGGTCTAGTCCGATTGGTTGACACCACCGTTGACGCCATGAGTCAGTAAGACAGGCTGCTAATGATTAGTTGGCTGGGCCATTATTGTGAGTACACCAAGCGGAGAAGAGGCGGTAAACAGAATGAGCGTTGTGTGTGTATTGGTGGGTGTGTTGATGTGGGTGTCTTTTTTTTTTATTTATTTATTTACTTTATTTTTAATTTTTTGCTGTAGCGAGTGAAAATTATTTTTATTATAAAAAAATTCTCTACTTCTATATGTGTGTATAAGAAGTAGGTTAATACATAATAGACATAGACATAGACACAGATGCAGACGCAGACGCACAAGAAGCGTGTTTCTTTTGCTGTACTTCAAGGAACCAGCCTGATTTGAGTAGATGAATGCTAATATATCCCCGTGATATAATGTACATAATAAGAATCGAAATGGCCTGGTTCGATTAAAACAACAAAGATAATAAGAACAGCAAGAAACCATAGAAAATTAGTCTGCCTATTTGATTCGGAATTCTCACGATAATGAGAATTAGAGATAGGGAATTGGATAAAGATATTGAGCAACATAACAATAATGATAATGATAATGATAATGATAATGATAATGATAATGATAATGATTTTTATTTAATGAGTCTGTGTATCTATGTGTGCCTCTCTCTCTCTCTATCTGGCTGTCTCTCTGTGTATATATGTATATATAATTATAATGATAGATCGTTATGTACATATATAGTAGGCCCAGGATTAAAATAAAATAAAGAAAAAAGTGATTCGATCGCCAATTGGACGATTCTCCATACCCACTGATACTGATTTTGATTAGACATTTTAGGAAATAATTTTTGTATAGTAATTTATTTTTTATTTTTTAATCTCATCTTATTGGCTAATGAGATTAAAACACTACTTTATTTTTTTATTCAACTTTTTTATCCATATGTAGTTAAAATATTCTTTTATTCTATTTTAATTTTTTTTTATCAATTATTTATTTATTACTTTTAATATTCTTGGGGGGGGGGGGGGGGGGGGGGATTCAACTCATATCAGATGATTTTCAATTATATAATGAATATCCTCTTCACAAGTAAACAATCTATAGCTGTCTTGGTATTTTTCATATATATTTACTTGTTTGATAGCAGATACTGTATCAAATCAAATATCTTTTTGGTAGACAAGGTAAGGAGCTGTTCCCAAAATAAATAAAAATAGTTGACTATGATTTAATCCTTATAAATATACCTACATCAGCTACATTAGCCTGTGTATGATTAAGTGATTAAATCAAGAATAATAGCAGAATACATATATATATATATATATATATATATATTGTCGATCTACTGGTAATAACCATATTGTTTACTTGATTAATTGAGCACTATCCTTCTTTATATTATAATATAGTATTTTAAAAATAAGGCAATTTTTCTTTTTCTTTAAAGTATATCGTAAACACTCGTTAATCCACCGTCCCACATCGTCAGCTAAACATATTGTGCTTAGGACTTTGATAAAACTATACAAAGCTTAACTACTTTTATTAATTTATTTTAAAAAATATTGGAGCTACTAAACTATACTCAATTCTACCTTTTTCTATCTCTGTGTATGTGGGGTGGAAAGTTATTTTTTATGACTATAAACTTGACTTTATGGTTTGTACTTAAAAGACGTGTAGTAAAAAATAAAGTGGTCTGTTTAAATAAATATCTCGATCATTACGTAAATTGATCTGACTTGTTCACTTAATTAATTAGTATACCTTAAAGGGTCTCATTAGCCGTATCTATTGCATGAGTATAAGAAGAAGAAAAGAAGCTCTTTGGTATAAATTGGTCAAGTGATTTATTTCTTTGTGTGTATGTGTATATTAGGAATCAGCCTTATAACATTTAAATACATATATTTATGGTCCAATTGACGATACAGATCAGGATAAAGTCTATTTTTTTTCGATCTGAAGAATATTTCTTTTTTTTAAAAAAAAGACATGAATATTCGATGATGCTAAATGGTTTGTCGTTATGAGTGTTTGATGGGCAGAAAGCTTCAGATGTATGGATTAAATTTTACTTTACTCTTGGAATCGACTAACGTCTGTCAAATAGACAGCCCCTCTTTCCATAACAGACATTGGAATCTAAACGCGAGCCAATTAAGCCATGATGTATAAATCCAGGAGCATGCAGTTTGTTTGAATAGAACATAACAAAATAACCTAAAATAAAAAATTACAATTGTACAATTGTACAATACAGTTTGCCTAATTCTTATTTTTCTATTAATTTATTCGTTTTTACTGGTACAAATCTTATTGACAACAATGATAGGCCAAGTTTCCAAAAAGTCGGCTTCCGTCAATAGCATCCTTGCCAAACATTCAGATTTATAAGGTCTCAGACTCCCCAAGTGAGTGATTACCAGTAGTTGCTATCTGAGTTTACCTCTACGTGCTCGATATTTGTTGTATCAAAAAGGGGAATGGTGGAGATTTTGGGAAGCAAACACGCGCAGACTTTTGAAGATAGAATTATATTCTTATATCAGTATGAGGAAGAAGATAAGCTCTGAGGTACGTCTTGATTCGGTTAATTATGATTGCTGTAAAGCTTTTTCTGTAATATTAATTGCTTCCGGCAATGTCTCTAGAAAATTTAAGGGTCCATATTCCAAAAATTCATGTTTGAACTTGTGTACTTTATTGTAGAGCTTACTACAAGATGATATATAATATGGCTTTATGAAACCCAAATGGTGTAACTCCCGTGAATATGAGAGTAGCTGCGGTAGTGGTGGTTAATATTGGCTCTACATGTGCACCTGTTTTTTATTGTATTTTATTTTGTCCGTCGTAGTTTGTGGTTCTGTTGTCTTGTTTAATCTGGTGGGTATGCTACATGACATATTAAGTTTTTAAATTATTAGTGTAAGTTATACAGATCTTGTAATGGTGCACGAGAACTTTCAAGTCGCCCCAGGAAGAACACAAAGAGTTTCAGTCAATGTTCTCCATGTACGAGGGTGAGTTATGCAATCACCCGGTTTGTACACAATCTGGAGCTGTCTCATATGCAGCTATTGGTTTGGGTGGGCGGCAAATTTTGCCGCAATGATGTTCCTGGAAGCAATAAAATTGAAACCATGAGAGTTTTTTGATACCTTTCAATTAATAGCAATGCATGTGTAGCTGTTTGTGGTCTACATGTAGGGGATAAGATCAGTGGCTATTATTATTATGTAGGTAGTTTTATATTGTATAAATATATTATGATGTGTGGTGCGCTCCTTTCTTTCTACCATTCTTGGGTTATTCGACGGCTTTGATTAGAGAACAATATGATATACAGCATACTTACGTGAAAGATGATTGTCGTATAGGGAAATTGGCCAACGCGTAGTTTTGGCTTCATCTCAGCTCAAGAGTCAATTAATTCACTCTGATCAATAATGAAAAAATAAAAAGCCTATAAGCTTCAGGGCAACCATTCTCATCAATAATATATATCTATAAAGAAAGAAATAGGGTATGTAGTCATGTTAAGCTCTAAAGGTTTTAAATAGAGACTTTCTCTCTTGTAATGTTTTTGGAACGAAAATATAAGAATATAAACATGTTTTCGGAGCAGTAGGTGACAAGGTTTCTAGAAACACGACGAAGTTTCACTTTAATTAGTCCCAGTTCAATTTTTTGATTGGACATGTATGTTGTTCTCAATTGGGTGACATGATTCGCTTTTTGATTAGCTGCGATAATATTTTTATTATTGTTGTTTGCTGGATTGACTGTATATACGTATTTTAAATAGATTTCAAACTGCGTCTTGTCTGTGAAAAAGATTAATTGATTGGTTAAATTGATCTTGAAACATCTTATACTATACCCCCAGAAAAAACAAATGAAACTAATATGTATATCCTATCTTTCTTTTGATTGGGATTCAAAATATTGCAAAACTTCTTATTTAGAAATGAGTATTTTCTTGGGTCGCATTTTTTGCCACACCATAATAGAATTCACCTTTAGATTGGTGTAATTTGCTTTAAAGTTGGTGCTACTAGATCATTATTATTATTTTTATCTTATTTTATTTTATTTTATTTAGATGTATGATAAAATGGTCCATTTTGTGCCCTGATCGGAATTGAAGCTTTTTGTGAGAGTAGCTTTATATTTCAGAGAAGTGGGTTTATTAGGGTCCTGGTTTATCTCTCGAAACATAAACCAATATTAGTATCGGTGTAGCACGAGCAAGTGAAAGTGTGTGTATTTCCTTTTTATTTAAAAGAAAGTGTTCTTAAATATCCTTATGGTCGATTATAAAATAAAACAAAATACGCGTAGATCTTCAAGATATTGTCTACGTGAAAGGATTAATGAAACCCGGATAACATATACCCAAGCAATTGAAGAAAGGTTAATCAAATAAAGGCGATCATCTTTCTCTTTTGTTTTAAACACAGAGAGAAAGAACAGTCTTTTTTCCTGTCCTTTTCGTTTTTGAATAAAATGTTAATCCTAATTAAGTCTACTTATATTAATCTTTAAATACAAGACAAGACAATAAAGCAAAGTTTCCTATCTTTGATCTATCAATTGAAGCAGTCCAAGGGAATCACATTGATCGGACATCTTTTTGGACTTTAATTGTTCCCTCTGTATCGTTATTGTCTTCTTTTTTCTTTTGTATATACAGTAATATAGTAGGTATTGTTTTATCAGGCTGAGCAATATCTCACTCGACTGTATTTCTTGTGTGGCCAAAAGTTCATTGGGTGGTATAATCAATTGGTTGTGAGTTTTGAATATTTTTTTATACTTTTCATCACGCGTGTTTCTGGCTTGTTCATATTTTTTCACTGGGAGTCCAACATACAATGTTCACCTAAAATAGGTTTTTGAATTGAAAACCAGAATAATGATAATTGAATATCACCCTAAGCTTAGTGTATGCTAGAAGTGCCAAAGTTACAAGCCCTTCGAATCAATCATGTTAATATTTTTCTACAGTGTATTATGTTTGGAAATAATTTTATATTATTATTATTATTATTATTTATACCAAAAGTGACTTGAACTGATTATGACATTTTTCGGGATCTTTGTAGAGTGTTATGAAATAATATGTAATCCGGATTAGGGGGGGGGGGGGGGGGTTGTTACTGGCTACATATCTATTTTTTCAAGGCATCAATAAAAGCAACAGGGTGGAATCCAGAGTTCCTTTGACCCCTACAAGACCTTATTACTAAAGTCCACACATCTGTCTCCCGCACCTACGCACTAAACAAGCACATCTTCCTTGCCGAGCTGACACGCAACCCTTCCTTTGACTTAAATAGATGTATTAATCAAGCTTTTTTTGTCGGGGTGTTTCTTTCGTTAATTGGCTGTAATATTGGCTCTTCCCGCATAACAGAAAGAACAAGGCTGAGCTGTGAGCTCATATCCCGCCACAACAATACCTATATTCATAACAGCTCCTATACTCGCATCTCCCTCCTAAACGCTCCCCAAATTGCTATGTACGAGGCCACAAAAATCCACGCCGTCTACATAGTCAATATCAAGCTGAGGTTTGGGCGGCATCTCCACTGAGTGATTGATATAAAAAAAGACGGCGAGAGCTTACCCAATATCTGCATAGACTTGGATCAACCGAGGAACAAATCAAAATAATGCTAACAAATCATATCTTCGAATCCACCGGGATGTGCAAAGAAGAAGTATCAACTCTCCAACTTGAAAATATCTTCACTGATGAGTGATACAGAACAGCCTTCATGGCAATCTCTCCTATCTTGACTACCTATTAAAAAATATACAGGTTCTGAAAGGACTCTATCTACTATGGCCCAAAAGACTCTCCACACAACCACTTCCTCGCCTTCTTCCGTATGTTCCAAGCCTTAGAAAATCTTGGGTATATATCCTTTAACTGCTTCTCTCTTCGCCGATATTGGTCACCAGGCTACATTCAGATTGACACTAAGATACTATACCAACAGCTCTTGAGAAGAACTTGGTCAGAAGAATTGGATAAGCTAGAGCTGTGGGGAATAGTGGTGGACTTGGACGAAAATGATTTCCGTGACCAGCAGAACGGCGTGATGAAGTTCAGAGGAATAATTCAGACCAATGGTGTTGGTATTTTCATTATCAAGCAGAACCAAGGCACCACCCAAGAACCATGTTCAAGAAGGACTACCACAATCAACCCTGAAGACATTCCTTACAGTCATGACTTGTCCCCAGAACAGCATGAAAGAATCCGCGGGCGTTGTGTCCTTATCGATCCTGGAAGAAGAGACCTTTTATACTGCATGCACTAAGAGTCTACGGCTGAAACGCCGAGATGTTACCGGTACACCTCCAACCAACAGAACATCAGACTCAAGAGAACCAAGTTTCGTCACATTCTTCAGGATGTCAAAGCTCAAGCCCCCAATGTTATTGCTGTAGAACTTGAAATCTCCCAAACGTCGGGACAAGCAAATAACACCGCAAACTTTGCCTTTCATACTTCAGTCGAAGAAGCCAACTTCTCTATCTTCTCTTCTTTTTATACTAACACCTTAAGTCATACCAGCAAAAGACCCTTGTTCTGCAAGCTTCCCCTCGCTTCATACATCAATCAACATAAATCCAACAAACGTCTGGCCAAGATTGTGTCTTTGTTATGGAAAACTGGTCTGCCCCTCATAATAGATATCACGAACCAATCGAGGGTGTAGGAATGAGGAAGTTACTTTATAAACATGGACTTTATGTCTGTTTGATCAATGAGTATGCTATCTCTAGACACTGTCGGAAGCGCTGCCAACCGTCCCTTTGAACCTTCAAGCAAGTTTTCGGCCCTCGTCCATATTGTCGCACCCAAATGTCAACTGTGACACGCCATGATCGGTTAAGGTAAATACAACGACTACTCTATTTTTATTATCATTTATTCTGACAAGTCCTTTTAGATGTACCAATCAAAATTGTTTAGAGAACACAGATCGGTCACAGGTTAGACATCGTTTGTGGAATCAAGATCTTGCTGCTGTCCTGAACTTCCAAAATATACTTAACTACCTGAGACATAATGGTACTATATCTAAAAAGCTCGGCCGTATCGTTTAGAATGGACGTATTAGAAGACAAGCAGAAGAATATATTTAGGATGGGTTGTCGTTTGATACAAAAACTGACAGGAATTCAAAGAAGATTAAAATATTTCCTCCTGACTACCGCCCAGGGCTCCCCCGAAATACCATTGGTAAGCTATTATATTTGAATAGTTTTACTGTCTTTAGTTCTTGTACTGGGTTGAAGGGGTTAGGAAAAGATGTTTTTCATTGACTATAAAAACACGGTGGCGTAAAAAGTGGGATAAATATATAAAAGAGAGAAAAATTGGTACTTAGTTAAAATTACTCTTGCCCAGGTAACTCACTGTGTAATTGTGTTTCCAATTGAGACGAACAATAAGGACAAGTAAAGTGACAAGGATCTTCTTTAGACTAGCTTAATATTTAAAAGAGATTACTTGATGACTTTTTAAAAGGCATGAATAAAGTAGTTTACTGACTGAAATATTTCTTTATTCGAGAAGAATCTAATTGCATTGTCTAACAACATAGAAATTTGAAGAATTTCTAATTTTTTACTTTCTCTATTTCTTAAATCATATCAGCTAAGAAAGATGTATAATAATCCTTGGAAATCAATTTGCTATTTAAATTTTAAAAAATGGATGAAAATTTTGTTTTTTTTTACTACATAAAGCTTTGACTGTATCAAGGATATCAGATAATGTAAAGAATTAAGCAGCATTGAAAACCCTGGAAACTTAAGAGACTTTAGAGACTTTGAAGGCTTTACATACTTTAAGAGTTATAAAAGTTATGGGATCCATAATGACTTTAATGGCTCTAGATGCTTTAAAGACTTCAAAGACATCAAAGTTTTTAAACAATTCAGATATCAGAAACATTTTTGTTATCATCATATACATGTTATTATGCATATACTATATATATAGTAGTACCTGTGGGCCCAATTGAAATAAACAGTAGATAAGTAGGTAAAGTTAGAGATAAAATTGCATGCCATATAGCAATTGAGTTTACACAAGAGAACTACTGGCCATCAATACAGCTTTAGAAATTTGAAAGGATTTCATAAATTTAGACAAACGGGTAGTCCAAACGGGTAGTAAATACTTAAAATTGATAACAGTATAAAAAGCATACAAGAAACTGTATAGAAGTATTATCATAAATGTTAGAATATGAGTATGAAATATATGAAATAAAGAAAAAAGAAACTAAACAACAAGTGCAATTATTGTTATTTTATTTGAACCAAGGTTTTCTCTGTCTTAGAATAGTATGTTGAAAGCTTGAAAAAAAGTGGGCCATTTATGTAAATGAATTTATTAATATACTTATCAGCTCTTCTTTATAAAATAATCCACTCGATCTTAAAGAAAGAGTATTAGATCAAATAAAAGCTGTAATAAATACTACAACTCAAACATTTCCTAGTTCTTTCATGAATAAGTACTCAGTGTGGTTTCAATAGACAAGAAGACGATAAATACGGCAATTTTCAAAACAAAAAAGGTTGGATAGTCTAATGACTACTACTACCAAAAAAAAAGGCCTCAAAATATCACTCAAACATATTTTGAGACCAAATCTCTCGGCAGCGTAGTCGAATTGGAACTGGTATCTATCAACTTGGTTAGACTGAAAACTTCTTCTTTTTTTCCTTTCTTTCTTGTTGCTTCATATTAATTTAAACCCTTAAACGGAAAGCTTATTTCTACCCAATCAATTGAGTATAGAGCTATTGTATATTTTATAAAGAGAAGTAGAAGAAATAATTTTTAGGGATCACTACTAGGGCAGATATTTTATCATCTGATGTATGAAAACTGATATGAGCTTTGATATATATGTATATTAACTTTTTTGAGGATAATACTCTAGATATTATTAATTAAAAGCAGCAAAAACCAAAAGAAATCATCTATATCTTTATTGAGTTAATTAAAGTGTTATTACCCTATTTTTTCAACACAAATCCGCCTGAATAAAGAAGAAATCGAATCGAGAGCTTGATAAAATACACAAATCGAATCACACAGACCTCTTGTGAGCTTACAAACAGCTTGGAGACAGTATGACTTTTACTTTTTTTTCTTTATCCGTTAATTTTAGAATGTTCTTAGAATTATCTAAATAGATCGGAAGACAATCTTCTTAGATTTTAGTAACAAAGATTAGTATGTTATCAATAATAGCTATTTTATTTAGGAATATAACCTATAAACTTCAGACACAATATTCTATTTCCTATCATAGGTAATACTTTAAAGAGTACTATAAGCTTTTTTCAAATATTATCATTAGAGTCATAACATCTTTCTTATAATGAGCAAAAATAAAAAAGAAAAAAAACTTAATAAGTTAACGGATACATGTAAAGATATACATCTTCTACTAAAAAATATATATATTTTCTATCTTGTTCAAAATACACTTGTCAAATTAAATACACATTCTTATTGGCTATATTCCATTTTTTCAATATGTCGTTTTCGATCTGGGTTGTTCTTCCAATGCTATAACACAGCCAAAATTGGTCAAATCCACTGGGAATCGTAAACGAAGATAAAAAAATAAAAAGAGGATAGAAAGATAGATAACTTTTATTGAATGAAATAACGCCCTCTTTTACATCTTTTCTAAACCTACTCAGCCATTATAAATGTCTGTTTCGGTTTCTATTCTACTTTTGTTAAGCTATGTGCTTTCTAATTCTTTTTTGAGCAAAAGGAAATCACTTCGGTCGTCGTTCTCAAAAGAGAATTCTGTGTAATCGTCATCCTGATTGGCTGACAAGAATTCGGGCACGACAAATATTTGCGAAAAAGATGGAAAAAGAGGTCTCGCCGAGATTTGAACTCGGATAATGAGAATCAGAATCTCAGATGCTAACCATTACATCACGAAACCACACATGTTTTTAGCATGTTGCAAAATATATAACACTAACATAATTTATAATATAAAAACAGGCAAAGAAGTATAATCAAATTAAAATAATATTGTAAATAAAAGATAATTTTATAATATATTGTTATTAATAGAGAGGGTAGCTACTTATTTATTTTTGAATAAGTTTATGATAGTTATCTAAGTGAGGTTTTAATTAGTGGTATTCTGCATATCATATTTTAGATTGCTTTAAATTTATTTAATTGTTATTTATAAATGAGTTTAATTCTAATAGAAAAAATGTGATTTTTAACCTAATTTTAAATAAACTAAAAATAATACTATATATAAGCATTATTTATATTATAAAACAGTACTTCATATTTATATGTTTTTAATAATCTAAGTTTTATAGGTAACACTCAGATATTTGATAAAAATAATAATTTTCAAAAATTAATATTTTTTTGTATGGAGCCAGGAATAAAAAGCTCAGGATTTTATTAAAGATCTCTGATTGAATAGGAAAAGAGAAAATTAAAATATTTATTTGTAAGGTTTTGTAGATTATATGATGTTTTTGGCTTTTAAATTTTATGGTTATTTTTGTTTTTATTTTGTTTTGTTTTTTAAAAAAATGAAGAAGTTATGGAGAGTCCAGCTCTAGTTCAGAGCAGAGACAAGAAATTGACTTGTGCACAGTGTGGAGCACCACAGAGGGAAGGAAAGGGACAGAGTTAAAGTGGAAAGACCAGTGGTGATCCCAAATAGCCAGGATAGTTAGGCCAAAGATGAAGAAAGCAGGGATCACAGGGTTAAGCGTGGGGGGGGGAAGACAAAGGATTAGAAAGCATTTTAAAAATAAATAGGTAATTACTCTCTCTAATATTTATACTTGTTGTAAATGAATATTGACTACTGCTGTAATTGAGAATAAGTCTGAAGGAAATAATATAAGGCTTCAGCTATTCCAGTCAAAGGTGTCTACCAATTACTTTATTATTTAACACACAGGTTTAGCATGCATGATAGTGATTATATTTCATATGATGATATCACCATAATATAGGATACATCAGTGGATTATTATAAGCATAATTATAACTCATAAACACATTTACTTTCGATGTTACTACTTCATTGGGACTACACACATTTATATAATTAATCATACATTAATTATCCCAAGATCACGTTGCTCTGATTAAGGCTCAGATAGGATCGATTACCCGACCCCAGTCATATAATTTTCCCAATCCAAAACAATATAAATAGCAGTAGTAGTTCAGTGTAGGAACCTGGTCAAACTTTGATACAAAATCCTTTCTCAATAAACAAAACCTACACAAGTTCTCATGAATCTTCGTTCCTAATCTCAAATCTTCAATTCTTCCTCTTAAAAACTTCTTCAACTTCAACCACCACAACAGTATCTATTAGCTTTAATGTCTAAAAAATTAAACAGCTATTACAGTTTGAGGGTAAAAAGTAACAAACTTTGATTCACACTAATTACATGATTTTAAGTTCGTGAGTTTAGTAAATTAACATGGCCAATAAATGTAATATCACACATTTTCATTATATATGGAAGCCTTGAATATGAAACATGAGACTCATGGCTCTTTCCACTAACACTCCAGAACCACCAGGGGTCAAAAACCCCTCCACCACTGGCTCATCTCCACCATTGGCAACCTCATTCACACCAATCTCACCTACTCTGACACCACTATACTCACAAGTAGCTACACAGAATGCACCTCCACTCACTGAAAAGCAACCACATGTTATCTTTAGCTCTACAAATAATACAACCCCACGTACCTGGCATGTAGGGCCCTTTAAAGTCTCTGTATTCTTTACCGCCCCACCAAAAACGTCACCCAACTTCGACCCTTTCTGGAGAGCCCTTCTCGCAGCTTACCCTCGCGAAGTTAACATGGGAATCACTCTTGGATCTCGCTCTTCCCCTGATACATGTGAGCTCCACCTGGCTACCAGTGCTGACTGTGAGAGAGCGTGCTCTCATTCTTTGATAGTCGGCATTTCATCTTTTCCTGCTCAACCGGCTGTTCCCATTGGCACAATTGTTTGCTGTGTTTTCCTGACCAAGCTTCCTCATGTCCCCTATCTGGAACTTGCTATACAGCTCACAAAATATATGTCTTCTTTTGGTAAAGTGCATGAGATTGCCATTCATGAAACGTATGGGTTTTTTGATGGCTCTGGATATGTTGTCCTTGCCAACACCCCCACTGACGAGGTGTCATCCAATTCCCTGATGTATCAAATAGCATACAACGCTACGCAAAAGATACTTTGTAAGTGGCCTTCGATGGGCTCCCACTACACTTATTGCAAGGAAATGGGACACGAAGTCACCCAGTGCACTAAGCGCCCAGCCAAAACCCAAACGTGCTTTGGATGCTACAAGATCGGCCACCTGCAAGCCAATTGCCCACACTCCTCTGATCCATCCAAGACTTCTAAGACCTCAAACAAGCGCTCCTGTCACCCCCACCGCAATGTTAAGCTCGATCGACCTATCCACAAGCCTAAGCCTCTGATTCTGACTGTACTCTTGCTCACCTACAGAGGATCCGAGGCTTCCAAGCACAATCTGCACAAACCTGCTTTGCTTGAGTCTGCAGAACTAACCCTACCAGCAACTCTCCCTGCCATCACAACAACATCTGCAACAACCACGTCCTCCGACCCTCGTCTCCAAAGTCGTTCTGTTGACACTCCTGCAAAGGGCTGGGACGATGAGATAGATGACAACATGATTACTGACTTCACGGATAGAGTCAAGGCTCGGACTCTCTGTCTTCAGAATGCCTCTTGCCTCCCTCATCTCCGGTTTTCTTGGACAGTACGTCCAATAGGCCACAACACATCTCTCTCACCTCCTCGCTTCACTCCCCCACATAGCAAGAAAGCCCTCGACGCAGAGGCCAAGATTAACCAATGATAAAAATAGGCACAATGAACTGTAGAGGTCTACCCAAAGTTGGACACCCTGAATCATGCTCCTTTTTTATACGCCACCTACACTCTCAGAGAATTGATATACTAGCCCTGCAAGAAACCCATGCCTCCTCTTCTATGCTTCAAGACACTTTTGACCAACAATTTTGGTCATCTTCATCTTTATGGTCGCCACACTGTGGTGTTGTATGCCTCTCCCCCCATATTATTCTCACAGACCCTTTATTTAGTCCTTGCGGCAGGTGCATCATTACAACTGTCACTCATACTGACAATAAATTTTCTCCATGCAAGATGGGTGTCATCTATGCTCCCGCCTCTCGAACTCCCCACTATGATTTTCTTTCTTCCTTACTGTCGACACCTGACCTCATTCCATCCAATCCTTTCAACTTCATTTTATTAGGTGATTTTAACCATGCCATTCACTCTAACTACGCTTTCGGACGTCGTGTCCCACTAGCATGGCTCCAGTTTCTGAACAACCATATGGTTGACTGTGTCACTTCTCCTGGCCAGAACCCACAACCCACCTTCCATCGCGCCTTGTCTTCCACTACAATCGACTATATTCTTGCCTCTCCTGATCTTCACTCTCGCACTACTGACTCCCAGGTGAGATATATTCACCAAAACTGGTCCAATCATTGCCTGTTGATCGTGTAGTGATCCAGACACTTGGTTGTTGGATTTATTACATCTAAGAACATATTCCTATTATTATAGTAAAACAGCTATCATTACAAGAACAAATGAATAATTTATTTATTTTACTTATGGTAAATCAATAAGACCAATAATTAATTACAGTAAGTACTGTAATTATGACAGCTCAGTAAGCACTGAGTTAATATGAGAACACTGCAATTAAATTAAATTATAAACATAGCAGTACCAGCTCTCTAATATCTAAATGAACTCAGACTTAAGAAATTAAGATGTGACTGACAAAGCAGATCGTGTTTTGATATAAAAAGGACAACTTTGTATTCTTTAATAAAGACAACCTATATACAGTCTCAAAGTATTCTTATATACGTCTCAATCTTTTTTACTGTTGATTTTATTCTATAAAACTTCACAGACCGTCCGCTTGGCTCTCCCTTCCACCTAATCCTCTGGTAAGGGACTTTGGCGTGCTAACCCCCAACTTGCCAGGTTGACATCTTTCTGCGCCGACCTCAACACTCTTCTATCTACTCTCATCCCTGCCCTTCCTGCAAACTTCTCTCCTCAAGCACGATGGGACTCAATAAAGAGCGAAGCCATACACTTTATCAAGTGTTTCTCTCGCCACCTCCAACCCTCTCTCACCAACCTGGAAGCAAGCCTGCAACAACGGAGAGACAGACTAATACACCATTTTCGACACCAGCCTGCACAGAATTTTCAGCTGCCTATTGTTGAGCAGCTTCTGCAGCAAGTCCAACTTGAACGAGTGGAGATCATGGCCCTTAGGGCTGGGAAACACTGGCGGGAACAAGGTGAGACCTCTGCTGGATATCTCAAGTGCACCATCGCCACTCGTCAGTCACGCAAGTCAATTGCCAGCCTTTGCCACCCTGCAACAAACGAAATATGTTCCACCCCTGAAAAGATGACCGAGGCAGCTGCCGCCTTTTATGAAGGCTTGTATACCCCGGACCCTATCGACCAATCTGCTCTGGACGACCTGCTCTCTCACCTGCCTTCTGACCTTGGTCTGTCAGAAAGTTGGCAGACTGCCCTCACTTGTCCTCTGTCATTGTCTACTATTCGCTCTGGTGTGTCACGCACTCCAACCTCTAGCAGTCCCGGTCCCGATGACTTACCCTACGAGATCCTTTGCTTGATACTAGACCACCCAGTCTGTGGTGATCTGGTTTCGGAAGTCTACAACGACGCCCTATCAAAGGCATTTTTCCGGAATCCTGGCAATCCACCTGCGTTTGCCTGCTCCCAAAAAAGGGCGATCTCACCTCTTTGAAGAACTGGCGCCTAATTGCCTTGATCAACACCAATGCCAAGGTATTTACCCGATTGCTGAATGCTCGCATGATTCCCACAGTCACTTCACTTGTCTCTTCTTACCAGACAGGGTTCGTTCAGGGTCGCTTCATCGCCAATAATGGAATGCTGACCAGGCTGGTCATGGCACAAGCCGCCAAGGACGGATCAGCTGGTGTTGGACTTCTCCTCGATCAGGAGAAAGCATATGATAGAGTACATCCGGAATATTTTCGCCAAGTACTGACACACTTTCGATTTCCCTCCTCTCTTGTCACCTTGATCTCTAACCTCTTCTTTTCTACTAAATTGCAAATAAATGTGAATGGCTTCCTCTCGCACCCTCCGCCTCAATATCGGGGACTACGCCAAGGGGACCCTCTCTCCCCTATACTGTCCAATCTAGTTTTTGAGCCTCTACTATGACGAGTGATCCATGACCAGTCCTTCTTGGGCTTTCAACCATCTGTTCCTGCTGGTCTTTCTCCTCTGTCACCGATCAAACTCCTTGCGTATGCTGATGATTTACTTGTTTTTCTTTCTGACACAGGGCAGTTGTCTTGCCTCCACACCCACCTCAACACCTATGCTGCGGCTTCCAACGCCTGCGTAAATCTTCACAAGATGCAGACATTTTCACTTTCGGGCTCACCCCTGCCAGACTGGTCCTCACATCTATGGACCCACAATATTACGGATTGGCATGACCGGACCTCCTCCTCTTCTCTTTGCTGTCTGGGATATCCAATTTTCTCCTCCATTGCCCAATGAGACTCATTTGGCCAGACCCTTCTTTCTAAGATTGAGAATAGCTGTATTCTACACAGCTCACGCACCCTGTCCTTCCACGGCCATGCCACCATCATGAACTCTCTCATTCTTGCCCAACTTTGGCATGTCTTGTGCGTAGTATCCTTCCCTGTCTCTTTTCTCAAAAAAATATGCACTCTGATGTGCCATTTCTTCCGCTTCTGTTCGTTCCTCCCCCCCCATTGCTTTGGACACCCTCTGCCTTCCTCGCTTTCAAGGTGGTCTTGGCATCCTCAACCCGATTACACAGCAATGCGCTCTTCAGCTTCGTTGGCTCAAGCCAGTAATCCAGAACCCATTGGGTCCCCGTGGTTTGGTCCCCAAATAGATGGCTTCTCTCCTTCGCACTGAGAATACGGATTGTGATCCCCTTCTACTTTGGATCTTCCCAGACTCTAGACCTCGCACCCATCGCTCACTGGATTCGCCTCTTCATCTTGTCCTGAAGGCCATGGACCACCTCCCACACAAGTTTGACGACATCTTCACGAATCTATCCACATGCCTTATGTTGCCCTTGTCTGCCATGGTTAATAGCCCTCCCTCTCATCCGCCCTACCGACAATCTTGGCGAGACCTGAAGGTTAACCACCTATACCAAATTGATCATAATTTGGACGTCCTGATGCCCATTGCCCCTGCTAGACCTCTTCCTCGATTTATCACTCTTAATCATATCCTACAAAGACTTCTCGACCATTCACTTGTGGCTCACCCTATCCTTTTCAGAGCTTGTATTCCTACATTCATCCTAGAATCGCGACATTTGGATATGCCTCCTTGAGATGGGTCCCCCTTTGACTTTGATCCCTTCATCTCTGCTCTGGTCTTCGGCAAACCTTGGTCACGCTTGTCCACGCGCTCTTATTGGCTGACCTGTTCTCATCATCATGCTAATGCTCAACCACTTAGCCCCCATCTTAGCCCTCGCCAACTGCACTCTTTCTGGTCTTTCACACTTCCTCACCAGGCCCGTAATGTTTGGTTTCGCGGCTTACACAACAAACTATCTTGCCGAGCTCTTCTGCACCACATTATGCCCTTCACTGTTCCTTCACCTCTCTGCAATATCTGCCAGATGTCAATCGAGATGCAAGAGCATTTTCTTCTTTCTTGTCCTTTGAAATCTGCGGTGTGGTTAGGCATTTGGTTAGAATTTCTCAGCACTGTCCCACCACCTTCTGCACTTTCCTTGGCATTCACATCCTTTCTCTTCCCTCCCACGCTGAACCCTAGTATTCCAGCCGCCTTGGTTTTCGGACTGACCATCCTTGCTATCTGGGACTACCATTGGACACTCCACTTTAACTCTGCTCCTTTTTTACCTTTCTTGGTTCTTGCCACTGCTAGGAAATCAATCTCCCGCATCTGCTCAGAGCACGAGCTTGACTCCGCTGACTCTTCCCTCGCATAACACCACATTAACATTTTAACAAAAAAAAAAGTTTAAATCACACAAAAACAAGTCAAAAACCAAAAAGCCAAAAACATCAAATAACCCCCATAAACCCTCAAAACAAATGTTGTAATTTTCTCTTTTGCCCTACTCATTCAGAGAACTTTAATAAATCTGAGCCTGTCACAGCTCCATACAAACAAAAAAAAATGAAACATGAGACCGTATGAAATTACATGTATGGTTAAATGTTTCAAAAATATTTTATATGATGTGTCCAAAGTCCCTATTGAATTAAATTTTTAAAAAAAAATATAAATAAAAAATATAGTAAGATTTTATTTTATAAGAAAAAAAATATTATTACTATTTATATTATATATTTATATAGAGATTATAGTTTAAGTGATAATAAAAGTATACTATATAATATCTGTTTTTTTTATAATTAATAAAATATATTATATTTTGAATAAAATTTGATTATAATAATAAGTACCACTGCAAAAATTATTTAACTTTATTATGTAGAAATAAAGCAAATATTATTTTAAAAACATGAATTTCAATATAGTTTTATCATAGTTACTCTAAAATACTTAGTATACTTATAATAAGTAAAAAAAATACCTAAAATCATGAAGAAAATATTGTTCTACTAGAAAGCAATACTGCTTCTCAGTCTGCTAACATTATTTGAATATATAATATATATGCTTATATTGTATATTTGAATTATAAAAGTATTATATTTCCTTTTGAATCTGTATTTAATTCATAAAAAGAAGCAGACATGGATGCTGTTTTAACATATATACTTTTCCACATTTTATTATATAATTATTTACTATCTATAGTTGATATTTATAGGAAAATATACTTTAAGATTTCTAATTTGTAAGAGAGTCTTCTTTTTAATGCAGACAAATACTTCTTTAACCGCTCTTTTTCTCCGCTAAAGAATAGTTTTACAGAAATTCATATAACCGATACAAGTTAATACCAATTAACGTTTTCTGACATGAGTACCCCTGAGGGATTGAACCCACAGGACAGGGCACACACGTTACGGCAAGGTAACCCACCTAACCGTGCCCAGTCTATAACACTACGTCCAAAGAACAAATCTTTGCACATCTTCACTGCTCCCAACTTTGACAAGAATATGATTGTGGATCTTGCATCCGCTGCATGGGCTAGTACCATCCATCCAATGAGTGTCTTGTTTAATCTCGGAAAACTCGTTCCCGCAAGGGACGTGGATGATGTTCTCTCTGACCATGTAGGCCGGATGACCTCTCTCACTCTCCGTTATACTTGCTCAAAAGACCTTCTGGCAGAAGCCTTCTTTACTGACCCTTCCTCCCGCACCAAAGCAACGTCTGATGGGTTGACCTATCAGAACACCCGAATCATTGCTACACCAAGATTGCCTTCTAACAGCCACATTGTTAAGGTTAATCTTTACCATATTAACGCCTGCGATCCTAGCACAGATCTACTCGAGCCCATCGAAAATGCATTCTGGCCTTTTGGCAAAATCGTTCAGCTGAGAGCTTATCTCTCACACCGTGGTACTTTCCGTGGTGAAGCCACTATCTATTTAGACACCTCTGGACAAGATGAAGTCCGCAGTCTCCCAAGCCGTCTCCACCTTGGTGGGTCTCTTTCCTGCCTTGCTGAGCTCCACTCCACCGATATCACACCTGTGTGTGGATACTGCTGAGAGGAAGGGCATTATCTACGCTCCTGCACAAAACGTCCTCCCTGCGCACCTCGCTGCCAACGATGCGGTGTTCTTGGTCACGCCATAGACAGTTGCAAGTGCCCCACTCATCCAGACAATATCGAAGCCGAGCGGGCTATCCAAGAGCAGCAGCAGATTGCACTTGCCGATACTGCGTCCCTTCGCGCACACCAATACTCGGTCGCTATGATAGAGACACCCGTACCACCAGTCACTTCATCAACCTTGACTCCTACCCATGCTTCACCCATTCTCAACCCACCTGCTACACACACAATACGTCGCCGTTCCATATCAGTGATGAATACTCGCGCCATGACGACCAGAAACCGGACCCCACACAACGACAATCCCCCAATTCCATTTGATACAACTATGTATGACCCGACTGGCCGTGGGCTCAATGCCAGCAAGCACTCACCAGGCGCCCGAGGCCTACATAGTCGCGATGATGGCATTAACCCAGCAATTTACACTGATGATGAACTTTGACAGTCTCTTTTTGAGGCCACTCTCCGGACTCGCGCCCAAGGTGCATTCCCGTATACTGATCTGGATGGTAACACACCTATGACTGATGGAACTGAAAAGTCTGACCGCTCAGGTCAGCCAAGTTCATAAATGACTGTACAACATCTTCACATAGGAACCTTGAATGTTCGAGGTCTCCTCTCTACCATCAATAACCCGCAATCCCCAAAACTTCTTTTCATCTGACACCTTCGTACCCTTTCCCCTTCCCTTTCATTACTTGCTCTCCAAGAGACTCATTTACTCCCTATACATCACTCATCTATTCACCTTACATTCCAAGCACAGGCCAGCCTATGGACCCCACATTGCGGCTTCGTCTCTTTCGATCCCCTCCTCCAATTATCTCAACTGCATGTTTCTCCTGACAACCGTGCATTCGTTGTCAAGGTTACACATACCAACCATCATGTTAATCCTTTTGTAGTTGTGGTTATTTATGCACCCAACATTCCTTCCCACCGGCGTACTTTCTTCTCCTCATTAGCACGCACTCTCCCTACTGTCATTCCTTCCCTGCCCGCCTTTATTCTGGGGGACTTTAACTGTGATCTTAGCCATCGTCGCAGCCATCCACCGGACTGGAAAGGATACATTCAGGGTAATTGCGTGGATGCCATCACTAATTCTTCTTCACCCCCATTACCCACTTTCCACAGCTCTCGCACCTGCACACGCATTGACTACATTTTCTGTCCACACAGCATTGTTACCGAACGCCCTGATGTAACATTTATCAATCCTTTATGGACTGACCACTGCCTTCTTGCAGTCTCCATTCCTTTCTCTCGCCCACCAGGTCCTGGAGTCTGGAGGTTTAATACGCAATATCTCCTGCATGATGAATTTGATGCTCTCATTACTGACTTTCTGGATAAGGCCGACTCTTTTCTCTCTCCTGACATGTCTCCCGGTTCTCGGTGGGATCATATTAAGCATGCTATCAAACAGCTCGCCCTAACGTACTCTAAACGAGTTCAACGTCAACTCCGAAATCAGGAACGCCATCTTCATCGTGCTCGAAATGAACTTGCAATTCATACTCGTTCTCCTCAACTTCTCCGCATTGAACATGAGCTTGCCACCATACAATTGTCTCGGGCCTCCACCTTGGCTGCCAGATCTGGTGCTAAATGGTGTGAAGCTGGCGAGTCTTCTTCGAAATATTTCTTTCGTGTGCTCAAACAGCGAGCCACTGCAAAAACTATCTCCTCTCTTGTCGACCCTGTCACTGGCGCGATCTACACCTCTCCCGCGGATTTGCTTGGCCATACTCGCTCTTTCTACCAATCTCTTTACTCGCCGGAACCCATTGACTATCCTGCTGCACACTCTCTTATCAACAAATTCCCACCTTCTGCCCGTCTGTCTTCCACTGACTCTGCCTACCTCATTGCTGATGTCACCTTGGATGACATTCTGTCTGTCCTTAAAGCCACCCCCATCAACTCTAGTCCTGGGATGGATGGTTTGCCCTACCCATTATGGGCTCGGCTCTTCTGTCACCCAACGGTCCAAAATCTTGCAGTTCAAGTCTATAATAATGCATTGCATGGTGTTTTTCCTCCATCTTGGCTGGAAACCGTACTTGTTCTCCTACCAAAAGCCAGTGACACTACCTCTCTCCGCAACTGGCGACCCATATCTCTTATAAACTGTGATGCCAAGTTGTTCACCAAAATGCTTACGTCCTGTTTACGATATGGTATCAACACACTCATAACACCATTCCAAACGGGTTTTATGGCAGATCGGTTTATTGCTGACAATGGTTTGCTGACACGCCTTGCCATGTCACATGCACAAATAACCCAAGACCCATGTGTTGCCCTTCTTTTGGATCAGGAGAAGGCCTATGACCGTGTCCACCCTGCGTATCTTCGTCTTGTCCTGGCCAGAGCCAGTTTCCCCACAATTTTTGTTGACTCCATCTGTGGTCTCTTCTTTTCTACTCAAATCCACGTGAATGTGAATGGGCACATATCTTCTTCTTTTCTACAAAGCCAGGGGCTACGTCAAGGTGATCCTCTCTCCCCCTTGCTGTTTAACCTGGCCTTCGAACCTTTGCTTAGATCCATTCTCGCTTCTCCTGCCATCCGTGGTTTCCGATTTCTGGTTCCGCCATTTCTCTCATCGTCCTCTCCTGAGCTCTCACCACCTCCACTCAAACTTCTTGCTTATGCCGATGACCTTCTCGTCTTTCTTTCTCTGCCTGCCGAGATGAGTGGTCTACTCAACCTTTTGCATATATTTGGCTTAGCCTCTAACGCGAAAGTCAATCTCCATAAGACAGTTGCTGTTGCTATGTCTGGACAATTTCATCCGGATTGGGGCCCTGTATTGGATGCTGCTGATATTCACAGTCGACATGACCGTCACTCCGCCACTGCCATCCGTTACCTAGGCTTCCCATTGAGCTCACATCCGTCCCAGCTTGAGACCTTCCGTGCGGCTTTACTGGTCAAGCTTAGGAACCATTGCACGCTACTTTCTCAAAGATGCTTGTCCGTTTGTGGTAAAAGTATTGTGGCAAACTCACTTCTTCTCAGCTCAGTATGGCATATGCTATACGTGACTCCTGCACTGCTATCTTCCTTTGCTGCCATTCGCACTCATATTCGCTCGTTCCTGCGACTGGGTTTCGGTAGCCCTGGCTGGCCGCTTCTCTGTCTGCCACGCAAATCAGGCGGTTTGGGCCTGATTGATCCTGATCATCAACAACGAGCTCTTCAATTGCGCTGGATTCTCCCTATCTTGCATTCTCACTCTTTTTCTTCTACTTCCTTTATACTGCCATACCTCGAATTTATACTTCCTCTAAACTTTCGCGCTCCTTCTGCCAGTATTGCACTTTTGTTTCCCTGTAGTAGTGCAACTTGCCCGACTTCACTTCTTCCACTGCATCGCGCTTGTACCTCACTTCTTCCAGCTTCTCTCCCATCCAACTTGCAATTGCCGCCAACTGTGGTCCAACACTTCCCATTAACTTCAATATGGATGAACGCGCCACCCTTTGTTGACTCTTCTCTGAACCTGAAAACAATTCTGGTTTCTGATGCATTTTCTCTGGAGACTGATGACCGTCTTGTCCGCAAGGTTCGTGGTACGTTTTCTCGGGCACATAATTGTATCGGTCATTTCTTCCAACAGATTGATTCTGGCAGGATGGTCCTCTGTCCTTGGTTTATCTCTTGCCTTGAACATCGACCTTCTACTGACACCCCTTCCCCCGATCTTTCCTCACTTCTTTCTTTGGTACGGTTGGACAACACTAGTTTGGGTAAAGCTAGCACCGGATCTCTTCGACGCCATCTTCGCCTGCAAGTGCCCTCATCTCTAAATTCGTCTGTCCAATGGCGTAAATTCTGGTCTGTCTCTATACCCCACCACTGTCGCACAGTCTGGTGGAAAATGCTTTGGGATAGAACGCCAACCCGAAAACGTCTCAATCTATTTATACCTCGACGCTTCCCCAGCTCATCTTGCATCTTTTGTCAAGATGCTACTGAAGATCAGTATCACTTTTTCTTTGGCTGTTCTATCAAACGGCAGGTGTGGAACGTCATTCTCTCTCGCTTTTGCCTGGCCTGGAACCTTGCTGAAATCTGCCTTCTCCTTACCAGAGGCAGCTTCCCACCACGTTCCTCCCATCAAGGCCTTTGGATTATCCTTTCCGCTGTCACTACTAAAGCGATTTGGAGTGCTCATTGGAAATTTGTTTTTGATGACCAACCCTTTCTGTCAGGCGTTGTGGCACAAAAAGCGTCCACTGTAATAGAAAAACACATCGGTACACTAGCTTAAGTATTTCCTGTCTAATTTCCTCTCCTGTTTCATTCCGTTTTTTTCTTATATTTTCGTATTTCCTCCCCCTTGTCTCTCTATCTCTTATCTGTTCAATTAAGTCCACTTTGATGGCATTTTAAAAGCTGCACGCAGAGCGTGGCAGCAGATCAATAAAATACTAAAAAAAAAAATACTTCTTTAACCAATATATTTTCTTCATTTTTCACTGTATATTTAATTCTAGTTTTATAATAAAAATCTATAATATAGTATATTTTATGATTTATAATATGTAAGAGAACATACATTTTAAAAAAGTCTTTTTTATATTGATTTGATTGAAAATTGGTTTGATTTGTTTATTTTAGATAATTAAAAAAACTTTTTTTTGACAAACATTGTAATTATATAATAGTTGAGGTGTACGAATAAATTTCATAAAGGGAACAATAGGTACTGTGAGAGTGTTGTTTATTTAAGAAAGAAGATCATAGCTGTTTATATAGACATTTGGTTCCCTAATTTAAGATCTCCGTTAGTTAATGGTTGGTTATCACTGAAGCAGTGTGAAGTGTACGAGTGCCTGGTGTGTGTTACGTTCCTGAGATGTGACCCTGCCAGGTTCATTAGCAATTGTAGTATCCGTTATGGATTGTGGAGTTTGTATTTCACTCAATTGTGGTGTGTATACCACAATAGTTATTCATAAAACTATCAAATCCATTAATGATTTTAAGTATATACTGCTAATTGATCCTTAGTTTATGATATTATACTAATGCTTATATAAAGTATAATATGATTTTAAAGCTTGTAATAAAAAAAATTGAGAAAATAATTTTTAGACAATAGAATACATATAAGCTAATATTATCTTAGTATAATTATTATATGCATATATCTTAAAAAGAACTTACTGATATAAAAATAATATAATCCTTGCCATATGAACTATTGTTACAAAATATTATGGTTAACATTACATTTAAGATAAATATAAAAGCAATTAACATACAAGAGATATGGTGATCTAGACACTCGGATGCTGGATTTATTACATATAAAAACATATTTATATTGAGATAGCGTAGTAGCTATCATCTTGGCAGCATATAGAATATATATAAACGATTAAGTAATCAGCCCAATAATTATTACAGTTAGTACTGTAGATAATATCTTAAAGATTGTTAAGATAATTATATCATACTGCCGGGTAAACTGTGTCAGATCGATATGGAGCTAATTTAGTAGGAAGTCCTAAAGCTCTAGTGTAAAAGAGAAAATAATAGCTAAGAGCTAAAGAAATACAATTTATGACTTGATGTCATAATTGTAACACTGACACTAGTTAAGTAGTAAATATACTCTAATAACCGAATATAGTAAAGGAAGAAAACCTTAAGAAACTAAGACGTAATGACAAGAGCAGATTGTGTTTTCTTATAAAAAGGGACACTTTTTATTTATGAATAAAAAACTTATATACAGTCTCAAAGTATTTCTATACGTCTCTATTATCAAATATTTTATTTTCTATTATTTCGTACTTGAAATACCATAAGAGACTTACTAAACACTGTTTTTTGCATAATAAAAAAGTATAGACTGGTTAAATAAGCCCTGTTAAAGAAATATAATAACAAAGATAAAATAATAATTAAAATATAGAAGATACAAAACTTCAATAAATATGTACTACAAAATTTCACAAGAATAATATTGCTAAGAGGATCAAATAGATACAAAGTCTAGAATATTAAAGCTTTATAATCCATTAAATATTTCCTCAAAATTAAGCTTATTCTCTCGCTCTCAAATTAAGGTATAGGATAGCCAGGAGTGTCTATTGTATATGTAATTACTTTATTCGATCTTTAAAGGTCGAATTTATTTTAAAAAAATATTGAAATTTATGAAGATTTATTTTTCTTATATTTGACACAGTATGATGTTCTCATCGATTGATAAGTTTCCACAACTGCTGCCGGAGTGCTTTGTTTTTTACTGGGTTTGTCCAATCTTTATTTTTTAGCAGACATACCTTTTCCATTAGATAACACCTATAATACCAATGGATATTAAAGTTTTTTCATGTATAGAAATTGAACAATTTTGCACCTGCCGACTATTCGTCCAACGACTTTTTGTATGCTGTTATTGCACGCAGTACTGCTCCGGACAGTAGCAAATTCATGCTACCTGATAATGCAACGACTGCTATGATGTCAACTCATAGCCAGGCTACCGAAAGTACGTCGGATCCGTTGATTTCGATGATGAGCACAATGAACAACCAGTTGAAAGGTCTGGCAAACCAGGTTTTGCTCATGGCTGGTGATATCACTTTATCCAACCAGACCATGACTTGCCTCCAGGAGACTGTGACCAACATCCTCGCTGGCCAGGCTGTCATTCACGATGTTGCTTCCAGATGTAATACTACATCAAGCACTGAACTCGTTGGTGGTTTTTCAGCTTTGATGGAAGAAGACAGTGTTTCTGGAAGGAGACACACAGAAATATCAGTAAGTCTTTTTAAAAAAAATATATGGTAAAAGCATCTGACACTGCTCTTGTAGGTCCTTATTAGGGACTATGTTAAGACACGAAACTTTACCAGCATTGATCCAAGAAAAATTGCTGCGAATGATGCAAAACCAGAATGGGTGCTGACAAGCTACTTCACAAGTAGCTATAACCGTGGTCTTGCGTCGGCTATGAGCGCATACTTGCGGAGACAGCCCTGTTCTACTGGAATACCTACACGGGTTCTTGAAGGTATGGTAAAAAACCATTTCACCAACCAAGTGCGTGAATCTCGCAGACCGGCCGAATCTGTAGAAAAGAAAAACACTGCCTCAAGAAGACGTCAGCGCGGTGTGGCAGTAAGTTATTCATTTAATATATATATATATTATGGCACACTATTTTTAATATATTTCCAGCTTCTTCTCCGGCGTGGAAATGCATACAAAGAAAATAAAGATGCATAGCTTCCGATGTGTGTCGATGTGTGAGAAATTGGTGATTGGATATTTTTTTCTCGTTTTTTTTTCTTTTTTAACAAACAACCAGTTAAGTAAAATCGTTCACTTTAGGTACTGCTGCAGCTATTGTCAGCGCCCGTTGATTGATTCGACAAGATTGCGTAACCATTTATCCAACATTCATAACATTCATGTTCCTTCCATCTCCAGAGGGAAAAGGCGCTTCGATACCCTGCCAATTACCTATGTCAACAAGTTTAGTTATGGTCAAAATCAAGACATCAATAAAGAATATGGTTGTCCTGCATGCTTTTCCCACTTTCCCGAGATCAATTCACTGCATTCACATATCCAGGAGGTACACATGAAGCAAAATAATGAACATGTTTCCGATCAAAGTGAAGAAGACGGTAATACAAACGCAACACTTGTATCTATTGCAACATACAGTGGTAAATCGATTGATTTTTCTGCAACACACAATATATACGAGCAGCATCTTCCAAAGCTGTCAAGAGATTGTCTCAAATTCCTGGAACCAATAGTAACAGTTGACTTGCCATCTAGCAAATGTTTAAACAAAAAAATGCGTGACGAGGTTACCAATGAAAACCGAAAAAAGAGAGAATTACATACCCTCCAGTCTTTCACAAATGTACAAGCACTCCTGCTGGCTACTTTAGAACAATCTCTAGGTACATTGCCGCGCTGGATATGGACGCAGACAAACGAAGATATCGCGAATATAAGCCATGAATATCAACTTCTCCAGGCATCCAAATTCATCCTTACCACATTTGCAGACAACTGCACACAGAAAAAGCAGCAGAAAACCAACTCGGAACGAACATACTGGATTAGGCACATAGTACATATTTTTCAATCATTTGCGAACCAAACTGGCTATTTGCAGTTCAACTGGTGCGAATCTCAGACCAAACAGCATGCATTGGCAGGAATCAATCTGAACAACTGGACAAAGCCCACAGCGCGATTCTGTGATGGTCTCGGATTCGACTGGCTAGGCAAAGAAAGATTGTCAATGGAAGGATCTAGCGGTCAACATGAAGAAAAAATCGATCATACTATCAGCGATACCGCCAAACAAATAATCAATACTATTTCAATGCTGAAAGGATTCACAATGGCAAATACGGATGCAAGCTTTGAAACATTGAGACAGGTTAAGATCTTTGGTGTGCAGGCTATTGAAAGGACGATCACCTTAACAGAAACAAGCTATGACTAGGAATCTACCAACTATCTCTACAAGGTGGTACGAACAGCGCGGATTCCAATCGAGTATGAAGAGCGGTATAATTGGCTATGAGTATTTGAATTATTAGCGTACCTGCTAGTTGAATTGAAAGAACAAGTTCGTGTACATGAAACTCTTAACAAGGAACAAAGCAGCATTAGTATAGTTCATCCCGAAGAAACTGTACGAATCAAGCTGAGCATCGGTTTAGACGACAGCGCATAAAAATGATCAATATTTATTTCAGTATTGTATGGAAATTTATGGTTATCTAAATCATTGTGTGGCTAGGAGGGCCTGCACAGGATTTCTTATTCTATTATCGAATTATGAAAAATAAATAAATCAGTTTTCTTATATTATAACCGCCAGTAACTTCTATTGAAGCCGGCACACATCGACACACAACGGCACACAACGGCACACATCGGAAGCTATTGATTTTTATTAAAGTCATAGTTTGGATTAAATTTGATTATCACTATTATTCGGGCCCGACGTTTTTCCTCTCGGGCACGACGTTTACAAATTATATATTTTCTATATACTGCATATAAAAAAATCAAGAAATTAATATATTTACTACTTAAGTACAGCTAAAAATTCCATTATATTAAATGAAGAAGTACTATTCATAAATTAAATTATTTATATTTTGATAAATTGATTTTACTCATATAAACTACTTAGGGTGGTTAGGGACCAGATAAAATTGCTGGATGCCGGACAACAAGTCACTTTTTATGAGGCCGGTAAATGGTGAAAGGCGGAGATTCAATAAGCGTAGCGCTCCAGAAAAACGTCGTGCCCGAGAGGAAAAGTGTCTGGCCCGAATAATTAGCAAAATACGTTACAATAATAAAAAAAGAGTTGCATGGCCAAAAACACCACCCTAAAAGATTTTTGTAAAAAAAAATCGAAATAATTATGTCCTTTAAACATCTCTTATATCGTTATTTTAATACATAAAAAATATCCTAAGGGTAGCTGTAAATATACCTGATTTACGCTTTGTCTGATAATTCAAATAAAAGCTACCATGTCTTTAGAAACTCTAATACGATGCATAAAAAAACCAAACTAACTCAAGACAGGTAAAGTCATGTCAAATCAAGTCAAGTAGTCACACTATGGAAAAAGACAGAAATATGGCTTTGGAAGATGATTTTTGCAAAAAAAAAAATACCTCTAAAAACACACCTTTTCCACAATGTTAATTGACAGCAGAGAGAAATAATACACACAGCTTTGTTTTATAGTTTTACAGCCACAGCTACAAGCAGAAAAAAATCGGACCTTCACTCTTTAGTCCAAGGCTCGTTTTAATGTACATCATGGTATTATCAATAAAACAAAATACACCAAAAGCCTCTTTCCACATAAATTAGAATAGATACACATAGCTATAATGTTCTATTTAGACTTATAGAAATAGCACGGAACACATACGGCATGATAAATAAAAAGTCTCTTCTCCTTCTCCTTCATTATCATTATCATTAGCTTTAAATTTTACACACTTAGTGTAAATTGAAAGGATGAAATAAAAAGAAAAAATAATGTTTTTAGGTCGAACTCAAGTTCTTGATGATTTCATAGTATTATTTTGTGGCTAGAAAACTTCTTTCTTTCTTCTTCTGTTTTAGGTTCAATTAGCTCACTAAATTTTTACTTTAGAGTCAACATATCAGATACAGCCCAACGTTTCATCATTCATTTATATTTAGATATACTTTGACAAAGCTTCTCAAATATTTCAGACCTAACAGTAATAGTAATAATAAGAGCCGAAATTGTAATTTATACATGTAATTTATATAGAGCTGTGCCTTTAAGCTATAATGGTGTATTTTCTGTATGTTGGACTCAATAAACATTTATATAAGTTGTAACAAAGCTTCAAAGTAACAGGATAAATGTAAAGACATTCTTTTATTTATTTATTCATTTTACTCTCAAAATAATAACTTTAATATATATATATTTAAATATTTAAATGACAAATATTTGCTCTGTAATAGTTATGACACACGGCCATATCTAGTCCAACCGATCGTCAAAACATGTATTACATTCTAAGTTGCGTCTTATATCGTTTATGCTAAGCCAAAGTAAAAGCCGAAACCAAAACCAAAAACTAGATAACTTACCAAGAAGCGATCTAAACGTTAAATTTAAGCCACCCTTTTGTGTGTGTATCTATGCTAAGCCAGAAAGTCTGTACACACTACTACTGATGTCAAATAGTCTTGAAAGAAAAGATCTATTGAAGTATATATATATTATATATATGTATACACATTTCACTCTTATTCCTATCTCTCTCTCTCTATTTTTTTTTTTTACATTATATCAATACCACATGAAGATCACTACAATTATAGCTTTAATATTCATTTTTACAGCCACAATTGGAGCAGCCCCGACACAGCATTCTGTCCAGGTCTTTGACCCTCTTCCTCATACCAGCTGGAGAGCTGGCACCGTAGGAATCATGCGATGGCAGATACCTAGCGATCCAGATTTGTTTTACAATATTCATCTACTGAAAGGAGACACATTCCCACCTAAACTGGTCTCTACACTCGTTCGTTGGATTGAGGCCGATTTTGGATACGCGATAGTCTATCTGCCTGACAATACTACAGCAGGGTCAGACTACTGGATTGGCATTGGACAATACTATAGCGAAATGACATATATTCATCCCATCACAGTAAAGGAGTACGATTACCGACTTGAATCAACATCCGAATACAAAGATCTTAATAATGACCAATATCATGTTATGCTTGATAATATTGAGATATGGGAAGTGTTAGCAGAGACTGAATGAAAAATTGAAATTGCATTTTAACAACAAGGCAAGGCGAAACAAGGAAAGCAGATCCAAGTCAAGTGCACCAATATTGAACCAAAATTGTATAAATATCAATGCGTGTATATATTTATGTATATATTAAAGAAAAAAAAGAAGCCTCAAACATGTCATATCCAAGCTCACATTAATCAGTGAATTCTACGTTATGTAACCAAGAGACATATATCAAAAATCAAATATCAAAACATTTTGTAAAATAAAATAAACTATTCTTTGAAAATACTTTCCGATAGAACCTTTAATAGAATCCTTATTATTGTCAAAATATAACCAATGAGCGCGTTTAGACAGCGTCTAATTTATATCGATGTTTATTTTTAATTTCTTTTGGAGGATAAGTTATATTAACATAAAGAAGTAAGTCATAATAAAATAATGGACCAATATGTACACTCGACAAGTCTGTTATTTAAAATTACCCCATAGTTTAAGATTGTTGACTGCGATTTCCTTTACAATTGTTACAACAAAGACACAGAAGCATACGATAATATTTATAGCCTGCGGCTCTACCGGAACATTCTGCTGACGAAGCAGATAATATATCTTATTATTATTATTATTATTATATATATGCCCGTGTGCATGTGTATATTTGTAGTGAGCTGATTGTATAATCTAAGTAATTTCTTTTTACATATGAATGAACGGATAAGCAATTCACATCTTTGACCGATACGTCTACGCATACTTTGGGCTCTGAAGCGCACTTGAGAAGCCTCTTACACTACGAAAAGAATGGGCGATTCAGAGAGTGTTTTGAAAAAGACCACAAGCGTTTTTCGAAAGTGTCCTCTGAATGACCCCTTTTTTTCGTAGTGTTCTACTAGGATTGATAATAATATAAGTTTAATATATAGAGTATAATCAGTAGGTGATTAGTAAGCTAGACTGTCAGTCGAAAAAAAAGAAGTAATAATCCACGAAGGGGGGAGTATTACATATTTACAATCAAATATGACGATACAGAAAGTTACTTTCTTGCTTAAAAAAAGTTGATTTAATCCGATCATTGTTGGGTTTGCTTGACCGGTGATATACGGGTTTTCTGATCCTTCCCCCCCAAGACAGGATATTGTCCTTGTGATTATCCGGTTTCTTGATCGTAGCCAAATGGTATGTGAGACAACATATATACACAAAAAGAATTCTTGAGTGACATTCATTTTAATTTTCGTCTTTTAGTGATATATCTCAAGTGTAATCATGTGTTTGATGAGATGGGATAAAAGTGGCAAGGAAACCCTAGTCGACTGATGTCTTATTGCCATGTTGTTAATGGTGTTGTCTTTCTTTACTTTATTTCCTGTCATATATATATACACACACATTAATCTTCCAGTCACTACAATGTTCTCTACCTAGCAGTAATTATACACTACAGACTAAACCATAATTATAGATAATTGATTGAACACCAAAAAGAAAGAAGCACATGGCAACATGTTAACCAGTACTTCTAAAAATGGTATCGACAGATTTCTTATTTGAATCCTATAGACAACATTGTACTTTAAATCCATGCTCCCAAAAACTTTATTTTTTATATACACATACAAGATCTTACAAAGTCATACACGAGGATGTTACATATATATCGTTGGTTGTAGTATAGTAGTGAATAGGATCCACTGAATAGATCTGTAATTACTGTTAGCTTATATATTATTTTTAGAAGGATTCTCTAGAAGCAGGAGATCATTTCAATCCATCCACTGTTTCCATTATTGTTTATTTCCATAAGAGTTTAGAAGTTTGTACATTTTTGAACATAATTAAATAAGTAAATATATGGTCTCTTGAAGGACATCAGCTCTAGGCGCCCTTACTATAATAATAAATCAATTGATCAATTGCTAACAAAAATAAAGAAATACAACTTATTGGTATTTTCTCTCCGTATTATATATATTTATAGTATAAAAATACTTTAATGAACAAGACAAAGATGGATGATTTTTATTGATTCGGAATCAAGATGGGTATGTACATATTCAATATTTTAGGTACTTTAAAGATAAGCAGCTTTACTCTATGGTTACCATAACAACTAATTATGTCTACCTTGGATTCTATAATTTTCTTTTTTATTACATTTTTCACAATAATTGTTTTCTTCCTTTCATCGATTTCAATATGTATATATATATATGCAGAAGAAATGGCAGAAGTATCTGATACATTTTAATAATAATAATAAAAAAGGGTCATGAAACCATTTCTCCAAAATGCTGAAAGTATTGAAAACTGAATTAAAATAGGCTCTGTATGATATTGGCGAGCAGTATATGGCATAGGATATTAAACATAAATAAAGGTTAAATGGTACTTAGAATTTTATAATGTCTTACATACATATTTGGATCAAGTTAATATCTAAGTGATTTATGAGCGTGTATTGCATACATACACATACTTTTTTTTTGCGTGTGTGTTTTTAAGTGATCTTATTTGAACATCAAAATATCAAAGTAAACCTGGTCTTCTTTTAATAAGAATATATAGTTATATGCTTTAAGAGGATAGCCAATATTTCGTGACCGTTAAAGTTTGATGTGCTTTATTTTTTAAATGCCATCGATCCAGTATTGGTGCTGAATCTCAAGAAGTCTCAGAGAAAGCCTGTCACGAACAGTAACAAAATTTTTTTTTTTCAAAATAAAATTTCAAAAGGTATTTAAGCCACTCAATTGTTGGTTTGGAAAAAATAATTCTTTTGTTCTTTCTCTAATGTCTTTTGCACGTTCTTCGTAAATGGTAAGCATCCTTTCACCAATAGTTTATTATACCCTTTTCTTCTATATTATTTTGGTGTGATGAAAAAACACATGTCTTCATTTTATCTTATCGACCATGGTGAAACAACCCGCTGTGCTTCGCTGAGTGCAGTTGATACTTGCCAGTATATTTTCCTGACCATTTTAAAAAAAAATTCAAAAATTACTATTCTTTATTGAAATATACATTTTTTTGAAACACGATACTCATATATACTTTATGAAATTGTAGATCTAATCATATGAATCCAAATATTACACTGGATGATTGGTTAAATTATTCGCGTACTTTTGAACTTTGCAACCGAAAACGATATTTTTCTTCCGGTTTTTTCGTCATTGCACATGTCGATTTTTTTATTTAAAAAATATGGAAGAAAAAAGATTGATTGATTCCATATGATGATGAAATCCCGTGTTCGCAGTTTCCTCTGGAAGAGACTTAGTCGTGGGTGAAAAATAGTAGAGTCAATTCTGTTGGCTTGAACTCTAGTAGCTCCTCTCATTGTCAGCAAATAACACTTCCTTGGATGTCTGATGGATTATCACTCATTCTTTCATTTTTTTTTCAGTTTAGCAATAAACTGTTTTTTTGTTTCAAAAAATATTTCCTTGATTTTTTTTTTTTAATTTATTATTTCTTTATTTTTTTTTATGGTACACTTTTATATGATGATTTTATCTTTTGCATTTCTGGCATCTCTAATACTAGTGGGCTTCCGTTCTTTTACCGAGGCCTACAATGTATGCAACCTTGATTACTGATTAAAGTGTACCTAAAAAAGATTCATTTATTACTTAATAAAAAAAATTCAATAAAACTATTTTTCTTGACACTGTAAAATTCGAAACCATGATTTTTTGTTCTATTTAGTTTACCAGGAAATAAAATCAAATTTCTATTTTGGGAATTAAATGAATTATATATAGATAAAAATAAATATTTTATATATATAAATTATACAGTTTATTTTAAAATAAGAATGAATAAAATTTTAAATATTTTCAAAAAAGTATATATAAAATGCTATCAATTATTAGATAGAAAATTTTCTATATAAATATATATATATATTTGAAAAAAAAGTGCATGTGCGTGCGTGTATAAGATTTAATAAAGAAATATATGATCTGCAAAATTGTTAAAAAAAAAAGAGAACTAAATAATTGATTGAATACTTTTGGGTTGGCTGGTTGGTTATTGGGGGTGTGTTGATTTTTTGCTGTTATTTGTATTTTTTGGTTATCAACATTACACTAAAAGCATAAATGTAGGAAGTGTAGGAAGGGTGGAAGTGTGAGATTGCTGGGAAAGGTAAAGAGGAAGGGCACGTATGGATCAAAGCCGTCGATGATTTGCTCTTGGAAGCAAGGGAAGGTCAACGTGACGGGGAAAGAGTCCAATCAGAGACACAGATAATGAGGCGTGTTCTAGGCGATTGGTAAATAATCAGGATTTGACGTTCCTTAAAGTAATGATATCGTACCGTTTCCAAGGCAAACGCATCAACACACCTTTCTCTTTCTCCTTCTTTCTCTCGTCTCTGATGTCCAGCCCTATTCAAACCACCCCAAAGAAGAGAAAACACACTGGTGGATCAGTATCTGACCAAAGGGCCTCAAAGTCTGATTCATTGTCTGACCCAAAAGGATCTACACCAATTGCTTCAACTCCTTTGGTTGCCCTGTCTCCTCCTGTCATGCCTTATCCACCTATTTTGTCAGTCGTATCGCCATCCTATTATCCAGTCTACCAGCACCCATTCTACCTATCAGTAACATCTTCTCCACCACTACCACCTCCACAACCATCAAATAGGTCCATGTCATTATCTTCTCCCCGTTTTGAAAGGATCCTTCCAAAGTCAGACAATCAAACCCACCACCAACAACAGCAACAACAACAGCAACAACAACAACAACAACAACAAGCATCATATTCTGTTCAGCCCCATTTTTATCACCCATTTTCACTCTCACCACAGCTACATCCAACAATGGTCCCAATTCATCCCATGCGCCACAACTCCACACCAAATACTTCCACAAGCAGACCACCAACAGCAACGAAAACAACGACTGCAGATCAACGAGAACAGGCACGCAAAGTTTCTCACAGCGCAATTGAGCGCCGACGAAGAGAGCGGATCAACGACAAGATTCTCCAGCTCAAAGAATTAATTCCGTCTTGTGCAGAACAGGACCAGCTGCACAAGATGAGTATTCTTCAGAGTGCAATCGACTACATCACATATCTCAAGGATATTGTGGAAACTATTGACGGAAACCAGGACCGAGTTCAGGGGAAACACATAAATGTCAAGACACATAAGCCTCTTCTGGCCAAAGAGATCCAGCCCTTCACACACCAATTTTCATCAACACAAGAACAGCCGGCGGCAGCTGAAGAAGACGCCTGGTCAGTCAGTTCAACGTCCTCAATGTCTCCATCTATACCAGCCGTGCCTGTAATTCTGCCACCCCCATTCTCCGAAAACACACCAACCAGCCCCTTATTCCACAGCACTAGCATCCGACCGCACACCCCACTCCACTCTCCCATTTCAGAACCAGTCACCAAAGGACTCAAGCCAAGCGATGTTATCAAAGCCGGAGGAGAGCCGTCCATTCCTGCAACAGAACCACCAATTGTCTCGTCATTAACCTCATGCAGTATCACAGACAGCCCCCCAGAGAAAGAAATCACACTACGGCCAGCATCACTTTCTTCTGAGAATAAAGACATGAGCCTAGAGCATTTACTATGCTAACATTTTCACCAACCTGTTTCTTTTACTCCTCCCTCCTTTTATATACATATTATATGTATAAAACATTCTTTATGTATGATTCATTTTTATTATAATTTAAGCAAGCGCCTAACTCTCCCTCTCTTTTACTCTTCTTCTTCTTCTTCTTCTTCTTTAAATTCTTTCGTTTGCCTACAAAAAATATCTATCCTTTACTTTACTATCATCCTTTCTTTGTCTATCTAACTATCTAACTATGAAGCAAACATAACCATTCAAACCACATATTAATACACCCACAATAATGTACTATTTCTTTGTATTCAAATAATCAATAACAAGCAAGAGCGGTAACTAATACTTTTTTTTTTCCTTTACAAAAATAAATAAATAAATAACAATTAATAACCATGTATACCTCTATAATCTTCATTACATTAATGTTCATACTCTTCTTTCTGCCAAAGATGTATGCAAGTGAGTGAATCATAATAATTCATTCATTCATTTAATTGGTATCTGCTCCTCCCTTCCTTCCTTCCTTACATACATATATGAGAGAATATTTATTATACTATTTATACTTGATTTTTTTTGTTTGTTTGTTTGTTTGTTTGTTGCTCTTATTGTTTTGGGTTTTAAAAGTCTGGGAAAAGATGTCGGTAGGGATCGCTAATTCCAGTGATACCATATTGTTCTTGAGTCTCCGGATACTTGTCGAAATGACTGGCATCTCCATCGCCCCTGATTTGAGGCACATAAGGTGGCCTGATTTGACGGGCCAGGATTCTGTTAAAATCAACACCCTGGAACCAGGGATGTCGCTTGATATCTTCACTTCCACCCTTTAGATTACCATAGCGTTTCGAAAGGTCGGACATCAGTAATCTCTTCAGAAGATCCTTTGCGTTGGGATCAAAATATTGTGGCCATTTAATCTTTCCTGCCAAGATCTTTTCATACAACTTTAAGTGGTCATCATCGTAGAAAGGCGGATATCTAATATACCATAACAAGATATTGTGAATGTACGTTTTGGTTAGCATTTATTAAATAATACTAATGGTCATCTTTTTTCTTTCTTTACTATCATAGATTCCAAACTCGCTCTCTCTCTCTCTTTACTTACCCTGCCAACATTTCAAAGATAAGAATGCCAAGACTCCACCAGTCCACTGCTTTACCGTAACCTTTAGATTGAATAATCTCTGGCGCTGTAATAGAAAAATAATATAAATAATAGAAATATCAATTAGAGTTGAATAACAATTACAATAATAGCAGTAATAAGGGGAAATATAATTTCATTTTCTTCTTTTTTTTTTCTCTCTTTTTTAGAAAAAAGAAAAGAGTTAATTAGTTAATTCTTATTTGGTTACCAAGGTAATCGGGTGTGCCACACAGTGTCCATGTAATATCAGGAACATATTTCGCAAATCCAAAATCGGTTATTTTGATATGACCTTGGGCATCCAATAGCAGGTTCTCTGGCTTCAAATCGCGGTAGATCATATCTTTTGAGTGCATGTACTCGATGGCCAGCATAACTTCGGCAGCGTAGAATTTGGCGACATGGTCTGGGAACCGCTAATCATTTTTTTTAGGTTTTGAGATTCGTTTGATCAAATAATCATCATCTATATGCCCTTTTTTTTGTACCTGCGATCGGCGAAGTACAGAAAAGAGTTCTCCACCAGGTACATAGTCCATAACCATATAAAGGTTTGCATCGTCTTGGAAGGTTCCCCACATGTTGACCAGGAACGGGTGGGCTACTGCCTCCAGGATATGCTTTTCGTTGTTGGTGTGTTCAACCTGCTTCAGTCGTACAACCTCGGTCTTCTTGAGGACCTTGATGGCATAGTACCGTGCATTGACCTTGGATTGTACGAGATGTACACGCCCAAAGGAACCTGTTCCGAGGGTGCGCAAGATTTGGAAATCAGCCAGCTTAAGTCTGGGTCGGTTGGAGCGTTGTTGAATGATCGATTGGTCATTGTAAATAGCCGTGTAGGACGGCACACTTCTCAATGGTCGGTGAGGTTGTGGAGGTGCCCGTAACGTAGGCGTCTGGTGGGATTCATCACCTTCCTGACGGGCAGGTCGGCTAGATGTGTAAGAAGAAACGGTTGAAGATGAAGCAGAAAGGGTTGCCACGGGGCGATCTAAAGTAATAATAGTAATTATTATTATTATTATTATTATTGTTGTTGTTAAGTTACCATGCCAATAAATACTAATACTAATATATATATATATATATGTAAAAAAAATGAGCAGTGTAAAATAATATAATAATTGTCTCTGTGAACACACACACACACACTCATAAACACACTTTTATAAATATATATATATATATTATACACAACCCCTGCCCCTGTCCAAATACAATACAATGTAATAGTCATAATGTTCTTCTTCTTTTTTCAATATTTCTCTTGTTCATGATTAAATAAATAAATAAAGAAGAAAACCTTACATAGTAGTTACACTTACCGTTCTGAGTCAAAGTGTCGGGATTTGTGTGAGGTAGTGTCCGGGCATGTTCTAAAGGAAGAGATGATGAGTCATGAGAAAGACAAAAAATTCCAAGGATAAAGCACAAAGAATTGAATATAAAAAAAAACAAAAATTTTAAAGGAGAAGAAGCAAAGATAGAAATAATAATAATAATAATAAAAAAGGGAAAGGAAAGGGGGAGGAAAGGTGAAAGTTAAAAGCTTCATTGGGTGCCAAGACAACCTGATGCGCAAGCCCATCATGTTCTTACTGCAGGAATGACGAGCCGTCTCTTTTTTCTCTTCATCCCTCTCTGCCCAAGGCAGTATTCGCTTGTTACCTGGACTATCGACGCTCATTCGCATTGTACCATTACTCTGAGGATCATGATGACTTATGATTGAGGGTGTAGGTGCAGTAGACGCAGGTGGTGTGACGAGGCCATGGAGCTGGGATGCCTGCTTTGTTTCATGGGCCGAGTTGACAGAGCTCTGTGTTCCAGACGTGTTTGATGAACTGCTGGTCAACTGGTCATTGGTAGGCATCGATTGACTGTGGTTCCTGGCCCTGTCGATAAACTTGTTGAAAAAAGACATCTTTTTCTTTCTTTTTTTTTCGCAGATGAGGCGCGAAAGAGAGTGGTTAATAGAAACGGGAAATGGGTGTCTGAGTCATAAAATAAATAAGGGAGGGCGTGTGGATCTGAGTTGAACCCGCCAAAAAAGAATAACAAAAAAATAAATAAAAAAAATAAATAATTATTGAATAATTGAATAATTAAAATATTTATATTTTATATATAGAAAGACATACTTCTTTATTAAATATTAATATTGAATTCTTTGTCTTTGTGCCATAAACTTGGTCATTTTCAATTCTAATGATAAAGCTAGAAAATAGCAGCACTTTTCATTAAAGAAAAAGAAAAAATAAAAAACAAGTTTATTGGCTGTGTATTAAATTATTCATTCAAATGATTCCACTTCAAATGACAGTACGAAGAACAAGGGGGAGTTTTGTACTTTATTTATGCAGAGTGATATTTTAAGCACACACACATTTTTGTATATATAAAAAAAAAATAAGGACATTTTTTTTTCTCTCTCTCTCTCTTACTGCTTCAATAAATTTATGTCGCCATTAAATATAATACCAATGTTCATATTCACCATTCTCCATCGTCTGTTGCATCAATCCACATGGGCTCCCCTAGACTGGGGACATCACCCTGTTTTACAAACCGACTCGTCTCAATCACCACGTCTGGTTGTCTCGTCCCACCGGCCTGCGGTGTCTGTTGGGGAAGACTAAAGTAGTTTGGAGGTGATGCGACTGGCGGAGTAGCTCGAAGTGTCGTCATTGGGCCCCACATCGAAGTCGACGAAGGAGGATTCTCGAGCACAGGATCAAAGAATATCGGGCATTCAGTCGACTGCCGGTAATCCTGAAGCGATGTCAGGTCCGGGATGGCCAGGATATTGTCGTGCGAGAGATTGCCGATACTGATGGGCATTGTAAAGGATGCGGTCTGGATACTCGAGGACTTGAGAAGCGTCTTGAGTAGCTCAATTCGTACAGTTACCACAAGGCTGTAATGAGTGCGAATGTGTTTTGACTGAAAACAGGGTGACACGAGTCGGCCAGGGAGCTTAAAGTGCAGTGGCAAGCGCACTGACCCGTCGTTGCCATGGACTGGCACGTTTTCGCTCAATATCTCTTGTGTTTCTAATCTGCGTACTGTTCCGACCTGATACGTCTTTCGTCCCTCCAACGTTTTCTCGAGAATAAACGATAATTCGGACACGACAGCATTGGACGGAATAGCCTTGATGTCCAAATAGCCTTCCACGTCTTCTTCTACAATTTGTTATAGTTATCAATAATCATGTTAAACTTACTTTCTTGTATTAATGCATAAAAATATTTACATCTCTGATTTTATTCTATAAGCGTCTTATTACCAGGACAAAATACGTGACGAGGGAAACATGCAACTACGTTTGCGAGTGGTTTCTTTTCTCGGTAAAGTGTTTCATAATATTCCCATACTTCAGGCAACGGCGCACACAGAGTAGGTCTGAAGGATGACTTTAGTTCTTCGCTCACCGTTTCAGATCCCAAGGCAGGTCCTATCAAACGTGCAGTCCAGATGTATCGAACAGCAAACCCGGTCGGAGACTCAGAAGAAGGAGGGAAGTTGGTATTCGACATCTTAATCCGGTTGAACAATTAACACAAATTAGTGATCCTTTTTTGCTTTTGCTTATCACTATCGCTACCTTGATAGCAAATGGGTATAAGTGTTGCCCTGGTTCAATCTTTTTCCAACTACTGGCGGAATAGGCTTTACATAATAAGAATCAAAATCAGTTTATAGTTGTTACAGCTAACTAGGATCACTAGTATTCTTTGGTTATTGAAAGTGAGTGCATTACATATCGTATTACTTGCCAGTTGGTTCATTTCCCCAAACCTTGTATGATATATTAAAGTACGTTGTCTTCGTTTGATCGATTCTGTCCATCTTTAAATTCTGTTCATTTGTTTCACGAGTCTTTACTGTCGCTATTTCTTCTACCCTCAGCTACGACAGCAACAACAATTATAATACAATGTAAGATATATATATATATATTATAATTTCATACCTCTATGCGTATCTGGGCAGCATATACTGGATTAATATTTTTCATTTTTACATTTCCTAAACGCGAACAATGATCAACTATCCTCGTCAGTCCCACGGTCCTGTAGTTCAGGTACAGTAAATTTTACCTCTGTAAATTTGGTTAGGCCTAAGTACAGGTGGCGTATCTCCATCTAAAGAAACAGCCAAGGTTGTGGAGGGTGGTAGCTCTGGTGTTGCTTCTGGCACGAAATGGTTTGGAACTTCTAAACTAGAGCCTGATTGGGAGTTTCTTGTCCAAGGTCCAGTAACCATGCCTGTTATATGTTGAGAGAGTCTACGAGCCGAAAAACTGGATTGACTACCTCCAGCTGCAGACGTTGAAGATGAACGGGCACGCATAGGTACAATAATGTAGTAGTAATAGAAGAAGAAGATTATCAACAAAAGAATATATATATATATATATATATACAGACACAGACACACGGACACACACAAAATAAGAGTTGATATAAGAAAGGAAAGAAAAAGAAAAAGAAAAAGAGGGTGTAAAATGACGTTTTAGACTTTAAGGTGCTCCAGAAGCGTCATGCTGAGAGAGAGAGAGAAAGAGACAAATATATCGTCACAAAATGCACTTGTCATACTAGATTATGATCCAATTTTGGAAAAGTTCCAGAATTAAGCTGAGAATACAACCCAAAAAAAAAGAAACACATACTTTACAGTGCTTCCAGCAAGCAATATCATAGCCAGTCAAAATTGATGTCGTTAACCAATCAAAAATGCCGTACCATATATAATGGAACCCCATCTATCGTCACCATCGGCACTCAACGGCATAAGAAAGCGAAGCCCATCACTTTGATTCTCAGCAACGACCATCTATGATAAAGAAGACCAACAGCAGCCGAAAGTCAAACCACAGATTAAGCTAATTCTCAGAGAAAAAGTTTGGTTTCTGGTTTTCAGAGTCTGCCTTTTTTTTTGGTGTGCCTGATTGTGTCCTTTGACACACTTCCTTTCCTCTCTTTCTCTGTTCTTTTTACCAGATTGTTAAATTTATTTTATATCGACAAAGCATGACAGAAGCTACCGAAGATTTTTTTTCAATACAAATTGGCCTCCGAGTTTCGCCCAGGTACCGATACCATCAATAAGAATCATTCTATAAGATCAGTTAATCTTGAACCTTGTCGCAGTAACTGTTGTTGGTGCTCCCGGACAATATATACATCTGTAAGATCTAGGCAGGACAAGGAAGAGAGGCTGGCAAGGATACTGGAAGAGCGCTTGGCCAGTTCACAGAATATTTCAACTACCACAAAAATATAGACATCATTTTTATTACTTTTTTGTTAATGGGTTAGAGACAGGATATGCTAGCAACGAACAATGGGAAACATCTGACACAAAAGAAACAAGAAAAGATCGTCAGGAACAAAACTCACAAGTTAGCTGAAAGTCACGGGGGATCATTCCTGGGCTCCAAAATAATAATAATAATAATAATAATAAGGTCATCTAAGAAAAGTAATGTGAATTACAAACCTACAGACGTAGTCAAGTGTCACATACAGGACCCAAAGCCAAATCTATAATACTCCATAGGCCATATCTACCTGTGTGCTACCTGGTATTTCAACTCTGTATTTTAGACCCCGTATTTTCAAAACTCGACACACGCGCACACGCACACGCACACACGCACACACGCACACCATTTCCATCTATCTCTTTTACTATATTATATTATATTATATTATTATTATTATTGCCACTGCCCGCAAAGATGGTCTACAATAACCACAAGTTGTAATAGACAAACAGCACCACACCAATTTAAGAAACCACAGACATACTTTTCTTTCTATTTCTCCCTTTACCTGCCCACGCTTCTTGTGTTGTGTAGATTAAATTATTATAAGTAGTATAAAAGAAAGAAAGAACAAAACAGGCACAAAAACACACAGAAACAGACGCTCTAATCTAAGCCAAGGATATAATAGAAAAGCTGCACAGCACCAAAGATGATCTAATAGAAAGAACATAAAACATTTACATGAGAAATTTGATGTTTATCTTGACCTTGACCTTGACCTTGGCCTTGATAATCATAATCATCTCAATTTCCCATATATAACAAAACTAATACTCACAGGCTGCCAGACCACCAGGTAACGAACACCGTCAAGAAGGTTGAGATAAAGCTGTTGTTGAGTATCCCATCTATTAAATTAAATAAAAGTGAGTTATAGACATGAACTAGATCTCAATTCCTTTTTCTTTAAAATATAAAATAAATTCACTTACGGGTTCTTTTTGAATTGCTTCAGATCAACCTTTTCTTTACTATAAGATTTATGAAATATATTAGTCAATAAGAAGATCCACAATATTTTCCCTTTCTATACATATATGATATTCTCGAAAGAAAGAAAAAGGTAACTACTTGGGGTTATTTGTAATGATACTTTACCAATAAGGACAAATGTCTCTCTTGCCAATCAGGCACCAGCCACGAATACACTTTTCATGAAACACATGTTGGCATGCCAACTGGTGAACCGGATCATCTGCAAAGACAGCTCTCTGAGGCGGATCGACCAAGGTTCCGGTATCATCTGATGTCGGTTGTCCACAAACAGCACAAATGTGTGCACTCAAATGTTTCTGAGGGAGACCATCTTTGGAGTAGTACCCAATGGTTGCCGCCATTCGATCAGTGCAAATCTCAACAAAGTCACGTCCCAAAACACTACCAAAAAAAAAGAGCACACAAGACAAGGTAAGTATTATATTGAATTGTTCATAATATCATCATATTATCACAATCATTTACCACTACTTTATAAACCATAACACCAATAGATTTACACACATGACTTACCCAAAGTAAAGACCATAGCTCAGCATCAAAATTCCTGTTTGCATTACACCAGGTCCTTCAGTGAATAATGCAGCCAAACCACAGAATACAGCCAAAATAAGGAAATAACCAATAAGGCCGATAACAAATGATGTGTTGTGAAGAACAGTGTACCACTTGTAAACCATACGAGGTGTCATAGCCTCAAGGGGTTTACGTGTTGCCTTGTGAATAACTATTATATAAATAAAGAGTTTAATTTTATGTTCGTACAAGTTACGCTCTCTATTCTTCGTATCCCAAACCCCAATTTTCACCAAATAATTATCCTATTCAAAGTCTTACCAAAACCATTCAAAGCAGAGAATATAGTCCACACAGTCAAGAATCTATACCATCCATCATAGATACCAAACAGAACAGGGAATGTGTACAGACAGACCAAACTGACGAGCTGGAAAGAAGAAAAGTGCTTCTTTTTCCAGTAGAGAATCAAGAATTGGAAAGCGAACAAGGCAAACAGGAGAATGAATGCCATTAACTCGTGACGCGAATCATGACCTAGATAATAAAGACATATAAAAGTTGTCAGCCAAATAAAGAAAGAATGAAATAAGAAAGCATAATAACCTTTGTGTTCTTCCAGATATTCTTGATGAAGTTTATATCTAGATAAAAGCATAGTAATGATGAGTATTTGATGTAAAGCAAAACAAAAAAAAAGAATATGATTCATAAGACGATGATGATTATGATGATGATGAATATAGAAATGTTTATAGATATCAATGATTCCAAAATACTAATCTCTTTTTCTTTACCTTTCAAGATGCTCAGTGTCCAATCCGGCTAATTGCTCTGGTGAGAGTTGACCTCTATGCCATGCTTCATTATAGTTTGGATCCTGATGTGGATTCTCCATGCCAGATAAAGAATATAAGCAAAAAAAAAAAGAATAAGAAAAATTAAAACAGAAATATATATATATATATATCTTTATTTAAAAAGACCGGTCTCAAAGTGTAGATTTCATTTTGTAACCCACCTTCAAATACCCCGTCCGTTTTATTTTGGGGGTGTTTTACTTTCTATTCATTACCATCTATTATTTGTTATAATTTATTACATATATACTATTCATAATGTACAAAGCAACACCTGCTTATGAACATTTACACACTATATTGTAACAATGAAAATTGATACTTGTTTAATATCTATTCTGTATGAATTGTTTCATTTGCATAGATTTTTTTCTTTTTTGCCTTTGTTTGTTTGCTTAAATATATATATATATATATAATATTAATCAAAATAGTCCTTGTGTATATTAGAATGTTTGTATATAGATCTAGATATGTATATACATCATTATCATTTTTTTTTTTTCAGATTTTTTTTTTTAATTTTAATTTTTTTTTTTTTACTTTCCACCAAAGCCAAAGAAACCCCATAGTTTACTAGCTGGCTTGTCGGCACGCTCAGTGAGTGCAGAGGGATACTTGATCTGATTGGCAGCAAGATCAAAGTAAAGAGGTTTGCAGGCCACAGGTTGGAATACCGGAGGGAAATCGATAAGATGAGGAGCCGAACCAGTATTGGTCGCCAGTGTGGCAGGGTAAACATCCAAGCGATTGATAAGTGCAGTCTCACCCTGCTTATCAAGATTGAGATGGTTCATCTTGTGGGTCAAGTCATTCTCATAGTCTTCGGAGTCTGTAGGATGCTCAAGGTACCAGGAAGCATGGGCCTTGTGGGTTCCAGTGCGGATGGTCTGCTCAAGAGAATTGAGCTCTGTATCAGACACCTTGAGAATAGCATCTTCCGAAAACTGTCCTCCAAGTTGCTGGAGTCCCTGTTTGGCCTGGACAACATAAAGCTGAGATCTCTGGTAAAGAGAGAGTGCCTCTGGTGTCATTGCCTTTTCAGCATAGATACGTGCAACGTAAACACATCTAATATGAATCCCCAAGTCAATACCATCTCCTTTTCCTTTTTGTTCTTTGCTTTTTATACCTCCCCACCCCTCCCATTAATCGATCGATTCAATCATCCATCTATCCCTTTCCCTTTTCTTTTTACCTGTGTGCCCTGTAAAAGTGAGCAAGGGTATCTAATTCAAGATCAAATGCAGCATCTTCCTGAACCACATTAAGGTCCCGAATAGAATCCACATTCTATTCATATACACATATATACACATATATGGTTACCATACAATCCCATTTTTCTTCTTTCCTTTCTCTCTCTCATTCATTAGTTTGTTTACCTTTAATATGTCATCATAGAGTTTGATCAACTCCCGTTCCTTGCCTCTAGTAGACTTTAATTCTTCGACCAGCACAAGGTTGCGCTGAATAGATCTGGCATAGAGATTGTAGATCACAAATGCCTGGATCCACACCAACTCTTCACTAGCCTGGACAGATTTTGACGAAGTGACCTTTGCAGAGACTTCCTTGTCCTCCTTGATTGTCTTTCTGGCCTGTTTCTCGGCCTCAGCCCAGTGCGACAGAATGGGGTCAAAGCTCTCGACCGTCTTGTTTTCATTTTCTGATCGAGCTGTTGTCGTAGTATCCAGGTGACGCACAGAATCTTCGGCCTTTTGGATAGGATCCGCAAGATTCTTGTTTTTGACGGTCAAGGTCTTTGAGCGCCAGTTGATGGTTTGTGAAATACGACGGTTCAGGAAGTTTTGCTGATCGTGTTGCCCTTGGCCACTTGTTTCTTTTACCTTGGCCAATTCGGTTTCCAATGATTCCATTCCGGTGACGGGTTTGATGTGCTTGGTAATAGCATCCATGTCTTGGGAAGATGTATCGATCTGAAGCTTGTAAGCGCAGAAACGAATATTGGGATCCAGGGTATCGATCGCAGAGTAATACAATGCTTCCTGATGAGCATTACTGCTTGTCTGTGCAAGGGTTTCGTACAAAGATCTACCATACCGATTTTTTTTTCAATATATATTCATATTATCTTATATGATCTATCTCTTCCTTTCCAAAAACCAAGAGAAAATAAAAAAGCAAACTCTAATGTAATTTGATATACTGTCCTTCCTCTTTTTTTTTGTTACCTTGCTGATACACATTGATCCAACGCGTCTTGCCATTGCTTTCGCTCAATATAATAATATCCTTTCATAGTCATTGCGTATGCCTTGATGTTCAACACCGTGATGCTATCTACAGACAGTTTCTGGCAAAGGGCATAGAGTGCATCTGTATGCTGTCCGGCCTTCTTCAACTTTTGGGTAAAGTGGTGTCTCTTTCGTGTACCCATGCTTGATTCTGCCTCTGCCTTTAGCTCCATTGCAGTTGCCCAGGCACGTTCGGCTTCATAGATGTAGAGTTCCAAATAACGTTTGTCGTCCACATTGGCCGGGATTTCTTTTCTCTGAGCATTCTTTTTTGTCATGTCTTGTCCAATGTGGAGCAACTGTCGAATACGTCCAATACGATGTGCGCAATGTTTGCTTTTGTTGTTTTATATAAAATAAAGAAAGAAAGAGTTGATTCAGTAAAGTTAATCTTATGTGTTGTTTTATGTAATGTTATATAAGATGTACACATGTATGAATGTGTACGTAGTCAATTATGTACCGGTAACGCTGATAGTCTTGATGTCTAAGACCATAGGTCATTCGTGCCTCATTGATGATGTGAAGAACTATAGAAAAGAAAAAAGAAAAATAGAAAGAGAGATGCCATGTACAAAGTATAGAATCATATGAATATATAACATGTATAGATTAATTATAATAAAATAAATCAGTAAATAAATAGTTCCATGTAGGTACATTTCTATTTATTTTATATATATATATTACTAACCATCCACAGACATTGGAGACTTTGATGAATCCTCAAGGTCCATTGCTAATATAAGCACGTATGTTGTTTGTTATGGCTCTTTTGTTCTTTCGCGTTTAAATGAATATCAAGAAAATAAGAAGAAGAAGCTTACGTTCAGCCATGTTTTTAGATATATAGATAGGTTATGATGATAATAATAATAATAGTAGTAGTAGTAGTAAAAGGTAGAAAATTCGTACTGGAATTCTCAAAATTTCAGTAAGCGAGAAACACAAAAGAAATATATATTAAATATTAAATATTAATATAAAAAAAAAAAGAGACGAGGGCCAGCCAAGGGCTTAAATAATAATAATAATATAAAAAAAATTAAAGTTATACTATTGACTGTGAGTATTATGTGTAGTATGTGTACTATGTGTGCTGTGTGTATCTGTGTGTATGTCGAATGTGTGTGTGTGTGCGTATATATAAATAAAATTGCCCAACCACAGGGTGGCGTTGATGTCACTGTCGTACAACTCAATGATTGTAATACGCTCGACCAATGAGAATCAAGTACTATATAAATAAATAAATAAACAAGAAATAAAATTCCATTTTTTCCCTTTATTTATATTATATATTTTATCAATTTTTTTTAATTTTTTTACTTCTTCCTCTTCCCCTTCCTCTTCTTTATTCATTATGTTATTTTATAGATTAAAATATATATAAAAGCTTCCTGTCAATTGTTACTATCCTATAATCAATATCGACTGTTCGATCGACGTACGACAAAACCAACAAATCTTCAAGTAAGTAAACTAAAAGAAAAACATACATGCGTAGAGTATAAGTATGTATTTTTACGCGCCTATGTGCCTACATATAGTATATTGTATTGTATTGTATTGGAGTGTAGTATGGGCAATGATTAGAAAATTGATTGGATTATAAAGACGGCAAAAAGTTTTAAAGAAATTTAAAGGAAAGAAAAAGAAGATAATGATGATGATGATAATGGCAATGAAATATTGTATTGTAACAACAACAACAACAAAGAAAGTATATCTATAAGATAGAAGGGTAACCAATGCTTTATATCTTTAAAGACATGAGAGTTTAACTTCTTTATTTTATTTGTTGCTGATGGTGTTGCTATTGATATCGTTGCTGTTGCTGTTGCTGTTATTTTTTTTCTTTTTCTTTTTCTTTTTCTTTTTTAATTTTTTTAAAGAAAAAATGATTGTCATAAAACAAAACGCTTGATATGAGCCACAACTACATTACATTACATTACATTACATTATATAAATGATTCTCGTCATCTAACTATTGTCTGCTATTATTATTGTAGTGCGATTGACATGTAAAACATAAGAGAGATTATATATTGTCTGTGTGTCCATTATAAATAAATAAAATAAAATACTATTATCATTATGTTAATTCTTTGTAATCTATTCTTAATTGCATGGCCTTACAGTAAAACACACTATAAAAGTCCCACAATTCGATAATACAAGGCGTATCTTTTTCTTGTCTTTCAAATAAACCCCACAAAAAAGCATTCTTAGGCTATTAGCCCATTAAACATCCTGACACTATTTTTTTTTGTATAATGCATACTCAACCTTTTGTTTAAATATAAAAAGCTTTGAAAGATTTTTATCCCGAAAAGATTAGAATTTTGTATTTTTTTTTATTTTTATATTTCTGTACAAGTACTCAGATTCATTAACATCTTCAGCAGTTACATTATCGAAAACATTATATATAGTGTATATTAGCCACACCGAGAATTGAATACAGGTCAAAAGGAGATATTCAAATTGTGCTTATTTTATAAAATAACATTTGCACTTCTTGACGGTCTAAAGATGTCTTTTGCTTTGTCAACTTGGAGAGGAACCCATCGACCAACTGCTTCCAAAGATCTGATAAAGGCAAACAAACCAACAGTCTCTTTGAGCCATTTAGACATACAGGTAAAATGTCAACGTTAATTTCTACTTTGTCCAAATTTCATTCTCGTTTTGTCGACAAAAGGTAAGCACATTGTCTACAGTTACATTTTGATTCCCCTCTTGACCTCTCTATTAAGACTTCCGTTTCTGATTTTCGAGGCCATATTCAGTCACGCCCACTTACACCAAATCTTTCTCGCGCAGCATGGATCCGGTTTTAAAAACTCATAATTCTTCATGACAGTCATACCATCTGAAGGAATGCCCTGTGAGGACGCCTGGCTACTCGATCTCTTGTATTTCAAAAAGACTGAAAATTTTGTTGACGACGACATCTGCACCATATGCATGTTGGCAATAGACACCCCTGATCGCTTCCTCATCAACTGCCCCCAAAAACAAGATTGGTATGGAGTATAATCCTTTCTCAGGTAACGCCTGCGCTGGTCACTGGCAAGGATGAACACTCTCCTAATCACGATGACTTTTTCTGACACTTCCATCTCCAAATATACACACACACACAAATTCTTGGTGTAGGCTCTACAATCCATGTCATTTGGCGATCTCGCTGTACCTCTGGCATGAACAAAGATCCCTTCCTAGTGTGATGCCAGCCAAGGTACTTGTGGTGATAAGGCTCTTATTGGACTAGTCTTTCCCTCTCATATGAATATTGTAATACAAAAGTTCAGGCATATTAAACCAATTGCCCAGTGATTTACACTGTAGCTGACCAATACAAGAGAAAAATAATAATTAAAAGTGCGACATATTTTCTCGAATTATGCGACTTGAATTTTCGAACCGTGCGACTTTTATAGTGTGTTTTACTGTATATAGTGCACTACATTACATTAAATTACATAAAATATATAAAGGTCATTTTATTTTATTTTTATTTAAGAAATAAATAAATTAAAATAATAATAATAGTAGTAGGAATTCCTTTTGGTTTGTTAAAAGTAAAGTAAAGTAAAGGGGAAGGGGAGGGAGTTATTTTTTGTTTATTTGGGATATTTACAGTTGAAGAAAAGAAAAATAGGGATGTGCACAATAGAGGAGAAGGGAATAAGAGGAAAGGAAAGGGAGAAGAAGAAGAGGAGAAGGAAGAGGGGGTATATATATATATATATATGTGTGTGTGTGTGTATATTTATAATTGAATGATTGAATGACTGAATGAATGTATATGAATGAATCAAGGAAAGAGGGATTTAAGAGAAGGTAGCCGGTAAGGAAAGATAGGAGACATATTATTGCTGTCGTGGACTTTCCATGGAAGTTCCTTGTCATGTTGAGAGAGGGGGGGTAAATAGATAGTCTCCTGCTTGTCTAGACCACAGTATCCCAATTCTTTGTCGGGAGAGTGCCATGAAGGTAACCAGCCCTTCTCCTCTTCCTCTTCATATTTCTGAGTTTGTGAAGAGCATTGATAATAACTATAATTGTGTAGATGATGATTATGATGATGGTGATGATTTTCAGGTGTACGTGGTGAATGGTCAAGATTGACCGAACGAAAGGTGGGTGAGGATGTGGCCGTAGATGTAGACCCAGACAAAGTGTAGGTTTCGTCAGCCGAGAGTGTGGGGGAGGGCATGCCGGCCAACATCTTTTGGGCTACTATGTCAGGGTCATCAAGGTCGGCTTTTGTTAGACGCACGCCATGCTGCTTCTCAATGTGGCGTGTCAACTGGCCCCTTCGCCAAAAGGACTTGTAGCAGGCTTCGGCAGGGCAATGGTGGAGTTTGGCTCCGGGAGCCTGTCGGTAAGGGCTAACACGCGATGGAGAAGGCGAAGAAGAGGATAGAGAAGGGGGTTGAGGTTGGGTGCATTGTGAGAGGGGGAGATGATCCGAAGATGTAGACAATGCTGAGGATGACGTTGAAGATGTGGATGTTGATGTTGATAAAGATGATGATGAAGATGTGGATATAGATGTGTTTGTGTTTAAGTGGGTTGTTGGCTGAATGAATCGTAAAATCGAACAGTGCTGCTGTTGCTTTGCATAGGCCTCTTCATCTTCGGTTGACCGAGGCTTGCTGGTATATTTGGCATGCTGTCTGGTTTTTCTCCTGCGCTGGAGTAATACAGCAGAGGGGGCAGTGTGGACACGAACGTGCCGACTGAGTTCGTCTGAGCGTGCGAATCGTTTGTCGCATTGTCCATAGGAACATGCATGAGGTTTTTCGCCTGTGTGGGTGCGTACATGGCGTACTTTGTGCTCAAGACGGTAGAATGATTTGTGGCAAAAGTCGCATTTGTAGGGTCTCTGAAGAGCGACCTGTTGTGAATCTGACACAAAGGGACCTGATTTGATATTTACGGGACAAGCGGCGAGTTTTACCGGGCAATGGATATCCATAACTAATAAAATCCGGCCAAAATACAAGTGATACTGATAGTTGATTGTGATGGTAAAGGCAGAGTAAGAATGAGAACTGAAATAAGCTATTTAACAATAAAAAAACGAAGCACAGACGAAGAAGTAGAAGTAGAAGAAGTAGAATAAGAAACAAAAAAAGGTGACAATTAAAGACGAGGAAGAAAAAAAAAAAAGGAAAGGAAGAAGAAACAGGGCCGCTTTATAAGGAATGAAAATAATGAAAATAAAAGAAATAGGTAAAGTTCTCCTCAGTTATCGGGTGTAAAAGGCTATTGTAATTATTTCTATGGAGACAAAGATTTAAGGTTTCCGTCAAGAATACATAAATTTTATTTTATTTATATAAGACCTTTATTTGGATATCTCCCCGCGAATGAACTATCTTTTTTTGTTTATTATATAATTAGATATTTATATTTATATATAAATAAATAAAAACATACATACATACATATTTACATATTTACATATATAGTATATAAAAGATATATGTAATATATTTATTTACAAATTAGTAAAAAAAAAAAAAGAAAGAAAGCAAGCAAGCAAGAGAAATCATTACAATCAGTTCCCCAAACCCCATCCCCCACATCAACAACAGTTATAAGCTGTATCTCCGCTGACCGTGCCCTTTGAGCAGGATCGGTACTTAAAATAACAAAAAAGGAGGTGCAGAGTTGCCTTGTTCAGCAAGTAGGTTGTACCCAATTGGAGTATATATCATTTGACCACTACTGATTTCTTATTTTATTTTATTTTATTTTTTGATTTTTGTTGGAACACACAGTTTTGTGGATGAGCGATGATCTCTCTTTCTTTCTTTTTTGTCTTTGACTTTCTATATTTGGAAAAAAGTAACAAAGGAGCGGCCTAAATGGGAATATGAGCCAATAATATCCCTTGATTGTGTACATGTTAATCTACAAAATAAATATATATATATATATATATATATTTGGATAAGAAAAGTCAAGACAATTCAAGACAGGCCAGACCAGGACATGTTTTAACTAGTACACACAATAATGCATACCTTTGCAAAATAATAATAATAATAATAATAATAAAAAAGGGCTTTGTATAGCTAAATGACAAAGCAGTACAAAGCAGTACAAATCAAATATGAGCAAAAACAATTTGAACTATTACAATAGAGTCAAGTATCTAATAGTATAAATAAATAGATACAGATAGAGAGAGATAATAGATAAAAGATGCCTCAAATACCTCATTTGATCTATCAAACCAAGTCTAAATCACTACAAAAATACCGTCACACAGCGTTTATCAGGAAACACGCACTCACATCATCTATAATAAAACAAGATAAAAAGGTAATTAAATAGATATATAGATGTACTGCTGTAATATAATTTCTGTATATATTTTAGAATCAGTATCAACTGCACAGAGCATTTGCTCAATTATGAAGCAATATAGGGCATGGCTTGAGCGCCAATGCGTTCCTGATGTTCTCGGTTTAGCTAATCTCAAAAGTGTGAAATATTTTTAGAATCACTCTCATCTACAGATTGTACATTAATAATAATAACCAGTATCAGTATCAGTATTTATTACTCACTGATAAACCATATATTCTAATGTTCGATTTTACTTATAAATGCATACATACACACACTTGAATGTCTTTCTAAAAAAGATCATCACAGCCACCCGATGAAGCCTCTGACCATCCTCGTGGAATAGAAGATTAAAGAAGGTCCGCTATGGCGCCTTATGCATACACTGAGTCTACCTCTCAAGTTTCAGGTTTATTAAAGGAATTAAAGAATAGAAAAAAAAATAAGAACAAATTATATATATATATATGTGTGTGTGTGTGTGTGTAATGTTCATTTTTTTTTGTGGTTGGCATGGTTGGTGTATTGATTTGCAAGCAAGTTTGAATGCAACCCTTTTTATTTTATTTTATTTTATTTTATTTTATTTTACAGTGCCAATCAGCTCTTCCGTAAATTTGGCCGTCAGTCCGTAAGGTCAAGTCAGGTTTGGTTTGGTCTGGTCTGGTCTGGTCATGTTAGGTCAGGTCAGGTCAGGTATGTTCTGTCCTTGGTCAGGTCGGTTTTGGTTATGATTTGGGTTTGGGTTTGGATTTTGGTGGTAAAAGAAAGCCAAAAAAAAAAAGGTTTTTATTTAAGCTTTAATCTATAGAAATATAATAGCAATAGCAATATCTTATTTTATTATATATACAAGTTAGATTATCTCTTTTATTCTGTACCAGTGACTTGAGTCATTAGTTTACATAAAAGGCTATATTTGAGATAACCGTACTTTTAAAATGATATTATGAACAACAAGAGAGAATTGAGACATTTCTGTACTGTATATATAAATATATCCTTGTACACGTTCAAGCGAGGCACAGCGCAACATTTATTATTATATTCTTTGTGTACACTATACTACAATACAATACAATACAATACAATAACATAACATACAGTACATTACAGTATAATATGATACAACACAACACAAAATACCTGTGTACAACCAACCGAGCAACCAAACAAAAATAAATAAATAAGTGGAATAAATCGTATAAAGTATAAAGATATGTATTAAACACTGTCAAAACCACAAGTACAGTCAAAGCTCGATATAGTGATATTCGATATAGTGATAGTGATAAAATTTGAATCCACCAGTATCACTATATCGAGCTCTGAGTTTATTTCTGTAGTATATATTTTATTTAGCATTTTAAAGCAAGCCCAGTTTCTTAGACAAAATACTATGAATCCTATTAGAAAACAGTAGTCACTCACAGCGGCATTGGAAATATCACTAAATAATGTGTGGAGTAAGAAAAAAACATGCTCAATATAGTGATAGTGATAAAATTTCTGTTCACCATCCATATCACTATATCGAGCTTTGACTGTACCAAGATGTCAATTTTCGCAAAATATACTCACATTGACAGACAGAGGTAATAGCTTATTTCCCGCAAATACATATATATATATATACTACATAGTCAATAAATAAACAACACCAGTAGTGTAAGACCAAGTGTGGAGCTTGTCAAATATACATACATACATATAAATATAACCCCAACAACTATAGGCTTTTTTTTTTTCAAACGAACACACATCGTGAAGTCTATTGCCTATTTTGACAATGTTTGGTGTTTATTCAAAAGACAGAGAAAGAGAAGAAAAAAAGTGTTCTCACGCACTGTAAGACCTGAGTACAGATGACATATATCAAAATAAGAGCAAGAAAATCTCTCTCTCTCTCTTTTATATATATATATATATATATATAGAAGGATAATTGGCATTAAAATGAGATAGACATTTTTCTAAATAAAATAAAAGAATAAGAAAGGAGGGGGAAGAGAGAAAAGAATGATAATTAATAGCGCATTTGACACCAGATTTCTCAATAAGACAAGTGATTCCAGATGCTGTAGTGTGAATACTCGCGTGTAATATACATATTGAAAGAATAAATGAATACCTATATGTGTGAGGTTGGAAATTATAAATTCACAAGAGAAAGGGGAGGAGGGAAAATAACATGTTGTATATGTATGTTTTCTTTTTTCACTCATGCTCCCCACGGTCTTTCTTATGCGTACTGTTATTACTTGTTCTTTTCACATGAATAAACGCAATTTCATTTCATTTCATCTTACTTTACTTTTCGTTACCAGGGGAACCACACGGAATTAAAGCAAAAAAGCAAAAAAAAAAAAGAAAAAAGATTATATATAATATATATATTTAATATTCAATGATAGTTTTCCCACAGGTTAAATAAAATAAATAATACTCAGCATAAATAGTCAAACAGACAAAGAAACAGAATCAAGTCTAATGAATTTTTTTTTCTTTTGGCTCTGATTTAAGTTACACTGGCACACAATGGGGTAACCGGCATATCCAACAAACCTATATAATTGCTTATTTTGGATATATTTGAGATATCATGATTGGCCTATTTGATCTTGAACAAAACAAAACAAAAAGGTACAAGAACCGTCCCATAATATCCACCTTCACCCTCACCCTCACTCCCCCCCCCCCTTATTTTCCTCTCTCTCTAATTTTTTTTTTATATTAGGAACTGATCGGAAAGCTTGTTTATTTATACGTTCTATTATATTATATAAAAACTTACTTAAAATCCATGTACATAATATATTTATATTTATATTACTTGTCCACCCTTATTCTATACAAAGAAATTCAGCCAACACACACTACACACATAATTAACACTAGCACAAAAAAAGAAAAAAAGAAATAAAGAGGACTTCTAGTCATGGGCTCAGTTGTACAAAATTCAAATATTGAACACGGATGGCGCATTTCTTTCTTTCTTTCTTTTCTTTCCCTGTTTTTATTTATTTGTAAAGTTCTTTCCGGCTATTGTAAGTATTGCGACTTGATTTCGTCACCCATTCTATTCTATTCTATTCTATTATATTGTATTGTATTTACTACAGCTACATTATACACATACACAAGTACATTCAACAACAAAAACAACAACAGGAATAAGAATAGCCAGAAAGTTCTGGTCGCGCTATCAGATCAGAAATATCAATTCTAAAATCATATATATATATATATATATATATACACTCTTTCCAGAAAGTAAATTCGCTCTTGTCGGAAAGTAAATACAGCCAATGACGAGAACAGAATTCATGTTGAACAACAAATAAATTCGCCCTGGTGGAAAATGATTTCATCAGATGGCAAGAACAAAATTCATATTCTACGAAATGTAAATTCGTATTCGCTGTCAAATAGGATGTCCTGTTGCCAAGAATATTTAGCCTTGGCATCATTGGATATAACCTTGTTTGATTTTGTAAAAAAGCACTGCATCTTGTCTCTCAAAAAAGCTCGTTTTCAACCTGTAGATTGGAACAGCAAGGAAAAGATTCAAGAACGCCTGGATTGGATTCATAAATGGGAAAAAACAGACATGGATTTTACGACCAACTGCGTCGTCCTTGATGAATCTGCATTTCATATTAATTTGAAACGTAGTATGGCATGGTCAAAGAAAGGCTCCCCTGCAGTGGTCACAGTTCCCAAAACACGAGCAAAAACAACAGCCATTTTAGGTCCAATTTCTGCCCAAGGTCTGATTAAATGTAGCCTCAGGCTTCCTCAGCCTCCATCCAATAAAAAGAGAAAGCAAGGAGAAGACGTTGGGCGTGTGAGCAAAGGGACAGTTATGGGACACTATGTTAGTTTTCTAAAAGCCACGATGGATGAAATGGACCAGCATCCACATATGAAAGGCCATTACCTCGTGATGGATAATGCTCCAATCCATACATCGGTTGATATAGCTAAATATGTAGAATCTCGCGGTTACTGCTGTGTCTATTTGCCGTCCTATTCTCTTGAACTTAATCCAATTGAACAGTTTTGGTCAGTGGTTAAGAGTAAAGTCAAACGAAACAAGCTACTGGAAACTGAGACACTTATGACAAGAAGCAGTGAGGCATCTAATAGTTTTACGCTGAGCGATTTTAAAGGGTTTGTTGGGTATTCTCACAAATGCTTGGACAAGTGTCGTAACAGGCAAGCACTCTGAAGATCTTATTCATGGTCAATGCAGTAAAAAAAAACCCAAAAAAAAAAAGACCTCGAATAATAAGATGTTTCCAAGTATTTATAAGAATAAGAGAAAGTTGCTGAGCAATAGAGGTTGGGGTTGTTTTATTATACACTCCGACAGAATAAGTCAGCGATAAACCACATTTTTTTACATTTTTTTTTTCTTTAAAAAAAAAATGGGTTCGCAAATGCCAAAAAACATACACACACACACGCAAAAGAAAAGGCTCAACTGATATATGTAAACTACATGAACATCTTTAGAACAGCATCTTAACAATACTATTAAGAGCTTATAGGCTTTTAGAACTACTTGGAGAAGAAAAAAATAATACGTCAACTGTTAATGAATTAACTAATTAGTTAATTATATCTTTCTTTGTAATACATGTGTATATAGTAAGTATTGTACCGTATTTTATTAGGGTTGCCTTAAATCTTGTCAGATAAATAAATAAAAGCATATCTTTGGTTACTCTAATGATAAGAGGTTAGATTAATCCAAATCAGCTCAAACCATGATATTATGGCTGTAGCACTAAAAGAAAAAAGAAAAGGCTACAAAATAGTATAGCAAAAAAGGGAACAGATATTTGGTATCTGACAAACTTGAAATGTACGAAGTAAAATAAGGCAACCGGAAAAGAGAATCAAACTTACTTTAGATATTTAAACAAGAAGCTGAGCATACATTATATATAAGAAAAAATTAGTGTCAAAATATTCAACAAGTTAATAACCTAAAAATAACACATTTCTGTATTGTTTATTTGAAAAGAAGATACATTCAGCGGTTAATTCTTTAAAAATACGTCTTGTCTAGTGTGCTTCACTGTACAAGCCATATGCCTTTTTTTTCTTTTCTTTCTTTATCTATTGGTTAGATTTGACAATGCTGATTTGAAACAATAAAAGCAAAAAAATCGTAAAAAACATCAACTTGCGCTATTATTGACGTCTAGTTATAATCTCCGCCCAAATTAACAAACAATGCAACTGTTTTTTTTTATAAAAAAAAAATTCATACGGTAGTTAAATGTTATGATGTCAGCCCAAATCCAGAGAAGACAGTTATCGCTCCTCTTTTAAGTTAATTCTTTCTTTCTTTCATTCATTTTTTTTTCTTTGTTTTCCTCTCTATCTCTTTTATTGTCTTTATACATATACACACATACACACACGCCTATAAACCTATCTACACATATCTGTCTATATCTTCCTTTTATTTTTACAATCAACAGAGTCTCAATTACAGAATGTCAGATAGAAAGAAGGTTTTGTTAAAGGTAATGAGATGTCTTCCTGTTTTATATAATGTATAAAAAACAAAAGGAAGAAAAGAAGCAGACAAATACTCTGATAGGTCATTAGTATTTGAATTCAATATATATATATATACACACAAAAAAAAGAAATAAAGAAATGAGGAACAACGAAAAGAATGAGAATGCCAACATTGTATTTTATGTGTATTATGTATGTGTATGAATGTGAATGGGTGTAACCTACCTACCTACCTACCTACCTACCTTCTCGCTGCTTGTTGCTCCAGGTTATTATTCTCGGTGACAGCGGGTAAAGAACCTGTATTTCTTTATATCTTTACTTTCATTTCAGGTTTATCTTTTTTTTTTTGCTGTTTGAGTATTTATAATTTATAGATAAAGAATTAAAGAAAAATAAAGGGGAAGGTGGGGAAAATAAAGATTGTTGACCAGGCAGAATAATAATAATATATATTAATGTATTTAATATAGTGTTGGAAAGACTTCTTTGATGAACCAGTATGTGAACAAGAAATTCAGTAGTCAGTACAAAGCCACTATTGGAGCTGATTTCCTAACCAAAGAGGTTCTGGTCGATGACAAATTGGTGACAATGCAGGTAAATAATATCTTTAAAGATAGATAGATACATTGATATACACACACACACACTCTCTCTCTCTCACACACACACACAAAAAAACTTAGATTTGGGATACAGCTGGACAAGAGAGATTTCAATCCTTAGGTGTTGCATTTTACCGTGGCGCTGATTGCTGTGTACTGGTCTATGATGTGAACAATAACAAGAGCTATGAATCCTTAGGTACTTCATTTTATGCTGTACAATGAATGAATACATCGAAAATTAGAGTTTCTTATTTGTGTTGGTCACATAGGTCAATGGCACGACGAGTTTCTTGTACAGGCATCTCCCCGTGATCCCGAAAACTTTCCTTTTGTTGTGTTGGGAAACAAGGTGGATATGGACGAGTCCAAGAGAATGGTATCCCAGAAGAGAGCAATGGCTTTCTGCCAAGCAAAGGGAAATATTCCGTGAGTTTATTCTTTATTCTTTTCGTCTTTGTAGTATAAAGTCTATATGCTAATTGTATATTGATTGTCTATTTTTCTCTCATTCATTTATTAGTTATTTTGAGACATCTGCAAAGGAAGCTATCAACGTCGAACAGGCTTTTCAGACAATTGCCAAGAACGCACTCCAGCAAGAAACAGAAGTAGAGCTTTATAATGATTTTAGTGATTCCATTCGTATCGATCAAGATAGCGACAAGGACTACAGTGGTTGTGCTTGTTAAAGTACCCCATAAAATAATAACAGTAATAGTAATCCCAGAATTCTAAAGAAACCCACATACACAACAAAGAAAATAATAAGAACATTTAGTAAGAATAATTATAATCATCATAAATAAAACAAAAACAATGAATAATGAATAATGAAATCAGTAACGCACAGACATTCTTATCATCAATAACACAGACATGTGTAAAAATCTTTATGTAATTAAAATTACAGTTCCTGTAATACTCTGATAATCAAGGGAGTCCAACTGTTCTTTTCTTTGGTAATATATATATATATATTTATTTACAATTCAAATAAAACAGTTTGAATTCCTTCATTCGTTCATTACTGATGTTCTTTTTCTTAAAAAAAAAAAGAAACATTGGATTATCATTATCATTATCATCTTCTTCCTTTTATCTTTTTTGTTTTGGTTTACTGAGCCTTGGCAAAACGCTCAGCAACGGTCTTCCAGTTAACGACCTGCCAGATAGCCTTGAGGTAATCAGGGCGGACGTTCTTGTATTGCAAGTAGTATGCCTATATTATATTTATATACATATAAAGAATTTTGGTAAGTAAAGATACTTTAATTTAATGTTATAGGATAGGGAGGATTTGTTTGTAAAGGATAATTATAAAATAAATTGTTTCAATTCACACACACACAGAGAGATATAAAAGAAAGGTATTCTTTATCATTATAATGATGATTTAACTTACGTGCTCCCAGACATCAATACCCAAGACAGGTGTCAAGGCTTAATATATACATGTAAATATAAGAAAGTTTTGTTTAGAGAAAAGAAATATGTTATAAAGATTTCATTTGATTTCTTACTGAGAAGAGGATCCTGGTTAGGAGTAGTAGCGATCTCAAGACGCTTAGCAGCCTTGTTGTAACCCTATATGCACACAAATAGATAAGAAAAACAGGTTAGCATATGGTATATACTTGACATCTTTCTTTTGCAAAAACATACCAACCAAGCCCAGCCAGAGCCTATTTGTAATATAATATAATATAATATAATACAATATAATATAAAAATTAATATATTGTATATACACCATCACGGATAAGAAATTATCCAATTAACACAATCACACACAAAATAACCAATCAATCAATCAAGCAATCAATCAAAGCAGTACTCTTCAAAGCAATCAAAGCAATACTCTCTAATCAAGTTCTTTCCTGATTCTTCAAAAATCACTTACCCTGGACACCGGCAGCAGCGGTGTTGAACTGAGTGACAAAGTTGTCAAAGGTACCAAATTCCTTCTCAATAGCAGACAACAAGGATCCCTTGGGAGCCTGTCCACCACCCTCACTCTGAGGAGCCAAGTTCTTCCAGAAAAGACTGTGGTTGATGTGTCCTGATAATTGAATGCATATAAATACATAGAATGGAATACAAATACAATTTTATCATATAATTAGATCTTAACTCACCACCACCATTGAACTTGAGAGCATTCTGGAGAGCAAGCTGCTGGGTCAAATCGTTGGCCTGGAAAGCACCCTGAAGCTTCTCTTCAGCCAAGTTGAAACCATTGACATAAGCCTGGTGGTGCTTGCTGTGGTGGATCTTCATGATCTCACCAGAAACATAGGGCTCAAGAGCCTACAGACACAGACACATATTAAATATTCATTGATAATCTACTTCAAAATAATACTCTTATTATTAAAAAAAAACAAAGATCTTTTGTACCTCGTATGCGTAAGGGAGCTCGGGCAAGGTAACCTTGGTGCGGACAGCAGTCAAGGGACGGAGAGTCTTGACAGAGGAGGTCTTGATGGAACGGGCAGCGATAGAAAGCATAATTGTTTTGTTGTTGTTGTTGTTTTTTGGATAGTCTTTTGTGGTTTTACAAGAAGCGTATAATAAAAAAATAAAATAAAAAAAAGAAGGGCCATATTTGTACTTGCCCTTGCCACGCCCCGACGCGCGTGTGTGATGTCATGAGTATGTGTGTGTTACGCTTACTAACACAATGTCCAATCTTCCCCACAGGACACACAATAATAATAATAATTTTTGGCTTTTTTTTTTCTTTCTTCAGGACCAAAAACTAATTTTTTTAATAAGAGGCAAAGATTGTATAAGACACTTGATTTATACTTCTTTGTTGGCTTTTTTTTATATATGAATATAATTGATCTGTTAAGCCAATTGTTGTTACTAGATATATAGAAGCTTGTATTCATATCTGTGTAGATTAGGTTGTCCACGTCACGTACAATGCACATTTACGGTGCAGATAGCACTGACCTTGGAAATTATGAAATTAAAATAAAATAAAATAGGAATATTTGGCATCTCCGACAGGCTACCATAAAAGTGGAGGTCATCTTAATATATATATATATATATATAAAAGATTACTCTATTATCCGGAGGAAGAGGGCGTCTACTATTATTATAAAGATACATACAATAGGTATATTTAGTATGGGGAGAGGGGTTAATAATATGATAGTAATACAGATAAATGACATACATAGATCCATTTGTTGAAATTCAGAAATCCTTTTTAAATGAAGTATATAACAATTATCTATATATAATTAAATAGATACCGTAAGATGAGATTTTACGGATCAACTGTGGCCCGTTCCTGAATATATACAAGTATCTAAATTAATTATATATAAATTAAGGCCTCTTTGAACTTGAACTTGAACTTGAACTTTGTCCGGCCAATTGATTACAAAGTATCAGTATAGCATCATTGTCAAACTTTTTCCGAATATTCTTAACCAAGGCGCCTGTCTACTTTTAGCTGATTAATGAAACTTGAAAGTTTTTGTTTTCTGAACGGAGGTAGGTTCACTGATATGTCGATCTTCTTCGGCAGGGTTACCTTCATTTGCGTAATAAACCTTTATCGCTGGTGTGACTCTGGCTTTTTTTCCTAAAGGTAATTAATAATTTTTCTCTTTGTTGGTTGTTGGAGAATTATGCTGGGACAGGAAAAGCTCGGCTGCAATAATATGATTTGGCTTCATGTCGTTCCTCAGTTTTCTTCTTCTTCTTTCTTCATTTGTAACTTGACCAAAGAAAAAAAAAGAGGATGTAGAGCTTGTAGCCTAAAGGTTGACTCTTTATAGTTTTATAGTTTCTTAGAGATTTAGTGCTGTAGTAGTAATATTTGATTATATTGAGAAAGTAAGTGTTAATGATTTAATGGTAATGGTAATGGTAATGGTAATGGTGAGCAAGTGAATTTGATACTTGAGCGTGTAAGCTTGATTGAGAAAGTAAATTAATCAATCTAATAATAATATTATTAAATTATTATTGTTATTATTGTTATTATTATTGTATATATAAAATATAAAAAGGCTAGTGTGTTCTCGTACATGCAGAGTAGATAAAGAGATACATATTATATATATATACTTGTATATATATATGGAGATGGATAAATAGAGATAGAGATAAAGAGAAAGAGAAGGAAAATAAGGCTCCAAGAATTTTAAATCATGAATGTCCATACATGCCCTTGTAGAACGGTTCAAGACGAGTCCGGTCAACAGTAGCAAGATAGTACTTGCCGCCACTGTGGGTCCAGCTCACAGCTTCCGAAAAGTACTCGTATTCCTCGACTCTCAGAATAGATTCTGGCATATGAAACGTCCGCTGGTTGATCTTGTGGTGTTTGGGCACAAATGATTTTAGAGAGATGATCCGGGTACCTTCTTTAAGATCAAGAAAGAGCTGTGCAAGAGCATGATTTGTGGCAGCATCGAATGCGTAATTGTTGACCAGCAACACATCAGCCCTCTTTAGTGTCGAATACATGCCGTTGGTTGCCATATCCAAAAAATCCCCATGACGAAAATGAATCTTTCCGGTAGGTAACAGCCAAGCTCTGTATCAAACAAACAAATATTTTTTTTTGAGTTTTGGACTTCGTTTGCTTCTGTAACAATCCTTATTTTCTTACCTCATTCTGGATGCATACTCTTTGAGTTGTCGTTTGGCATATCTGCAGGGTGTTTCCATAATCTCTATTCCATAGGCTTCACAACCTGTCTGGGCTGCGACTTGTAACACCACATTCCCAATCCCACAGCCAAGGTCCATAAATACACTCGATGAAGTAATTCCCGTTTTGGATATAAACTCTTTGACCAAAATTGAGTTGATCTCACCATATACATTATTTGAAAATGCTAAAGATTTTTTTTTTTGGTTTGTTTCATTAGTTTCAATTGCTTGCTCATAAGTTCAAATCAAAAAAAAAAGAAAAGAGAAAAATTACCTGCGTAGTTATTAAGTGCATCTGCTTCATGGGCAACAGTCCTACTGTAGACCTGATAGAGAACATGGCAGGCGAGATCGTAATCAGGATGTCGCATTGCCTGTGCGTTCTTCTTCAACTCCCCCTTTTCTTTGAGTGTCCTGATCACCTTATTGAAATCTGTTACGGCCTGGATAAATCCAGGGCTGTGGCGTCGATTCCTGTACTTTGTCAGGTTTCTCATGATGCCTTGCGAATCATCTCCGAGAAGCTTCTGTTGAGCCGGCGTCAGGTAATCATCGTGGATGAAATCAACTGTTCGCATTAGATCGCACATAGGATTGTATTCGTCTTTATCCTCTACTTCACTATCGATCGTCTTTCCGTGAGCGTTTGTCTTAATCACTGGCTTGAGTAAAAGAAAACTTGGAGAAAGACAAATAAATACATAAAAATCACATACACACATTTATATATACATATGTTTAGACTGTACTATGTATTACTGTTCCCATCTTTGCTTACTGTTCATATTCTCCTGGATATTCCAGTGTCACTCGATGTACTTGTTTGCTTTGTCTGGATATATTGGAGCTAGTATCATCTGAATCATATTGGCTTTCTATTGGCGCAGTAAAATCTAAACAATATTCATATATTCTCTTACTCAATAAACAATATACCTCTGCACTTCACCTCTTCGCTCTCCTTTTCTTTATCCTATCTAGCTTTATATCTTTCTCTCTTTCAAAAATAATAATAGCAATTATATATATATATATATATGTGTGTGTAATATTTACAAGGTCGATATTTGGACCGAGCAGCCTGAATAATCAATTCAGAGTGGGTAATCGTTCTTCTCTTTGGTTGAGGGGGAGTCTCACGGAGCTTCTTTTCTCTGCCATGCTCAACCGTCAATTTTCGTTTTGTGGTCATAGTCTCGGCTAATGATGACTTTGAAGAGGATGAGCCGTGTAGTTTAGTCGAGTCTGATGCTGGTCGACTAATGACAGGTCTTTTCTTGTCTATGCGTAAGAGGGATCCTTGGACATTTGAATGTCGAGTAGTTGCTGTCGTAATATTCATAAACACAAAGAAAAAGAAGGAAAGAAGGAAGGAAGGAGAGAAAAGAAAGTAGTAGTAGTAGTAGTAGTGATAGTAATAGTAAGAAGAAATAGGAAGACGGACAGAAGGAGTAATATTTAACCCAGGGAGAGAATAAAAATAAAAATAAGAGTTAGTGAGTGAGTGAGTGCGAGAGAGAAAGAAAGAGAGAGAAAAGAGAGAGAAAGGTCTGGAAGAGCTAAAAATGGATTCTGGGCATTGACTTGAGTTGAATTGGATTGAATTGAATTGAATTGAATTGAATTTATTTAATAACATAAAATAAAAATAAAAATAAAAATAAAAATCTAGTATACCACCAGGTACAGAAAAAGAACACCAATGAAGCATGTTGGATTTTCAGTTGCCGATCCATTCAAAAAATACAACATCTTGGCATACGAAAATAAATTATACGCAGTCTGTAAGCGATACTTCAATATCCAATTATTTAATTTCGATTATACAAAAAGAGATCTAACATTGGATTTAAATCAGCGCTTCTGTGATCTCAATCAAGAATAAGAACTGTGATAAGTATACATATAAATATATATTTGCAAGCCAAATTTGTGTATAATATTGTGTATTTATTTAGCTGTAATTTTTTGCGTGCGATTTTGTGTTTAACATATATATATATAAAATTTAAGGAAATCAAAATAAAAACCAAAAAAAAGAATCAATCAATCTTGACACTTTGATATATTCTACGTACAAAGATGGTTGCAAATGTGTGCCCTACATAGCCTATAAAAGACAAACATTATGTCATTTGCATATGCGTATATTTAGTTACCCTTGAAAATACTCCAAAAAAAAAAAGTAAAATAAAATAAAGAACTGTAATAATGATAATAATTACCTAGCATGAAAAACATCCCAAGTGACAGGAGGGCAGTGTATCCAAAGTAGAAGCTGATCTGGAAGAGACCAGTCATTCTACAAAGAAAATAACAATGATATTTAATCATATTAAGAATAATGCAAGCCCCCAAAATAACAGTAACACATAACACCAATATAAAGGTTAAATTTTGAATGGAATTTTAACAGTAACTTAATACTTATTATCATCTCTCTCGATATCTCTATCTTTAGGTCTGTTTCTTTTACCTCGTTTTCGCAAAGAAATAATAGATAGAGTACAAATATATGTAGGCCGATGTAGAAGCACATGTCATGAAGCTCACCCAATGCCTGTTCAAAATCACCAGTCGTGAAACCTTAATCCAAAAAAGGAAATACCCAAAAATAATGATTAATTACTTACCAGCGATGGTCTTCAGAGTTGAGCAGGAAATATGTGCTCACGATAGCTACACAGGCACTGACAATCAAGAGAATGCAGAACACCAGCAACATAAAACCATATACATAATAGATCTTGTAGGTCCAGAACGAGGTGAAGATAAAGTAGATCTCAATAAAGATCGATCCAAAAGGAAGAATTCCACCCAATGCGATAATCATCAGGGGTTCAGCGTACCAGACCTTCTCTGGAATAGGTCTCGGGATAGGGTTCACACGACAAGGGAAGTCGGCCGGCCTCTTCCAGTTTCTACCCATAATTGCACCAAGCAAAGTCAATGGGAAACAGAGGAACGTCCATATAGCAACCATAGCCAACTAATAAAGTACAATGCATCCCCATCAAATACAGGCATAACAACTTTGAGCATTAAAAATTGTATTCCTTCCACCCCCTCTTTTATGTATGTATATATAATGTTTTTTTTTCTTTTCTTTTTTCGGCCTTGTGATTACCATAATTGGAAATGCAATTGCACGAGAGCTGGAATAGTAGATCGCAACGCTGTTAATGTAGCCACCCACGCACACTACCATAGCAGGCCACAGACTTGCAGTGAGAATAACAGTTTTCACCCAATCTTTGCCTATCGACACATTTATATCCTTAGCGACCCTGTTCACTTTCATTTGGTTCTATTCAACTGTCCAACATTGACTTACCTCCCCAGCAAGCGTAGTACCTCGCACTTGTAAACCCTGCCACCGCAGATGTAACCGCGTACAAGAAAACAGTAGCCGTCAAAATTGTGGCTCTTTCTGTGTATAGTCCTCCAACAATTGTGTATAAAATCACCACACCCGCCAGGATCACCAATTGACTTCCAGTACCCATAAAAGCCGACAACAACATCAAGCGTGGAGGTTGTCTAAAAACATCTCCATGAACCTGTTTCCATCCATAATCATCCCCAAAGTCTCTATCCTATACACAAAAGAGTAAAATTAAAAAGAACAAGAACACGTTAATTAAAGCAATTAACTTCTATTCTTTTTCTAACTCTCTTACTCTCTCCGCTATTTAAAATAACTGCTTACAAAATCTGCTGGTCCCTCTTCACGGTCATAACGAGCATAATCGCTCTTGATTGTTCTCAACAGGATAACAGACACCAGGCCAGTCAGGAAGAGCACCATCATAAACGAACTGAAAATCGAAAGCCAGTGTACCTATTTATTTATTTATTTATTTATTTATTCCAAACCTTCAATACTCTTTTTATATATTTTTTATGCTCATTTACCTTGTGTTCAAAAAAGTCAGTTTCAAGCAACAATTTGAAGCGATCCTCAAACTCAATTGATGTTTGCTGCCATTGAACAGAGTAACTAAAGGACATTTCGAAAGGTACAACATCTGTGACCTTTACTGGATTACCCATTTGGAGTTTCACCGAAATAATCTGTACTTCAATACATTAAAATCCACCCACCCATCAATCAATCAATCAATCAAGCAAGCAAAGAAGCATGATCATCCACACCGTTAGCCAACTTACTCTGTCCGCATTGTATTCAAACAAAAGATTCTTGTGAGTAAATATATAGTATTCTTTCCGTTGAACCGGGGAGCTATCATCAAATTCAGCTTTAGCTAAACGAGTTCCGACTGGACCAGAGATCGGCAGGTCATCTTTATTGTACCATCCAATGTAAATGTAGTTTGTTTTAAATTAGCCATTATAAATATATATATATATATATATATATACACAAAAAAAAGAACCTTGTATTTGTACTTATCAAAAGAGAAGCCTACCGATGAACATTGTAAACCAATATGCATTCATTGCTGCAGATTCAAACATGGCGATATCTTCTTGATTCAGCTTCTTTGTACAGAGAGGTTGATCCTCCACATCAGCTACTCATACATTAACCCAAGTTATATATATGTTTATATATATATATATATATTATGTTTGTCATTTTCTGTCTCTATCTATCTTTTAAATCATCGATACGCCTATTTCACTTTCATAGCTTTGAAAAGAAAACAAGAATGTCCTTACTCAGGTATCGAATAGAAATTCCAGAGTTGATAAGATCCATGCCCTGAAGCGCTTCACCAAATGTTTCATGATGATGCTGAACAGCACTGTCTCCATGGCAGAATGGGAGTTGATAGTAAGGATAGGTCTCCTGACGATTGTGAATTGGTCTGACTGTATCCATCCATGCTACCACCTCTTCTCCTTTCTCATACTAAAACTTTTATCATCAGCTCATCTGGATTAACAGAACAGAAAAAGAAGAGAAAGAAGAAAAAAAACTTGGAATGTAGAATGTGGAAAAGGGAAATATTTCTCCTACCACATGATTGTGTTCATCTGCCCACACGCTCCCTACAAGAAGTAGCAGTAGAGCTACTAGGGTCGCTTTAGTCATTCTATGCCGTCGTATCACACACGATCGGGAACAAAAAAAAAGAGGAATGAAAAAGAAGAGAGGGATTTGTTCTAATTGATGTGTGTGCCTGAATGTGTATATACGAGTGGGTATGTGTGTGTATATCCTCTATTAAAGAAGGATAAAAACAGATATTTAGAAAGGATGAAGAAAGGTATTATAGATTGATGAGCAAGAAGTGAAGGAAAGGGAAACAGGGAGGATTGTGACGTCGCATAAACGTCCAAGTGAGAGGCACGTTGCAAGACCGCACATACACACATAGATACACTCTTTCCGGAAAGTAAATTCGCCCATATTCTACAAGTACGGAGCTATAAATCCTGTCATTTTCTACAGTTCTCATGTACAACCAAGAAAATAAAAAACCTACTCTTTCCCATTTTTTTTTAAAAAAAAATCGTACCTATGTTGTTCGAGTGCATTCGTTGCGCTAATCAATTTGAAACCAAACGCATGAGGGTCAAATTTTGGAAAGCGATCGGCTGCATTTTATTATTATTATTTTCTGGGAGAGGAAGGAGGGTGTATTCAGAGACGGAGGAGTGAAGGGTAATTAACGGTTGTAATGTCCTGTAATTGATTTTCGCTCACGCGTTAATTTGGGGTCAGTAACGTGGAAGAGGATATTATCAGTGAGTGTAGTTTGGCCGTTTACACGGTTGTGATTGTCGCTATTTATAATGTACTGGAAGCAGGCAATTGCCTTAATGATCTTGTTCACTTGCGAAAGAAAGAGAGGCTTTTGATCAAAGGTTAAAGGGGGTTGGATGTGAGCGCTTTCACACATGGTATACAGATGCGTTTGGACACAATGAAGGATGTAAGAAGTGGAATATTTAGCTATGACATAAATAAAGGTGAGGATGCGAGCGACCGATGGAACACAACCGAAGCTTACCGAAAGCAATAAAGGCAAATATGACCTTCAACCTGTGCTTATCTGATGCAGAATTGACCAACGCTGTGATGCGTATCAGATCAATGCCAACCAACCGATGATTGAGAGCCCGGTACTGGGTTTTGACCTCAACCGAGCCAATTTGTTTGCTCAAGGATGCTTTATATATGATATTGATCCAAGTAGTAGGTTTTGTAGTAGCTTGCTTTTCCTTGCCGTTGACAGATATTCTGCTAAAATTGGATTATGGGAGTCAAATCTCAATCTTTTCTGCGATATCCATTCTCTTTCCTCTGAAAGTCTTTACTTACGCTAATTATAGGGAGACAACATCTTGATTCTACCGGACCACAAATTGTGCCTTCTTTGCCTTCATAGAATATTTATATCTGGTCCCTAAGGATACAGAATATTCGTATAAACATTTTCTTTTGTGCTTTAAAAAAAAAGAGCGGTTGTGGATTACTTACCAGTTGGTACTGGCAAACTCTGGAAATATAAGTAGTTGAAAGAAAACGAAAGTCATCACACACGTAAGAAGGCTGATATAGTAAATTCAAAAACCGGGAGCAAATGTAAAATTTGTACTCCGCAACTTATATCTTCTTGAGTTCTTATTCTTTCGCGATAGTTTTAATACACTCTAGGACGTCTGTTAAAGAGCTACAACATACTATGCTAGTATAGATATATATATATAGTATTAATAAAAAGTTATATGAAAAAAAGTGGAAATTTTCAGTGGCCCGGTTTTTTAGGTAAAGGTATCTTTTTTTATTTTTCATTAATAAGATACCCTTTCTTCAAAATGCATTTATACATTCTGCTTTGCATGGATTCAATTAGATTCTTGCACATCTCCTCTGGGATACTATCCCACTCATTCTGGAAACGGGATCACAATTCCCTCATTGAGCTGGCTGACTCTTCATATTGGTAGAGTTTACCCTTTGTGTACGCCCAAAGGTTTTCGATGGGATTAAGGTCAGGCGAAAACGGTGGGAAATCAATGACCTCAATCCCCTCTGCCTTCAACCACTTTCTGGTATTGGCTGCAGTGTGTGACCGGGCGTTATCATGCAAAAACATGATATCGGACTTGATGAGATTCTGCTTCTTCAAGGTCTTCAGTAAGCCCTGCTCCAAAACTGTTACGTATTTTGGGCTTGTCATGGTTTCATTGATCTTGAGAAGCTCTCCGTGACCTCTGGACGAAAAGCATCCCCAAACCATAACGTGTCCTCCAGCACGAACAGGGGAAGTCTTATCCTTATATTTTTTAATTGCCGACTTCTTCAACTTCCACCTCCATCACTTTCCATCCGAGCCAAAGCGATTCACCTTACATTCGTCTGAGAAGACAACACACTTCCAGTCCTCCACGGTGAAGTTGATATAGTTCCTTGCGAACTCCATAGGCTGCTTGCGGATAGCGGGGTTTGTTTTTACCTTCGGAGGTGGTTCCAAGGTACAGATGAACCCAGATGCTTTTAGCAAGGTGCGGATTGCTGGAGCCTTGACAGCAAAACCTTCACCACATAGCCGTCTCTCTGCCTCTGTTGTTGTCATAAATTCCTCATTTAGGAATGCATAGATGATATGGTGGGCGAGCCTTTCATCGATTTGGGCAGGTCTACCCCCAGGAACTGAGGTAGAGATGTTCAATTTTCTTCGATATCTCTTGACAGAAGTCTGCGAAACACCAACAATCTTTGCTACCTCGGCTGTAGACTTTCCATGTCTAAGTTCAACTTCAATTGAGAGTATTTTGTCGCGTGAGATGGGAGACATTTTTGTTTTAAAGTTGAGCAAAGGAACAAGGAAAACTCTGAAAAATTCAATATAATATATCTATTTTGTTTGCATGATTGTGATGTAATGACAAGACACACTCCGTATAAAAATTATCATAAAGCAGTTCTGCATTGAAAGTAAAGAAATAATGCTTTACTCTATTTTTTGGCCCATACCTAAAAAACCGGGCCACTGAAAATTTCCACTTTTTTTCATATAACTTTTTATTAATACTATATATATATATATATCTATACTAGCATAGTATGTTGTAGCTCTTTAACAGATGTCCTAGAGTGTATTAAAACTATCGCGAAAGAATAAGAACTCAAGAAGATATAAGTTGCGGAGTACAAATTTTACATTTGCTGGCCCGGTTTTTGAATTTACTATAAATAGCAAGATATCCAACAAGATTGCGTCATAAAGTATGTAATAACAACAGCTCCTTATAATCTTCTGCATAACTGGCTATTGATACAATGTATTTGTGACTAATTATTATTACTTCTTTATTGTCAAGTTTAAATTTAGGGATAGTAATTGAATATATTGTATTCTTTTCAGGACACGCCATTTTGCCCTGAAGGACTAAAGAACGACCCCGGACTGCGGAGAGGTAGTCACAATTAATTAGCCCGGTTAGATAGAAACGTCGTACCCGTAATATTGCTGCACACCCAAGCTAGTTAAGTTGTACATAATAATGAATTGGAAGGCATTCTGCTTCCTTTTGCTTACACTGAACCGTTTCTGAAAGGCGGTCGATTATTAAAAGTAAAAAAAAAAATTAATATTAATACTGACAATAAGAAAATTAGCCAATAGAAACTTTCAATAGAATAATAATAATAATTGGAAAAAAAAAAGAGTTTTCCAAATAATCACAAATGTTGTGATTTCAATTCCATGATTCAAGTTTGTATCAAACTTGGGAATTTAAAATATTTTATTTTATTTGATCTGTCTAATATTTTAATTTATCTGTGCAGCTTAATATTAGCACTAATGTAAATAAATACACACAGACATACATATATACATATGTACATACATCCAAATACGTACACACAAACACACAGACACACACATACTTATGAACTACTTTTTACATCTATATATTATATTATGTGCTTAGAATTTTGTAAAACTGGACCAAGTTCATCGGTGGATTGAATTCACAAGGGGAGGTTGTCGTTCTCATTTCACGTGACATGTTCCTGACCCAATGGGAGACAACGAAGTCATGTAACCCTTTTTTTTTCTCTCGCGTCTTCCTTTCTACCTCAAAAAGAAAAACGGGTGCTTGGTTTCAATGGCGGCGCCTCAGCAACCGAAGATTGACTTTAACTTTTACGAACAACCAAGCACAATATCATATTTTGATGCCATTATTGACCATCTAAGAAGCGATCTTGCCGCCGAAGGTGCTGACACAGCACTCTCTGCACCAGAACTTGCTTTTTTCACCGCGCGGTTTCAACATTTCCAACAAGATACACTCGGTGTCGAAGCAGCAGAGGCAGCTCACAAGGCTGGACAACCCATCGAACCACGCTTACCCGCACACTTCTTCAATGTTGAGCAACTCAGCGTGTCATCGCCCCTTTATACAATTCTCTTGGCTGCATATTCCTTCCAATGGGATAGAGAAATGGACGACTGGCAATTAGATGCACCGGAAGGCAGACCAATGTACTTAAAATTAACAGCATATATCAGAGAAAGACTTGTAGCTGCAGGATTCTATAAACTGCCCTGTATTGGATTCGCAGAAGACGTTTTGTTAAACAAGCGAAAGGAATTTACTTGGATGATACAATCTATGAAAGGTAATAACTTTACGGTCTGACCAAGCCTCTAAAAAAGGAATAGAAAAAAAAAGAAAAGGAAAAACGAAGAAATAGGAAGGAAAGAAGAAATACTTTAAGCATAGAATACAATATGGTTCTCTTTTGTCATAACTCTTTTTGTATTTTTTTTTTTAAAAAAAAAAGGTGAATTGGCTGAGAATGACACTACAGCAACACACATTCTCCATGGGAACGACAATACTTCCCATGACAACCATTCAGGTAGAATCATCGAGCGAAAAAATAATCGAGTACTGGTACATTATCTCGGCCTACCAACATCTTACGACACATGGAAGGATGAGACTGAGTGCAAGGCAATGAAAGAAATGAATCCAATCAATCAAACACAATATCATGTCAAGGCAAGCTGGCTTAAAGACAGCTTTTTGTATAATGAGTGGATGAACGAAGCTGATTACGATGAACCCGATCACCAAACATCTCCCACCACTCTTAAACGATCTGGCGAACTAAGCCAATTGAACGATATTTCCAGTCCAGCTAAGAAAGCCAAGACTCCTACACCTAGTAGTATTAAGGAGCCTACAGAACCTGAAGAACCTCCTGTACAAGAATCTCCTCAAATAAAACATATACGAGAAGAAGAACAGCAAAAATTCGTGTCCAAGCAACCCACCGACATTATCATACCATCATATGCCGCTTGGTTTGATATGACACAAATTAATGAGATCGAAGAACGTTTTATGCCAGAATTCTTTAATAACAAGAACAAATCAAAGACCCCAAGTGCATACAAAGATTATAGAGATTTTATCATAAACACTTATCGTATGAACCCTCTCGAATATTTGAGTATTACTGCCTGTAGACGTAATCTTATCGGTGATGTATGTTCGATCATCCGTGTCCATGCATTTCTCGAACAATGGGGATTGATTAATTACCAAGTAAGTACATATACAAAAAAGAGAGAGTGAAAGGTGAAGAGAAAGAAAGAAAAAAAATCACGTAGAAGATATACAAATCTTATACATTCTTCATAATTACCATGACACCTCTCCATTTACTTCCCTCTCCTCCCCCTCTCCCCGTCCCAAAAAAAAGGTTGATCTTGAGGCAAAGCCATCCAACATCATTCCTGCTTTTGATTCACAGTACAAAATTATTTCTGAAGACCCACCAGCCGAACATCCAATTGTCGACGAAATACCTGTAAAAACACCAACACCAAAAGATCATAAAGAAGTTCCCCGTGGAAATTGCAATACCTGCGGAGAAAAATGTGTAGACGATTATTACGAGAGTAGCCAGGCCAATGGAATTTGTCTGTGTAAATCATGCTATCTTGAAGGGAAATACCCCGTCGAGTTACATACAGGTGACTTTATACGACATTTGAAAGAAAAGGAAAAGGAAAAGGAAAAGGAAGAAAAATGGACAAAAGATGAAGAGAAACAGCTCTTGGAAGGACTTGAATTATACGACGACGATTGGAACAAGGTGGCGGACCATGTTGGCTGCCGGACCCGAGACGCTTGCGTATTGCACTACTTGGATCTGTCAACCAAGGATCCGTTTGTGGACACCGAGATTGCTAAACTTGGCATTCTCCAATTCGACAAGAGCGAACCAACAGAGAATCCAATCATGTCTACTGTCGCCTTCTTGGCCTCAACTGTCGATCCAGTAGTTGCTAAAGCAGCTTCTAAACAAGATGCAAATCAAAAGATGAAGCGAGACCCAAAAAAAGGAGAGAATGGAGAAGAGGAAGAAAACGCGTTGCGTACATTGGCGTTTAAGGTTATACGGGCAAAACTGGATCGGTTTGAGGATCAGCTAGCGAATTACAAAGAAAAAGAGGAATTTGTAGAAGAAGAAAAACAACGCATCGAAAGAGAGCGTCAACGACTGGCAGTTGACCGTATAGCGTTCAAAAAGAAAGTTCAGCTTATAGAGCAAGAGATTATACAACGAAATGGGGTTGCTGCCGCAATGTCAAACGCAATTACTCCTGCGCAAATACAACAGCAGATGGCTGGTGCAGGGCTCGCAGGGCGGATGCCAATGATGTTAAGTACGCAACAGCAGCAGCAACTCCAACAACAAATGCAGCAACAGCAACAACACCAGCAGCAACAGCATCAGTCGCACCAACACCAGCAATTACAGCAGCAGAATCAACATCAACAACAGCAGCAGCAACAGCAGGTACAACAGCATTCACACCAGCATCAACAGGATCAAGTTATGCAACAGCAGCATCAACAACAGCATTCTCAAACTCAACAACAGAGGTTCCAGCTTCAGTTACAAATGCAAATGCAAGCCCAACAACAGGGACAATTTCGGCCATCTATGCCTGGAAGCAACTTCAGACAATTCTAAACTCTCACTCACTCACTCAAACTCACACTCACAATCACACACAATCACACACAATCACAAAACCACACACACACACTCCAAAAAAAAAGGCATATTCTCATGTCATTAATACAGAAATTACTTCCGATAAAAATAATGAGGGAGGTTGTATAAAATAACAAGAACATCATATACAAAAAATTGGTTAAACTAAGAAGCAAGAAATTTCTGTAAAAGTTCAACCATGAACAAAGATACGAAAATAGAGAAGAGAGAGTTTCAATATTAAGCTGAAAAGAGAGAAAGTGTGTAAGAGAGAGAGAGAGAGAGAGAGAGAGAAAGTCATATCTATATGAAAGGTTAACAGATGAAAATATTTTATTACTGGGTTTTTTGGGCCTTACACACTATAACATATAGGAAACTCACTGAGAACTGAAGGAGAATTAATTAAGGGTGGAAAGTTGAAAAATACTTTATTGCTGATTTTTTTAGATCTTTCACACTGTAGCATTTAAGCAACTCAATAAGAACTCAAGAATAGTTGAAACGAAATTAAAAAAAAAATGTAAAATCCTAAATATAAGAGAAAGAGAAAGAAAACCAAATAAAGGGACATAAATCATTTAATAAAGCATGACAAGAGTGTAACCACTGAAAAAACGAGTGAACAGAATAATAATAATAATAATAATAATAAACTCTATTGACAGGGAACAACTTTGACACTACAACAAGAAAAGGGGTCACTATTGGGGTCACTATTGGGGTCACTTTAGGGGCCTTTTTCGTTTGGACCCCCTGTTTGGACCCTTTACTTTTATGGAATAATATGTATCTATGCTCTCTTAACGATGTAGAGTTTTATTCACATACCAATAAACGCTTTGATAGGTTATACTCGTCTTTTTAGTAGTATAATGCGCTTAGAAAACCAGACTTCGCTAAGAAAAAAATCATTCTATTCCATGTATCTTCTGCATTTCTTATTATTTTAAGGCAGTTCTCGAACAAACCAAAACATCTGTTAAAGAAGTACAATATACTATAATATTAGCTATAAATACAATGTTAATAGAAAGTTATACAGTAGTCCCTCAATAATTTCACGACCTAGGTAAGGCTAGGTGCTTTGATATTATTGAAGAGTGAAATTAAGAACGTCTATATTTCCTGGTAGACGGTAAAGGATTAGCCTAAAATGAGGCTTATATACCAGGAAATAAAGCAAAAAAACTCATCTACTAGAAAATAAGAAAATTCATAATTCAATACATTAGTAGTAGACAGGTGAAAATATTTTATTGTGGGTTTTTCTAGGCCTTACGTATTTTAGCATATTGACTACCCAATGAGAGCTGAGAAATATCTGAAATTAAAGTAACCCTCTAAATATGAGGGGGAATAAAAAAATATGTAAAAAGTGAAGGATAATTAAAGAAAAAGTATGGAACACGCATGACAGAGACAAAGATGAATAGTCAGCAAAAACAGTAAGAGAGCACGTAAAAAACCCCCTGTGTGGGAAAACGGCTTTTAGAAATACTAAGACTAAAATAGATAATACAGCTGGTAAGAATACAGGTGAAATAAATGTATAAGAAAAATAAATGACACAAAAGAATCGAGAATAAGTAACTAGGTACTGACGGCACCAGAATTGGGAACGGATTTCAGTAGGGATAGAAACTCCAAAGAGGGATTCCTTTTAGCAACTCGGACGATCCATTTATGGATCCAGAATACACAACGATACCAGACCAAGTCAGTCCTCCTAGGCACAATTTTGGGCGGGCACAGATGGAGGGGGTTGACAAGGAACGCTGGAAATTTTGGATAGAAGATGAGGGAACGGATCACCAGGAACAGGTTCTTGGGTGGGTGGCAGGATGCAGTGGGGACAGGTTGGTTTTGTGGCATGGAATTTCGCTGCAAGGTCGATGAGAATTTGACCATGAGCTTTTTTTTCTGGCAGTTTGTAGGATGAGGTGGTTTGATCAACTACACGTAGCAAGGAAAGCAAGCACAGCCACCAATCACACCATGTACCAGGCGATTTGAAAGACCTGGGGAGACAGTTGAGAGCATAGTCGATGAGATGACCCTCTGGAGAAGGAGCAGGATCCATCAAAGACCAGAGTTTTTGAATGAGAGTGATTGTGGCAGAGCATATGAGCATGTGGTTTCGGTTACCCTTGATAGCGCCACATTGGCACTCAACTGATGGTGTGGGTGCTAGCCAAGCAATTCGCCATTTGATCAGCCGGCGTCGTTCTGAGCGAGTGCAGGGCAGTAGTAAGACCGGATCCCAGACAGGTTTGCACAAGCCTCTAGCGACAGTTACCGGACGGTTAACGCTCGCAAGTTGCATGTCGATTTCTTTTTGGCACAGTAGAACATAAGCTTCTTTTAATGGGTCCTTCGACCGAGGTTGATGTTCTTTCAGCAATTGGGCCTTTTTCCACAGTACACTAAGACGAAGCTCACCCCATGTCGTTTTTTCTTTGGAAAGGTCCAGCTACGTGGTAAGAGCTTTGATCAGGGAGTCTGAGGGTAGTGTTTCAGCACGACGAAAAAATTTGGTTTGAAGAGCACGGGAACGGGTGAATAGGTTGGGTAGAGCAGCTAATGCAGCGATATGAACAACTCCCATCGTTGCATCTTTAAAGAGGTTTCGATCCCGCAATCTTTGGCTATGGGTACTAACGCATTTCTCGTCGATATCTTTGCGGGCTCTGTGGTGATCCAGACACTCGGATGTTGGATTTATCACATATAAGAACATATTCATATTGGGATAGCGTAGTAGCTATCCCCTTGTCAGTATAATATATATATAAACGATGAAGTAATCGGGCCAATAATTATTACAGTTAGTACTGTAGATAATATCTTAAAGATTGTTAACATAATTATATCATACTGCCGGGTAAACTGTGTCAGATCGATATGGAGCTAATTTAGTAGGAAGTCCTAAAGCTCTAGTGTAAAAGAGAAAAGAATAGCTAAGAGCTAAAGAAGTACGATTTATGACTTGATGTCATAATTATAACACCAACACTAGTTAAGCAGTAAATACACTCTAATAACTAAATATAGTAAAGGAAGAAAGCCTTAAGAAACTAAGACGTAATGACAAGAGCAGATTGTGTTTTCTTATAAAAAGGGACACTTTTTATTTATGAATAAAGGACAACTTATATACAGTCTCAAAGTATTTCTATACATCTCTATTATCAAATTTATTATTTTCTATTGTTTCGTACCTGAAATACCACAGGCTCGATACTAGTGGTAGACAGATACACTTTTCACAAAATTGAATTTTATTTGTTTTTTTTTAAATGAATATGAGTGGACAATCTTGAACAATATTTGTTCAAAAAGTTATCCCTCTTTTTTGAAGAACAAATTGTTGAACAATCCTTGAAACATTTACTAATTTAGATATAATAACTCTGATTGGTATGTTCTTTAAATATATGACCTCATTATGGTCGAGTTCTCTAGTCTTTCATTTAAATTAGTATTATTCATGGATAATACAAATAATATACTACTCTTTCTATTTAACTTATCACTACTATGCCACGATATAACAGAAAACAAAAAGCGATCCGTGAAATCAAAGAGTCTTGCAAGAATTTTGATGAAGATTTGGATCAGAAAATATTTGATTTGGAGGAACTGGCCCTGTTTGATGACAGAGACACTGAAATATACAATGATATGATCGACAGGTACTCATTGTTTATTGACCACAATAAAGTTGAAGAGGATATTGTAGAAGATATTATCTCGTATAAATACCTATATAAGGGAAAGAATGCCATCCCAAAACTAGTGACAAAGGAAAATAAATTAGAGTTCTTGGAAAACATAGGTGAAGATGGTTTTCTGAAAGAAATCAGAATGAGCAAGACTTCCTTCAATAAGCTTTACAATATGGTGAAGGATCATGCGTTCTATCAATCACCTGCAACCTCAAAGCAAATAGACGTCAAGCTTCAGCTTGCTATTATTCTTGAGCAACTGAGATCAAGTGGTAATGATGCAGCATTCAGTCGAATTGCCAGAAGATCTGGTGTTGGAAGTAAATCGATCAAAATACTAGTACACTTATAATCATAAATATATAAAATTAACAAACCGTTAACCCCTTTTAATTCGTTAGAAGGAAGCATAAGAAACTTTATCCTTCGTTTCTTTTCAGTAATGATGTCAATGGAGGAAGATTTCATATTCTGGTCATTAGAATTTGAGAAGCAAACTATCATGAAAGAGAATGAGAAGCCTCTTGGATTCCCAAATCTTATTGGATTTCTCGATGGATGTACATTTGACTTTGTTTGTGCTCCAACATAGAAAAGGTCCGAGGTCTATGACAGAAAGTTAGTATATTGTGGGAATATTCTTGCTGATTGTGATCACAACAGAAAGATACGTTACTTATCTACTGGATACTTTGGGAGCTCTCGTGATATGCGGGCTATTATCAAGTCTTCTCTGAGAACAAATTCAGAGCGATACTTCTCCAAGGAACAGTATGTCTTGGCCGACAGTAGATACAAAGCTACCAACTATGTTGTTCCTGTATGCAAGAAGCCAAGAAATCAACCAATGCACAAGTCCAATGAAAAATTCAATGTGTATATTGCAATGATGCATGTTAAGATTGAATACGCATTTGGTATACTGAAAGAGAGGTTCTATTCTCTCAAGAGTATTCCTGTTCAAATCAAAAGCGAAGATGACATTAGGTTGGTGAATTCATGGATCCAGGCATGCATAATTTTAAACAACTTTCTAATGGATCAAGTAGATGACATGATGACAATCAGAATTAAGAGTAAATGGGAAGCATTGGAGTTTGAAGAAATGAGACGGCTTGAGGAGGAGTGAGGTGATTCAAGAGTATACAGCAGAGCAGCTCCTGTTATAGTACGTGGAGAAGATAAATACAATGAAATCAAGTTAATTGTACTTACATCAAATGGCAAAGCATCTCTTATGGAAAATTGATATAAATATATTACATTGATCTTTTTTTTTGTACATTTCCATTTTAACTGTTATACATTTTTTCCATTGTTAATATAATTGTTTTTATTTTAATAAATTTGCTTATTCACATAAGGATATTATACTAAACCATCATTAAAACATTGACACTAAGTATGAGATCAAAGTATAAAATACATCTTAAATTAATAGATATGTTGTATTAGCAATGTAGATTAATCACTCTGTTTTTTTTATTATAACTTTAGGCATACTCCTCTCTTATTTTCTTCTCAGACCAATAAAACAAACTTGCCATCCCAAGTATCATATTCATATCTGCGTCTAATGTCTCTTTCTTCCAATGGTCTTCTCTGACCTTCAGAAAATAGGCTTCTTTAATGGCAATTTTCTTGTCTTGGAACGCCTTGGCAGCAGCATCCATCACCTTCAGCTTCTTATCTACTGCCTTCTCTCTCTCTTTGACAAGCTGGGCATGCGTCGAGTCTCTCTTCTTGGACTTGGTCATTTCTGGCACAAGAGAACTAGTCAACAAATTGCTGGTAGGGCCCAGAGCAAGAAGTGAATCATCACCAGAAGTGTTCAGAGCAAGAGATGGATTTTTACCAGCAGTTCCCACAATCAGAGGTGCAATAAAGTCCAAAGCGTCCAACAAATGATGTTCATCTTTGCTGACAGGTTCCAGAATCGCAATTTCATCACCATTGTCTTGCTTTTTATCCTTGACAGAGATTTCTTTACGAGTTGCACTACTCATGCCATACTCTCTGGCAAAGCTGACAGGCTTGTCACTGTTTGAGACACATAGGGACTTGGTCATCCTTGTTTGCATGATCTCTTTCAATCTGAATAAATCAGGACAGATATCATTCAGTCTTCCTGTTAAAAACACAATTAGAATTAACAAAAGATATTGGATTTGATATGAACGTATGACCAAACTCTTCTTTTCTACTGACAGAATTATCAAAGCCATAAGAGCCTTCACCACTCTGCGTAAGAACTCTATAAGCATTACAGTACTGCTTGTTTATTAGATGGTTAATCCTGGTCTTGATCTGCGAAGCTGGTTAGTCTATTTCTTGCTCGTCAAAGTATTGTTTGCAATTATTAATTATTCCAGTATTGTTGATCTTAAATTTCTTTCCATCAGGAGTTTTCCCAAGGTACTTTTTGAGATTATTCTTACTATTCTTGAGTAAGAAATGGAGAATTTTCCCAAGAGAAATCATTCTGTCTTTTCTGCCATCAGATTCCTTCTATGATTTGTAAGGGGTAGTCGATTTATTTTCCTTAACTTTGAAAACACTGGTATTATTGCTGAAAGACATTCTAGCAAATTTTAATAATGATAATAACAAAAGAGTAGAAAGAGAAATAAACAGATGCATATGAAGGATCTTAAGTTATTTTTTTAGATCATGTCTATACACTACTTTACATCATGATATCAATGTAGTTAAACATCACATCACTCATCTAATACATTTCAGACTGCAAAATATTATTTGACTGTTTAGGATTTTTTGTATTTATTGTAGACAGATGAAGTATAATATGATTGGCCAGATTATAATCTTTTTTATTCAATTTTTTTTTAGAATTTATATCTGTCTACTACTACAGTTTTTTTTTGCTGCTTTCTGTCACCGGCTAGCACCCTTAGTATAACTCTTTCACATAAGCTAATTTTTGTTTAAAAAACCCCATTACTCAAAAACAACTAATCAACCACGCATCCACTCCCATCCCTGTCCCGCCAACTTTACTGACCTAAGTAACCTCTGTTTTATCAAGTTGCCATGAGTCCAAAGGGATCCACCAACACGAACGTCTTCAAGACAGTTCCTCCTCGACAGTCTTGGCCGGCAAAATCGTTGGCTGACCAAACGTTTTGCAGCCCCAAGAATGCTCAGCTAAAAGCCAATTTGGACGAGGCACTTGCACGCGCAGCCATACACGAAGAACAGCACAAAGCTCTGCTTAGCAAGATAGATGTAATTGTAGAACACTCGATTGCACTTCAAGAACAGAACAGCACTCTTACCGAGGAGCTCCGCATTGCAAATGAGCACGTAGAGTTCCTACACAACCAACTCCAGCTTCAGGTACAAGTACCTGGTGCTTCAACCTTCACCACCACCACTCTCCCGCCTACAGAGATTGCTCCTGTTGAGAATTTCTCAGTGGAAGCCTCTGCCCATGGTCCTGTCACCATCTCCACACCCTCACCCACCACGTTTTTGGCTGCTGCCAAGAAGGCAATGGGAAAGAGACCCAACCAGCCCAAGCTCACCACTGCTCAAGCTACCCGCGCCCTGCAACCCGAAAGTGAACCATCTGTGTATGCATTTGTATACCTGCCCTGCTGCCACCACCTCAAGTACTCCCAAGTACGAAAGCTCTTGAAAACATTCAAGATCCAACAGTCCCGTGTCTTGGACATTGCATTCCCGAAACGTGGCACTCTCTCCCTCCTTATGCACAACGACTTCAAGGACAAGATCACCCAGCTCTTCGCAGACATTGGCGTGTCTGTGTAGACAGATTTTGATCCCTTGGACCATCGGATCATTACTGACCCGGAACATGCCCACAAACCCGTGCAGGACCACCAACAGCTTGCATACAAGCTACACTGCCAACGTCTTCTTGCTCTCTGCCTTCGCCTCCCTGCCCCACTGGGCAAAAGTGTCATGAGGCACTTTTGTATAGTGGAAAGTAGCTCTCTTCGCCTCCTTTCAGTCTGCCTTGAGCAGTATCTGGAAGACCGAAACCTTCCATCTGGCCCCCAAGCCAGTGCCATTGACACTGCCACTGCTATGGTTATAGGATAAATAAGCTTGCTTATAGTCTTCTCTTCTTGTCCTGTCTTCTCTCCTCCTCTCTGTCTCTCTTAGTTTAATCTGTATTATTCTTTCTCTTCCCCTTAGCTAGTTTTATCAGTCATATTTCTGTTTTTTCTCTTATTTCTTCTGCCACAGCTCTCTTGGGTCGCCACTATGCTAAAATGCGCAAGGCCTAGACAAACCCATAAAAAAAAATATTTTCACCTGTCTACCGCTACGATTCTCTTTTGTGTAAAGAATACAGACACACAAAGTTGATGCCAAATGCAGAATTAACTAAAAATAACCCTCCCATCACAAACCATCCACCCGCACACCAGAACAACCTGTCCAATGGCACACAAACGGTCTCAATACGCTTAGAAATCATGCCACAGGCCCAAAAACAAAGTATACCATACACGATCTTTAAGTTCACTGCTACAGAAAACGAGACATCTGCAACATCCCTGGAGACCAACTCGCTACCCAAACCCCAAATCCCAGCAAAAAGAAATAAAGCCCAGACTCTTGCTATCCAGAAGCAGAAAAGAGCAGCCAGCACGCGAAGCATGATCAACAAGAACCATGCAAACTTGGTCGAGGGTGGTTTCACCTACAACAGAGACGAAGCTATGACTCTCGCAGAAGATCAACAGGAACGTGCCGCCTTTAAGGCCACCATTGCTGACTTAACTGGAAGGTTGGAAAAACTGGTCGCCAACTACCAGTCAGTAATGGAAAAGCTTAATAGCTTACTCGCCAAGCACAACGTCAGCACTACCAGAGCGACCTTTGCACCCACTGGTAAAGACTTGCTGATGGCATCTAAGCATGCCCCAAAAACCCTGATGAACTATGACAGCAGCAACAATTGCACCCAATGTGCCAACTGCAACCCCATCATTGACAACAGCAACAACAACAACAAAAGCAGCAATATCACTACAGGTAGCACTGCCACACCCACCCAGACTTCATATATTACGCAAGCCAAGAAGGGCATAGATGCCAAACAGGCCAAGCAGTAAGTCCAAGTCTGCAGAGTCCAGGGACAACGACTCCTACAAAAACCAACTGGCCCATCTGAGTACGAATTTGTGTACCTCCTGGCCAAAAGATACATCAAGTACCAGGAAATGAGAAAAATCCTCAGCTCTTTTAAGATCCCCACCTCCCACATCCTAGACATCCAATTCCCTGCCAGAGGGACAGTAGCTCTCCTCATCAACGGGGAGTTCTGCAAAGAACTTATCACATTACTAGAAAAGGCCAAAGTGACCCCACTAGACAACTTTGATCCCACCGCCACCGACGTGATTGCCGATCCCAAGTTGAAAGAAGAGTTCATCGAGGTTAGGGCAATAAAAGCCCAGACACTTTTCGACGCATGCCAACTTACCTTGGCCACAGCATCATCTGACACTTCTCGTCCCCAAAGGCTGTCATGAAGATCTCGCAGATCGCAGTCTCCGACTACCTGGAAGGCCGAAAAACTGACAGCACCATCACCACAGTAGCACCAACCAATGCCATGGATGGAATCGAATCCACTGAAATGCCACGCACAACAATAAATAAATAGACTGAAGATCGGTTTATTTAATGACAATGGACTACGGCCCAAATTGGTGAATGTGATAGATGCTTGTGAGACGAATGATATTGATATTCTTTTTGTTACAAAGACTTTCCTGCCTGAGAGCGCCCCTGCTATCCAGTGCCCTTGGACCCAGATACACAACTTTGCCATTCTAACGACGTCGCCAAAGCCAATGGACGGCATCTCACTACTTATAAGGCCAGATTTTCCTCATCATGTACACCCCCTTCCAATCATTAACCCCCACGTTGTATCATGTAGGATCGATCTCTATACTATACACTGCGTATACCTCCCACCACGATTGACATCCTCTGAGTGTCAAGAGTGGCTGGCGCTGTTACCCATTCACGACTTCACCATTGTTTGTGGAGACTTCAATGCTTGACTACATCACACAACTGGGGACACTTGAGGAGGACCACGAAGTGAAATTATGACAAACTGGATTAGTAGTAAGGATTTAACATTGTGGAATTCAGAGTTGGCCTTTGACATCCCAACATACGATAGAGTCCATACATCTGGCAGGGTCTTCAAAAGTATTATCAATTTCCTCTTGTTGCAAGAGGAGCAATTCCATGATATGCAGATGAAAATCCATGACGAACTCGCCTTGGACTCTGACCACCACCTTTGTGAGCTATCCTTTCAGCCTGTGTTCATACCACAGCTCCCAACAGAAAACTCTGTTCGTCGACTTTGGAAGCTTCAATGACTGGAAATCGAAGAGGTCTACAAAAAATACCAAAGACGATTTGAAGTGGGTTCAGTTACACTTCAATGAGAGATCCAACAAACCCTGGAAGACACTTCTATATCATATCCCATTGTCTTGGAGGCCTATTCAGAACGTCTCAATGAGATGATCTATAAGGCTTTGGATGATTCTGTTGGGCGAGCATCACCACGACCAAAAGTTTGGAAGAACTTTTGGAATGCTGAATTACAACACCTAGCTGACTGGCGTCAAGAACTTTACCGTTGGCAATGCCGGGTAGGCAATGACTTTGAACGCATTAAAGCCCATGCTGAGTATGTTGCAGCAAACCAAGATCTGCGAATAGCAGTTTGGATGACATGATGACAAATATGGTACGATTTCTGCGACAAAATCCAAAAGGCTCCTTCAGAAATAGTGAGTGTGTTAAAGAGAATGAAGATTTGGTGACAATCTCTGATTTCTCTGACATCTCCAGAAGGACTACTAACAGCCACTAATAACATGATTGACCACCTTGAAAATGTTTTTGGTGGATCTATGGAAGTATGGACTGAACTGGCGGGTACACCAATGGAGAGGGAAGTATCATGGGAAGTAGTCCAAGTCAAAGAAGCTATTCATTGTTTGCCATGACGTAAAGCACCAGGTATTGATCATATTAGGGCAGAGATGCTCAAGCCTCTTATATTAACTCTAGGTCCTCTACTCCACATGCTCTTCAAGCTGTGTTGGAGATGGTTGTGGACGCCTGTCGCATGGAGAACAGCACAGGTGGTACCTATCTACAAAAACAAAGGAGCGCACACAGATCCAAGCAGTTATAGGCCCATCAGCTTGACCTTGGTGTTAAGGAAGCTTTTGGAGCAATGCCTGGCTGAGGAACTCCTTTCAACCATGCCAGAGTTAGACATAGCCCAGGGAGGATTCCGTGCTAGCCGCAGTACCCTAGATCAGGCTCTCTGTCTCCACAAACTAATGAGGCAATACTCTGTTCCCGACCCTGAGTGAGAGCAAGTGCTCAAACCACCAGTTGTTGTCTTCCTGGACATCAAAGCTGCATATGATAGTGTGGATTGTAACATCATATGGGACTTGTTGCGACCTTTTGTGTCAGAACCCTTGCTAGTGCTACTTCAAAATTTATTTAACAATATTATCGTTAATGTAGTGATAAAAAATGTAGCGTCCTGTTGTGTTACGCCGAGACATGGAGTCCTGCAGGGTAGTATACTTTTACTCTTCTTATATTTACTTTTTATTGATACCCTACCACGTTTACTTTGGGGAGTCTCCACCCAACCATACTACGTTTGAATTCCCTCTCCCTCATTAACAAGGTCCCTTCGCTTGTCCTCATACTGTACATACGCATTTGATAGCCCAACAGCCACTCCTTTGCCACTTTTGGAGGAGCTTATGACGGTCACCTGTAATGTGTTCAGTGTTCTCAGAACGGAGGTGGATGCATCAGACTATCTTCCTATGTCAATGGCTCCTATCAACTGTCTTCTGTACGCTGACAATGTTGCCCTTATAGGCACACCCAATGGTGTGCAAAAAATGTTGACTGTAGCCAAGACACATTCAAACCTTCTGTGATATAAGTGGAGTCCATCCAAATGCGAGGTCCTCAATATCCCTCCCAATTCTTCTTTTTCTTTATATGAGAATACTCTTCCTACTTGCACTTCCCTTAAATATTTAGGATTCCCTTTTGCTAGCCAAGAAATAGATCGAGCCAACATGTTCCTTAAGTCGCAGCAAAAAGCTTGTGCAGCAATGCATAAGCTTAGTAGCTTGGGTGTACACATGAACGGTTTTGGTCTCTCTGTGGCTCTCAGAGCTTATCTCATTTTTATTCGCCCCATTCTTGAGTACGGCTTAGCCATTGTTCCTGCTAGCTGGAGTGACGTTCAGATTCTGCAGAAGGCCCAAAATATGTGTCTCCGGACATGTATTCAACGGCCCGATGCAACAATAGGAGTTGTTCATATTGCTGCATTAGCTTCTCTACCCAATCTATTCACCCATTCCCATGCTCTTCAAGCCAAATTTCTTCATCGTGCTGAAACACTACCCTCAGACTCCCTGATCAAAGCTCTTACCATGCAGCTGGACCTTTCCAAAGAAAAAACGACATGGGGTGAGCTTCGTCTTGGTGTACTATGGAAAAAGACCTAATTGCTGAAAGAACATCAACCTCAGTTGAAGGATCCATTAAAAGAAGCTTATGTTCTACTGTGCCAAAAAGAAATCGACATGCAACTTGCAAGCATTCACCGTCTGATAACTATTGCTAGAAGCTTGTGCAAACCTGTCTGGGATCCGGTCTTACTACTGCCCTGCACTTGCTCAGAACAACGCCACCTGATCAAATGGCAAATTGCTTAGCTACCACCTATACCATCAGTTGAGTGCCAATGTGGCACTATCAAGGGTAACCAAAACCACATGCTCATATGCTCTGCCACAATCACTCTCATTCAAAAACTCTGGTCTTTGATGGATCCTGCTCCTTCTCCAGAGGGTCATCTCATCGACTATGCTCTCAACTGTCTCCCCAGGTCTTTCAAATCGCCTGGTACATGGTGTGATTGGTGGCTGTGCTTGCTTTCCTTGCTACGTGTAGTTGATCAAACCACCTCATCCTACAAACTGCCAGAAGAAAAAGTTCATGGTCAAATCTTCATCGACCTTGCAGCAAAATTCCGTGCCACAAAACCAACCCTTCTCCACCGCATCCTGCCACCTACCCAAGAACCTGTTCCTGGTGATCTGTTCCCCCATCTTCTATCCGAAATTTCTACAATTCCTCATTAACCCCCTCCATCTGTGCCTGCCCAAAATTGTGCCTAGGAGGACTGACTTGGTCTGGTATCATTGTGTATTCTGGATCCATAAATGGATCGTCCGAGTTGCTAAAAGGAATCCCTCTTTGGAGTTTCTATCCCTACTGAAATCCGTTCCCAATTCTGGTGCCGTCAGTACCTAGTTACTTATTCTCAATTCTTTCATGTCATTTATTTTTCTTATACATTTATTTCACCTGTATTCTTACCAGCTGTATTATTTATTTTAGTCTTAGTATTTCTAAAAGCCGTTTTCTCCCACAGGGGGTTTTTTACGTACTTTCTTTACTGTTTTTTCTGACTATTCATCTTTGTCTCTGTCATGTGTGTTCCATACTATTTCTTTATTTATTCTTCACTTTTTACATATTGTTTTATTTCCCCTCATATTTAGGGGGTTACTTTTATTATTTTCATTTATTCTTCAGCTCTCATAGGGTAGCTCATATGCTAAAATGCAAAAGGTCTAGAAAATTCTACAATAAAATATTTTGACCTGTCTACCACTACTGTATTTTCACTAATTATTTGCCAACTTTAAGTAAATTATTCACACATTGGTGAGTAAATTTTTACACATTTCTTTTAATTAAATTCACATATTTGGATTTTATTTTCACATAAAAATTATTTTTAGAATATTGAAAAAAGTGGTTTTTTAACATTAGAGTGAGAGAAAAAAGTTATAGAAGAACAGATCAGTCTTAACTATTAAACTTCTTGATCTTTTTTCATAGATTCTTTAAATATTAGGTGATATTATCCTTATAATTTGTGTGAAAATAAAATTCAAATGTGTGAATTAATATTGAGTAAAGTGTGTGAATTTAATTAGAGGATATGTATAAAAATTTATTTACTAAAAGCGATTTTTAGAGCATCTCCAGCAGTATTTAAACCCAAATACTAAATATCAAATTAGAAAACTGGTGTTTAGATTTTCTAAAAAAACGTCTCCAGCAGTTTCTAAACAAAAATCTAAATACTCAAATCCGGAATTTAGATCTAAACGTTTTGAATCAAAATCTAAACTTCTGTAGATTTTCTCAGAATTTGTTTAGATTTTATCATTTACTAAATTTCCATTTTTATACTGTGACTTTGAAATTTCGATTTTAAATCTCAGAATTTAGGAAAAACCTTACCAAAATCATCAGCTCTTTAGAATCTGTGTTAAGAAACTGCTCAAGTAACTTTGATATTCTTCATACTAAATTGCTTTATTTGTACTAGCGCGGGAAATCCTAATTTAGATATTTAGTATTTGAGTTTAAATACTGCTGGAGATGCTCTTATGCATTTGGAATTTTCAAATATTTTTTTTTCAAATGTTGGATACTACACTGACTGTATTTCAAACTTTAATCAAATCAATCTAGTGATATATTTTATGTATATTATTAGACATGTAAAGTTAACTAATATTACAAGCAGTCATATCTGATATTGATAATATCTGTCAATACTATGAAACAACCAATTGATTTGTAAGGGAAATACATACTTTTTTATTACAAAAATTATTAAAAAATGCTATCAAACACCTCCCTCATTCGCAGATTTGGCTACTTAATGTCAAATGTCACTTTATATACAAGTGATATTGAATTCAGAAAAGAAATGGAACATGTCTGAGAAGAACAGCAACAGATCAACAGTAGAGTATCTTCTCTGAGATATCAAGATTTCTTTGAACTAGTTGCTCTACCAGACAGTGAGTGTTTAATTCTCTTTAGATTTATCAGCACACAGGTATAATAGCAACATTAGTGCATTTTTGAAAAAACCAAATAAATTGCTTTATATAGAAATTTGAAAAAAGGGGTCTGTGGTGACACTGTAAGAAATGGCAGGTATTAAACTACCGACCTGGCAAAAATCGTTAAAAAAGTGCCACCTGACAACATTCTTCTGAGCCAATAGAGCTTCAGTATATAATAATCAGTTTCACCTATTTAAGCAAATCAGATGTGTAGAATAACGAGATTCAGGTCTTATTTTAACCAATAACGTTGGTAGATAGCTTTTTATTGTTATAATAGTTTTAATGTATATCTAGGGATCAGTATCCTTATTAGGAGGTTACAAACACTCAAATTTATTAAAAAAAATTCATTTTTATTTATTTTTCACATTGAAAATATTGGGGCTAATGAGGTACAATATGTATACAAGTACTTCTATAACTTGTAGCAGTATTTCTAACTAATCAAAAGACACTTTGTATAAAGCAAGCTGAAAAACTATAACAATAACTGAAAGATGTTTAACCTATACATAAATAAAAAGAAGAAAGAAAGAAAAAAATTAGTATTTGCATTCTGAAAGAATTTATTTCAAATAGCATACAATTGGTATTGCATGAGCATAAAATAATACAAACCTTTATATTTGACAATTTCTACACTTTACTCATACTTTCATTTTGGGCATTTATATCTTTAATAGTTTAGAAGATTCGAGCCTAATTATGATCAAAATGAAGTTTGATTAGTAATTTACCATTAAAATCTATTAACATTTGTGGTGATCCAGACACTCGGATGTTGGATTTATCACATATAAGAACATATTCATATTGGGATAGCGTAGTAGCTATCATCTTGTCAGTATAAAATATATATAAACGATTAAGTAATCAGCCCAATAATTATTACAGTTAGTACTGTAGATAATATCTTAAAGATTGTTAAGATAATTATATCATACTGCCGGGTAAACTGTGTCAGATCGATATGGAGCTAATTTAGTAGGAAGTCCTAAAGCTCTAGTATAAAAGAGAAAAGAATAGCTAAGAGCTAAAGAAGTACGATTTATGACTTGATGTCATAATTGTAACACCGACACTAGTTAAGCAGTAAATACACTCTAATAACCAAATATAGTAAAGGAAGAAAGCCTTAAGAAACTAAGACGTAATGACAACAGCAGATTGTGTTTTCTTATAAAAAGGGACACTTTTTATTTATGAATAAAGAACAACTTATATACAGTCTCAAAGTATTTCTATATGTCTCCATTATCAAATATTTTATTTTTTTATTGTTTCGTACCTGAAATACCACAGGGTCCCTTATTTTTCAAATTTTATTTGCTAAAAGTGTGTCTTTTCAAATTTGCAACCAATTATATTCTTTTAATTTTTGTACTAAACTGCCTTTAAAAAATACTAGTAGAAGGAAATGAAATTATTTAATATTATTGCTTGTAATTTTAGCAATATTATATGTCCAATGATATATATAGATAGATTTGATAATTTGATCAATTCGATCTGGTGTGACAAAGACAATATAGTATCCAACATTTGAAAAAAAAATATTTGGAAAGTCCAAATGCACTAAGGTTGCTAATCTATAATATATTTCATCAAAAAAAAATACTGAAATAATTTTGCATAAAGCCAGATTTGCTCTTTAGCCAATCTGCTTGAACTGGGCAAAAGAGTTTACTTTTGCAAAGGTTTCTGTGAGAGATTCTCAGTTTCTGCTCCTGAGACACTCACTGTAAGAAAAAAAATGCCAGGTTTTTTAAGAAAATCTGGCAAACCTGACAACTTTTTTAATCTCCTCCAAACTTTACAATGTTTTGGTTGTTTGCAGCTTAATTAGGCATATGAATACTGATATTGAAATAAAAGTTTATCACAGAAGACTCTTAAAGCTATATTAAGAAGTCAAGAACTTATAATCTTTATTATGGGTCCAGTAAAACCATTGATAATTGAATATCACGCCGCCTTTTTTTTTTAGAAAATAAAGCACCTTTATAAGGCATGCTGTGACGTATAAACATTCATAAATGAAATCAATGCAATCAATGCAATCCAAGTAGTAAAAAACGACTTTGCAGAATTTATTATGTTTTTATACTGATATTCAGTTATTGTACTGAGGCTTAGATTTTTCTCTTTTCAAAAGTAAACAACAAGTGCTTTTTAACTACACTAACATTTTTTTCTTTTCTTTAATCAAGATCATAAAATCAATGGTACATTTAGTAATTCTTATACTAAATAATATTGTTATAGAATAATGCTACTATGTATATATGAATATTGGGGTAAATATATCAATGTTAATAGATTTTAATGGTAAATTACTAATCAAACTTCATTTTGATCATAATTAGGCTCGAATCTTCTAAACTATTAAAGATATAAATGCCCAAAATGAAAGTATGAGTAAAGTGTAGAAATTGTCAAATATAAAGGTTTGTATTATTTTATGCTCATGTAATACCAATTGTATGCTATTTGAAATAAATTCTTTCAGAATGCAAATACTAATTTTTTTCTTTCTTTCTTCTTTTTATTTATGTATAGGTTAAACATCTTTCAGTTATTGTTATAGTTTTTCAGCTTGCTTTATACAAAGTGTCTTTTAATTAGTTAGAAATACTGCTACAAGTTATAGAAGTACTTGTATACATATTGTACCTCGTTAGCCCCAATATTTTCAATGTGAAAAATAAATAAAAATGAATTTTTTTTAATAAATTTGAGTGTTTGTAACCTCCTAATAAGGATACTGATCCCTAGATATACATTAAAACTATTATAACAATAAAAAGCTATCTACCAACGTTATTGGTTAAAATAAGACCTGAACCTCGTTATTCTACACATCTGATTCGCTTAAATAGGTGAAACTAATTACTATATACTGAAGCTCTATTGGCTCAGAAGAATGTTGCCAGGTGGCACTTTTTTAACGATTTTTGCCAGGTCGGTAGTTTAATATTTGCCATTTCTTACAGTGTACTTGTCATTTTACTTCAACGATTATCCTTTCCTGCTTGCTTGGAAGATCTGTCCTTTCTTTTTGAAAAGGCAGTTGCAACATTAAGCATAATTTTCAATTGTATGATGGAAATCATATACCAAAAATTTCATACTGCTTTAGAATTAGACACCTGTCAATTCTGCAAGGAAAATCTGGTTCGCTTCAGTGATGCTATCAGATGAACTGATAAGATATATTTAAAGGCACAGTATGCTAACAAGCTTAATAATAATAAATGAAAAAAAGTGCTCCAGTTAAAAGCTGCATCGGATTCATTGATGGTATATTCAATCGAATTGGCAGACTATGAGAGAACCAGGAGGCTGTTTACAATGGTCATTGCATAAGTAAATAATTACAGTAATAGTTGTTTTCTTCTGTTACTTTAACTCAATGCAATGCGAATCTATAGAGAGGCCACAGGCTAAAATATCAAGCCATTGTAACTCCTGATAGAATTATATCTTCCATCATTGGCCCTGAGACTGGAAATTACCATGACATACATATGTACAGACTGGCAGACACGAAGAGATGTCTGTTTAGTGCATTTGATTTCACTCCTGTTGGTGGGCCTTGCTATTACTTGTATGGCAATTCAGTTTATTCTAATTCAGCACTGATAGCAAGGCCATTTAGAATAAGTAAGCAACACATTATTATCTGCTTTTACAAATAATACTCACCAACGTTTTAATCTTTTTCTTTCAGCAAATGTATCCGAAGACAATACTGTGTTCAACACCAAGATGTTTAGAGTGAAGATCTCTGTGGAGCAGGATTTTGCTGATGTCAGAAGCTTCTTTGTGTTTTTGAAGTATTTACAAACGCAAAGAATTGTCAATGCTCCATAGACCTCTATTATATCATTGGAACATTCTTAAAAAACATTCATATATGTTATAATAGGGGGAATCAAACCAGTGCCAAGTTTGGTATTAGTTCTCTAACACCAGAACAATACATCGCAGGTCTTTTAAGACAATAAAACTTTTATGCTAATTATTGCTTCATAAACAAATGGTATATAGTTTAAGAAAGAAGGCAGCTTTTTATTATATTTATTATTATTTTATAATTAATAAGTTATTGAAAGCCTATTGAGATAGTTGTCACAGAAGAGCTTGGATGAGCTGCGATTGCATGTCTATTTTCTTTGTCAAGTTCTTCTCCATTGTCTCAATTTGCTTATTAACTGTTTGAATCTCATCGTATATCACTGTGATCTTATTGTCAACCTTGATCTCTAACCTGTTTATGGCACCAAGCACTTTGTCATCCTCAACTTTCTCCAAGAGAATGGACGGTCCTTTATTAAAGATATAAACAATCCTTTCTACGCAATCCATAGCAATTGGAGGCATTGCTACTGCATGTCTAGAAATGGATGTTATAAGAGCAACATGAGAAGGAGGGACAAGACTGGCAAATAGAGAGGAACCAGAAGCAACATGAGTGGAAGCAGTATTGGTGGTCTTCTGTCTCTTTCTTGCTGAATTGATGTCAGTGACAATTATTCTGAACATTGTGGCTCTGTCTTTTACTACACTTTCTTTTTGCAGTCTTCTAGACGTCTCCAACTCCTTTTTCTTTTCTTTCTCAGCCTCCGCAAATTCAAACTTGTCTTCCTTTGATAGAAAATAATCTTAATTAGAGTAATATTCCCAAATTATATTTTATTAACTTACAACTTCCATGAGGTCCGTAAGAAGCTGCTCAAGAACTGAGAACTTCTCGTATGCTCCTGTTATTCTTCTTTCTTGTCTCTGTCTAGCTTGATAATTTCCAACAAACTGGGTATATCTTCTTCTTACTGTAGGCATAGAAATGCTCTTCAGATCTTTATCAGCCGCATTAACAAGGTCTTGAATCTCATCCCAGTCAGAGATGACCTCACCACAAGGAAGATGCTCTGGATACTTGACAATGAGACATTTGACAAGAGCTATATCTCTTTTGTCTGATCTAACGCCATATACTTTGGAGTCAGTGGTCTGGCAAGTGGTCTTGCTAGTAGCAGGAGTGGGAGTGGAAGTGATAGTGACAGTAGCAGTAGCAAGTCTGTTATTATTCATCATATTGTATTAATACAGTCAAAGCTCGATTTAGTGATGTTTGATTTAGTGATAATCATGATTTAGTGATAATTACAATTCAGTGATATTTTTTTGAGTTTTTTTGTCTATTCCCTGCTAATTATCACTATTTTTTGATTTAGTAATAGTGATGAAAAAAAGTTCCACCAAGATCACTATATTGAATACTGAGTTTGTTTTTTATAGTGAAAAAAATTAGTACAAATTTTTGCTCAATATTTTAGAAACATGACAAGTCAGACTACTTTACTTTTACATAGTGCCGCGTGTGGTGCTTGTATTTATAGTAAATGTTAATAGGTGATATATTATCACTGTTTTTGAGGTTTATATAGGTTTGTAGATGTGAAATAACCTCTCTTTTCTACAAGAGAGAAAAGACAAACTCAAAAGAGAATGTAGAATTAAATATAATAAAATCAATAAGAGAAAAAAATAAGAGAAAAACAGTACTATTGATCAATTTTGATAGACTTGCACTACAGGAAAAAAAGAGGAGCCTCCAGGGGTTCCCTGGGGAGCCGCCCAGGGGGCCGCCCAGGGGGCTGCCCAGGAGGGTGAAATGAACTTACCCACTTTTTCCCTCCTATCTGTTATGAATTACTGCATAACTCTGCCCTTTAACAGATTTGAGGTTTTATTCATTTACCAATAGACATTTTTGGAACTTATACTTGACTTTTTATTGGTACTTATATATGAAAGCTTTGGTTTACAGCCCCCTTATTCTACTAAAAAATTCTCATTTTTAGTTTATAATACAAATATACTATAGCCCATTATGTCAACCCCTGACCCATTGTCCAAAGATGACAATCACTCAGGTACATGGCATGGCGTGCACCCATCCAGCATTAGAGCACCACAACAAATCGCTAAACCTAACAAGACCCTCTACCTCTTTACCTCTCTGGGTTGTGAAGCTCTCCTGAGCCAGGATGCCGTTGCTGCAGCCAGGGCATGCACAATTCACCCCACCAGTGTATGTTCAACATTGCCAAGATTGCCACTAGTGAGGACTTTTGCGAGATCCTCATCCAGACTTTTGGTGTAGCCTCCTCTTATATATCTCGCCATACTAAGACACATGATCTTTTGGTTGAGGTTCTCTTCTGGGATCCTGAAATCTGATGTAAAGCGACTACCATGGGTCTTGACGTCAATGGCTCTTGAATTGTGTCATCTTCAGACTTCTCCTCAGATGTCAATGTTGTAAAGATCAACCTTTACAACATCCCAGCTTGCGAAGCTACCAATCTGCGCAAGCCTCTCAAGGCTGCCATGACACTGTATGGCAAGGTCATCTACATCCATGCCTACACTGACCATCATGGCCAATTCTGTGATGAGGCCGCAGTTTTTTTGGATATATCTGCTATTCCCAACCCTCATTCTCTTAAACCTCAAATCCATCTAGGCAGATCGTTCGATTCTCCCATGGACATTCGTTCCAAGGTCATGCCCTCCCAGTGCTGCTACTGTTGCATGGAAGGCTACTGAATCTCGTCCTGCTCCATTTGCCCTCCCCATTGTTGTTGCTGTTGCAAAACTGGTCATCTGGCAAACGAAACACTCTGCCCAACCACCCTGCCCATGCTGCTTGTGAAAAGGCTGCTGCCAAAGCTCATGCTGCTGCAAAGAAAGATGATGCCAATGAAGGCCAGGAGGCCAACCTTAGTGCTGAAGACAACACTACCCTACCACAGCCACCAGCTACTCCTGTCACTGGTGCCAATATCAAGGATGACGCCATGATACCTGATGTTGAGACACCTGACGCCTCTGCTGCCAACAGCACCACTGCCTTGACCGCCACCACGATTGTAGAGGAAGATACCAAGATTCTTGATGCCTCCACCCCCCCCCCTCTCTCTCTATTACTGACTTGGTTAAGTCTCTCGTCACTATTTGTGACGCTACCAAGGCATGTCTCGTGTACAGAAGGACTCATGGATCAAGACCAAGATCGTTTCTGGGGACATTGATGTCATTATGGGTGATCCAACTGGTACCTCCACCAACTCCAGTAAGTACTCGTATGCCAGTTGAGAAATTATGGTTACCAACGACACCTTTGTATATATGAATGCTCCTATTGCCCCATCCAAAGCCGTTAATACCAAGCACAGCAACACATCATCTCAATGAATGAGGGATCTATTCATATTGGGACCCTCAACATTAGAGGTCTTGTAAGTACCCTTTCTACTCCTTCTTCCCCCAAATCTCTTCTTTGTTGTTATCTTCGCTCTCTTTGCCCTCCCCTCTCTCTTCTCGCCCTCCAAGAGACTCATACTTTCCCTGAACACAAACAATCCCTCAATATTCTTTTCCAGACCCAGTCTAGTCTTTGGACGAAACATTGTGGCCTGGTCTCTTTCAATCTGCTTTTGCTACTCACCTTGCTTTCTGTCTTGAATGATGAACGAGTCCTATCAGTTCTTGTCTCACATTCTTATAATTGCATTGATCCCTTCATCCTAGTCATCATGTATGGTCCTAGTCCCACCACACAGCAATATCCCTTCTATACCGCACTTGCCAACACTCTTTCCTTGAGAACTTTTGACCACCCTATGTTCCTCCTGGGCGACTTCAACTATAACTTTCACCAACATCACACACACCCTGCAACCTGACGCCACTATATCCAGCAGAATCTCATAGACGCCATCACAGCTCCCAATGCATTGCTACTCCCCACCTTCTACAATGGCCATCAATACACATACATTGATTTTATTTTTCGCTCTCCAGCCCTGACCACCACTTCACCTGAAATCATTTTCCTTAACCTGACATGGACCGACCATAGCCTCTTGACCATATCACTCACACTACAGCGTCCTTCAGGACGAGGGGTATGGCAATTCAATACCACCTTCCTTGAACATGACGAATTTACCTCCCAACTTTACCGACTTTTGACAAGGCTGTTGATTACCTGGATGCCACGGAATCCGCTGCCTCTCAATGGGATATGCTCAAACAGGTAATCAAGAACTTCATGATGGCATATGCCAAACAATTCGTCTGCTGGTGCAAGACAGTTGAGCATTCCTTGTGCAGTGAATGGCAACGCCTACTCTGCAATCCTTTGCTCCCTGGTTTAACCAAAACTGAAGCCAGAATCACCCAACTCCAGGAATCCAAGACAGCCAATTTGGCACAACGAGCCAGCGTGCGATAGACAGAATCTGGTGAGCAGTCTAATTCATATTTCTACAGAGTTATCCAATCTTGTACAATTGCATACTCCATTACCTCTCTCCATGACCCTGCATCTGGGAAAGTTTTCACTTCCACCTCTTCCTTGCTCGCACACACACGCCAATTCTATGAGACACTGTACTCCACTGAGCCCATTGACCTTGATGCTGCTCACAACCTCATGCAGTGCTTACCCTCATCTGACCGCCTCTCTTTGTCCAGATCCGCCTCTCTTTGTCCAGATCCGCCTCTCTTTGTCCAGATCCGCCTCTCTCATCTGCCCCATCACTGCTTCTGAACTCGAGTCCGTATTGAACCTCATGCCCAGCTACTCCAGCCCTGGTTTGGATGGCCTTCCTTATCCCCTGTGGAAACGGTTGCTCCTCCACTCTTATGTGCGAAAGTTGACTGTGGCAGTTTACCAAGACGCCCTTCATGGTGTATTTCCGTCTTCCTGGTTGAACACAGTGCTGGTGCTCCTCCCCAAGGCCGGCAACACTTCTATTCTCAAGAACTGGCGCCCAATTTTGCTCAAAAATTGCGATGCCAAAATCTTCATCAAGCTCCTTACTGCTAGGCTCTGTTCTTGTATTGCGCCTCTTATCACTTCTTTCCAATCCAGCTTTATATCTAACTGGTTTATTGCTGACAATGGCCTTCTCACCCACCTTGTCATGCATCATGTTCAATTGGCAAAGCATGCAGGTGTGACTCTGCTTTTAGATCAAGAGAAAGCATATGACTGAGTCCACCTGTCCTATATCCATCTGGTCCTCTCCAACTTTCACTTCCCTGTAACTTTCATTGATTCAGTCCTATCTCTCTTCTTCTCCACTCAGATCCATGTCAACATCAACGGCTTTGTCTCAACTTCGTTCTCCCAAGGCCGCAGACTGTGACAAGGTGACCCCCTATCCCCCCTTCTCTTCAATTTGGCCTTTGAGCCGTTACTTCGATCTATCCTCCACTCACCCCTTATTTTGGGTTTCCTCTTCAACATCCCCTCTCACATTTCCTTTCCTCATCCAATTCTTTCACCCAAATCTCTCAAGTTGTTGGCTTATGCTGATGATTTGCCTATATTTCTCTCTTCCCCTTCCAAACTTGCGCCTCTGCTTTCCCTGCTCTCTGTGTACAGTAAGGCCTCTAATGCTTGCGTGAATCTTGGCAAGACCATTGCTGTTTCTCTCTCTGGGCATTTTACACCCGATTGGGGTCCTGTCCTGTCCTCGGCTGATATCACCAACCTCTACAACCACAACTCTGCCAATGCAATCTGCTCCCTAGGTTTTTCTCTTTCCTCTCATCCCTGCCAACTTGACTCCTTCTGTTCCACCCTCCTTAGCAAGCTCGACCATCACTGTCTTGTCCTCGCACAATGTTGCCTGTCTGTCTGTGGTAAGAGTCTGGTCATTAACTCCCTCTTCCTCAGCACCATCTGGTACGTTCTGTACGTTATGTGTGCACTGCCTTCCTTCTTTACCACCATCTGCAATTCCATCCGCACCTACCTTTCCCTTGGGTTTGGTAGCCCTGCGTGGGATCTTCTCTGTCAGCCATGACGCAAGGGTAGTTTGGGAATCCTGGACCCTGAGAGCCAACAAAAGGCCCTACAACTTTGCTGGATCTTGCCCATACTTTGGGATTCACATGCTTGGGCTCAGTACATTTTTTCCTATCTCATATTCCTTCTTCAACTTCACTTTTCATCCCCTTCCCCCACAATCACACTTCTGTACCCTTCTCACTTCTCTATATTTCCTCTCCCTCTACAACCACTCTTATGCGCTAGTAAACATCTTCTTCCCCTGACCATTCCTCTCTCAGCCCGCTTCTCTCCTGCCACTGCTCTCACTCTTCGGCTGTATGCCATCTGGACATTTCTCCCACCTTTTTCAATACCTCGCTGGAATCTCAAAGGCATCTATGTCCACCACGCCTTCAGGATAGACTCCCAAGGTGGCCTCTGTCAGATACCTCCCCATGACATATGACATGCCCGCAACTGCATTATTGCCTTCTTTTGCCATCTTGATAATGCCAAAATCGTTCTGTGGTCATGGTTTATTTCCTTACCCCTCCCCTCTTTGCCAGACTCACCTCAACCAGTGGATGGCCTTTTCTCCCTTGTTTCCCTAATTCAAATCGATAGTCGCCCTCTCTACAACACTTTGACTGGTTCCCTTCAACATCACCTCCTCACGTCTCCTTCCTCTCTTCTTCACGCTGGTATTTCCTGGAAATTGTTCTGGAGGTAGTCCATGCCACACAGCACACGTTCTCTATAGTGGAAAACCCTCTGGCAAAGGGTCACTACCACTGAGTTCGTATTCAACTGCACCTCCTCTTTCCTTTCTAGTCTGAACTGTCCCCTCTGTCTCTCTGTGGTGGATGCTCCAACATTTCATCTTCTCCTGCCCCTGCAAGTTTTCTGTGTGGACATTGGTGCTGTGGCAAATGTGTCCATCCTGGTTCATTTCTGATGTTGCCTGGCTTCTCACTCATACTTGGTTTTCTCCCTCCGTATCCTCCTCTCTTCAGATTGCGATTGCCTCTATCATGGTTTACATCATCTGGTGTGTGCACTGGGCATTTGTCTTTGACAACTCCCCCTTCCTCCCCAATGTAGTTGCAGCTAAGGCAGTGACTGCCGTATATAAATCCCATGTCCTCACCTTCCCTTAGCTAGCATATTTATCTCTTTATTTTTCCTTCTGTAACTATCTTCCTCCAATTTTATTTTAAAAGGCCGCGCACTGTGTGCGTTGGTAGTACCAATAAATACAAAAAAAAGAAAGCTTTGATTTAAAATTCACTTTTATTGGGTATTATAATTTTCAGCTTAATCTTATATCTAAAATCATTGGCCACTTTGCAAATAATATCCACTTACTTGGGTTTTATTTTTATAGAGCTTAGATTATTAATCATTTTAATTGGTTCAAAAACATATTTTTCAATGAAGATTCTTATAAAAGAGTATTTTATTGGTTGTTGTAACAGAAGTAAATCTTATAAAAAAGGTTTCATTGGTTGTTGTAATAGAAGTAAATCTTATAAAAATGTTTTATTGGTTGTCATAACAAAAAAATTATTACATATAAATTATACTGGCTAGATATCATTTTATTCACTACATATTTTATTGATAATTGATATACTATGCTATAGTACCTACCAGACACAGACTTACAATCTATTGTTGCTTCTTATGGTTTTTCCATAATTGGCTGATTTTTGCAACAGGCGCCCAGTTCTTGTGGCATCTGGTAAAGTCTATACCATTGTTTCTGAGTAGACACACGTATCTAGTGCATGCCGAGTTCTTGTCTTCTTGAGATATTGCACTTCAGTTTGGATTTGGTCCTAGGGCTTGCACAGAAGGAATGGAGGCCAGTTCATTGCAGACAAGATGTGTACAAATATTGAGAATTGCCTTGTTTTTCTTATCTAGTTCAACTCCAAGATCACAGCTCACCATTCTGTAGATGTGTACCAGTGGTATATCTTTGATATTTGGTACAGGTCTTGGAATTGCCCTACCGAGATTCTGTGTGATTTTATATTAGGTTGTATACTTTACTTCGTTTTATTATTTCTTACATTATGAACCATTGTTAGTTCTGGGCTTTCTCAGCCATTCATGTCTTTACAAATATTGGCAATCTCAAATCTGACCAATACTTGTTTCTTTTGGAGTGCTTCTTGTCTTTTTTGCAAAGCAAGAAGTGTTTCTTGCATACTCTGAAGTACTTGGATAACTGTATAATCAGTATTGTTCATGATGTTAAAAAAATTAGAAATATGAGTTTGTAATGAAAAAAAGGAAAAAAGAGAAAGAAATTTTTCTTCTGATTACTATCAGATTTATTTCGTAAAATCTATTGGTTTAACAGGATTTATTGTTATTATTATAATAGCTGCAATAACTATATACCACGTGTTATTACATCTTTTGAGTCTCTTGAAGGAATTCGAATTGTCTATATCATTGTTGCCTTCAATAGATTAAGTTTAAAGACGCATATTGAGAAAACAATTATCTTCACTCTTACCAAAGTTATTCAATTTAGCTATTTAAAAATGTCATCAATTAAAAAAAACCTCTCTTATAAATGCTGTTCTTGCAAAAAACCTTGTTATAGTAGACAAAAGACTAAGTTGTGCCAAAATCTATGCCTGAAAAATCAACTGGAAAATATAAACAATGAAGAAGTACCTGAAACCACTTCATTTTTTGGTATCTAGCCAGTCTGCTTCAGTTGCAATCCCTAGCTTGATAATTAAGTGAGTTTGAGAAAAACAAATGATAAAAAAAACAAACTATATATTAACAATATTAATGCTTCAAACACAATTAACGTTGAAAGCACTAGTGGTAACAATAACACTGATCTTGATGATCTCACAGTAAGATATATATACATATACAAATGTATCATACTAATTTGTTTTTGTATTATTAAAGTACAATATTAAATATGAAAACAACATTGATAAACCTGCTCTTGTGGATGACAATGGAAGTGGTATCTCTCTTTTGGTTTTCTATTTTTCTAATTCTGCGCCTATTCCTAGCAATGATGAATTGATGAATTTGGAGTTCATCAAAATCATCAAGAAATTCAACATTTTCCGTGATGCTCATGAGAAGATCACCACCCATTTCAACAGGATATTGGAAAGATCTGTTGATCTCACTTACAAAGCATCAACACCATACTATGCCAGTGAACTCTTGAAGCTTTTCTTAAGCATCAAGAAAAAGAAGTATGACATTTGTCATAAGGGATACATGCTGTTCAATGAGGCAAACATCACTGCATGTTCTAACTGCAGTGAGCCCAGATACAAAGAGGACAGTGACGATCAAGGCCATGCCAACAAACTGGTTCCAGTTATGACAATGGTACAATTACTTTTGGATAGTCAGCTTTGTTTTGCTCTGATAAACAAAATCACAAAAGCAGAAATGCAATACTATCACCTCCACCGACCAAGCCAATATGGTACTGTGTCTAATGTCTTTGATGGGCAGGCATATCAGCGGATGAAGCATCTTTTTTCTGCGGAGAATGACATAGCAATCTCATTATCAGTTGATGGTTTTGCATCTCACAACATCCCTGGTTCTGTGACAATTGTTCACACTACAATCTTGAACCTTTTGCCAATGATCCATTATGAACGCAGTCATATAATTCAGATTGCAATGATCTCTGAGCTAGGCGCACCTGCTAACTTCTGGTCATATATGAAGCCAACAATTGATAACCTTTTCGTGTTGCAGCAAGCAGAAATGGTAATTAAGATACTAATCAAGACAATCCAAGCAAAGGTACACGTCTTGATGATCATGAGTAACATCCCAGCCTTAGCAAAGTTGGCCTGCCATGTTGGACACATGAGTAAGTCTGGTTGCAGAATTTGTAACGTTGTTGGGGAGACACCTGGGCGTGGCCAGTACTTCCAAACCTTCCTTGCAACTACTATCTGCACAAAGGAAAGTTTCCAAAACTACAATGAGACAAGTCCGTCTGACAGAATTAAGTTAAATAGACAATCGTCTCTTGCCAAACTCTCTTTCTTTTCTGGTCCACTGTTTTTTGCATTGGCTGAGATGCATGGCTTATGTCATGGTATTGCAAAGCAGGTCTGGGAACTCGTTTGTGATAAATATGGAGAGAAGAATTCTCTGGTTCTTTGTCTTGCTACGCAAAGGGAAATTGGTGCTGCCATAGCAATGACAAGAAGCACAGTTCCCACTTTATTTCATGGTGTATGGATCAATGTGTCAACAAGGTCTGGATACTTTAGGGCTGTATACTGGGCCAATTTTTTCTTGTTCATTGTTCCCACCAGATCATGTTTACAACCAAGTTACCCGGAATGCACTGCTTAGCTTAGTTAAGGCATGCAGCCTACTCATGAGCTGGGAGTTATCAGCAGAGGAGCAAACCTCAATTTAAAAGTAAGCTTTAATAGTAGCTGGTATAGTTACTTTATCACATATACTAACTTAGCTTCTCTTTTTTTTTAGAAACATCATTGCTTGGAACACTTATCTGGCAGTCTTGTTTGCCAATGGATACATAGATATTACTATCTTTACCATCAACTAACACCTCCTCCAATATTATCCAGCAATGATAATAGAGTATGGGCCTCCATAAGGATATAGTAAAAGATCTGTAGAGAGAGATATTGGGGAATACTCTAAAGCAATAAAGAGTAAGTTGGCAATAGGAACCAATGCTAGCAATATAATGTTTGGCTTGGCACAGACAAGGCAAATTGGAAGCTTGGCAAAACAAAACACAGAACAGCCAAAGTCCCAGTTGCTCTCTTATGATGACTCTTCGGCTGGTTGGCCATTGACAGAGGGAGGTGAGTGTGTTAGTGCCAAATCAGATATTGAGTTCTGGGAGCCTTTGAGATGTAGATTGATTGATGAAAATTTTAAAGGCATCTCTTACCTTCTGATTCTGATTCAAGCTTTCTACAAATCAAAGGGGGTTGAATGTAGCAGGATTGAACTGATCATAATAACAAGCTGCAAGATTTTTGTTAATAGCTGTGTGATTGACTCTTCATTTGCCCAAACCCTATTAAAAGAGGCTCATCACATTTGTCTACAGGTCCAGGTTGACCTGTTTCATAATGTACATCAGACGTATATTCCTATCATAAAAGATTTTTTTGGTAAGATTGTTCTTTTTTTGAGCATGAGAATGCTGGAAAAAGATGGCCACTTGCCTTAGTGCAGATTTATTCTGTTGAAGAATATAATAGTGTGCTGGTGGCAAAAAATGAACAAATGAAACCAAAGATAGTCCATCTGGTAGATGTCAAGAAGTTGGTTGGTCTAGTAGTTTCAGATGTAACAAGCAATACAACAACAAAATATATTGTCTGGCTGGAGCTAAACTGTAGACAAAAACTAAATCTTGGTCAATACAGAGACATATAATTTGGGTTTTTTTGTAATATATTTTTTTTCAAATTGTCTTAACTTTTGCATATTATTTCAAATTTTAATATATTTTGTTCTCTGCAAAAAGTTTAGATATTTTCTTCCCTTTTTAATTCTGACTTTTAATAGCTACACTTGCTAAAAATGTAAGATCTATAATCAAAATAAATGTTTATCTCTTCTGAGATTTAATTCCAGGTAGTCAATTTATTTTTTGTTGGCTATTTCAAAAAATAGAGAGTTTTTTGTTTCATTTTGATTTTTTAGTGATTTTTTAATTATTAGAAGCCAAAAATGAAGTCACAATTACAAAAAATGCCCTTTTTTTCTTATAGTGTTGACTCAATATACTTAGATAATCAAATAAATAAAATATTAACAGTGCTAAATATTAAGAGAAACTTGTTGTCAGAAAATAAGATGAAGAAAAATCAATGTTTATTAAATGCAAGTATTGTAATATTTACAGTTTTGTAATTGACTTATTGAATAATTAAATAAATAAATTTATAAAAAAATATAATAAAAGTTGTATAATCAATGATCTATTAAATGTAATTTGTTCTTTACTATTATTAAGTATAAATAAAATAAAATAATTATGTTTGTAATAATATATAATAAAAATAATATTAATTCCAAGTTGATTTATTCAATTAAATATAGTGAGAAAATAAGATACAATATGCGGTTACATGAAGTTATTGTTGACAGGATGATACTTTTTCGTTGTACTTATTGGTGTTTTGCTCTACGAATAGAAAAATTGCTTTCTGTTCAGCCTAGGCCGCCATTGGAAAATCAAAAAATAATAATAATAGAATATAATTTTTCTAGAATTACAAAAAATTCTGCAACGTCACCACACTGCCGGACAACTGAAATTTTGTTTAACATTGACTATAATTATTACATTTTGTATAAAAAACATCAAAGCGCGGATGGTTAAGTGGTATAATCTTCGCCTGCCACGCGAAGGGCCCGGGTTCGATTCCCGGTCCGCGCATCTTTTGCAGTTATCGTTTTTGATCTGGGTTGTTCTGTCAGACATTATTTTGATGAATCCGAGAAATCGGGATAATTGACCGCAGCAGTTCTGTATGTCAAAGATACCTCATAGATAACGAACCACAGTAAAAGGACTTCTCTTGTAATTAAATAGAGTATAATAGTTTACTGCGGATAATGCGCAGTATTAGTTTAGAAAACTATATAAGACAATTCAATTCCTATCAATAAAAAGGACCTTTTATCCTCTCTTCGATTTTACATATACTCTCCGATCCCCAGTGGGTTTGACCTTTTGACTTTGCTATAGTAAAAGGAAGACCATCCCAGATCAGGAACAACAATAACACAGCCAAAATTGGTCAAACCCACTGGGAATCATAAACGAAGATAAGAGAATAAAAAGAGAATAGAAAGATAGATAACTTTTATTGAATGAAATAACGCCCTCTTTTATATCTTTTCTAAACCTACTCAGCCATTATAAATGTCTGTTTCAGTTTCTATTCTACTTTTGTTAATCTATGTGCTTTCTAATTCTTTTGTGAGCAAAAGGAAATCACTTTGGTCATTGTTCTCAAAAGAGAATTCTGTGTAATCATCATCCTGATTGACTAACAAGAATTTGGGCACGACATCATCCCCTCCCCAAACTGTTGATCGTCCTTGAGCAACTAGAGAATCAGTGATAACAGAGACATCCAAAGGAGAACAACCAGCAGTAAGCAAATCTCAGCGGGATTGTGCATGGGAAGCAGTAGGGTGGAACCAACTCTGGGAAATGGAATCAACCTTGGCCAATTTCAAGTGATCTGCATGTACCCAAGAAGTATATGGAACACCTTCGGTTGTTGTCAGCTTATATACATCAGTATCAGGATTTTTATCAACAACTACATATGGACCCATTCAGTTATATTCCAGACCAAACTTATTCTCATGACACATCAAGGCATAAGCACCAACAACAAAAGAGTGAGGTTTCATGACAGAACCCCAATGTTCTTTATCTTGCAAACTATTAGTACAAACCCATATCTCAGCATCTTCATGTGCTTTCCAAAGGTTATACAGGTAAGATAAAGCATTGTCAGCAAGAACTTGGGGATCATCAGGCAGATCAGCACTCATGATAGGACAAAGGGAGTCATCAGGAAGACGTGGTTCGCAACCATATGTGAGGAGGAAAGGACTGAAACCAGTGGTATGGTGTTTACAAATGCGGCAGGCTAAAAGAGCAGTGTCCAAATACTCATCCTAGTGGTGTATGGCACCATGAACATATTTGCGCAGCATTTGCTTGAGAATACTGTTTAAACGCTCACATTTACCATTGGTTCTAGGGTGAAATGCAGATGTAAACTTGTGATGAACTTTGATCTGATTGGTATAGTGTAGAAGAATCTTAGACATAAAGTTTTCTCCACAATCAGTAAGAATTTCGTCTGGACAACCAAAACACATAACAATTTCTTCATAGAGGAACGTTGCAATAGCTTCACCAGTGGCATCAGGTACAGCACGAGCAATTGGCCAATTAGTAGCATAGTCCACAGCAACAAGGATCCAGTGGTTACTGTTGACTGTTGTTAGAAGCTCACCAATAAAATCGAGATGCCAGCATGAGAAAGCAGGGGGTACATCTAATGGCTTCATTGGGGCATGGTGGATATTCTGCTCTGCGTTTGACGCCAACTGACATTGGGGACACTTGAAAAGCCAGTCCTGAATATCTGTGCGCATACCAGGCCACCACTAACGTTTCTTTATAAGGTTGTAAACAGTTGTTTCACTAGCATGGCCAAATCCATTATGAAAATTGTTGACAAGGTTGGCACAGCGAGCAAACAAGGCATATCAAATTTATCTGAAAGTGTTACCAAACTTGACACAGCGGAACACCTTTTGATCACGAATTACAAAGTGGGAACATTGTCTTTGCATTAATTCCTTATAGTCTTCTGGCCATTCTTCTTCGGGGTGTGTATACAATTTGGGCCAATCGGATTCATGTGGTATCTGTGACAAATAGAGCACTGGAAAAATAAGGACAATTAACATATTGTCCAGATAGTCAGATCATAGTGGATATATCAGGATTTTTTTTCATCTCAGCAGTTTTTTTTATCAAGTTGGGGGTGTAGTTTTGATGTATTCTATTGGCTTAAATAAAAATAAAATAAAAATAAAATAAAAAATACGTTTTGGTTTACTATAAAACCATATCAAATGAAATATTTGTAGCTGTTATATTTGTATGTGAAAAAGTGGAACAATAAGTACTTTGAGACTCTTTTTTATTATGTTTATTAAAAGTTCAAGTCAAATCGAATTGTCTTAATAAAATTTATTTTATCTATGATATTTATATTTATTGAGATATATCCAGTCACCCTGGATATGAGTCATCGTAACGGCTTTGAAATAATAGTTTAAGTACTTCTTGAAGATGATCCAATGATGGATCTGACACATTGCTCTTATGTTTCAGATAGGACTTCATATTGGATAATCATTTATAACAACCTCTTTGACAGGTACTTCTGTCTGGGTTCATATATGATATCAGATATTAAAGTATCCCAAATACAACAGTAGCACTCTTGTTTCCTTTTTTATTTTATAATTCAAAATACATACACTATGTTTCCTTCTATTCAAATGCACAACACTGATTGTCACTGTACCAGATGCAATAATAATGATCAAGGAGGTTCCCAAGTATTGAGACATACTGCTCAGTGTCATAATAAAAGAGCTAGATTTGAAGGTACTGAGATATTCAAGAGTTGTATAATTTATTCAGTGCTGTTATCTGTCTACCAAGTAATAATCGCTTTTATTTTTATTTTTTATTATTTTAAAAAACATAGCTGAAAAGAGAAGCATGGAAGTAGATACTGAAAGTAAGACATTTTTTATTTGAAACGCAGAAGAAAAACTAATAATAAACTATTATATTCCATATTTGTAGTAATCCTGACATATCAATCCAATTCTGTGGAAGCAATGGACGGTCAGGCCAACTCACCTATTTTGGATGCCGTCTCAATGTTTGACAATGACGTCTTTGTTGGTAATTACTACAATGGGGATGAGTCTGACACAACCGATGACAATTACAGTGATGACAATGGCGAAGAAGACACTAATGAGATTTATGTTGAAGAGTTTAACAATGAGGATCAGTTTTAAATATATAAAAAAAACTAAAAAAAAATGTGTGTTAATTTTTTTTTTAAAAAAAAAGACCCTTTTGCTGCTTTTGGTATGCCCGAGAATCCAGTTCACAGATTTATTGCTACTTTTACAGTACTGTTTGCATCTCGTTACGTGGTCAATAAGGGTTCTGTTGTCTTGATTGAGTTCATCAATGAGCTCTTGAAGATTTATGGACAAGATTTCCAACTTCCTGAAAGTCTGGCTGGGCTACATAAAATGACTGGATTTTTGTCTATTACCAAAGGCATCAAGCGATTTGTGTCATGTCCAAACTGCCATTGCATCTATGAAGAAAACATGTCCGTACCTCCCCATTGTGTTTTCACAAATGTTGGTGCATGCTCTCCTTGTGGTTGTAAGTTGATGAAAGAGTCAACTTCAGGTGCACTGGTATCAAAGCGAGCATACTTGTACCAGTCCCTCAAGCAAGCTTTGTCTGATCTTTTCCTTCGTCCTGGTTTTGAAGAGCAAATCCGTCACTGGAACATGGAGCTTAAGATTGTCAATATTATGTGCGACGTATATGATGGAGCAATGTGGAAAGAGCTGAAGGATGCAAGTGGTGTCTCGTTTTTGCTTGTCCTCGCTCATTGATGTTGACACTCAACATAGACTGGTTCCAGCCATTTGATGGAGTTAGTTACTCTTCTGGTGCAATTTACTTGGTTGTAAATAATCTGCCTCAAGAGGTACGGTTCAAGCCTGAGAACACAATTCTGGTTGGTTTGATGCCTGGTCCCAAGGAGCCAAGATGCGAGGAGATAAATAACTATCTCAAGCCCATGGTAGACGAGATGAAACAGTTGTATGTTGGAATGCGAGTCCCGACCTATGAGTGCCCTTCTGGTGCTAATGTCTGTGCTGCTTTGCTGATGGTTGTGTGTGACATCCCTGCTGCCAGGAAAACAAGTGGATTTACAGCCCACAATAGTACATGTGCATGCTACAAGTGTATAACCCAGTTCCTCAGATTGCCCAACACAAATCAGGTGGACTTCAGTGGATTCAATTATTTGCTTTGGAATATTTGTAGTGGTGTAGAGAACAGGTTGCATGCTGAGGAGTGGAAGAGTGCGAGTACACTCTCAGAAAGGCACCAGCTGAAGGTTGAATATGGTGTTCAATGGTCACAGTTGCAACGCCTTGGATACTTTGATCTAGTACGTGGAACGATCATTGATCCCATGCATAATTTATTTCTGGGGACGCCAAAGAGAATGATGGACCGGTGGGTCAATAAGAAAATGATTGGAGCCAAAGAGTTTGCTGCCATGGAAAAAATCGCAGAAACAATGGTCCTTCCGAGGGATTATACAAAGCTGACATCGAAGCTTGGAAAAGGCTTTCCTTACATGAAAGCTGATGACTGGAAATCCTGAGTACTGGTGTATTCTCCTGTTCTGCTGCATGATGTTCTACCATTTGAAATGTACAACAACTGGATGAATTTCGTCCGTGTATGCCGCTATCTTATCAAGCCAAGCATCACATTTGATGAAGTAAACAGCGCCCACAACTATCTGGAAATGTTTTGCAAAAAGGCTACCAAACTCTACACTCCCACCATCCTCACCTGCAACATGCACCCCCACCTCCACCTTCACGAGACCATTCGTGATTTTGGACCCATGTATGGTTACTGGCTCTTTGGGTTTGAGAGATACAATGGCCTGTTGAAGCATATAAAGACAAATGGAAAAGATAGTTTTGAGGCAACATATATGAGAAGTTTTGTTCAAAACACATTCAAGGGTGACTATGCCAATTCTGTTCTGAAAAGTTCTAGCTACGTCCCCTTTTTCAACATTCTCTCAAAGCTTTCTCCAAAATTCACACCTACCACCACAGTCATTACTCTCTCCTCCCATCCATTCCGATTGCAATCATTTTTACTAGCATTGTCCAACTCACATCTTCCTCCAAAGGGTAATGAACCTCTCCCTCCTTCGACTTTTCCTCTTCAGCTAAAAAAAATCATCACTGATGGATAAAACCGACTATGCCCATCTGCTTCAGCACTACAAAACATCCTATGATCTTCCCAACCTTGTCAGTTACCAATATGCCATGCTCACAAACTCCTTTGCTGACAATGAAATCACAAAGTTGAAGTTCATTGACTTACTTGGTCAACAGTACTGTGGTAAAAACGGTTCAGCTAGTTGTGATTCTCTTGTCCACGTAATGTTTGTTGGTAGTGATGGTAGAAATACTCTAGCCTATGCTGGACAAATACAGTTTCTCTTCACACACTCCTTTACACACCCTTCTAACAGCAATCTCCATCTGACTTGCATAGTTCATGATCATTGACATGTATTCGCATATATCAAGTGGTTTAATACTTCCTCTGATAGATCACATGAGGATGACGGTCTTGAGTTTTGTCTCCCCACCTTCTCCCCCAATAGTCGTCATTGCATTGTACCTGTGCACTGCATCTTTTTAGAGATTGCTACAGCCATGATTACTACAAGTAGAAATGTTAGTAAGATGTTAGTAATTGCTTTGCCAAAAAAGCTTTATGTTTAAAATAAAAAAAAAACCCCACTTGAATTTCCTTTTCTTATACAAAAAAAAACAGAACAAATTCCCTATATATATTGATAGTATTGTGTATGTAAAAAGTAATATGTAGATAAAAAGAGAGAAACATTTTTTTTTATTTAGAGCCCATCTCTAAGAGTCCACCAAGGAAAATTGTGGCTAATGTTATCCGGGACTGCTGAGTTGGACACACTAGTAGTGATCTTACAGATCCTTTGATTAGCACTTGATCCCATGGCCTGGACAGCATAAGTGTCAACAAGTGCAATGCAACAGTTGCACTGAAATACATTTATTAATAATTCACTCAATATAATAATACACCAATACAAAAGTATTACTCCAAATTAATCTACCTCATCGCTTCTCCAGCCTAGTTGTACAATATGAATGACATGTTTTATGCCATCCTCGTCCATTTCATTGGCAGACTCTCCATCTGACATTACTGCTTTTTGGAGAGTGTTGGCACAGGCTCTGAGCATTACAAGATCAATTGCCTCCTTATTGTCTTTGTATGCCAGTACACAGCGACACTCGTTCTAGTAATAAGTTTTGTTAATTTGTTATTTTTATTTTTAATTTTCAACTATAAACTATATATATTAGCATAATACTCACATCATCTGCACGGGCTGCTCTTTGTATAAGAGCGTTTGTTTCTGCTATCTCATCATCAGACATTCTCTCACGACGGGTTCTACTAGTGAAGTTGGTGTGCAACCTCTTTTGAAGGTCACTCCATCTCATACTAGAGGAACCAAACCTATGCTCAAGGTTAGAAAGAAGTCTCTCGGCTATCTCCCTGTTGAGAGATTTGTTGAAAGCAACATTTATATCCCATCTGGGCTTGAGGTTGTTGGCCAGGATATTTTCTGGCGTTCTCAAGCTAAGCTTGGGTTTCTACATAAGGTTGTGAATATGAGTCTGATAAATAAATCATGAGAAAATGAATTAATAAAATATTTTATAATATTTTACTCACATAAACTGCATTAGATTCTTCACAGGTAGGCTCATGGTTGGAGATGACAACAGGTGCAGCAACAGTGAGTTCGGCTCTCACAGTAGCAGCAAGGAGAGTTCTGGCCAAACTATCTATGGCACTGATGGTGTTGGTGCTGGTGGTGGCAAGAACGCCAATTCTGTCATTCATGTTGGTCAGAGTTTGCTCAACATTGCCGATCTGTCCTTTTATGATAAACATATCAGCTCTCACAGTAGAAAGTATTTCCATAAGCTGCTGATTGGGAATCTCAACAGGACGAAGGGCAATTGCGCGTTCACGTCTTGTGTTAGTCATTGTCTACAGAATATAATAAAATGAAAGGTTATAATGATTAGTTTCAGATTATATTATTATTATTGCTGTCATTCTACAATTAAATTTATGTAAATTTAATTAAAAATAAATCGTATCAAGTTTACATACTTGAATTGTTAGAACAAGTGTATTGATTTGGGAGTATAAGTGTAGTAAGTAGCAAGAGAGTAAGAGCAAGGGAAAGTGTATTATATGAAAGGTATGATTATTATATATATTCAAAATATATTTGATATACGAATCTCTATTAATACTTCTTGTAATGACTGGGATGTAAATCGGTTTTCATATTGCTTTGGGACTTGATGAAATCATTTTAGTCTTTTGTTTTAAACACACTTTTTTCTTTTTTTTTTAAGATTTTTTTTTTTACTTTTTTTATTCGTTTTTTGTTATTTCCCTCTTTTCTCTCTCTTTTCAATTCTTGTTATATTTGCAAATTTTTCTGGTAAGATTGTTTTTGGTTCAAAATACTTCTTTACAAAGAATAAAAGAATTAATTTTTTTGTTTGTCATAGGTATTCTCTCTGTTTCTCTCTCTTCACTCTTTACACTCGCAAGGTTTTATGGTAAGGCACTTTCTTTGTTTTAAAAGAAATATATACTTCTTTATGTATAACTAAAAAATAACAATATATTTTAATGTCATAGAAACTCACTCTTCGTCTCATTCTGATGCACCATCTTCACAACAGTCATCCGGATTAGCCAGAGTTAGTAAATATACTTTATGCCATCATTCCATACAATCATTCTGACTTTTTTCTTTCTTTAATATAGACCACATCGCCAAAAATACTCTCTACAATCAAACACAGATATTGACACGGTAATATTCTATTTTATTTTAATCTATTTCTTTTTAATATTTATCCAACTGAATATAATTTCTATTATAGATGAATATCCCTCTTACAAACGTGCCATTCCTCAAGAACTTCCATCCCATGCTACCGTCATTGCCATGGTAAGCCTTTTATTTACTTCTATACATACAATAATATTATTTATATTGTATATTAACGTATATTCTCTACTAGAGACGATATTACCGCTTTACAGATAATATCTTGGTCTGCAAAGAAATCTTTTGCCTTTGGTATGTAAATCAATTATTCTATCACGCAATTCACAAAAATTAATTCTTTCCTATCGTTTTATAGTCAAAGAAATCATAATCCCGTGCTTTACTGTAAATGTTTTATTTCTTTGTCCATTTGTACTGGGTACTTCCAATGTAAGTATTAATTAGTGCATAAAATTTGCAGTATAAAACACGCACGCACTCCCATCACTAATGTTTTATCTATTCTCAAAGAGTACTGCTCTTACCCCTAAAAAAAGGTAAAGAGCACCTCATTTTCTTCAGGTATTTGTTTTTTGTAGAAAATTTTTTATCCCAAATATAACAAGCTTGTCAAGCAAGAAATAGCTGAGGATATAGAATAGCTTTATTAGATTTGAAACCTAGAAACATTCTATTCTTTCTAATAAAAATAAAAGTGTAAACCATTACCAACCTAATAAGAACGGGAAACCAAATAAATAAAGAACATATTACTGGTCCATAATTTTAAAGACATGTTTTTTTGCTGTTGATGATTGGATGTTTTAAAGAACTGTCAGTATAGATGGTCAGTAAAGGTGGTCAGTAAAGGTGGTCAGTAAAGGTGAGGTGTAACACAGATAAACCATTAGAGCAATATACATGATGTAATCCAACTTTGACCTTTCCTGTTCTGTGTCAAGAATACCGAGATAAATCCGTAGTTTTAAATATTTTTATTTATTTATTAAGCATAACGAGTATATCAAAAGTGCTACCAAACCTTACTTGCGGAACCCCCCATCTACATATACTGTAGTGTTTGTAAGCCTTGCATATACAGTGCTAGATGACCTTAAAACCTAGTGGAAAAAATATCAACTATGATATATCACATTATTCCAGTACCATTTGCCCATATATACACGTCAGTATTTTTCTACTTTTTTCCAGTGCAGGTTGGTGGAGACATGTACGTAATATTCTCTTATCAAACAGCTCTTGAGCTTTGGAAGCATGGACATCCAAGGACTCCAAAGCAAGTTTGGGATCACAGATAATTTTGCCATCCAAAGGGCTGAAATGGGAAATTGGCACGATCTTCTGTTTATGAAGAAGATCAATCAATTCAGATTTGAAATCTCTATGAACTAAAAGTCCAATTACTCCACGAGCAGGGAAGTGAATATCAAGAATTCTGGACTGGGAGATCTTTAGGATAGACATCATTTTGCATACTTCATTATATTTATAAAAGCGTTTGCATGAGAGATACACAAAGTCATATGTGGAAGATCCAGATGTGGGCTGCAATGCTCGAATGGTTTGAGCCTTTAGAATGTCAAGCTTCTGCTTTAAAACTTTTGGGACTGTGGCTGCAATAGTGGACTTGGCTTTATCAGCATATGTTTGCTTGGACATACTGTTTGTTTTAGTGTCACCATTACTATTGCTGTTTTTGTTGTTGTTGTTGTTGTTGTTGCTGCTGCTGTTGGTAATGTTCTTTGGTGCATGTTTGGATGCTATCAAGGATGTAGGGTCCACAGTGTCTTTGTTCATAAGAGCCTGGAGCATAGACTTTAAAGTCTTGTTAGATTCCTTAACTTCGTCAAAGGCCTCTTTCAAAAGAGCTAAAGAGGATCTTAGCTCAGCAATGATTGCGTCTTTGGCTGATGATGTGATGCATTGTTTATGGTTTTCATCATGGTTAATCACAAAGGAAGATATCCTCTTTGTAGCAAAGTTTGTACGGGTTGAATTCATCACTAATTGATCTAGTACTGTAAGATAAAAAATTTGCTGCTTTTTGGTAGTTGGAGAGCAGTCAGATGTAGCAATGGGTGTAATTGAAGATTTAATTATTGTTTGAGCTCCAAACAGGGGGAAGGTGTCTGGGGGGCAAAAGACTTTGTAAAGGTCTTTTTGAACAAGGTTTTCTTGAGCCTTGAAGAGAATAACTCTTGAGCCAAAGGTGCTGGAGACTTCAAACTAGGCTTATCTGAAAGCTGGGAAAGAGATGCACAAGATGGTGTATGGATGGACAATGAGGTACTTCTTGGTGACATGATGCAAGGAATTGTTTGTTTTGAAATACCTGGGCCAACTTTAATAAAAAAAGCTTAGTGGAAAGAGAGGTGGCTTCTTGGTTTAAATAAAATTATTTATTATAGTGGATATGTTAAGACCTGGCGCCTTATGGCATGTAGGTCACCCAATGGAGCTTTGGTAAAGAAGTATGAATAAAAGAAATCCCTCAAATACAAGAGGAAACAAAAAGAAGCAGAAAAGAATTAAAAAATAAAAGAGCAAGAATGAATAAAAATTAAAAAATAGAGGAGGTTGACACAGCAAGACAGTAGTGATTGCCTGCATGAAAAAATAAGAGAGCAGATAAAAAACCCCCTGTGGGAGAAAACTGCTAATATGAAAGTTAAAAATTAAATACAAGATATGAAAAAGAAATAGAAAAGGAAACATATAAAAATAAAATAAGAATATAAGATGCAATGAAGAATAAGACATAAAAATTTAAAATAAATAATGTGCTGAAATGGATACTGATGCGTGATGTGTTTGTTTGTTATGGATTGTAATAGTATCACTTGGCAAATAAATATAATGTGAATTATAAAATACAAGAAGAATACAATAAGAATGGAAAAGAATAGATAATTTGACAGGTAAGAATTGGTGACAGACAGGTAAAAAAATAGGGAGAAGATTAAAATAGAAATTGTGACAATGACAGAGTCTGAGAAAAACAGAAAAGGGAAAACAGAGAAACGAAATATATCAAAATTGACAAACAACACTCCAAAGAACAAGGATACTGTGTATGAATGAAAAATAATGATAATAATGGACAAAAATAAATAAGATCAAGGATAGAATAATGATTTTATTGATTGAAAAGGTTATTCCTTTTAAAAACAAAAATGTTTGGTTAAAATAATTTTTTGAGAAAAAGAAAAGAAAGTCAAGTAAAAATTTTTACTATATGTAACTGGTGTTGATAGTAGAAGTAGAATAGAAAATTATAGAGAGAGTAAAATAAAAGTATAGTAAAAATATAATAATTGAATAAAGATAATGTAAAAATATAGTGAGATAGAATAGAAGTAAAGTAAAAAAAATATAATAATAGTATAATAATAGAATCTAATAAAATGTAATAAAAAATAGTGTAAAATAAATGTTGGCAATAAAGAAGTGTTTAAAATTAGGGGAAAGAGGTATAATGTTTTTAGTGGGTGACAGGTGTTTCTGAGGTGACGATGTAGATGGATATTTTAATTTTAAGGAATGAGATTATATTAGGGGGTTTGGGTATAGGGGTATCGGGAGTAAGATTTCTCAAGAAACCTGAGGGGACCACTCTTGTCCCTTGAGAAATGTCACTCGGTTGACTCACCATCGACGTCAATGCCCATGAGTCTGGTACTGCCTGTCACAGCTCACCGCCGGACCAAACCACCAAAGGAATCCACCATCTGGTATCCCTCACCAGAAACTGGTCAAAACCTGATTTGCTTAAAACACACGTGATAACACCAGACGGCTTCTTGGTTTAGTGGTATAATTCTCGCTTAGGGTGCGAGAGGTCCCGGGTTCGATTCCCGGAGAAGCCCAGCATAATATTTTTTTTGGATTTCATCCGATCAGAATTGTGTCGTTCCTGATCTGGGATGGTCTTCCTTTTACTATAGCAAAGTCAAAAGGTCAAACCCACTGGGGATCGGAGAGTATATGTAAAATCGAAGAGAGGATAAAAGGTCCTTTTTATTGATAGGAATTGAATTGTCTTATATAGTTTTCTAAACTAATACTGCGCATTATCCGCAGTAAACTATTATACTCTATTTAATTACAAGAGAAGTCCTTTTACTGCGGTTGATGCTCAGAAGATGTTACTGTGGTTAATCTTTACAAGACATTACTGCGGTTCGTTATCTATGAGGTATCTTTGACATACAGAACTGCTGCGGTCAATTATCCCGATTTCTCGGATTCATCAAAATAATGTCCGACATCACCCCCTCTCGAAACTGTTGATCGTCCTCGGTCAACTCTGGTAGACTCTATCATCGAGAACGGCAAGGTGGAAGAGGAATCTATGGCCAGATCACGTCGCATATTGTTACGAGCAGCGGTCGGGTGATACCAGGTGCGGTCGAAATCGTCGGATTTGGCTATTTTGAGGCGGTCAGCATGAACCCAAGAAGTATAAGGGACACCTTCCATTGTTGTGAGCTTGTATATATTCTTATCGAAATTTTTATCTACTACAATATATGGGCCCATCCAGTTATATTCTAGTCCAAATTTGTTTTCATGCCGCAACAACAAATGTTCACCGATTGCGAACTGATGAGGTTTCATGATCGAATCCCATCGTTCCTTGTCTTGTTGGCTGTTGGCGGTTACTCGAGCGTCAGCATTTTTGCGAGCCTGTTGGAGATTACAAAGAAAAGGGATAGCGCCATCGGATACGAGGGTCGGGTCGTCAGGGATAGATGTATCCATAAATGGACGTAGGGGATCGCCAGGAATACAAGGTTCGCGGCCATAAGTCAAGAAAAATGGACTGAACCCAGTTGTATGATGCTTTCTGATTCGGCAAGCCCAAAGTGCTGTTTCCAGATATTCGTCCCACCGGTGAATGGCACCATGTACATATTTACATAACATCTGTTTAAGAACACCATTTAACCTTTCACATTTTCCATTAGTACGTGGGTGAAATGCTGAGGTTAATTTATGATGGAGCTTAATTTTCTTAATGTAAAAGCTCAAAATATGTGACATAAAGTTTGCACCACGATCTGTCAGAATTTCGTCTGGGCAACCAAAACGCATGACTATTTCTTCGTACAAAAAGTTGGCAATGGCTTCGCCCGTAGCAGCAGGAACAGCACGTGCAATTGGCCAATTCGTAGCGTAGTCGACGGCAACCAAAATCCATCGATTTCCGTTGATTGTAGTGAGAAGTTCTCCAATGAAGTCGAGATGCCAACGAGAGAAAGCAGGGGGGATATCCAATGGTTCCAAAGGGGCATGGTGTATGTTGCGTTCTGCGTTTGAGGCCAATTGACATTGATGACATTTCGATAACCATTCTTGAATTTGACTTCTCATGGCTGGCCACCACCAACGCTTCTTCATTAAATCATACACTGTTGTTTCTCCAGCATGTCCGAAACCATTGTGGAAATTATTTACTAAGTCTGCACGCTTGGCAAACAGTGCAAAACGAATTTCTTGTACCATGTCACCTATTTTAACGAGACGGAAAACCTTTTGGTCGTGGACCACAAACTTATTGCATTGCCGATGGAGTAATTCTTTTATGTCTTCTGGCCATTCATCTTCTTTTCGTGCATACAATTTTGGCCAGTCGGACGTTTGTGAGTCTGGTATGGTGTACAGGTATTCTGGTTCCATTGATTTAATTAATGTTGCATCGTATTCTGGGCCATTGAGACGAGAGAGCACATCAGGGACACCATTGTCTTTGCCCGGTTTGTATTGAATTATTGGGTCGTACAGCTCGAATTCAGAAATCCACCTTATCAGGCGAGGCGTGGGCTTAACCTGACTGCGAAAATACTTGAGTGGTAAGTGATTGGTGAATACAGTGAACGGTTTTCCTTCGATCATGCAGCGCCAAGTACGCAAGGCATGTAGAATACCAAGTAACTCGCGCTCTTGAGCAGGATACGATCTTTCGGCAGGGGAGAGTTTTTTCGATTCGAACGCTAATGGTTTCCAACTTCCGTTTTCGTCTTCTTGCATTAATACGGCACCAACACCAAAATCTGAAGCATCTGTTTCAATGCGGAATGGTTTATCCATGTCTGGGGCAAGTAATACAGGTGCAGTACTCATTTTCTCTTTTAGTAAATCGAAACTTTCCTGGCATGTCTCCGTCCAAACGATAGGCCGTCATTTTGGTCCTGTCCCTTTAGTTAAGTCTGTTAAGGGCGCAGCGATTCCAGCAAACCCAGGGATGAAGCGGCGGTAGTGCTGTGCAAGGCCAATAAATTGTCTAACTTCTTGTACATTTGTTGGCGGTGTCCATTCTTTTATAGTCTTTACTTTGTCTGGCGATGGTAAGATGCCTTGCGCAGATACGTTGAATCCAAGGAAAGTTAGTTCGTTTTTGTTAAATTCGCATTTTTTAAGGTTGGCAATTAATTTTGCTTCACGTAGTCGGTTTAACACATGTCGTACATGTTCTTCGTGTTCTTCTGGTGTCGTGCTAAAGATTAGGATATCATCCAAATAGACTAAGGCAAACTTATCCAAACAATCTCCAAGAACTTTGTTCATAAGATGCTGAAACGTCGGTGGGGCATTGGTGAGACCAAAGGGAAGAACCAGAAACTCGTATTGGCCATATCGGGTGTTAAAGGCGGTTTTTGGCACATCTGAGTCTTGAATTCTCACTTGATGGTAACCGCTTTTGAGGTCCAAACTGGTGAAATGGTTTGCTCCACGAAGGCGTTCCAAACACTCATCGATGCGTGGCAATGGATGGTTATTGTGGATAGTAACTTTGTTCAGGGCTCTGTAATCAACACACATGCGCATCTCACCATTTTTCTTTTTAACAAATAAAATTGGAGCACCCCATGGCGAAGAACTCGGACGAATTAAGCCGAGGTCTAGAAGTTCCTTTAGTTGTTGCTGTAATTCGTCGAGTTCTCGAGGGCTCATTTTGAATGGCGGTTTATTGACAGGGTAGGCATCTCCAGTGTTTATAACGTGTTGGACGTCACGGTTCGGCGGTAATCCAGGTAAACCGTCTTGGAAAACGTCCTCAAATTCTTTTACTAATTTCATCCAGTGTTCATCATTATGTATTTCTTTTTCTGTCTTAATGTGCAACAAAAAGCATTCGGCCTCCTCTCTCCTAGAGAGTTTCTCAATTTGTTTTGCAGATATCAGATAGTTTAGGTGAGGTTTAGTAGGACGGGGCCCATGAGGACGCAAAATAAATTCTTGTTCATCACGATGTAAAGACCAGCTATCGACATGCCAATCTGGGACGGGTTTAGCCATTTGCAACCAAGTGCAGCCAAGAATCAAGTCGAATTTAGTGGGAAATACAAAAGCATCGATGGTGTCAGTGTATCCATTTAAAGAGAGGTTTAATGTTGCCTTCTGATGGATCTTAATGCTGTGTCCTCCTGCAGTTTCGACTGATCGTCCGGGTATATCCAAAATGTGTGTGGCCAAATGGGCGATCTGGGGTGATACATAGTTTGCACTAGCACCACTATCAATTAACACCAGGATTTGTTGTCTGTCAAGTATAGCGGCGTATAAGGGCAAGTCTGTGTCCACGGCAGCATGGAGATCTTCTAAGAAATGTTGGTCAGCAGTGAGACAAGGGTCACAATTTTCTTCAGACATAGTCTCAGGCTCTTCATTGGTAACATTTGTATACTATTCAGACACGTCTTTATTAATTTCTGGTTCGCTAGTTTCGCTAATATTATTAGCCTGTGGGGAGGATTTTTCTTCCATTGAACACAACCGACCTCCCGTTACAGTTGTGTTTTGCGAAAACCCTGCTTCTTGCTACGTGCCTCATCTAACTGTCTAATCGCTGCTAATCGATCCCTACAGTTCCTCTTGAAGTGACCAACTTCGCCGCACCAATGGCAAGTAGCCACATTACGTTTCTGAGGGGGGCGAGATCGATAGTTATTACGGCGACCTTGAATCGCATCCAGGTCCATGGGCTCGGGACCACTGTACTGCTGTTGGTACGGCTGTTGGTACGTCTGTTGGTACGGTTGGGGGACGGGTGCGTAGTTGTTCTGTTGCCCCAAGTGGAGGCCACTGGCATATGCCAAAGCGATGTTGCAGGCATCGTCAACGTCGACAGGTCGGGCGGCAAGAACATTTCCTCGTATGGTGGGGTGAAGTCCGCGGACAAACTTGTCGAGGGCTTCTTCATCGTTCATTCCAGGCAACTCCAACTGGATGTCGTGGAACGCGTCGATGTACTCTGCGACCGTTCCTGTTTGGTATAGTCGAGCAAGGCGGTCCCTGGACGTCTGTAGTGAGTAGACTGGACGAAATTCTCCCGACAGAGCCATCTTGAACTCATCCCAGGTTGTTGGATGTTTGTCCTTTACTTCCATGCGTCTCCACCATGTGTCTGCTCTGTCACGCAACAGATTCACTGCAAATTCACAGGCTTTTGTTGCGGAAAAATTGTAGTATCTGGTGTAACGTTCGACTGCGCGCAGCCAACCATCCACTACTGTGGCAGAACGTTCTCCATGGAAGCAATCAGGTTGCTTGATTCGTTCAGCACGGGCCTCCTGCTGCACCGTGATTGCTTTCATTGCTTCGGCGACGGCAGCAGCAATTGCTTCGGCTGTTAGAGTGGCGGTTTGGGGGGCCATTGTTTCTTCTTGTTCTTGTTTGTTCTTTCCTGTTAAGGTTGCGGCTAGTTTTGTGGCTAGTTCGGTCCACTTCTGTTCTCGGGCAGGGGTCTTCTTAATACGCTGTTCTTCAGGGATATGAGGAACACGCCGATTCTTCTTGTAGTCGTTTACTAATTTGCTGGGTAACAAGTCCTGGACTCGTTCTTCAATCTCGAATTGGCTAAGGGTCTTCTTATCAAATATGTCTTGGTGTCTTTCAACCGGATTCATCAAAGGTCTTGTTAGAGGAAAAATAGCTTCAGCTACCAATTGTCGTTCCTGATCTGGGATGGTCTTCCTTTTACTATAGCAAAGTCAAAAGGTCAAACCCACTGGGGATCGGAGAGTATATGTAAAATCGAAGAGAGGATAAAAGGTCCTTTTTATTGATAGGAATTGAATTGTCTTATATAGTTTTCTAAACTAATACTGCGCATTATCCGCAGTAAACTATTATACTCTATTTAATTACAAGAGAAGTCCTTTTACTGCGGTTGATGCTCAGAAGATGTTACTGTGGTTAATCTTTACAAGACATTACTGCGGTTCGTTATCTATGAGGTATCTTTGACATACAGAACTGCTGCGGTCAATTATCCCGATTTCTCGGATTCATCAAAATAATGTCCGACAATTGGTCTAAAATTATTTTGATGAATCTGATGCATGTTGAGTTTGTTGAATCTTTTTATTTCCTGTACCTTTTGCACACCGGACAACCAGAATTTGAATTTCAGAATTAAGCCACATGTTACCTTTGCATTTTCTTGAAAAAAACGCAGAGATATAGAACCAAAATAATGACATATTAAGATAGCCAAGAATATAGCTTAAATTTATACTTACATATATTTCCAAATATACAATGTTAAGAAGATAATAGGAATAGTTATATATTGTGAGAACAATTGTAAATAAAGCAGAAGATTTTTTTATTAATGACGTTGTGTATTTAAAGTTCTAAAATGAGCTTCATATTTAGCTTTGATTTCTTGAAAAGCCTTTATGGGAGCAGCATATGCTGCTCTGATAACCTCTGCTTCCTCTTCTGTAGCATACTGCATCAGTTGATACAAGTCTTGCTCATTATGTCTAGTTGTTAATGAACAATTCTTTGCATACTCAAATGCCTCTGTGGCATACCGACGCTCAGTGCTCTCCCTTGTGCCATCAATTGACATAGTGTTATCATTAACAAACTACTCACCAGAAATTGTGATTGGCAGCACATTATTTGCAGAAGCCACAGACAAGAAAGTAAAGCCTGACATATGGATATGGAGCAAATGAATATGCTTACAAGGCTTCATGTACCTAGCCCAAGAATAACACATACAAGAAAGAATAATATTGTTGTTAACTTCAACTTGATAGGTAATACCATCTTTGGTAAACGAGTTGATGAACCAAAACCTGTCTTCAAGAATATCATCAGTGTCATCAAGAGTGGCATTCAGAGACATTGCTTTTGATGGGCTAACAATCATATTAGCATGCATGTATGCTGGAACAGCTTCAGCAGACATCTCTATCTTCCTTTGTTGTCTTTGGGCAGCTGTCATTGGGCCACTGCACATATTGATTCTGATACTCTCCTCTTTGAAGTAGAACTCTACTTCGTTTGTCAGTATGAAAATCAGTCGATCAAATCTTTTGTTGCAACTGCAGCCTAAAAAATGAGTTTTTAGCTGGTTGTACCAAGACTCGATGTAGTTGTTTGTTAGCATGTGAGAGAATTCAAGTTGATAAAAAGCTCTACTCCAAACACAATACTTAGCCATGGTACACCAGTTGGTCTCAAAGTATCAGACAAAATCAGGTTGACTTTGCTGATGTCTTCCAATGAAGTCGGCAATCTTGTCAAGAAATACAACTATATGCTCTTCATACATGATATGCTTAAGAAAAGCCATCATTTCTCCTCGAACCAAATGGTTTTGGGCAGCAGTATTTCCTGTCTTGACTTTCAGGTTTAGTTGTCTGTACCATGCTTGACTGACATGAAAAAGACAGTATTGGATCTGGCATCCAGGGAAGATTGCCACGAGTGAATTTGTCTCAGCATCACTACAGTCAATAGTGAACTGCCGGGGGTTTACAACCAACTGATTGTCTTTCAAGTGCTTCAACCATTGGACAATTGAATCCAAGGAATGGTAATTGATCAGCATGTATGCACAGGGGAAACCACGATCAAGTTCTTCATCATGAATGACAATAGTATAAAGAATGTCATTCGATCTTTGAGTGATACTGTAGGTGGCATCCATACAGAATGTTGCTGCAGCTTTTATCTTGCTTTGCTGGAAAGGCGAGGTAAATCCACATGCATACAGGCTCTCGTCGTTCGAATATGTCTGCAGGTTACCTTCAAAGATAATAAAACCTTTGGGAGAAAGTTTTTTGGTAAACCACATCTTCATAGACTTAAAGTCGTCCTCATGCAAACAAAAGATTGTTTGGTTGATCTAAAGTTCAGATACATCAAAACAACTGTTAATATTCAGAAGTTAAAGAATAATTGCAATATAAAACTTACTGCAAGTATTTTGTTGTAAATATCAAAGTAGTTGATTTTACGTCCATTGAGAGAATATTCTTACTGGTCGATGTTGCAGAGAATCTCAAGTCTGATTTTTCTAGCTGATGACCCTGGGCTGGCTGTCAAACAGGCAACAATATCATCAACATGACCTCGAGTTAAAGGAATAAGTCCAAGATCGGTTTTAATATCCCCAGGAATATAGTTGGTGTGGTTGACAATAAAATCAAACACATAAACATGAGGCTTGTCAGCATAACAAGTAATAGTGAGAGTTGCCTCACAGCCAACTTTCTTCAATTTACATTGAATTGGATGCTTTTCTCTGCTTTCAGGTTCATAGCTTCTACCTCTATGACAGGAGTATATCTGGGAGAAGAGCACACACTTCTTCTTAGTGATATCAACAGCGGAACTATGTCTATTAGGACGACTGATAATCCACTTGATGCAGCATTGTTCTTCAATTTCTTGTTTGCAAAGTTCCCATTCAGAAGCAAAAACACGAACAATGTTAGACTTCAACTTCATAACATTAGGAATTGTCGAAGGTTCCAATGCAGATCCAATATCTCTCAGGGTTCTGACAGGTGCTGCTTCAAGTGCTGCCTTTCTCAAGGCTTGTTGTTCTCTTCTTGTAAGTGTTACTTCAGACATTGATGGTGTTTCAGTAGTGTATTAAAATAGAGAAAAAGGGGTAATTATTATTATTCTTAGAGCCAAAAAAAAAAGAAGGAAAGCTGGTCACATTATCTTGTTTGGGCGGACTTCAATGTGCAAAAGGTACAGGAAATAAAGGATTTCGAGTTTGTTGTGTGTGCAACTTGGTCAGAAAATAAGAATAACATGTATTGAAGAAGAATTACAAATGTAATTCTGGAGTACGAGTTTGGGTGGAAAAGAAATAAAAGAGTTAAGGTAAAAGGTGAAAGAATGTACACCACAGCAGATTTTTTTGTGTAATCTTGTTCCTTAAAAGGATTCTTGTATACGAGGCGAATTTTGTCCATAACAGGAAATTCATTTTTTTGGGGGACTGAAAAGTGGGGGGATGGGGGGACTACTCTCGGCCAATAGATTTCGATTAAAAAATGTACTGCACAATTTCAAAAATGGTTCAAATTTTTAATTTGTTTCAAATAATTTTAGGTTGTAAAAAATTTATTTTTTATTTTTGAAAAAAATTAGGCTAAAAAAAAAGCTAGACTGGACCATAAAATTCACAGGCAGTAGCATGCCAGTATATCCATACCACTAGAAACACTAGTAGTATAGCTGTTTGTACTTATGTCTATAAATTACGCAATCGGTTTGCTGCAAACTACTATGTCTAGCTAATCCAAGAGATCTGGTGCCAGAAATTCCAATAAACCCAAAGAGCATAAAGATTTGAATTTCGAGAAAAGCTAAAGCAGAAGAACTAATAACTAGTAATTAAACTTATATATATTTAACAGATTTTTACCTTTGACTCTATTAAGGCATTTGCAATAAAAGGCAGCCAAATCTCTGCAAGTAAGGAGTAAATAGTTAGTCTTCTGTTGCTTTGCAAGAGAAACATGTAGTTATTTTCTCTTTATTGATTTACTAAGATGATGAAAAACTAATTTATAAACTAGGATTGAATGATTAATAAACACAATGACATAAAAAACTTTGATAGCATAAATACCTTTGAGCTTACAGTCTTTAAGTAAAATTCTGCTTCTATAAATACTATAAGTATACTGGAATATCTTACAAATGGAAGCTCATGCAAATAATAAATATTTTGTGGAAAAGTAAAATGAAAAAGAAGACAAAAACATGCGATATTTTCTTAAAAGAAAAGAAGTAAAAAAAATTCTAATTGATCTGCTGACATTAAATATCAATCTTTGCACATTTTATAAATTCAATTATTTTCGCAAAGTCATTTTCCCCCCTTTGTTTTTACAATCAATTTACTATTATGCAAAAGAATACAAGACAAGAAACATATAAAATTGTTAAGACTTGCCCCCCTAAAAGGCAAGGCAAACTTAACTTTAGTATCAATTCAGGTGTTTTTACCTGCTCTGAATGCGAAAAAGAGTTTGAAAAGCCTTGGTTACTGAAAAGGCATTCGAAGGTTCACCATATAAGTAATCAAATGGCAACCAATACTGTACTCGACAAATCCGAGCAGGCCGAATTGATAGTAAAGAACACTATTCTGGATGCTAATGCATTTGATTACTCGAGTGATGAAGATGACTCCTCCAGTATTAGGGATGAAGAAGACAACATTGTAGATGAGAAAAACGATATTGTCAATAATCTCTTTGATATTGAAATGAACAGTAATCCAGTTTTCAATGCGTTCTCTGACATGTTTTCTTCTGCTGCTGCTGCTGATGAGGTATCAATGACTGATGATGACTCTGAGATCCCAGAAGAAGTCTTTGAGACAATTGGCACTGTAAATTACCCTACAAGCTGTTATCCTTTTCGCGATCTTCAAGCCATGATCCTTTTCGCTTTTATCAATGGGGATAATGACATGATCTCCCAGCAAATGTTGAAGAAGATACTGCTTGCAATAAACTTGATCATTAAGATCCAGCAAGAAACTCCCATAGGAAGAACATTTAAGTTTTCTCGTTTAGATGCTCTTTTAAATTATCAGGCAAGAAAGAAGTTCAAGATGCCTGTCTTTCCTTCACAAAGAATATCAGTATCTGGATCAAACGGGAATGTATTTGCCCACATTAACCTTCCGTCCAACCACTTGAGATTTCTTATGGCAAACCCAAAGAAATCCAAGTTGATCTCGTCTATGCCCAATCATACCCCAAACCAATTGATCTGTTTGGAACAAGGTGAAAAGTGGAGAACTCACCATCTCTTTCAGCAGCCTATGCACACTGTAAATAGTATAGATGTCTGGTTTGGAAACATTGTTTACTTGAAGACAAACGATTGCAGCATCTGCTTTTTGGTTGAATTGTTCCACACAGCAAATAAAAACATTTTTGCGAGAGGGTATCTGGTCAGAGCGATTTCGATTGTATGCTATGGTGTTGAGGTTACTGTTACTGATCTTAGAGTAGAGCAGATCTCTTACGTTGATACCATTCCTGTTGAAAGAGATCACTACTACAGTATCTCAAGTAGCCTTACCAGATTGAGTCCTGCTCATGACTTTCTTCTTTTTGGAGTTCATCCAATGAAGAAGCCTATGCCTCTTTCTGTTTTGCCTGGTAATGTAGATCGCGATGCAGTATTTTACAAAGTTAGGATTGTTTCAATCATTCTTTTTACAGACAACACTTCTGGCAATTGTTTAAAGCAGTACAATCCGTTTGAAAGCTGGTTAATGAGATGTGCTGCCTTGCCTTTTAAGGATCGAAATTCGATAGCAAACATTCAGTTTCTTTCTACAATCCCTAAGAAAGATGGTGCAAATGGTATGTCTCTTCTGCCAGCAATTGTTGATGACTTTAAGAAACTCGAGAAAGGTGTAAAAATGTTTTCCGCTGAAGACAATGAGTATGTTCTGGTTGTTGCTCTCATCCTTTGGATTGAGGCTGACATGCCATGTCATTCAGAACTTTGCAGATTGCTTGGACCAGCCACTACATTTCCTTGCAGAAGATGCTACCGAATTTAGATGTGCAAAAGACTTTGTGAAGGACTTCTCCTACTTCTGTGAGTGCCATGAGAGACGAACTCAAGAGCACTATGTTCTTGCAAACTCGTCATCTGGCAGAGACACTGAGATCCCAAATGCTCCAAAAATTGGAATGAACACACCTGCAAACGAGATAAGCTTTAGAGATCATTTGACTGATCACTTATTAGAATTGCAGTTGTTTGATCCAGAAAAGGATATATCAGTGGAAATCTTCCACACAATACTTCTTGGTGTTGTAAAGTATATGGTGATTGACTTGGTTAAGGTCGTGCTTAAGAATGACACAGTCACAATAGCAAGACTTTCAGAATTCTTGACAGATTACACGTGATCAACTGGTCTATCAAGAAAGTTCACCTGAAACTTGAGACATAATGGTTCATTCCTCGGTAGAGATTTCAAGGTTCTGCTTCAAATACTTCCTGTAATTCTGATTACATAATTCTCTGGAAATCATGAGCTAGACCTTGTAATACCATGCTTTGTTGAACTTGGCCGATTGTGTTCTCTGGTATTAGTTTGTCAGGTAACATCAGACTTTGATAACTATATTATCAGAGTAGATAATGCAGTAAAATACTTGATCAGAGCATTGTTTGACTATAATAAAAGAACCAAGAACGAGCTCCACAAGGCATATCGCACCAAGCCAAAAGTTCATTACTTGACACATCTCAAGGAAGATATAATTCGTTTTGGCCCAGTCCTCAATTATGAAACAGAAAAGGGCGAACAGTTCAATAAGCACATTCGTGAACATCTGTTTCATATGAATTGCCAAAACACTTCCAGGGATGTTTGCCTAAAGTTTGCAAAGCAGGTAGCATTGCAACATGTAATTGACGGCGGGTTGTGGATTAATAGCTCTGGCAACCGAGAGAAGTCTGGAACTGGAATAGAGAGGTTCATTAAGGACAACAATGAATCCTTGTTCTATTACACCTTCTTTGGCAGCTCGAGAGAGCTAAAGGACAACAATGACACTGGAGATATTGAAGATGACGCTATCCAAAACAACAGTTTTGGCGCATTTGTTTTTAAAGATGATCTAATCTCTCGCCCTCGTATGGGACTTGTCTCAGGCTCTGTTGTTAAGTTTCTTAGCATTGTTTCTTGTACGGATAATGACAGAAACAATAACTATGCCAAGGCTGTAATGACAGGTGAGCATTCTGATGTTGCTAACATGAATCTCATTTGTAAGTTAGATTTGCACATTTTCTGCAACCCATTTTACATTGTAAATTTGAGCAAGTTCGGTTCCTACTGGTTCATTTTCAATAATATTCTTTTTGATGAATAAAATGATGTTACTTCTTTATTATTATTATAATTATTATTTGAACCGTCTGTTTTCTTCTTCTAAACATCAATTTTTTTACGTAATTTCTGTGAAGTCATTTTTTGGTTACAAACCAAACCCCAACTTTCCTTAATAAATCCTTTGTCTCATTTGAACACTTTCTGACTTCCCTAACAGTTTTTTTTCTTACTTTAAAAGCCCACAAGTAGTACTGAACTTAATTTTATCCTTTATTTGGATGAGAAAAATTGAGTACAAAAACAAATTACAATATTTTGGTCTCTAAGCCAATCATATTGCTTAGGTGCCAATTTTCACCCAAAATGATAACAAAAATCTCTGGTGGTATATAGAAACACTGTCGATTGTGCTTGAGACAATCCAAACAGGTATAACAGCAAGGCACAGGAAGGTAAGGTAGAAAAAAAATACTGCTGATTTCACTTGGGACAATCAAGACAGATAAACAGCAAGGTACGAGAAGATAAGTTTAGAAAAGAATTTAAGAGAACACTGTTGATTTTACTAAGGACAATCACCCAGATACAAAGGGACAGAAAGAGGAAAAAGGGGGAGAGGGTTTTGAACAGAGATATAAGACTTTAATGCAATGTATGATTGCTTTCCCACGGGTCAAGCAGAAAGCAATTCAGGGATAGTGATTTTAAGAGTGAGATAACTGATCATGTTTATTGTAGTAAAAATAGGTCTCTTATATACCTTTGAGGATTGAAAAATAAAATGAAATAAAATATGAAAATGGAATGTTTTTTAGAGATTGTAGATGTGACTTATAGTATGAGAAGAGGTAATATGTAAATGCAGGTAGATATCAATGTCAAAATGGAAAGAGTAGGGTAATGTTTGTGCTTTTTGGTAGAATGTAGGGGTAAGGTGTTCTAATATAATAGTAATGGTAATAAAAAGGTAATAAAAATGAGGTATAAGATGAGAGATGAATAGTAGTAATAGCAGAAGATAAATAGTGTGAGAAAAAGAGAACTGAGAGAATAAGTGGGTAAAATAATGCAAGAGATACACATACATTCAAGGGATATGAATGGAGGTAATTTACAATGAAAAAGATGCGCGAAATGTATATACAAGAATGTGAAGAAAAGCTGGAAAAGGAAAAGGGAAGATGTATGTATAAAAGATAAAAATGCCAAAAGGAGAATATATGCAGGAAAAATGAGAGTAATTGTTGTATCCAACGTAATCGTAGATTTAAATTAAAAGTACAGACACTCAATAAATACGTACATTGAGTTACCGACAACTAGTAACGATACTAAAAGATATACCTTCCCTTATACAAGGAAATTACGTAAAGAACATACTAAGACAAATACTAAGACTCTAGTCAATAACACTAAAAACATAAGAACTAAATCATAGAAGATAATGGTAGAGAAACAGACATTACATGATATCATCATATCATCACCAAGCTAAATACAATGTCTATATAAACGCACAATACTAATAGCAATAGAACAGCATCTCTTTTCTGATTCTTTCACTTCTTCTAATAAAACAAAGTCTCACCGTACTCTCGTCTGCACTTGTTTTATTTTATATCTTATTTTTACCTCATACATAACAGTAATAATAAAAGTAGAAATATATATATATATGAAAAACGTGACTATAAAGGGATGTGATAATATAGATGATGACGAAAAAAAATTGAAGAGGAAAATGATTGGAGAAGAAGAGAGATGAATTAGGGTGGGTGAAGGTGGAGAACACACAACACCCATATCAAATCCATAAAATCTGATGATGGTTTGTCAAGTCTCAATCTGATATTTCTTTTCTGGCACTTGTAACTAAGTCGCAGAATCAATACCACTGGGAATTGTCAAGTTTATGAATAGTTTTAGATAAGAATAAAGATACTTTTTATTAAATATATTTCTTAACTATTTATATGAATTGATACTTAATTTCTGGCTAAAAGAATAGCTACGTTAATATGTCTTAGATGCTAGTTATCCAGTAATATCTTCTATAAGTATATTCACCATCTTAAACATCTAAAACATATACAAAAGTCCAATCAGCAATGACAAGATTTTTTACCCTAAAATTCAACCTTTATTGGTTGCTTATGAATTCTGATTTTGATTGCCAATGTCAACTCTGATAGGTTAACTGCAGTATCTCTTTATGAGCAGTACATCTTCTTGAGCATTAACCACAGTATAATGACTCTTCTATTATTTAAATATAATATAATAGCTACTGCAGATAATGTGCAGTATTAGTCTAGAAAACTATATAAGACAATTCAATTCATATCAATAAAGAGTATATTTCATTCTTTCTTTGATTTTATGTGTATTTCTTGATACCCAGTAGGTTTGACCTTTTGACTTTGTTATAGTAGAAGGAAGACCAACTTAGATTGGGAATGACAAATTGTTGTTTTCGATCTAGATTGTTCTTCCAATGCTATAACACAGCCAAAATTGGTCAAACCCACTGGGAATTGTAAACGAAGATAAAAGATAAATAACTTTGATTGAATGAAATAATGCCCTCTTTTATATCTTTTCACAATCTACTCAGCTATTATAAGTGTCTGTTTTGGTTTCTATTCTACTTTTGGTAAGCTATGTGCTTTCTAATTCTTTTGTAAGCAAAAGAAAATCACTTTGGTCATTGTTCTCAAAAGAGAATTCTGTGCAATCGTCATCCTGATTGGTTGACAAGAATTTAGGCATGATAAAATAGCAATTACATAGAATTCTTTTTTGTTGTACTTAATTTCTGTAATACAAGTTCTAGTGACTTGTTATTACAAAAGAAGCAGGAATTAGAGTGATTGTTTATCAGTTTATAATTTTAAAAATTTGTAATCAATTCATAATAATTTGTAATATCACTAGACACTACTTAAGTATAGTCAAAAATGATTAATAATTTCAAAAATTATATAAGATTACTTAAATCAAAGCAACAAAAATCATCTTTTATCCCCTCTCTTATTTGCTATACTTCTGTATTATTAAAACTTAACCAATTTGGCTACATTTACAGTAAATTAGAAGATAGTGTTGTATCTAACATAATTGTAGATTCAAATACGGTACACAGGCAGCAAGATAAAGATATATTGAAGAAGCAACCAGTATCTATTTCTCATACTACAGTCAAAGCTCGATATAGTGATATAAATGGTGGACAGAAATTTTATCACTATCACTATATTGAGCATGTTTTTTTCTTACTCCACATATTATTTAGTGATATTTCTAATGTCACTGTAAGTGACTACTGTTTTCTAATAGGATTCATAGTATTTTGTCTAAGAAACTAGACTTGCTTTAAAATGCTAAATAAAATATATACTACATTTTCTTTATACTACAGAAATAAACTCAGAGCTCGATATAGTAATACTGGTGGATTCAAATTTTATCACTATCACTATATTGAATATCACTATATTGAGCTTTGACTGTATAATAAGATTAATTTTATTTTTTATATAAAGCAAAAATGTATAATTTTGAGATATATTATAAACAGGTCATTTTTCCATTTCTAATACGCTTTCCGCTCTTTATGTAGGCTTGCATTATTAAGCTCTGATCTTGTCTCTACAAAATCTTTGAGATTGTAAAACCATCAGAAGCTTTCTGAAGACCAAACATTTTCTTTGCCCATTCAGCCAATTGAGAGTTATTTATAGATGGCTTTTTTTCATATCACAAATCTCAAGAAGATTTGCAATATTAAGCAAAACATTTTTTTTGCTTGTATTTATTGTTTAGTTCTAGATTTGATGGATTTCATTAAAATAGTAAAAATTGGAAAACGATATTAGATAAGCATTATATAATAAGCTACAAGCATATCATGAAGCTGTTATTATTTAAGTAAATAAGAATTTGAAACAATAATTGATTATGAGACAGAGGGGTAGAAAACAGCAATGCAGCCAAAGGTTATATTTAGCTAGAATAAATTTAAACAGAGAATTAAAACTTATTGAATCATTACTTGATATATTTTTCTCTATTACACTACAGGAAAAACCCATGGTAATTTATGTCAAAAAATGTCGACATAAATTATTATAAATCCATGTTTTTTTTTGCAAAATTCATGTCACCATTTTTCGACATGGAATCAATGTCACAATTGAAAAAGACATAAAACAACATAGAATTGATATCGACATACAAACATAAAAAACCATAAATTCATGTCTTTTTTTTGCAAATTCCATGTTACCATTTTTCAACATAGAATTAATGTCACCATTGAAAAGACATAAAACAACATAGAATTGATGTCGACATAGAAACATAAAAAACCATAAATCCATGTCTTTTTTAGCCAATTTAACATCAAATTGATGTTGTCAAAAAATAAATTTTATATTGTAAATATATATTTTTTATAAAAAAATATAGCTATTTATAAACTACTACTATTCTCTTCAGTGTCCTTGCCCAAACGAGCAAACATAATAATATTATTGTTAGTCATTTGTTGGTATGTACATAAAATGTTTTGTTTACTTATTTCTTCTTCTATTGCGCGACATATTTGACCACTTGGGCTGAACCAGAAACTCCACAACCCAAAGACCACAAGAAAGGTTAAGAACCTCCAATTCTCTAGCTTCTTTCACCAATTTTTGCAGGGTTGACATTACCAGATGCATACGATCTTCTCCATCCAGGTCCTTCCACTCCTTCTCACTGTTGGCCTTGCCATTGGAGTCATCTTTCAAAGCAAAAAATTGGTATGCTTTCAAAGAGTTTTTCTTCAAAATATACAACAGTTTGCTGGCTCTATCCTCATCGATTTCTACCACATTGTTCATAATAAAATCCCTGATATCGGACTTCTTCTCTTTCTCAGAACTATTTTTTTGAGGTGGTATCAAGTCTTGACCACCATTTGCTACATGGCTGTTGATTTCTACTGCTGGATGTGATATCGTTTCTGTCAATATACATATCATTGTATGTAACTATTTGTACTCTCGTTGGTTTTTACATTTGATTTCTTTCACTGCCTCTTTCATTCTGGCAAAGTGCTCTTCTTTGAATTTTTTGAACCATATGGGTTCATTATTTGTATCTTCAACAACGGTAGCATTTCTTTTAGGAGGCATTTTATGTGAATTATAAAAGAATAGGTGAAGAGATCAATAAAATGTATATAAGAAACATATATTTATATAGAGCTGTTGTCTAGAAAAAAAATAAATGAGTAGATAAAATGTAGTTCAAATTGCAAAAAAAATTAAAATACTCCCAAGTGATATTAAAAGTAGATAGAGAATTGTTCTTAAAAAATATCAGTCAACCATAGATTCATTCCTTTTATTCTTTTTTTTTACTAAAAGCTTACCATAATTGTCCAATTTTACCCTATATACCAAGTAAAAGTAACTGAAAGAAACAGAAAGAAACACACCAAGATATATGAAATATAAAATATGCAAGCTCTTCAAGAAAGAATCAGACAAGAGAGAGATTGAAATCAAGTCAATTCTTTTTCTTCAGTATTACCTCTAAAGCGTACTAGAGCAGAAACAATATCTGGTGATGAACAGACTTACATATGTTCCAATCAATCAAATAATGTGGACAATCTTTCAGTTGAGAATGATTGCAATCCTGCAGATTTTGAAGAAGGGGAGAAATCACCTGCTATAAATGCAGAAAGCAATCATATGGATACAGAAAATTCAAATGTATCATCCAACAATGTCGAAACTCGTGAAGAGAGTGTAAAAGAAAGGGACGATTCTTTATCCTTGTTTAGCCACTTGGGAGCCTTTAAAAACACCATTGAAAGTCTGTTATCTTTTGAGTCTGTTACCAATGACAAATTGTTTGGAATGTTAAATGATACAGAACAATTAAGTATCGAGCTCAAAAGCATTCTTCAAGCTAACAATGCTTCAAAAAAGTTTATTGAGATGACTTTCTCTTAGTTCAATAAATATTTGACAAAAATTGATAGAGAAGATAATTATTGTTATTTATTTGTGTAATCTGAAGGCTTTCATTTTCTTAATTATTGTAATAAAATAGATTATAAGCTTATATCACATTACAAGTGCGATAAGATAATAAGTGATACTTTGAACAAAAACAATACCACAAAATATGATATGGGTATAAACGGATGCAAAATGTACTATTCTGGTGATGCTAGCATTGCATGTTGTTTTTGTAATGAAGAAAGGTACGAAGGCATTCTCTCAAGAAAAACAATCTATCAATTGTTAATTGGCAGACAGTTAGCTGATTTCCTTGCAAACAGTGCCAATTTTTCTAAACTTGTGAAGTACAAAAAAACTATTATTGAGAATTCCTTGTCAGTCAAAGAGCCAGTATATAAAAATATTTTCAATGGAAGCATTTTTTGTGGAGTTAGAGGAATGAAAGAGCTCAGCCTTGCCCTGAATATTGACGGGTTTAACTCATTCAAAAGAGGTGAAATATCTATGACAATCATTATAGCCACAATCCTAGACCTTCCACCAACAGAAAGGTATAAGCAAGAAAACATCTTCATTATTTCAATTATCCCTGGACCAAAAAAACCAAAAAGTTTATTCAGTTATCTATACCTAGTCACTGAAAAAACCGCCCTGATTAACAATGTGGCCAGGTTGGTAAACACATGTGTAGAAATAGTGATTTTTTTCAACTCAGTGTGTTTTTTGAAGTTCAGGTCAAAGATGTAGTTTTAGTTGGTTTCATTGGCTAACAGAATTTTAGAATATCAGTCTGGTACGGAAGGCTAAATTCACATACAGAGAACTATCATAATTCTCATTCTACCACCCCTTTTTTTTTATTCCTACTATTTTCTGGATTTACTCTCGCAATAATCTATTTATAAACTCATAGTAGAAAAATATATGCCTCTTACACACAACAGACATTCTTGAAAACGTTTGAATAAAGACTATGAATTGATAATATCATAATTGTCATGTCTCTTTCTATATTTAATAATATAGAAAAGAACTTGTTAGAAGAATTCAATTAAACAACCATAAAATATAATGCTTTTTTTTTACTATAAAGTTGGTGTAAATAAAGTATATTTTACGCTTGTTCCTCTTTTTATTCTCAATAAATCACATCAAACAAAACACATAAAATGTCTTCTATCTCCCACTGCTGTAATGTTGTCTGCCGTTGTGCTCAATGTAGCAGAAATTCACAGGGATACTCATTGGTGACAAGCAGAACTGCTGAGCGCCATATTAGAAAAGATGAGCTTGAGAGAATCGAGAGACTGGATACGGCTGAAAGATTGGCAAATAGTATGCTATATTCAGGGTTTATTTCTCAATTACTGAGTAATAACTTCTTAATTTTTTTAATTTCAATGAAACACAGCTGTGCAAGAAGAACAAATGATGGACGTTGATACCCAATGTAAGAAAAGAAAAGAAAAGAAAATATTTGAAAACCAGTAGAGACAATAAGCTAAACTAATCTATATTTGTATATATCCTGACCTGTTAATCTGAATCCATCGAAAAAATAGACGATCAGGCCAACTCACCTGATTCGAATGCCACCACGATGGCTGACAATGTCTCGGTAGATGATGAGATCAGCGAGGTCAATGGCAATGACTCTGACTGTTGTGGTGGTTGAAGTTGAAGAAGTTTTTAAGAGGAAGAATTGAAGATTTGAGATTAGGAACGAAGATTCGTTAGAACTTGTGTAGGTTTTGTTTATTGAGAAAGGATTTTATATCAAAGTTTGACCAGGTTCCTACACTGAACTACTACTGCTATTTATATTGTTTTGGATTGGGAAAATTATATGACTGGGGTCAGGTAATCGATCCTATCTGAGCCTTAATCAGAGCAACGTGATCTTGGGATAATTAATGTATGATTAATTATATAAATGTGTGTAGTCCCAATGAAGTATTAATATCAAAAGTAAATATGTTTATGAGTTATAATTATGCTTATAATAATCCACTGATGTATCTCATATTATGGTGATATTATCATATGAAATATAATTACTATCATGCATGCTAAACCTGTGTGTTAAATAATAAAGTAATTGGTAGACACCTTTGACTGGAATAGCTGAGGCCTTATATTATTTCCTTCAGACTTATTCTCAATTACAGCAGTAGTCAATACTCATTTACAACACTGTCATTGAAAGAGACATGAACTCTGACTCTGGCAGTGGTAAAGAAGAAGGTGTTGAGACAGACGTTGAAGAGTTTGTTAATGAAGGTCAGTCATAAATGATTTTGTTTTCTTAAAAACAGACCTAAAGAAAATTTGTTCTAATTTATTTTTGTTAATTTTAAATAGACCCATTTGATGCTCCTAACATGCCTGAAAACCCTGTCTATTGGTTCATTGCTACCTTTGCCATTCTTTTTATCTTGCATTATGTTGTTAACAAAGGTGCCGCCGTATTGATTGAATTTATCAATCAGTTACTCAAGATCTACGGCAAAGATTTCCAATTACCAACAAGTCTTATTGGCCTGCAAAGAATGACTGGTTTTTCCAATTATGCCAATGGTATCAAGAAGTCTGTTGTATGTGAAGACTGCCACAAGGTTTATGAACAAAATGTGTCTCTCCCTACTCATTGATACTTCAAAAAGCATGGTTCTCGATCAGCATGCAATTGTGAATTGATGAAGGTTTCATCTTCTGGTGCCATGGTAGCCAAGCAATCATACGTCTACAACTCTATCCAGAGATCATTACAAGTTTTCTTTCTTCATTCTGGGTTCGAGCAAAAAATCAGACAATGGAACAAAGAGCTTAAGGTCGTAGATACACTATGCGACGTCTATGATGGTGCTATGTGGAAGGAGCTAAAGGACCAAAGTGACATATTGTTTGTGGATGAACCTCGTTCATTGATGCTAACAATGAACATCGACTGGTTCCAGCCATTTGATGGCATTACATATTCAACTGGAGCTATCTACCTTGCAATAAATAACTTGCCTCATGAGAAAAGATTTAAGCCTGAAAATGTCATCCTTGTTGGTTTGATGCCTGGTCCTAAGGAGCCAAAGACCGAAGAGATCAACCACTATTTAAAGCCAATAGTTGATGAATTGCTGCAGTTGTTTACGGGGATAACCATCCTGACCTTTGAGTGCCCAGCCGGTGTTAATGTACGTGCCGTGTTACATATGGTTGCCTGTGACATCCCTGCCACCAGGAAGACCAGTGGATTCACTGCCCACAACAGTACTTGTGCATGCCCCAGATGTGTGAGGCAGTTTACCAGGTTACCAAGCACCAATCAGGTCGACTTCAGTGGGTTCGACTATTCGATGTGGAAAATCTGTAGTGGTCTGGAAAACAGGTTGCATGCTGAGGAGTGGAAGAGTGCCAGTACGTCCTCAGAAAGGCATCAGTTGGAAATCGAAAATGGTGTTCGATGGTCGCAGCTGCATTGCCTTGGATACTTTGATCTAGTACGTGGAACGATCATCAATCCCATGCATAATTTATTCCTGGGGACACCAAAGAGAATGATGGAGTGGTGGATAAAAGAAGGACTGATAGACGATAGAAAGCTAGCTACGATGCAAACAATGGCAGAGACAATGGTGGTGCCAATGGATTACGTGGTGTTGAAATTGAAGATCGGAAAGGGCTTTCCATACATGAAAGCTGATGAATGGAAGTCCTGGGTGCTAGTGTATTTGCCTATCTTGTTGAAGGCCATCCTGCCAATTAAAATGTTCAGAAATTGGATCAGTTTTGTTGATGCCTGCCACCAATTAGTAAAGCATCACGTTCTCTGACATTGACAACGGCCATAAATTTCTTCAAGAATTCTGTACTGAGTGCCAGCATATTTACACTCCAACTATTCTCATCTGTAACATGCATTTACATCTCCATCTTCACAAGACCATCCGTGATTTTGGACCAGTATATGAATATTGGCTCTTTGGGTTTGAGCGATATAATGGTCTGCTAAAGAACGTGAATACGAACAGAAAAGATTCCTTTGAGGTTACATACATGAATAATTTCGTCCAAGATACATTCAAAGGTGATTTCGCTCATGCTGCTCTCACATGCCCAAGCCAAGTACCATTTCTTCCACTTCTTGCCAAGCTTACTGCCACAGCTCAACCCTCCACTTCAAAAAATACAATAACTTTTCCCCAGCGCCTGTTCAGACTATCAGCCTTCATCCAAGCATACTCAAACCCTTCTCTTCCAGTCCTTGGCAATGAACCTCTTCCTCCATCTGCATTTCCTCTCCATATCAAACCCCCATCAGCAATGAGTGATATCAACTATCCTCATTTGCTTGATTACTATAAAGTCGCATACTGCATGCCAAATCTTGAAGGCTACCAGCATCCCTCCTCTCCATTCTCCTTTGTCGACAACCAAATCATAAAGTTAAAATCAATCAATTTGCTTGGTCAGGTTTACAAAGGCTGCAAATATGCTTCTGGTCGTGGCTCATTTGTTCAATCTCTGTTCCTTGGAAGTCAAGGCAATAATCGGTTGGCATACACTGGCCAAATTCAGTATCTGTTCTTGCACTCTTTCACTCCACCAGTAGATAACACAGAGCTCCAAACACGTGTCGTTTATCAAGATAAACACGTGTTTGCGTTTGTTAAGTGGTTCCAGATTGAGAATGACCATTCAAGAGAGTTGAAAAGTGTTGACATCTGCAGTGCAGATTTTATTGCATGTGATTTTGAATGCATCTTGCCAGTATATCGAATATCATCAGTTGTTGCAACATGTGATTATAAAACCAGCACAAATAATAAGAAAATACTTGTCAACACTTTACCACACAAACAATACAATTAATATTTAATACATTTCTTTTTTAATAAAAAATTTCAATACATAAGCTAATGTAGTCTTATTATATATGTTGCGAACAATACATATGTGTTAAGAAATTTTGAGAGTAAAAGAAAAAAAAACGACAAAAAATGAGTTTTATTTATGACCCATATTTAAGAGCCCATTGAGGTAGAGCAGGATCTAAATCAATTGGGACTGTTGATTCCACTGTTCTACCATAAACTCTCTTAAGCAGTTGGTGGGAATTTGCACCCAATTGCTTAATAACAAATGAGTCAACCTTCATAATGAATTTGTTAAGCTAAGTAATAAACATATATTAACATTCAGCCTGGCATCATTCAAAAAAAAAAACTGTTAGGTTTTATCTCGTCACTTCTCCAACTTGGGTGAGCAACACAAATCTCATTTCTTGGCTGAGAGGAAGACATATCATCGTCTGATTGGCCTTCAGACATGACCAACTTTTGGATCAGTCCAGAGCAGTTTCGACCCATCTTGAGATCAATGTCAGCCTTGTAAGCATCATAAGCAAGGCGATGGTGAGTGTAGTTCTAAAGGAAAAAGACAATACAATTAATATTCTAATTGTTATTATTTAGCATAAATTGAAAATATAGTTTACATCAGTTTCACGGCCAGATCTTCTTGAATTAGTATTCAAGGCTCGTCTTGTTTCCGGAAGTTCCCTATGCTGGTGACGTCTACTACAGAAGTTTGTATATATACACTTACAAAGGTCGCGTGTCCTCATATCAGTGCCAGCAAACTTCTTTTCCAAGTAATACAAGAGTTGTTTGACTAACTCTCTATTTGGAGAGTGATCAAAACGAACATCAACTGCCCACTTTGGTTTTATGGCGTTTGCTTGGATTTCTGCCTAGTCTCTTGATTTTAGCTTTGGGTTCCACATATAACCATGAATGTATCCCTATTATATTTTAATTAGCAACAAGATTGGCAAGTGTCTTTTGTATCTTTATACTTACAAATACAGCGTTAGTATCACTTGATTTGGTGATAGGAAGGGCAGCAGAAGTGGATGCAACACTAGTGGGCACATGCGCAGATGCTGGGAGGGCAGACAAGACATCAATGCTATTAATGGCGGTTGCGTTACCGGTGATCACTACACCGATTCTTGTATCCATCAATGTGATCTTATCCTTCATGGCCTTCATCTCTTCTTTCATCGCATTCAAAGCTTGTAGCAACTGGACATCAGTGCTAGCAAGAGAAGGAGCGAGTCTGCAGTTGGGGGTAGGCATTATCTGTAATACATTATAATATTTTCAATTGTTAATATTAGTTCTTTTTCTTTTTTATTCTCTTTTGTAAGAAACAATCCATCTATTTTGTTATGTAAATTACAATAAATTCGCAACGTAGATTTGTTGAGATGATATAATCAAGAGTGAGTGACATTGAATTGCAAGTAGAAATATTAAGTATTTATAGGCGGTAGTGATGCTTCAGGAACACTTCAAAGACAACTTCTTGAAACACTGAGATGCAAATCGGCCTTGATACATTTTTTGGCCTCAATTGATCACCTCTTTTCAGTTTTTTTTTGCTATCGTTTATTGGATAAGCTTTTTGGTATTTTGTTTCAAATGCAGAAAAAAAAATTACACCTTTTTCTTTCTTCTTTTCTGCTCCTTTCCTCTTTTCCAATGTTTGTCATTATTATATTAGTGGCTTTTTTTGGTAACATACTTCTTTATTAAATACTTTTTTATAAACAATAAAAATTAATACATTCTTTTACTATCATAATAGATACTCTTTTGCTCTCATTTAAATGCATTCATTTCACAATCACTGTCCAGATTAACAAAGTTCAATATTATATTTTGCGAAATTAACATCCATAAAAATCCTTCTGATTTGTTTTTTTTATTACAGACTTGATAATCAAGAATAACTGCTACAAATGAATTTGATTAAAAACATCAAGGTAGTATATATATATATTATTTTGACATGTATCTTACTAAAATGAAGTCTTATTATAGATGAACACTGTTGATCCCGTCTTTGATTTCCCTTACATTATACAGCTGGAAATGACATTACATGGTAAGGATCACTACTTTATTTTTTATTTTAGTTATATTAATATTATAATGTGTTAACATAAAATATTATTATTTTTCACTAGAGTTCTATCAAGTGTTTACAAAGACAATCTATCTCTGTTAATATATATTCTTGCTACTGGTATGTAAATTATTTATTATTTTATTCGATTCACAAAAATTAATGTTTTTTGTTGTTTTTATAGTGAAAGATATCATAAGAAACACCATGGATTATCAATATCGACATCTATTTTTTGCTTGCTCTTTTCCAATATTTACAATGTAAATATAAAAGTGTACACAAAATGTAAAAGCATACTATATTAAATGTAGTACCCAGCACATATAGCTAATAATTTTTCTATACTTCTTAAAGACTGTTGTATTTCAATAAACAGTCTGCTTTCTTTTTATATTTTCAGCTATTTCTTTTCTGTAAATAATTATTCTATTCAAACAGTATCAAACAGACCAGTAGAAGCAATAACAGATATCCAATAAATCAATACTATAAGATTGTTATAGTTTTAGAAACATTCTGTTCTTTCCAAATAAATACTATTATAAACTTTTACCAATAAAACAATTTCTGAAATTAAAATAAAAACGATTGAACTATACTATGGTTCAGAATCCAAAGAATTGCTCAAGTATTGAATTTAATTGGATATAAAAGATAACGAAGAGGTGTAATGTTGAACTATACTACTGTATCAAGATCGAAAATAAATATATTATCCACTTTTAAAGCTCTATATAAAACATATAAAAATAAAACCTTGGTTTCAAAAAACTCTTTTCAATATCCCAAGTCAGATCAACACACCGAAAGTGCTAAAGAACTATATTCCTGTCATTTTTATTTGGTCCCACACATGTGTATAGCTGGTCATGGCACATGGTGCTAAGACGAACTTGTTACATGGTGATATGTATCTGGACTCAATGTTAAACCCCATCTTGACACCTGAGTAACTACGCCTTTACACATACGTATGTCAGATCATTTTTCCAGTGAGTGCTTCAAGACTTTCTTGTCTTGGAGAGTCAAGATTTACAAATGAACTTTGAAAATGGCTTAACTTCTTTGTACAGAGCCAGTCTTGCTTTTGTGGTTGGAGACATTGTTAAAATTGCTGAGCTGTGCATACATTCTGAACACTCTTCGTACTACAGCTGTAGAGTATGTAAGATCAAAGAAGACCGGCAGCAGAAAAACCAAAGAGGCATATATTTCAGCAACATGACTACTAGTAGCAATAGAAGAAGACAGAGCTTTATTGAGGGTGATGTTGAATATGAAATTAAGAAACCCACTCCTTTCTGTATTCTATCAAGTTTTACTGAAATATGTTTTTTTGAACTTGACAAACTACATCTTTGAGGTCAAAATATTGGCAAGCACCTGTGGGCAATAGTCACTGATAATGAACAAAAGAAATCTGATATCTCAAACCCGTTATTCCTAAGGAAGCCATACAAAGTTACTTTGGGTAAAAAACTTCTGTTAGCACAAGCCCTTAGCAACCATCATAGCAAGGATGGAAGCTTTTTAAATATGACAACCTCTGCTGGCTACAGTAGAGCCGTTGATTATATTGACTTATTGATATTTATGGTTTCTACTCTGCTGGTTGAAGCTCTAGAACTTCAAACTGAAGGCCTGAAAATAAAATTAAAAAACAAAAAGAAAAGAAAAGGAAAAGGTAAAGCTGACAAAGCAACAATTCTGAATCAAAGCAATGAAGTTGATCCTGAGGAACAAAGCATTGGAACTAGAATTGAGACTGTTATAAGTCGTATGGATAGAACGGCTGAGGTCCTTGCATTACTTTCCTTGGTTTGCCAGCTATCAGAGAAGCTATATATAAGTACAGAAGATGTCTCAGCCATTGAACATCATGTAAATATATGGCATGCATTTCTGCGAGATCTTGTTGGAAGGAAATGCTTCACTATAAGCCAGCACTATCTGGTACACCTCAGCAAATATATAACAGAGATGGGTCTGCTCAAAGAGTATAGTGCTTGCGCATTGGAAAAAACTATAGGTCTATGCAAAGAAAACATAAAGTCGCATTCAAAGCCAGGGAAAAACGCTGTAAACTTTATGCATAATAATTTTGCCAGTGCAAAACAAAAATGGCACTAAAAACTCAACAAAAGGGATGAAACTCACGAAGCTGACTGTACAAATATTTCTTCTAATGAGTTGGATATGATGCTTGATGCCGAGAACATACCTTTTGATGAAATGCTACTAAATTTCTGTGTTTGTGAAAACATACCCTTCGACTCAAAAGTGCTCATAGTTAACAGAGTAGAGTATACAGTTGCCGGCAATCATCAGACAGTAAAAAAAAATAGAGGAAGAGACGAGATTGATATAATTTCAAAAGAGATCACCCTGGACATGTCTTTAAAACTTTCTATAAGCAACATTCAAGTCATGTTTGACTATCAAGACTATTGTCTAGCACTGGTAAAAGAAAAACAGGTTTTGGACGAAGATAAAAAGAGCAGGTTATTTGTAAACTTGTCAGCAATAAAAAAAATAGAGAACTCTTACTGCATTATCAATTTTGCAAACGTTCAAGGTTATGCAATTACTTTACCTTCTCTCTCTTTAGAAGACAAACTATATGTCTGCTTTAAAAAATAAAACTTTTTTTTTTAAAAAAAAACCCTTATGCAAACCATCTTTTTTTTCAACATATTTTGACATATATTGATGTCAACATGAAGTTATGTTATCATCAAAAGACATAGGTTTGCTTGTGTATTTATGTTGCTCTATTTTGACACAAAGAAACATAAATTAATGTCGACATGGATTTATGTCAAAAAATAAAAAAAATGTCTCTGATAAATAATATCAATTTAATGGTGACATTTTAAGACATGGATTTTGACATTAAACACCATAAATTGACATAATTTAACATATGATTTCCTGTAGTGATAGAATAATAAAAAATATTAAAAAAATTTACTCATTTTTTTTGTCAAAATAAAAAAATAAACAGAAAACATTTTCTTCAAAAATAAGATTACATTAATCCCAAGTGCGTTGTGTTTACAAGTCAAAAACTGAATTATTGAGTAGTTATCTAGTTTCACTTTTTTAAAAAAATATTTTTTCTATTTATTTTTATTTATTTTTTTTGGAGGTAAAATAAAACTATATTTGCTATATATTAATAAAAGTCATCCCCTTGGAAAATATAAACTTAATACAAATATGTTTTGTAATAAAAATTTTTATTATGAATTTTATTATTATGGTGTGTTTGAGCATAAGTATCAAAGTTTTGAAATTTTTTCAATCTTATCCAATGAAAACTCCAATAGTAAAATATATTCAATCCCTAATATATATAGAAAGAAAATCGAAAAAATAGTATTTTATATTAGATAACTATCTTTTTTAAGAACATTGAAATGTACTTGTTGCTATAGTGACTTTCTTTTTCATTTCAATATTAAAAAAAATGCTGAAACTTCTATATTTTCTATTGATATCTCTTGAATTTGAAGATCCATAATGTTTTATTTAAGTCTTGTTTTTAGAATCTTTTAAACAAGAATTATTCGGAAGAGTCTTCCCTATAAAACATGTTTAATTAATTCTCTATAACTTGTCTGTAGCAAAAGTCATTAAACTTTGAAAATCATCTAAAACCTTAGATATTTATCTCTGAACACACCCTACTATCTATCATTACTATTTATGACTATCACTATGTGAAAAAAAGAGGTACTCCTGAGGGTTCACTGGGGGTCTGTCCAGGAAGCCGCCTAGGAAAGTAAAGTTGACTTACCCACTTTTTCACCTTCTGTCTGTTATGGATTAATATAGAACTCTGCTCTTTAACAAATAATTACTAAAAAAAATTCTTATATAGAAATATAGATGTATCTTACATGCCCATATATAGACACAAGTCTCTGCAATAAATTCTGATTGAAATAAATCATGAATTTAAAAATATGTTTTTCAAATTATCAAAAATAGTTCAAAAAATTATGTTTCAAATAAATTGGGTTTTATTTTTTGTTTCAAAGTAAAAAAAAATGCTAAGCTATAGCTATATTATATAATTTATGAACATAAATATATAGTAAATTAAATCTAGTTATTATAAGATAAAGATAGGGTCATGGAGTCCACATCGCTCATAATTCTTAAAGACAAAAGTACGAAAGAAAATCTATAATATTGGAGTACAAGAGCAATCTAATAAAATATAAATATGAATAAACATTTCAAATTTAAAAATATAAGTTAAATAAAAGTTTATCTTTGACTTTGCTGAGTTGAATCTCATAAAAGTTAAAATCTCTACAAATAAAAATGGACAAAATATAATTAGTATTCAATTAATTTGTAAACTAGATGCGAAGATATTACCTCAACTCATTTTGACCAGATGATGAAAAAGCTAATTGTCAGCTAATGAGACCCAAGATAAATAACTGATCACAGAGTAAAATATTGATTTTCTATTATACATATGTCAAAAACAAGAATATATAGACATATTCTGTAAAAAATAATGATATACTAGATGTAAACATATGTAATAAACAAACTTTTGTCAGTAAAGTAGATTAAGAAACAATGTGAAGCACATAATCCCACACCTATTCAAAATCGATTTATAAAATTCTTATTAGTCTACTGACTTTTAATATCAATGTTGCAACTCAAAGAAATGTTTTTAAAAAATGCTAAGCCATTCTCTCTGTTGTGGGGAGAAAATAAAACAAAACACAATATAGACAAAAGAATTTGTGAGAACTTGTGTAGGTTGTTTATTTCAAAAGAAAAGTAAAGAATAATAAAATTCGATTATTTTTCTATATGGAACTATCTACTGATAGTTATATGTGTTGTAAATGAGTATTGACTACTGCTGTAATTGAGAATAAGTCTGAAAGAAATAATATAACATCTCAGCTATTCCAATCAAAGGTGTTTACCAATTACTTTATTATTTAACACACAGATTTATTATGCATGATAGTGATTATATCTCATATGATTATATTACCATAATATGCACTGTAGAAAATGGCACAAATTGTAGTTCCGCAGTGCACATTTCAGAACGTCTATATTTTCTGGTAGATGGTAAAGTATTAGCCGAAAAAGAGGCTTATCTATCAGAAAATCAGACAAAAAAATTCACCTACCAGAAAATAAAAAAGTTCATAGTTTACTAAGTTACTTTGATAATCGTTTCAATTAATAGCACAATTTTTTTTGAAAAAAAAGAAAGATAAATATATTGTTATTGTTGTATGTTTGATCTGGGAAAGTTCACTTCGTATTTGTCTTTTAAAGCTTAAATTGACTGAAGATAAAGCTGTTGCATATCATAGACATGCTTGGCTTCATCATCTGTTATATACTAGGATAGTTTTGTAAGATCTTGATGAGATTGGTGTATCATTTGATTTGTTTTTATACACTGGTCAAAAAAGAGTCTAGATCGATTGCTGGGATTTTCAGTGTTTTGTGGAGTTTGTGGTGTGTGTATTTGATTGGTAGTAATGACAGAAGTAGTAGAAAAGAAAATAGAGTTCGATGTGTGTATCTTCAATAGATACATATGTTTGCAAGGTCTGTATCTTCTTTTAAAATCAAAGCAAGTGCATGAGATAATTGTGTTTGTATCTGAAACCTCAACTACATAAGCAGTATTTTGGTCAACAAATGACTGAATCTGACATTGTCTACTATCTACTGAATCAGGAGCAACAATTATTGCTTCTCTTTCATCATCATCAACTTCTTCTGCTTCCATCTCGTGTATTCTTTGTTCTCTTGTAAATGCACTCTTTGCCCCATTGTTGGACATAACTCTATCGTACTCTTGAGAAAGATAGTATTCAACATCGTGAACAAGAATGAATACAAGTTTATTCAGACGTTTGTTTCGGGATCTCTTCATGAAGACAGTTTTCAGTTGGTTATGTCAAGACTCAATATAATTATTGGTGAGCATATATGAAAATTGATGTTCATGATATGCTCTACTCCAAATCTTAAATTTGTCTTCACTACACCAGTTTTTCTCAAAGTAGTCCAAAAAGATGCATTGGTTGTTAAAATCTTCTTTGAACTATACAAGTTTGTGATGAAACTGATCTAAATCTTCTTCGTACACAATCTCTTGAAATGATTTCATCATTTCACTACGAAGAAGACAAGCCTCAGATGGCAAAGAGCCAGGAATCTTAACGGAGTCAGAGAGCTTTCTGTTCCATGCTTGAGTTACGTGAAATATGCAGAATTGGATTTGTGTGATAGGAAAGATGGTTTGAATTGCATGAACTTTAGCCGAGCAGCAATCAATAGTTATTTGTTTTGGATTAACAAGAAAGAGAGAAGACTTTAAGAATTGCAGCCACTGCACAATGGGGCTCACACCTCTATCATTGGTAATCATATATGCTACAGGCCAGCCTCTACCAATTTCTTCATCATGGATAAGAAGAGTGTAAAGAATCTCATCGATTTTTTCAGAGATACCATGAGTGGCATCCAAGCAAAAAGAAGCAGCATTTTTCATCTTATTTTGCTGTATTGGCGACATAAAACCACAAGCAAATACGTTTAAACTTGGTGAGTAGCTGGTATTGGCCTTAAAAATTGAGAAGTTCATTGCAAGAAGTTTCTCATTTATCCAAATCATGAAAAAATTATTTGATCCTTGTCAAAATGATACAAAGTCTTATTTATCTATAAACAATTGGTTAAATAAAATTTTATTTAACATAAATTCATATGTTTACCTTATTCATCAAGTTCCAAATGTTATAATAGTTGACCTTGCATTCAGAATTTCTTCCATATCTATCAATAGCTCTCAGCATATCAATACGTATCTGGCTAGCAGATTTAGACGACTGTTCTAATTGTTGGGACAGCTCATGGAGGTATTTCTTTGCAAGAGGAAGAGTATGGATATCTTCATGAACATCACCAGGAGTATGCTCAGTATGATCTTTTGTCAAAGTTATCTCATACCACTCTGGCGTCTTAAAGAGTCCTCTGACACGAAGAAGAGCAGAACACTTATTTTTCTTAGTTCTTTTCTGAACTACTCTCATGGCTGCCTTGGATTCATAAGTGCCAGCACGATGACACAAATACTCTTGGGAAAAGCACATCTTAATACCACTGTCTTTGGCTTCTTCAGCAGTAATATCAGTAGATTGCTTGTTAGAATTACAGATAATCCATTTGACTGCACATGATTTACCAATTTCTAGCAAGCAATCTCTCCACTTAGATGTTCTAACTTTTATAGTAATATCAAGTCTAAGAGTCATCACTCCAGGAACAGATATACACTCCATTGCTTCAGAGATTGTTGCCAAAGTGTAAATGTTTTCATTGAATTGAATGTTGTTTGTTGACATATTTAGTGAATAATTATTTGAAAATAAAAACGCATGATTTAAGGGATATAGAACCTTTGTTTCAAATAAACAATTCAAAAACAAGAGAAAGTATTAACAGTCACTATTTCAGTTAATAATTTTTCATCTACCAGAAAATATAGACTTTCACATTTCAAGCAATTATGTACAAAACTGCACATTCTCAATGGCCCAATAAAAATCAATTATAACTCTGTTAGTGCTACATATCTTAGCAAATTGGATCTGTGGAATACCAGGACTTTGATCTTTATTTAGTGCTGTACAACCCTTTCCAGCCAGTAAAAGACATATATTAAGATGAGCTCGACCTTGTTTGAGTAAATTTATCTATTCACTCATTGGTCAAAAATATGTAATACGTCATGGGCGAATTTGTTTTAATTTTTATTTTTAATTTTTGGTCCCTGAAATTTTTTTTTTAAAAAAAAACAAAAAAAAATAAAAAAAACAAAAAAAAATACAAAAAATCTACAAAAAAAACTACAAAAAACAAACACAAAAAAACATACAAAATAGTAGAAGAAGTACACAGGGCAATAAACAAATTATATTATATTTCATAAAGTTATTTTTTAAAATGATATTTTTATTAGGTTTCTATAGATTGAAAATATAAAAGTTAGTATTACCTACTTTAATAAACAAAACAAAACAGTTGATTTGTATTAGTTGTAATTAAACGTATGAATGTCTTTATATTTATAAGTACCTTACTTGTTAATAAGATCTTCCATGATATTTGGCAGTTCTCCACTTGTGAGAGAGTATGAGTAATGCTCCCCAAGAATTTTCGAACCTGTGAAGAGCAATGTTTTTCAGGGCTGCATTCTCTTCAAGGCTGCTGCTCATTATTGCCTTTTGGTCATCTGCCAGACTTCCCCATGATGGTATGGCAATATTATTGGTACTGTACTTGGAGAAGGAGTAGTGGACTAGCTCTTGAGTAATCTTGCCCACTACTCTGTACATTTGTTTGGCTTTGATGAGGTCGCCTCTGGTAAAATGTGTGACCAACACTTCCTTGAAGCATTTAACCAACTGATTCCAACCGCCTGACTTCCCCTTAGGCGAGGGCCATTTGATGTCATGGTCACCAGTTGTAGGCAACAGCAGAATTGCACTCGGAGCATTGTCTCTGGTCAACAGAGCTTGTTCCATTTTGGAATCCTTGGTCAAAGATTCGCGTCTATCTTCCAATAAAGAAATTTTATCTTAGTAAAGCATTAGACTCTTCTAAGTATGCCAGACGCTCAAGAATTTGTGAGATTTTGTATGTTGACATAGTAAAAAATACAGTTGGAAAATAAAAAGAAAGGGGCAAAGTTGGCTGAAAAAATGAGTAGAAAGTAATTTAGAAACAAACTTTCAAAATTCTGTTGAAAATTTTTTTCAAGACAATTAGTGCACTCGTAATTTTACTACCAACGTGTCAATATAATAAAAAAATATTCTCATATCTTGAACGTTTTTTGCAACCTTACACTCCTACTTCTTTTAACATACAAATATAAACTAAAATGAATATCAAAGATTTACTTAACCATGATTCCGAAATCAGAACAAGTGGTTATAGGCTTGATGATTCATTTGTTGTGGAATGCTCAAACCAAATTAAGACCTGTATTATTGCTCAAGCCTGCAGAAAATTCAACAACAGGAACAAGGGCTCTATTGCTGCTCCTATGGACTTTGCCAAGTTCTTGGCTGCAGAAAATAAAAACAACACCAAAGTAGAGAGTATGGATATTGATGATGTCCAAGTCGAGTCTGTTGAGGAAATCAACAAAAGCATTGACTATGTCTCTGGTAAGAAATAAACAAGTAAAAGAAAATATTAGTATTAAATATAATTGTATCTAACCCTAAAAACTTAAATATATCAGATAATAACTATGGATATTTGCATGTCTGTAACCCAGACAGAGTGTACAACGTTCCAGTAGAACATGTTACTGATCATGAACATTTTGTTTCCACATACATGTCCAACAGTCGTGCACAGGCTGTCAGTCTGGAATTGTTTTCCATGTTTTTTGAGAACAACGTCTCTCATGAAGTCTATGACAAATGCATAAAAATTGTCAATAAGTACATGGCAGAACTTGGATCCAGTAAGTTTATAATTAGTATACTTTTTTTATAGCACATGCACTTACCACCATTTCAGCTAAAGTGGATTCACTCCTATCATACTACAAGGTAGACACCTTGTTGAAGGAGGAGTACCCGGTGAAGTCCATTGCATATGATATGTGCATAAATGGATGCTGCCGGTTCTCAACAGTAGAAGAAGGAGACTTTATCGACAAGGATGAGACATGTCCTCATTGCAGTGAGGGCAGTTACAAAGTAGAGAGAGCGAGTGTAAAGCCTGCACAGACCTTTCAGATCGTGCCTCTCTCAGAGCAACTGCAGTTCAAACTTGCCTACCCCGAGAAACGGGCCAAGATGGCCTATGATACAAGGTGTTTGGCTGGCAGACGTGAAGATGTACATGAAGACATCTTTGATAGAGACGCAGTCAGATGGCTACTTGATTGTGGAGTGGTTGGTCAGGATGACATTTTGGTGTCCATGTTTGTTGACCAGTTCAACTCATTTAAAAATGCCAAAATGTCATCCTCTGTTATTCATGTTATTAACCTGAATATCAATCCTAAAGAAAAGTATTTAAAAAAAATTAATTTAGATAAAGTTACTAATACGAACTACTTAGATACAAGGCAGGTAACATGATGCAGTTGGCTATTATACCAGGACCTAACCATCCAAAAGATATCGTCTCGTTTTTGGAGCCTGTTCTTGATGATCTGAGAAACTTGAGGGCAAATGGCCTGCAGTTTCAGACTGATTCTGGACTGGTGATTGCCATGGTTCACCTTGTCATGGCAACTGGAGATACTCCAGCCGTCTCTGACTTGATGAACCTGGCTCATCACAATGCCCATCATGGATGCAGAGCTTGCATCTCATATGGTGCAAGAGATTCAAGCATGCCTTGTATTGTGGAAAGAGACGGACCGTTGCTGTTGAGAACAGAAGAGAGTCTATACCAGTCCATTGGAGGTGTAAGTTGTAAACTGTTAAACAAAATAAATATTGATATCATTTTAGATGTATGGCATCAAAGGGCCCAACGTCTTCAAGGACTTACCCACAATGACCAGTACTGCTTTCTTCAGACTGGATGAGATGCACCTTCTAGGTCACAGTATAGACCAGCAGCTGTGTGATATTTCAGGTACGAAACAATAGAAAAATAAAATATTTGATAATAGAGACGTATCGAAATACTTTGAGACTGTATATAAGTTGTCTTTATTCATAAATAAAAAGTGTCCATTTTTATAAGAAAACACAATCTGCTCTTGTCATTATGTCTTAGTTTCTTAAGGCTTTCTTCCTTTACTATATTTGGTTATTAGAGTGTATTTACTGCTTAACTAGTGTCAGTGTTACAATTATGACATCAAGTCATAAATCGTACTTCTTTAGCTCTTAGCTATTCTTTTCTCTTTTATACTAGAGCTTTAGGACTTCCTACTAAATTAGCTCCATATCGATCTGACACAGTTTACCCGGCAGTATGATATAATTATCTTAACAATCTTTAAGATATTATCTACAGTACTAACTGTAATAATTATTGGGCTGATTACTTAATCATTTATATAAATTTTATACTGACAAGATGATAGCTACTATGCTATCCCAATATGAATATGTTCTTATATGTGATAAATCCAACATCCGAGTGTCTGGATCACCACAAGCTGTACGTTGCACTTGGAGGAAAGTTCTGCCCCACGATCAATGACAGTAGAAGAAATGCACATGGCATTCACTTGCAAGACCAGTTGAAACACCATGGATTCCCGTTTGCTTTGGATGTCAGTCTGGAAGATATTGACAAAGCAATTTGCGCATCCAGAACCGATATACCAGCCGATTTCATGGGAACATGGAGATCCTGGAAGGAATCCAATGGCAAGAGGAAGGCTGTTGATTGGACAGACTTTCTCTTGTTTGTTGTTCCAACGATTGTCATTGATCATTTCGTTTTTGATCATATAAAAGCAGCAGTGATGAACCTTGTCACTGCATGCAGAATTGCCCAGCAGTAGAGGATCACTGCTGCCAATATCCAAGAAGCAGAGGAGTAAGTCAATTGGATATATGCTGATCAGTGTTTTAATCATCTTTATAGGGCCATTGGTTGCTGGCATGCCTTCCTCCGTTGTGAGATCAAAGAAAAGAGGCTGAAGCCTACGATTTTCGTGATGAACCAGCATATGCTGGTTCATCTTGGCTATATGATGTGGGAGATGGGCCCTCTGCAGGCATACAGTTGTACGCCCATCAAAAGGACAATCGGTGTCTACAGCATGGCAATCAAGTTGAGAAAGAAACCAGGAAAGAACATGGAGAATCTCTTGCTCAGAAAGGCAGCAATCAATCACTGTCTTGGTTGCCGACCTGTCATTTGTGTCACAAATGACAAAAGGACCAGCAACTTCGAGGTTGCAAGTAACAATGTTGCCAGTCCTCAACTTTGATCCAGGCCAACTCGAAGCTCTCTGGCTGAGTTGGCTGCCGCCATTGGCATAGAGTGCCAGGACTTGGTCCACAGTTTGGTGCCTTTCTGGGCAAGAGAAGACATTGTTTCCTTTGAGGAAAATAATGAAGTGGTTTGCACCAACAAGATGTGGAAAGACTCGGTGGTCTATAGAGTCTGGTCCTCTGTTGACAGCAGGCATGGCCGAGCAAACAATCTTGCTGTGCTCAACGATGCCAGGGAGTAAGTAGCACTAGTTGTATTCTACATTGTTAACTTTTATTAATCATAACTCATTTATATTTTTGAAAGGTATGGATTTATTCTTAAATTCTTCTCTCAAACTGTCAACAGAGTGATCAGACTCTTTGCGGCCATCAACTGTCTTTCTGATGTTCAACGCGTGAACCAGGATCTTTTCCCTGCGTGGGATAGCCTGGCACCTGGTGTGATGAAGGTGGTGGACGTGAAGTCTATTGAGGGGATCGCTGGCTTCATCCACAACCCAAACAACAAGGCCATTTGGCACATTATCTGGTCATCACCAAAATACAACCAATAGGTTTTTTTTTCTTTGTTTGTTTTCCCTATTCTTTTAATACATATATAAACATTTAATCTCTTTAAAAAAATCACCCAAAACAATAGTAAAATCTGTTGCTATTACCATTTGATTTAAAAATTTTCAATGCCAGAAAAACCGAATTTATGGTATATCTAATTGATTGGCTATGTTCTTGACTTTGATCAAACTTGCAAACAAAAAACAACAGTCCTCTTTATTTTCTCATTTAAAATGGCTGTCTGAGTTAAACAACCAAAAACAATCACCTTACAAATCTGGATAACAATTTTCATTTATTAAAATGCAAATTTCCCCTGCAAAATTATTTGTCACATTTGCTAACGGCATAGTGTTATCTAGATATCTAGTTATCTAGTGTAAGGCTAATAATTTTACCATTAGTTACTAATAAATTACAATATATGATTGATAGCAAAATCAGGTTCCCATCAGATGAATTGACATGTCATCTGGTCATTATTCCAAAACAACTGAAATAATTGTTTATTTTATTTCATATTCTTATTATTATATATTAAATACCTAAAAATGAACGTTAATAGCTTCTTAAATGATGCTGCAAACTTGCCAACCAATGCAGTAGAAAAACTGCAATTAAAATTGCAGTGTAGAAAAGAATTCAAAATTAGCTTTGCTAAAGAATTTAATTTGCAACAAAAGGTTGTTGAAAACATGGCTGAAGCTGTCTATAATTTCAGCAATACTGTTTTGGGGCCCAAAAAGATTAAAAAAATCCTTTTAATCTTTACACTAAGAAGATAAAGAACAAGAGAAAACTTGATGGTAATACAATTAACTGCATTGATTACAAGTAAAACAATAGTTTTGTAACAATTCGAAATATATTTTTAGGGGAAAACTACAGACGCAAGGAAATCATTGATTCGTACAACTCAATGGGTCCTTTAGAAAAAGGCAGATATTACGAGATGGCGAAAGAAGATTCCACTACTCTTCACCAGGAATCTTCTGTCCCTGATGTCAATCATGATGCAAAATCCATATTAACCATCATGGAGACAATGAAGCTATCAATGAACTACGATAGTCTGTTTCTGTTCTGGGAGTCAGGCACCAGCTCCAGTCGAAAGATTGGTTGCCTCTTGTCAGGAGATACGTCTTCTATATTTTTTAAGTGTATTGAGGAAGATGGTGCTCTGAAGAGTTTCTTGGAAGCAATGGGAAACGTCGAAAGACGCCCAAGTAAGTATTATATAATAGATGTATTATTTATTTTATCTTAATATATTTTTCTGTCATAGTGCAGGAAATACAACCCATGACCATTGCTGTCAACGACTTCAGAAATAAGATGAACAAACGTTTGATAAGTTTGTTCAATGGTAAGTCTATAAAATATCAAAATTAACATTTACTTTATATTATCAATCTCTTAGAAGAAACTGGGGAAACGAGAAAATCTTTCCCTTGAAAAGCAATCAAAAACAAGAAAGGCACCATCAGAGCCATTGGATGGCCAGAAAAGGTGCCTTTTGTGCCACTCAATCTTATGAAAGATATTAAAAAAGAAATGTTAGTTGATGCCCTAGACAAAGGGCTTATTTCTTTCTCTTGCTCTTTAGCGTAAGGCTTGACAAGCTTAATAAAAACATGTTTTTATCTCTAACTTCTATAATTAATAATTTATATGCTAAATTTATGTGTACATCTTATCCGAAGGCTTTCCAGTGTTGTACAATAGATTCTTGCTTTTACTATTTGTTGTGGCTTGTTTTTTTTATGTATTTTAATTTTCAAAACAAAAAAAATGACTTCAAAATTTTTTCTTTCCTAATCCACTTTAATAATATACACAATATAAGTATTTTAAGTAATAAATAAAATGTTACCCTTTGCCATCATCATCATATTGTAACATGTATCAAACACTCGATTGAATGGCCTCATAAATCTTGTCATAAACTTCTTGTAATCATGCACAAACAGTTAAAGACAGATGAGAGCGCTAGTCAAGATAAATCAGCAATGAAAAACAACTACCTGACGATTTTATTTAAATATTAAGATCAACAAATAAACTTGAAACAAGAATAGATATATATTAAAATTTAAGTCTTTGGAAGTAATGGTTTTGATAAACAATGCTTATATGACCTTCTGCTTTGCTTTACAAAAGATAGTATGTATTTTTAAAATAATTGTAAGGCTATCCTAAAAAAATGTTTTTAATGCTTTGCTTAATTAGCTTTCTTTCCCAATTGTATCAAGTTTTTTTTGGTTCATCTAATGCTACTGCTTAGAATTATAAAAACAATGTCATATAATTTATTTATTTTTGTAAGGGTATACTTTAGACTTTATTTTTTTTCAAGCAAAAACAAAACAAAATCTAAGGAAGTAGAATACATGTTTATACTGATGTCTTAGGTAATAAAGTTATTGTTTTTTGACATTTTAATTTTGTAAATAAAAAATCTTCTTTCTTAAATAAATTCCAGTTATGCTTATCAATATTGTGAATAAATCAACTCTGTAAAAATTATATTGAATATTTATTTATCAATTGCACTTCATCAAGGACAGATATTAGCAAGTACGTGTTTTATAGAACTAATATAGCATGTCTTGAGTTTTATTGAAATTCTTTTAGTATCAAGTATTATTACTAGATGAGTAAAAAAACGCATCTTTATATAAAAAGAAAGGGCAAAATATTATCATTTCATAAGTTGGTCTTTATGTACATCACTTATTAATTAACTAGCTTGTCTTATTGATTATATATTTATTCAATTGTAACATTTTATTAATGTAGTCTATTACTTGCAAAGTCAATATCATTGCTAGCTTTATATAACAATTTAAATAATAATCAATATTTATATATTTATCTTTGATTTAACTAACTCTTCCTGTCTACTTTTGTCTTTAGTCTTCATATTGTAACTTTTGGCTTTGTTTAATGAAAGCAACTAGCACCCTCCCCAATCTTTATTAATATATTCTTTCCAGATATTACAAAAGTTGATAGCTGTGAACAAAGTCCTTATATTATACTTTTAAATATACTCACTTCAAAAAAAAACAAGCTGGTATTAACAAACACTAGTTATATATGATATTGTTTTATGACAATAATAATAATTATGTTTAGCCTATTAATTTTTTAAAGAAAATAAAATACATTTTATTAATAGAAAAATATGAATAATTAAAATTAAAATTTATTATTTTATTTGCAAACAGTGATTCCAAAATGCAGTAAGACTATTATGTTACTTTTTGCAAATTAAAAAAACTACATCCTTTATGTAAAGATCTAATGTAGAATCAATTATAAATTAAATTGCTAAAAGTACAAATCGATTTGAATAGAATAATTACAAAATGTAACTCAAAGAACAGAGTTCAGAAGTGACAGAAATGAAAAAGAAGATTGGAAAAACTTTGGATACAAATATTGAGTGAGTAAAATAAAGAGAAGGCTATCAATTTCACTCAGGACAATTGAAGTTATAGCAGAAAACATACTGAGAAAAGTAAATAAAATAAAATAAAAGAGAGTTTTGATCATGTCAATCAGAACATACAATGAACATAAAAAAATAACATACCAGACAAAAAAATAAAAAAAAGTAAATAAGAGAAAAGAGTATACAAAAATGACAAAGGCTGTGACTTAACATTGAGAAAATGTGACTTTGGATGTGACCATGCCAACATCTTTACAGTGAAAATGAGTGGTTTCATAGTGAAAATGAGTGGAAAAAGTAGCTTGGTAAACAATACTATAACATTATATTATAATTAATATATTAAAACTTTTTGCTATAGATTATTTGTTGTCACTTTCGACTATGATAGAGACAGCCAAGGTTCAACTTTTGCCAGAAGCATTTTTTTGTATTTTTTTGAAAAAAAATTATTAATCTTTCTGTTTTGCTAAAAAAAAAAATTAAATGTTTTGAATATTTAATGAATTGCTTTATACTATTTATTCTTTATAAATATCTTAATGTTATGCGAAATGAAATTATATGTTTTTAAAGTAAAATAAAATAAAATAGCAAACAAAACAAATTTTATTTATGTAAACAGAGTTAAACAGCTAGATACCAATAAAACAAAATAATTTTTAATATTGTAACTTTCTGAATGAGAAATGCTATTTACTTGCTTTTGAAAATAATAAAATAAAAAATAAAGCATGCAAAATACTAATGAAATTAGATAAAAACTTGATATTTTATTATCTCAAAATAAGTATGTAGTTATATGTATTATTGAATTAATTACTGATAGACTATAATGATATAAGTAATATATATATTACAGAAAGAAGTAAAATAAAATCTTGAAACATAAAACATGTATTTAAAATAGACATTTTTTTTTACTTCTTGATTAAATGTAGAAAACAAGAAGTATACTTCAAACAGTAAAAATTAAGCTGTCAGCTTCTCTATAATTTTATGATATTTATACTTGTAAAAGCTATTAAAGCATTTTACAGATTTGAAAAAATTATTATTATTATTATTAAAAAAAATATTAAAAAAAAGAAGAAAAGAAAAAAAAAATGGGTGAGAGTTTGTGTTATCCTAGGGAAAAGAAACTTATCTTAGTTATCAACTTTAAATGCTAACAAATAAACTGAATAGACTTTTTACAATAATAGAGTAACTTACCATATATTGCCTCAGACTCAAATACGTTATTGTGTTATTCGTCTTCATTGGCATTGTCATTGTCATCATTGTCATCGTTATTTTCGTTGTCATCATCACCTTCCACAACAAAAGCGATACTGGCTTCTCCATCATCGGGGGAGTTTATGTCTTCAATGATGAGTGAAGAAGAAGAGATGTAGGAGGAGACAAAAGGAATGGAGGAGGGAGAAGACGAAAATTCCAGAAGGAAACTGGTCTGAGCAAAGACTGCTCACTCCCAAGACATAGAAAGCCAAAGCTTTCTAGCCAAAAGGAACTGCATCCCGCAAAGAACCTCTTTGTCCAGAGTACCTACAGCATTGTCAAGGGCTTTTAGCCCTTGCTCTATTAAAGTCCTTTCTTTTGTGACATAGTATTGAAGCCAGAAGGCATCACGCTTGAAATTTTATATATTAGTTAATTTATTTTTAAAATCCTTAGTATCTTTATATTAATTATTACCTTCAGAAGTGCAATTTCTTCTTCTGCTCTTTTCTTGGCAAGAAAGAGGTGGACTTTGGGGCAGATTTCTGTATCCCAGAAAATGCTTTTTTTTTGATTATTGAATCAAAGGTCAAAGACTCTTTTAAAAAACGAGTATAAAAGTAAGAATAACAGTTTAATATTTCCATTGTGAAAAGTCTAAAAATCACTGTTACCATTGAATTCAAAATTGAATGCTTGCAGGAGGTAGGTAATTTGTTTGGCCTGTTTATTCAGGCTAATTTCGTGTTGTTTGGACTTTTTTGTGCCTATATATATATTTAAAAGCATTAATTCATGAAATAATTGCAATCACCTTTTCCCCTTCTTACCAATATGGCCAGATTTGTAAAGCAATGCCAAGGTATCATGATACATTTGAACATTGGCTCTAATCGCATCTTTGAATATTTTTTTGTAAGCTTGGAACTTGTTGTACCCTAGCTGGGCATTTTCTTCTATATATTTTATGAGGTTTGTATTTTCTTCATCAGGTTCTTGGAAGTCCTCAAATTCCTCCTGGATCTTCGTCTTCAACTTCTCCATTTCGTGCTTCAGCCTATTGATCTCATCTTTCACATGATTTCCGTTGGCATCATTAGCAAGCCTACAATAAAATTGATTTTTTAATGACAAAAAACATAAGAAAAAAGCTCTAAATACACTTACTCTCTTAGTTGGCGCAAAATTGTAAAATTTACAAGGAACAAAGCAATATTGCCCTGAACCTTACAGCCGGACTCCATCAAATCAGCAATGTCAATGTAGTTCTCTGACTTCTCTACCTTGTTAACATGCTGCTTCCATTCTTGCTCAATCACAACACAGTCGAATCCCTCCAATGCCTTTCTGGATTCTTCTATGATGCGCTTTGCTTTGACATACTTACTTTCCAACATCAAGCCCAACTCAACCTTCTTCGTCTCATTGCAGAACTTGATGGCTCTGTACAAGACCAACTTCTGGTTTGCTTGTCCCATCTTTCTGGTCATCATTGCAAAGCAGTTAAGATATGATCAGAGGCGTTCCAAACATTCACCATCTGTCAAGCCAAACCCATCTCTATATTTAGGGTTGAGCTTAACCTGGCAGTGTTAAACATGAGCATATGCATAGAAAATTGAAACTGCTAGTTTTGATTTCTCCATCAGTCCGGGAAAGTTAGCTTATGTTAAGTATTGTTACTATATGCTTATATATTTAACATGTACATTAAAAATAACTCTGTACAGTGAGGGACAAAAAGAATCGCCTTTTTTTTTAAAATGCCAAAATCAGCAAATGTAATAGTCTTTCTCTTTTTCTCTTAAATTAACATTTTATGAAATGAACAATCAAACCGAATGCACAAAAAAGATTACTAAAATTTCTACCAATGGATATAAAAACACGGATAATACAACTCGTGCAATCATTGTCCATGAGAGTGTTAAGAATGGCACTAGTCAGGTTGACATTGCCAAAAAAGTAGACATAAGCCAAGACGTGGTGAAGTGTGTTCTTCAGAGCTACAAAAAAAATGGCTCGCATATGGCTGCACCACGACCTGATAGACCTTTAAAGTTAAATGAGAGAGACAAAAGACGAATTATGCTTCAGATTAGCCGTGATCCCACACAGCCAATGAGTACCATTGCTAGAACCTTGCCCACACCAGTTTTTGTAAAGACTTTGAGAAAGTTTCTTTGCAAGGCTGTAATATACTCTTGAAAGATGATTTCGAAACCAAAGATTTCGGAAATCAATCATAAAAAGCAATTCCAATGGGCTAAGGAACATCTGCACTGGAAAACAACAGATTGGAATTCCATCATCTAGTCTGATGAGTCAAAGATCCAGCTCCACGGAAGTGATGGACGCCAGTGCGTTCTCAGGCCAAATGGCAAGGGCTTTGAGCCCAACTTCGTCTCACCAACTGTGAAGTTTGGAGGTGGCTCCATTATGGTCTGAGGGTGCTTCTATGGAAAGGCTGTCGGAGTTTTAGACGTTGTGCCTGGAAATATCAATTCCAAGAAGTATGTTGCAACCTTGGAAAGAGCCTACCTCCCTTCTTTAAAGGCATTCAAAGAGAAAGATAACTGGAGAAGATTTCGTCTACAAGAGGATAACACTAGCTGCCATGTGAGTGCGCTGACAAGAGAATGAAAAAAAAGACAAGGTGAAACTTTTGGGCAGCTGGCCACCTCAAAGTCCAGACTTGAATCCAATCGAGCATCTCTGGGCATATCTCAAGCGTAGAGTACGTATGAACAGATATAATCTGTATAGCGTTTACCATTTGAGACATGTCGTAATTAGGGAATGGAAGATAATCCCCCAGAAGTATTTGCAAAGTTTGGTCCGGAGCATGAAGAGAAGGTGGCAAGCTGTAATAGATGCAAATGGTCATAATACCAAGTACTAAAATAAAGACTCTTCTCTAACATAATAAAAATAAGTGTTTTCAACTTTAATCTGAAGTAGTTTGGGATCTGTAAGTGCTGTATTTGCTTCTTTTCTTTAAGCATGAAAAATAGATATATTTTGGAGAACAATTGGGATCTAAAAAAAGGCGATTCTTTTTGCCCCTCACTGTATTTACCTTCAGTGACTTTGCCAGCTTACAGACAACATCATAAATCACATTGATGTTGGGAGAGTTATCAGCAGACTGGCTATCACTACCTGAATCACCAAGTAGTTGATTAATTATGGAGAGAGGGTACTTAAACCCTTCACCAGTTTCCATGTCTACCAACTTAATGACTGATTCATGGCGTGTACAGCTCTCCGCAAAAAGACCCTTAATAGGGTACTTTATGGACTTTCACTGGAAAAATAACAATAAATACACACCGGGAAATTCAGGCATACTATTGTGAATATTCCGCATTTTACAGTGGGGTTTTGCCTATTTCCACTGATACCAAAGCTGATCTGGTTACATGTGCACAGACCTGCTATCTACAAGTGTAAAGTTTGATAGCACTAGTGAAGTTGGAGTCAATAGTAATTTTATATCTTTGTATATAATAGAGTACCAAGAAAACTTTATTTCAAACTTTGTTTTTTTGCTGTAATACAATCTGTTTCCATGTTAAAGGTTAATAATCAGGGACTACGTCGCATTTGTATTGTTGAACTATCCCTGGGTGAATAGTTAGAACCATGGACATTTTATTGCTTATAAGCCAATCAGTAACACTCTTTATTATGAGGTCATAGATTATCTGCTCCCCCAATTACTTGATATTCAATTATTATCGGTTTGAATTATAGTTTATTTTTGTATTTATTAGAAAAAATAGAATGATTCTAGGTTGATAGTATTGGAATAATATTATATGCCTCGGGCTGTCTTCATCGGTATCCTTCATATGACTCAAATCAAGCAGTGCTTTATATATAATGTTTGTAAACCCTCATATTCAGTAGTTATCTTTGGCACAGATACTATTTAACATAATAGAAGAGAAGTTAGATGTGTATTTAAATATTTACATGTTGTGAGTGATATATTAATTTGAGGATACATACAATATAATGACTGAAGAAGATAAAAATAAAACTTTGAGAGTTCGAGGCATGGTGTCAAGTATAATTTCTTTAACAATGAAAATAATATAGAGAAGTTAGTTTGAGTGAATTGGGTGACAGAATATGTAATGAACGTACCCAAAGAAAGTCAATTTATTTGTAGACCTAGATAGTACTTGTCAAGAGTTGATATAACCTTTAGTAAAAAACATATATTAATATACAGTATAAATAATACTATCATACATATTAAGAGAATAAAAGAAGAAGTCTTACCATGTCAATGATGGCGCCAAGAGATAGAGGTTCTTGATTCATTGCGTGTTTTGCAGATGAACATTCATCTGTAATAAAAATTATATTCTGTCAGATAAATATTAAAAGTAAATAAAAAATAAAATATTACTGTGTTGATGGTCTTGTTTAATCGTAGGGAATATTTTTGGCGATATTGTCTATAAAAAAGGAGAAAAGTCAGAATAATTTTATAGGATGATGATATGAAGTATAGTTACTAACCTGGACTAATCCGGATGGCCATTGTAAAGAGAATACATCAGAAGGAAAAAACACGCTAGTATCTATGACAACTGAAATAATAATTATTATTTAGTTACATTTGAAGAAAAGAATTGCTTTAAAAAAAAAGAAGATATGTTACCAAAAAAGTTTGCAAATATAGTAAAACACTAAGAGAGTATATATGTATCTATGACAACAGAATGTGTTAATCTTGTTGTTGTCTGTACAGAAGTATTTTTAAGAAGAATGTATCTTACCAGTAAAATTCACAGTTATAACAAAAATCAGAAAGAGAAAGAAAAGAAAAGAAAATGGTCAATAAGGAAAAATATGGAAAAATATGGAAAAATAAAAAAATAAGTAAATAAAATACAAAAAAAAACAAAATAGGTAATTAAAAAAAATGAAACTCAAAAAAAATATCCAAAAAGCATAATAGATATAATGGTGTAGTATCTAAAAGCAATCTTTGTATCAATTTACACAGTGTGTATACAAGAAGTTACTTTAGATATATTCTTTTAACCAAGATCAATCAAGACTAGACATTCTTTTTTTTGGAAATATAAATATACGTTGTTGCTACAATCTTACTCACTCTTGCTCACGCACTCTTACAATTATTCTTACTTATACTCACACTTTCTCTCTCTATCTCCCCATCTTTTTCTGTCTTTTATTTTGGTATGTTTGATAATAAATATAATTGTAGTGTATAATAGAAATTTATTCAAAGAATATAAAAGCATTAACAGTTAATACATATTTGAACTTATATTTTTAAATTAATAGAATATGTCTAACCAAAATGAAAGCTATCCCACTCGACGCACTCCTGCTGAGAGAGAGATGACAAACTCTCTTGCCATCTTGCATCGTGACATGACCACTGTCATGAAAGACGTTGCTGATATCAAAGCAAAAACTTCGAACACTCCTGTGTCTGCTGTTTTGCAGAGTCAGCCGATGGCTTTAGTGCATGCTGTTGCTCCTGTGAGCATGGAAATGAATGTAGCTGGTTCTCCCACCATGGCTTCTGATGCAAAATCAGTCAACAAAACAAAAGCCTATGTATGTATCATACATATAGTAAATTATATCTTTAATAACTTACCAAGATTCAATAGAGACTTCTTTGGGAGCATTTGTGGGACCCTAAGTTCAAGCCAAAACATTTGGCTGAAATTCAAGCCAACAATGGCAAGCCAAGGTGGAACACGGTTGTCAACTTCAACCAGTCGCCAAACACTGAGCTGACAGAAAACCTCGTTGCCTACTTGGAAAGAAATTTCGTAGGAGCAGAACTGAGAAAAAGTGATGTTCGTGACTTTGTCTACACGAACTTCACTAGCAGAAAGCGTGCAGCTAATAAGTCTCAGGCTAAAAAGAAGTCAGACAATGCTTGCAACAGAAGGAGTAGCTGCGAAAAGGAGGTAAGTTATACTTTATTTATTTATTATTTGAATAATTCTTATCTAAGTCATTAATTTAAAGCAAAAAAAGAAAACCAATTTAATATTTTCAACAGCACTTGAAACGTTGCAAAACAGCGTACCAGTCTAACAAGACTGCTATTGATGACGAGATGAAAAGAGATTGCTCTGGTCTCATTATAGAAGAGGCTATGTCTGTTGGTGAGTCAGACGATGGCACTTCGCCTCATGTTTCTTATAGTGGGCTTCGTCTTTGTTGTCCAGATTGGAGAAGTGATGAGGTACTTAGTTTTTTGAAAGTTGAAATATTTAATTTAGTTAATATATTATATTGTATTATACTGAATAAAATATTAATGTCTTTAATATAGTACAACCACTTCATCACACTTGTTGACAACAAAGTGGTAGCTGATTTAGGCTTAAATAGTCATCAATTGCTGTCACGTACTTTTGGCGAAACTGTTGAAGGACCAGTCCCTGATGCAATTGCATCACAGTTTTCTCAGTGGGCTCTTAGAAACGGGCCCTAAATAAAGTTTATATTTTTTGTTCTTTTTTTCTTCATTCATAACGTCTTATACTTTAAATAACCAAAAAAATGCATAAAGAGGCATTACTTGTTCTTTGTTTTTTATTTAATTATTCTCATAAAAAATTATAGTGCATAATTATTCATAAAGGCTTCAGGCATAGTATTTTTTTGGCATAGGAATGACCAGCATTCTTTCTTCGTTCATATCAGTTACATCTACAGCAGTTGCGACCTCTAAGTGTATGCGATGTACAGGCAAGATGCTGTGATAATTATCAGCAGAGAATTCTGGCAAGCAGATTGCAATACCTTCATCTCTGTGTTCATTGTCATTTGTCGAATTATACCATCGGATGTATGCAAAAAAATGCTGGTCTTGATGTAATGTTGATGCTCGGTGGTTTGGATGAGGAGGCAGAGTAAATGAATGTATAAAAAGATACTGAATTTGTCCGGTATATAGGCTTGAAGTTCGGCCATTGCTGCTACAGAAGAAAGCTTGAACAAGTGACCCGCGCTTACCAGAACTGTTGTTCCCAATATATGTTTGGCCAAGGAGATCAATTGATTTCAATTTTGTGATTCGGTTATTTACAAAATATTGTGACAATCTGGCACCGTGGTAAGAAATGAGATTGGGCATGGCATAGGCGATTTTATAATAATCTAACAATTGAGGATAATCAATATCACTCATTGTTGATTCTTTTAAGAACTGTAAAGGAAAGGTGGATGGGGGGAGTGGTTCATTGCCTTTGATAGGTGCTGCTCGACTTAAGGATGAGTCTACAAATTGTTGCAGTCAGAAAGGTTGTTGGTTGGTTGGAGCATAAGTGGCATAGGTCGTTATAGGTGCAGTTGTAGAGGTAAGTTTTTCAAAAAGAGGAAGGAATGGAATGAGGCTTGGACATGATAACGTATTTCATACGTAATCAGCTTTGTATGCGTCTGCAGTGAATTTTGTCATATAGGTTGTTTCAAACCCGTCTATTCTGTTTGTCTTGTTATTCTTTAACAAACCATTGTATCTCTCAAAACCAAAGAGCCAATAGCCATACACGGGTCCAAAATCACGAATTGTGTCATGAAGATGGAGGTGCAGGTGCATGTTGCAGGTGAGGACTTCTGGTTCATATGTATCTTCACAAGATTGACAGAATTCTTGTAGATATCTGTGTGCTTGGTCTATTTCGATGAAACTGATTGACGGCTTTACAAGTATATGGCATGCTTTTACATAGTGCATCCAGCCATTGAACATATTGGACGGAAGAACTGGTTTTAGAAGCACGGGAGAGTACATCAATACCCAAAACTTCCACTCATCTGCTTTCATGTGGGAAAAGCCCTTTCCTATCTTCGTTTTCAGCTTGGTATAGTCGCTGGGCAATATCATTGTTGCTGCAACTGTCTGCATTGCAAGCAGATCATTGTTTTTCATTTTTTTGATTTTTGTCCATGTTTCAATCATTCTCTTTGGTGTTCCCAGAAAAAGATTATGCATGGGATCAATGATCGTTCCACGTACTAGATCAAAGTATCCAAGGTGATACAACTGCAACTATCGAACACCATATTCAACCCCCAGCTGCTGCCTTTCTGAGGGTGTACTCGCACTATTCCACTCCTCAGCATGCACACGGTTTGCTCTATCACTTCGATGGTGCCACTGGTCACAATCAAATCCACGGAAATCGACAGAAGAAGTGCCTGGTAGATGAGAAAATTGATTGTCGCACTTGTAACAGGTGCATGTGCTGTTGTGCGCGGTGAACCCACTAGTCTTTCTGGCAGCAGGTATATCGCATGCAACCATCAATAAGGCTGCACGAACTGTTGCACCATCTGTTTGCTGGTAGGTGAGTATCTGTATTCCAAGATAGAGCTGTATCATTTCATCGACTAATGGCTTGAGATAATGATTGATCTCTTCTGATTTTGGCTCTTTTGGTCTGGGCATGAGGCCAACAAGGATTGTATTTTCTGCTTTAAAGTGCTCACTTCTAGGCAGGTTGTTAATCACCAGGTAGATAGCACCGCAGGAATAGCTAGTACCATCGAAAGGCTGGAACCAGTTGATGTTTAATGTCAGCATCAATGAACGAGGATGCTCAACAAAAATTTCATCATCATTGTCCTTCAAATCAGTCCAGGCTTCACCATCGTAAACATCACACAATGTATCAGTGATCTTGAATTCTTGGTTCCAGTGCATGATCTTTTGCTCAAAATTGGGACAGAGGAAAAGAATTTTAAGAGCACGTGTGAGAGAATGATATATATAAGACTTCTTTGCGACCAAACCACCAGACAATGATTGGACCATTAATTTGCAATTACAGGTGGTATGTGCACCAAGCTTTACGAAATCACAATTCAAAGGAGCAGGTACACTTTCCTCATACACCTTGTGGCAATCCTGACACACGACAAATCTCTTAATCCCTTTTGTCATGGCTGAGAATCCTGTCATGCTTTGGAGACCAGAAAGACTCATGGGCAATTGGAAATCCTGCTCGTAAATCGACAAGAGCTTGTTGATGAACTCGATCAAGACAACAGTGCCCTTATTGACCACATAGCGGGAAGCAAACATTACCACAAAAGTAGCAATGAACCTGTGTACCGGATTTTCAGGCATATTTGGGGTGGCAAAAGGATCTATTGTAAAAAAAACAAAAAAAATTAACACCCCCCCCCTTTTTTCAGATTTTTCTTTTTTGGTTCTTTTCCTTGAATTTTTTTGGGTCTTTTTTTATTAGTTAATTAACACGGACTGACCTTCAGTATCGAATTCTTCGACTTCAATCTCAACAATATTCTCTTCATTGTCTTCACTTTCTTCACCACCATTGCTTTCTTCATCATTGTCATTTTCATCACCATCACTGCTTTCACCATTCGACTCATTGCTAAAAGCAACCTCATCGTCAGAAATTGGGGCTCCTTCCCAAACAGGCGAGTTGGTCTGACCGCCCATTGCTTCCATGGGTCCAGTTTGTTGGTTTGATGTAGCTACATATAGAATTCAATTTTTAGTTTACTCCTCTTTTTATCACAATTAATGTTTCTTACTTTCAAAATCAATATCCATGAGATTTCTTTGAACAGATACATCTATTGAAATAAAACATTATATAAAATAACCAAAATGAAAATGAAAATGAAAAACAAAACATACTTCTTTCACTTCTTTCCATGTCTTCATATCTTGCTCTTTTATTGTGACGCTGGAGGGTTTGTGTAGAAACAAAGCTGTAGCCTTGTTGATTATCACTGCATTTTGTGCAATAACACTTCTTATTATAAAGTTCAGAAGTAGAGGACATGGTGTTTATTTTGTTATAAATGTTAAGATAAAAGGGAAACAAGTGTTACATTTACTTTATTAGTTCAAACTTTATAATAATAATAATAATGATAAAATAACTTGGATGGTTATTATATCCGAGCCAATAGAAAATTACAACATGAATTTATAAACATGTACACCAAAAAACATGCTGAGATGAAAAATTGCTCTAAATATCCACATATAACCATGAACCTTCACACAAGGGTATTCAGGGTCATTTCTCCAGTGTTTGCCAAACCACTAGAGCTAGCATGGAAGTTGCTGTCAAACCGACCTACCTATAAGTATAGAAAAGTCTTAGTATGTATTTAATATCTTGTCACTTTTTATTACTTACGCCTTCTTCAGCCCTCTCCTTCTCATACATTTTCACCACGTTGTCACCAATTCACATCTGCTTGAGTTGAGTCTCTACTTGCTCCAACTTTTCGCCAACATCACCCTCTACATCTTTTCTCCTCTCACACTTCAGACTAAAATTGCCATCCATGGCAACATATTGATAGTCGTCAATGGTCACATTGCTGTCAACCTGATATAAAAATACAACTTCAATACTTTGTTGCAAGTAAAATATGACATATTATTCACTTACATCTGGACAAGCAGGGCAACAGTTGGATTCCTGAAATCCAAACGAAAGCTTCTCTACCTTAGCCTCAATAATTATTGTAAGCCTGATGAAGACATGCAGAAGATTTTGGCAATATACCTTTGAGATCTGTCTCTATTTATTTTATTTTAACACAATATTTAAAATCGATTAGTGACACATACTGTGAAGTTTTATAGAATAAAATCAACAGTAAAAAGATTGAGACGTATATAAGAATACTTTGAGACTGTATATAGGTTGTCTTTATTAAAGAATATAAAGTTGTCCTTTTTATATCAAAACACAATCTGCTTTGTCAGTCACATCTTAATTTCTTAAGTCTGAGTTCATTTAGATATTAGAGAGCTGGTACTGCTATGTTTATAATTTAATCTAATTGCAGTGTTCTCATATTAACTCAGTGCTTACTGAGCTGTCATAATTACAGTACTTACTGTAATTAATTATTGGTCTTATTGATTTACCATAAGTAAAATAAATAAATTATTCATTTGTTCTTGTAATGATAGCTGTTTTACTATAATAATAGAAATATGTTCTTAGATGTAATAAATCCAACAACCAAGTGTCTGGATCACCACACATACTGATATATAATTTTTTTTCTTACCTCAGCACCCAGATTGATCTTATTGTACAGATCGGCCAAGCCCTGGCCAGAGATGGCAAGAACATCTTGCATGTCTCTCATAAACTCAAGAAGTCCGAAATGAATTGCATATTGGACATTGTTGAGGGAAGCAGGGAGCATACCCATCTCAACCTGTGGTGATCCAGACACTTGGTTGTTGGATTTATTACATCTAAGAACATATTCCTACTACTATAGTAAAACAGCTATCATTACAAGAACAAATGAATAATTTATTTATTTTACTTATGGTAAATCAATAAGATCAATAATTAATTACAGTAAGTACTGTAATTATGACAGCTCAGTAAGCACTGAGTTAATATGAGGACACTGCAATTAGATTAAATTATAAACATAGCAGTACCAGCTCTCTAATATCTAAATGAACTCAGACTTAAGAAATTAAGATGTGACTGACAAAGCAGATTGTGTTTTGATATAAAAAGGACAACTTTGTATTCTTTAATAAAGACAACCTATATACAGTCTCAAAGTATTCTTATATATGTCTCAATCTTTTTTACTGTTGATTTTATTCTATAAAACTTCACATAACCAACTGCTCGGAAATGGACTTGCATCCGCAAAAAACAACCTCAAATGTTTCTGAGGCTGTATATACATATAGGATGTTAATATATTAATCTAAGGGCAGTTTTTCTTGAAAAATTAATAACGATTGCTTACAATGCAAAAAAAACATGTAGATGTTTTTCTTAGAGAACTTTGTGCAAGAACAAAGGAAATGAGACAAAGGAGCAATAGCCTTCTTATTCAGACAGCCATCCTTGCATCTTCCAAGGTAACGTTGAAAGGAACCAGCTAACTGGGGAAGCAAATCTACCCACTTGTTGTAGAGGCTTATTTTCTGGGTCTGACTGGCTTCATATGTATCGAAATCAATTTCGACATTCAAGTCAGTCTGAGAAGCAGCAATGTTCTTGGAAGGCATTTCTACTGGGGCTATAGCCATGGTTCTTGCTCTCTTCTTGTGCGTATATGTATACTTTAGGCGAGAACTACTAAATTCCACCTCAGGAACAGATGGGTTTTCAGTGGGAATATAATTCAAACCACTTATTGGAACATCTTCAGAAAAGTAATCCAGTAAGAACTGAGGTACAGCTGTTCTCTGTCTTCTTTTGATAGTACGCTTGCTTGGGTTGTACATGTTTAATTTGCTTGTTAAATTCAATAAAAAAATAAAGAGTAAAGGATTATGATACTCTAAATGAGTTCTGGTATTGGTAACTGATCGCATCACTAAAGTGAGCTGCTTTGTAAAGCTCAAGGGCTGTAGAAAACCATATGGTAGCACGAAATTGACTAATTTAGGAAAACTAGTAACAAGTAGTAAAATTATCAGCCTTATACTAAATAACTAGATAATTAGATAACACTATGCAGTTAGCAAATGTGACAAATAATTTTGCAGGGGAAATTTGCACTTTGATAGGGAAATTGTTATCCAGATTTGTACAGTGAAAACAATTATGATTACCAGCACAGAGCTTCTAAAAATGGTTTAAATTGCTCTAAATTTAGAAAGGCTAATAGGAGTTTTAAATATGTGCAAAGATTTTGCAGATGTGCAATTTTTTTTGGAAATCCTTGCACATTATTTTCTATAGTGCTGAGATACATCAATGACTTATTATAAGCAAAATTATAACTCATAAACACATTTACTTTCTATATAAATATTTCATTGGAACTACACAAATTTAAATAATTAATCATACATTAATTATTCCAAGATCACATTGCTCTGATTAAGACTCAAATAGGATCGATTACCTGACCCCAGTCATATAACTTTCCCTATCCAAAATAATATAAATAGCAGTAGTAGTTCAGTGTAGAAATCTCATCAAACTTTGATACCAAATCTTTCTCAATAAACAAACCCTACGCAAGTTCTCACAAATCTTTGTTCCTCATTTCAAATATTGAATTCTTCCTTTTACAGCTTCTTAAAAACTTCAACCACCACAACAGTTGTCATGGGTATTGTGGCAGACTGCGTTTTCAAGCAGAGCAAGTATCTTCCTGCCCAAGTTTCTTGCTTGACAGTCAATTATCTTGCATATATCTCTAAATATCGCACCTGTCATTCAGCTTTTATTATTGTGATAATACTGAAAGTTATACTCTAGGCCTGTTTTATAAAATCAGAACATTTAATATACCAAGAAAATTATTGATTTCAGCATATATAAATAGTGTAATAACTTATTATTCTTCTTGCCAAAGCAGTGAGGCTTTGCATATTTGCTAATGATGAAAGGCTTCAGCTTCCAGAAGCTATCTGAGTTGCAAATCAATACAACTGTTAGTCAAACTTTATTGGCCTTTCAATCAGAAATTGCTGCTGTTGATATGGTTGAAACCAGTAGCTGCTTATATAAAAGACCAGTTTTGTCAAAGTTGAAAATATCTTTTCTCTTATACATTCTCAACTTCTTCTTTATCTTTTCTACTCTCAGATTGATTTCTTTAGTGTCTTTAGAAGCAGAGGAACTTTTGCCATGCATCTTTCTGCTTTTTACTGAGTCTCTTCTTCAACTTCACAATTCACCCATCTAAGAAGCTCGGCATGTTTTCTTGTGTGATATTGTATTTGCTTACTGCAATTATCTTGGCATAGTTTTTGATTGAGTGAACATTGATTGGAACTGCTTTTCTCTCCATATCCAAAATAAACTGATAGACATCTTCTTCCAACTGAGAGTAGGTTGTCCCTTTGGTGAACATCTTCTTCAACTCATTTTTAGTTCTTTCTGCAAAAGCTTCAATATAGCTGCCTGGGATGGGAGCTTGGGCAAGTCAAATTGCTGTTTAGCTCAGACTCTCAACTGCTCCTGGTTAAGTCCATGTCTAGACTTATCGCAAATAGCAAGCTTCTGATTTCCATTAAGATAGACACAACTCATGGCATGCTGTTGTTATTGGAAGAAGTGTATAAGATATTAAATACTCTATGCATGTTAAAAAAATAAAGTGATTGAAGGTATGTGAGTATGTGTGAGTGTGTGTTTAAAAAGAGTTTATAGTAAAAATATTTTTATGAATAAAGATAACAGTAAAAATATGTTTTACAGTATTTCTTTTATATTAAGCATATTATTATTGAATAAAACATATTACTATTAAACAATACATAATGCTTATAATATACCAATCATATTTTTTGTCTTTTAAAAGAAGTATAAGCTCATTTGTATAATATAAAGTGAAATATGGTAATACACTCAATTGGTTTTTATTATGTCTTAGAAGATATGTAAGCTTGATTAAGTTTTATTAGATTAAAAATATATAAAACAATCATTATCATCAATTTTTTACAGAGATGTTTCAAATAATGTTTCATTTATTATTGGTTCTTAAGATTATATATCGTATTATAAAGATGTTATAATAGCTTGTTGAGCAAAAGAATATACAATTATTAATAGAATATATATCTTATATGTCTTATATTTTCTGTCTTTTCCTGTAGTGTTTGTCTATATAATATATAAATATCTAATTAATGAATGTAATTTTAAACAGCTTTTATTATTAATATATTTATTCATCTTTCTTTAAAATTATCATATTAGAAAGACAGAATGAAATTAGAGATCATGTGATTTAGCCCTTCTAATTGGTCACGTGTTCTCTAATTTACTTGCTATTTATCACCAAAATAAAATGTAAAAACCTATACTACTTAGTAATTGTGTGCCGTACACTATTATCAGTAGGGAACAGTTACATAGAACTTAACGTAGCCCAATGGCCCCAACCCCCCCCCCTCCCACCACCCAAAGGGGAGGGAAGCAAAGCTCCTATTTTATTAAAATACTGACTTTATTTTATAGATCAACATCTTGTATTTAATGTATTTCTATATTCTTAATGACTTTTATTACTATTGATCTTGACATATAGAAAGTAATATATGATCATCTTGCTATGAGAAAAGCAGCAGTCACATACAATGGAATTTTAATATTATAAAAAATTCAGAGTAAGAAAATATCACATTCAATTTAGTGATAGTGATGAAATTCTGTGACTTCTAACTATATTATTAAATCGAGTGTTGACTGTAAGATAACCCAAATCAGAATAATAAAAATCATCTTTTATTCTCTCTCTTATTTGCTATACTCCTGTGTTATTAAAGTTCAACCAATTTGGCTACGTTTACAGTGAATTGAAAGATAGTATAAATCAGAAATAATATTATAGTAAAAGGAAGACAAGTGTCATGGCCAAATTCTTGTCAATCAATTAGAATGGCAATTACATAGAATTCTCTTTTGAGAACAATGACCAAAATAATTTTGTTTTACTCACAAAAGAATTAGAAAGCACATAGTTTAACAAAAGTAAAATAGAAATCAAAACAGACATTTATAATGGCTGAGTAGATTTAGAAAAGATATAAAAGAGAATGTTATTTCATTTTATACAAGTTATATATCTTCTTACCCTCTTTTTATTCTTTTATCTTTGTTTATGATTCCCAGTGGGTTTGACCAATTTTGACAGTGTTATAGTAATGGAATAATAGCTCAGATCAAAAACAATAGAAGTGTCGGACATTATTTTGATGAATCTGTAAAATCTGAAGATGGTTAACTGCAGTATAATGACTCTTCTTTTATTTAAATATAATATAATAGCTACTGCGGATAATGTGCAGTATTAGTTTAGAAAACTATATAAGACAATTCAATTCATATCAATAAGAAATATCTTTTATAGTGTATTTTCTTAATAATTGTAAATTTCAAGATTTGTGTCAATTTTTTTATTTCAAATACTAATATATGAAAATGACATTAAATGTCCGCCAGTTTTTTAAAAAATCCTAAATATTGAACTTTATGCAGTCACAACTTTATATATTCATGACAAAAGATCTTTTAAACACTGAGTGATACATAGTATTACTATTTTAGAGGATTGATTCTTGTTGTCTGCCATTATAAATAGAAAATCTAGTGTCAATATTTTTTTTCTCTGCTATTAAATTCAAATACTATGTTTTTTTCAAAACCTAAAAAGTGCTGTTGCAAATGTCAAAACTAAACATGTTTTCTGTTTGTTGTAGGCAGAAAATAAAGCAAATATAATATAAACAAAAGAATTTGTGAGAACTTGTGTAGGTTGTTTATTTCAAAAGAAAAATAAAAAATAATAAAATTCAATTGTTTTTCTACACGGAACTATCTACTGATATTTATATGTTTGTCTAATTTATAATTCAGTGTGTGCTCAAGTAATCTTTATCATGATGAGTCATCTTCCAGGAGTATTGTTCTTCTGGAAATATCTGGAAAGACCAATTGATATGATACTTCTCCAGTCAGATCAGTCCGAGAGTTTTGGTAAAGAAGAGCATTTATGCTATTGATAATATTTTAGTATTCCGACCCAAATACTTGGGTAATGTTTCATAATATTAAATAGTTATAGTTGCAGTCTCTCAATTAAGTATTTGTATAATAAAAGAAATATGTAGATGAAATATAATGGTGCCATATATATAATGTATATGTATTTGTATATCCCATGTCATGGTGATAATAATAAATAATCAATTGTGTGTATGATGATCTGTGTATTAGATAATACCATAAAGGGAGATTCATTTGACTGGAATAGCTGAGGATATTATTTTATCCTTCAGTCTTACTCTCAGATTCAGCAGTAATCAATACTCATTCACAACACTGTTTACTTTGTAGAGAAACTGTTTCTTAACAAAGTAAATAGAAAAAATATTTAGTTTTGTTATTTGCAACAGCACTTTTTAGGTCTTGAAAAAAATGAGCAGAGTACATTTTTTTTGTTGATTATAAGAAAAATACTGTTGTATTTGAGATAATTTAAAATCCAATATCATATACAAACCCAGAAAGAAGTACCTGTCAAAGAAATTGTTATAAATGATTATCTAATATGAAGTCCTATCTGAAACATAAGAGTAATATGTCTGATCCATCATTGGATCATCTTCAAGAAGTACTTAAACTATTATTGCAAAGCTGTTATAATGACTCATATCCATGGTGACTGGATATATCTCAATAAATATAAATACCATAGAGAAAATAACTTTTATTAGAATAATTGGATTTGACTGAACATCTCTTATCAATAAAAAAGAGTTTTAAAGTACTTGTCATCCCAATCTCTCCTATTTTCCATATATAAATATAACATACAGCGTGACGCAAATAATGAACATTATATAGTCTATATCTGTTCATTTTAATTCTATACTTCAGATAAGCCCAGATATGCTCAATAGGGTTAAGGTCTGGACTTTGTGGTGGTCAGCTACTCAAAAGTTGAAGATAATTCTTCTTTTTCCAAGCCTTGCTCATTGCATTTTTATGGCAGCTGATATTGTCTTCATGCAGTTTAAATCTCCTCCAGCTGTTTTTTTTAAAAGTCTTCAAAGAAGGAAGATATGACTTTTCCAAAATGACAATGTACTTCTTGGAATCAATATTCTCCTTTACAACATTTAAATCTCTAACGCTCTTGCCAGAGAAGCACCCCAGACCATAATAGAGTCACCTTTAAACTTCACTGTTGGTGAGACAAAGTCAGGCTGCAGACCCATCTTGTTACGCCTGAGAACTCTTTGGCATCTATCACTAACATGGAGTCAGAATTTCAACTCATCAGACCAGATGATGACATTCCAATCCGTCAATTTTCAATGCAAATATTCTTTTGCCTATTTCAATTGCTTTTTCTAATGGATTTCAGAAATCTTTGGCTTTGAGATCATTTTATGAGAGTGTATTCTAACACCACGCAAAAAGCTTTGCAGAGTTTTTACTGACATAGATGTAGTTAATCTTTTGTAAATGGGTGTCATTGTGGCTATTGCATCACGGTTAATCTCATGGAGGATCTCTCTGTTGTCTCTCTCATTTAGCTTTTTTTGTCTATCAGATCGTACACCAGCTTTGTATAAGTCGCTTTCTTTGTAGGCTTTGAGAATGCAATGAACTATATATTTGTGTACACCACCTTTTCTGACAATGTTAGCTTAACTAGTACTGTTCTTAATGCTCTTATGCACAATTATTGCACAAGTTGTATCATCGGTTTGTTTGTGTTCTTTAGTTAAAAGTTTTTTTGGACTTTTCTGTGCATTTAGATTTTTGCATTTTTATTTAGAATTGTAATATAAAAGTGAAAGAAAGAACCTGTTACTCAAATAATATAATTGGGTTTTAAAAAACGTTGCAATACTTTTCCCCCTCACTGTAGCTATTTCTTCTTCTCACTTATAGATATTCAACTGTTTATTATTATAAATGGCTTGGCAGAATCAAAGGTAAGCATCTTTAAACAAAAGTACTTTAAATATGATTAATAATTGATTTTATTTTCTTAGAGTCTCTTGACACACATGTCTTCAAGTTTCTTGGCACTCAAGACTTCAAGCTCTTTGGTTTTCATGTTATTCATGATGCTGGTTTTCTCTCCAAATAGCTAGATATATTAGCTTACTATATATTGGCCACATAATCCACAGGCATTGGTGCTAGTAGCCATACTACTGTTTTAGCCAGTATTATTAGTTTGCTAGTACACTACTGCTGCAGATTACATGGTCCAGCCTAGTATTTTTTTAATTTTTTTATTTTTTTGCAATCCAAAATAAACTAAAAATAAAAACCTATTTTTTTGAACCCAAAAATTATTTGAAACAAAATTTATTTTGAGCTATTATTGAAACATTTTTTATATTTGTAAAAACACATTTTTAAATTTGTGATTTTTTTGACTAGAAGACATTACAAAAAATGACCTGTTCATAAAAAACAAAACTATTTACTCAGCTATGTAAGCCCATTTTGGGAATATGATTACACAAGAAAAATTTCTGGTGGTAAAGACCAAACCTTCTTTCCTTCTTTATTTGAAAGAACAAAATTCAACTTATAAAATTATACAAAAAAATTCTCTAAGACAATAATATTGTTTGGGTACCACACCTTACCATATTTGGCTTCCAATTTTGTGGCTATGGAATATTTTATTTCATTTTGATTTTTTGGTAATTTTTTAATTATTATAAGTCTAAAATAAAGCCACAATTACAAAAAACGTCCCTTTTTTCCCATCACACTCAAAGATTTTTCTTGCAAACCTTAATATTGCTTTCAGAACAGTGTACTATTCTATACACAGTAATTTTTCTTGAGGGTTTACCTTTCTAATATAGAACACACAGCAACTGTGAAGACCCTCAAATTCCCTCCCACCACTGCTTCCCCCATTCTGAGAAATGTGCAGAAAAGGCTCTTTATTTGTAAAATTTGTTTTATGCAAAATCTGGTCTGAAAACTTTCGAAACTTTTATTTTTGAAATTTTTTTTTTATTTTGAAAAAAAAGCTCAAAAAAGTGCAAAAAAGCGCAGTACTAAAATATAAGCAAAAATATCCTTGCAATATTATATAATAATGAAAACACTACAAAAAAGTACTATTTAATAATAATAATAGAGAGAAAAGTGTGGTAGTAGCAGCAGTACACTTTTGTGGGAGTAGAGGAAGTAAGGAAGCAGCAACAGATAGAAAATACCAAGAGCTATATAAATAAAAATAAGGATTAGTATTATTGATAAAGCATGACGTGTTCAATCATTGAAAGTTACCTCTTAGAAAGAATAAAAAGTAGATTCCACTCTGACTTACCTAAAGCAAAATAAAGCAAAAAGTTAATAGTTGAATAAATCTCAAACTATTAAAATAAAGATATTTATCTTTATTATATCACACAATGTAGCTCCTCAAAATGACTGTAATCTAGAAAAAAAGATTAGTAAAAGTTTTATAAATCTGGCGCTTTAGTTTGTTAAGCAAAATATCTTATACAAAAGAAAAAGTGTCTAAAAAGAAAATAAATACGCATCATATTTACTAGTACTTACTTGAACTAAAGACAAGAAGAAAGAAAGAAAAGAGAAAAAAGGAAAATTCTAGTCTTTTGCTTAAAACCCCAAGTGTGTGACATTGGTTGTGAAACACTTTTGGTAACTTAGCATTTTCTTGGCTTTTTTTTCATAGTCTTTCTTTCTACATTACAACAAACTTTACTATGAGTGCAAATAATCATGGCCTAATAGGCATGATTAATTGTAGGAAAAAGAAACCTGACAAATATTTTTGCACATTCTGTAAAGTGTACAGCAACTCACAGAAATACAGAGTCAATGCACATGAGAAGACATGCAAGCAAAAGAGTAATACTTGCTTCACTCCAAATGCAGCTCTCTCAAATTTTAGAGACTAACTTATGTAAGAGCACAACTAAACTGTTGCATTTAATCAATGAGTAACTCACTTTCTTCTTTAAACATCTCAATTGCCTCTTTTTCTTCTGCGTCTGTCCCCCCCCCCCCCCCCCCCCCCACTACTGCTTCTACATCTGCCTTTGTTTTTGATGACGACTTTGACATAGACTCAGTTGACAACTACTACTTTGTTGACAACTTGGACAATGTATCTGATGACGATCTTTCTATTGCTGTCTATCCCCAAAATCCTTCTTCTTCTGAAAATGATGAACAATAAGAATATTTTTTTGAGTTAACATAGACAGTGCAAAATACTAATCTAATTATGCAAATTTATTGGTTCTTCAAGTTCTGACTTTGATGACAAAAATGAGGATTCTTACGAGAAGATGACTAATATGTTTTATTTTCTTGATGAAAATTCTACTGATTTTGACACAACTGCTAACAACATTGCTCCTTTTGATGACTTAGCTGGGATAGAAGAGATTAAAACTAATTTCGATGGATCTGAAAATGCTGACAGCCTGATAAATAGTTTTTAAGATCTTATTCAGAACTATCCTTTGGAACACAGTGCATCTGATCCTTTCAAATCGCTCTTGGAAGTTGCTTTCATGGCTTTCTTTCATGCTAGCTGCATGAACTTCTCTGAACAAAAGATCAAATCGATTTTGGTGATGATGAATATTGCTTTTGGACTTAAAGAAAAATCTCCTAACCTGAAAATATCTGCTACCAACTCTATTCTCAATTACAATAATAGAAAAAGATCATGTATTCACTCAATAACTCCCACTGTGCATGTTGGCCATAACAAGAAAAATCAAGAACATCAGTTTTTTATGAACAAGCCTTCAATGTATCTGAAATACCTCATGGATGACCCTAACAAGAACCCTTTGCTGAGTAGTCTCCCTGACAAAAGCACCAGTGAATTAAACTGCTTACAAGAAGATGAAAAGTGGCAAACCCATAAGATGTTTTAAATACCTATGGTGACTCTTGATAACAGCAATGACATTTGGGCTCGACATTTGGTCAAATTAAACTGCATGAACTTCGAAGCAAATCATCTATTGACTACTCAGTTCTTTAAGCAAAAGAAAACCCCATCTTCTGATATCTCTGTTGAATCTGAAAGCTATGTTTCTTATGCTGAAGACTATTTGGTTAAGAAAGACTTGTCTGTGCCCTTGCTTGGTTTTGTATTGGTAAAGAAGTACATGTTTCCATTATCTTACATTGTTCATGTGAAGGAGAAATCCCTTTAAATTGATCATGGATTTTGCTTTGATATTGATGATATTGAACAGTCATTCTCTTTCCAACAAGCATATGAGCAAGATGACTTGGTGATCATTTTGTGGAATGACAAAGGCTTTGCAAAACAATAGAAAGTGGAAAAATCTGATGGTACATTGATGAAGGCTGTGCTCACTTCTTTAATTCTCTTTACAGATGACACTTCTGGAAATCTATCCAAGCAATATAACTTGTTTGGCAGCTATTTGATGACTCTGACAGCAATGTCTTATGATTGTTGTGAATGAGTATTAATTACTGCTGAATCTGAGAGTAAGTCTGAAGGATAAAATAATATCCTCAGCTATTCCAGTCAAACGGATCTGCCTTTATGATATTATCTAATACACAGATCATCATACACATAATTGATTATTTATTATTATTACCATGACATGGGATATACAAATACATATACATTATATATATGGCACCATTATATTTTATCTACATATTTCTTTTATTATACAAATACTTAATTGAGAGACTGCAACTATAACTATTTAATATTATGAAACATTACCCAAGTGTCTGGGTCGGAATAGTAAAATATTACCAATAGCATAAATGTTCTTCTTTACCAAAACTCTTGGACTGATCTGACTGGAGAAGTATCATATCAATTGGTCTTTCCGGATCTTTCCAGAAGAACAATACTCCTGGAAGATGACTCATCGTGATAAAGATTACTTAAGCACACACTGAATTACAAATTAGAAAAACATATAAATATCAGTAGATAGTTCCGTGTAGAAAAACAATCAACTTTTATCATTCTTTACTTTTCTTTTGAAATAAACAACCTACACAAGTTCTCACAAATTCTTTCGTCTATATTATATTTTGCTTTATTTTCTCCCCACAACAATAACAATCGAACATATAAAAGATGTCTGGAATGATGTATGACAAATAGGGCAGAATTACTTGCCAATGGCAAAGTTTCCCAAACTGTCTCTCTTTCTGATCAAAGCCAGTTTACATCAGCAATGTTTCCTAACTTGGCTTTTGGGTAAGCTTATCAAAAGCAAAAACACAAAACGATAGACAGTATATTAATTAGCTGTATACTTTTATAAACAAACAGAGAAAACATCAATACAAGCAGTAGTGATAATATGGATATCATTGACAGTACTGAAAATGATGAGCCCATGGTAAGATCCATAAATACATATATCACAATAATCATACTTATTGTTGTTTATCTTACTATAGTACAATGTTGGAGAATAATATGAGAATATTATTGACAAAATTAAAGGCACCACACCCTTGCTAGTCTTTGATTTTAGCCAGTCTCTTCCTGTTCCCAGAAACAATGATAAAAAGAATCTAACGTTCATGCAGTTGATCCAAGAGTTCGGAATTTCTTGTTGAGCCCACAAAAAGATTGTAGAACACTTCAACCAGATCCTTGATTGTTCTATCAATATTACGTACCAAGCATGCAGCCCACACCTTAGAAACAAGCTTCTTGAGCACTTCTTGGATATCAACGCAGATGGATACAACATTTGCATCAGAAGTTGTATGCAGTTCAACAATAAGAATGATATCACATACGTAAAATGTGGTGAAGCAAGATATAAAAATGGTCAAACTAGCAAAAGTGACACCAGGGTTCCTGTGAGATCAATTGTACAGTTTCCTTTGGCCAGACAGCTTGCTTTGTGCTTGGCTGATGACAAGACCGGGGCTGAAATGCTCTATTGTCATAACCACCAATCCAGCCAAGATGGGTAGAAAGCAGATGTTTTCGATGGTCATGTGTACCAATCTATGAAGCATCTGTTTTCCGGTGAAAACAATATTACGATTTCGTTGTCTATAGACGGGTTCAACCCACACAATGTACCTGGATCAGTAACCATTGTTCATGCAACTGTCTTGAACTTGAGTCCAACGATCCATTATGAGAAAAACAGGACTATCCAAATAGCAATACTTTCTGGTTGCACTGGTCCCAGTGACATCTGGTATTTTCTTAAGCCAACTCTGAGAGATCTCCATTTGCTCCAGACAGAAGGCATGGAAGTAAAGACAATGACAATGACAATCAGAGCAAAGGTGCATGTCCTCATGGCCACTAGCAATATTCTGGCTCTGGCAAAGCTGGCATGCCATGTTGGCCACACAAGTAAGAATGGCTGTTGTATTTGTCACATAGTGGGTCAAACTCCTAAACATGGCCAGTACTTCCACATGTTGCCTGGAACCCAGACGTGCTCACTGGAGAGTTTTAGAAACTACAATCTGGCAAGCAGTGAAGACAGAAAGGGGCTCAATGGTCAGTCACCATTAGCCTCAATAGAAACATTCTCTGGCCTGTTTTTTTTTGCGTTAGACGAGATGCATGATCTGTGCCATGGAATCAGTAAACAAGTATGGGGACTTGTATGCAGAAAGTATGGAATCAAGCATTCTCTATGTCTTTCTCTTGCCACTCAAAGGGAGATTGGTGCTACAATGGTAGCCGCAAAATCCACAATCCCTACATTGTTGCATAGTGCCTGGAGAGATGTGACAAAGAATGCCAGTTTCTTTAGAGCTGTGGATTGGGCAGACTTTTTACTCTTTGTTGTCCTCATGTTGGTTGCAGAGTGTGTCCAAGACTTGGTTGCCCAAAAGGCATTACTTGGCCTGATTCAAACATGCAATTTACTCATGAGCTGAGAGTTATCAACAGAGAATCAGCCCTCAATAAGAAAGTATGTTTAATGCCATGTTTTATTTCATTTCTCATAGTAATTTACTTTTACCTTTTTTCTTAGTAATCTTGTAGAATAGAACGTATTTCTAAAGAGTCTTCTTTCTACAGCAGATATTGACATTGGCGTGTTCACAATTAACCAGCACATTATTCAGCATTATCCTCAAATGATTGATCTATATGGCCCGCCAAGAGCATATAACACACGATCCGTGGAAAGAGCCATTAGTGAGTACTCCGGGTCCATCAAGAGTAACTCCCAAGTCAGTGTCAATGCTGGAAACATCATGATCAGACTGGCGCAATCCCAGTGTGTAGCAGAACTGACAACAGTTACAAGCACCAAAACTCCATCAGCTAACCTTCTAGTTTACAGTGCATATACCAACGGGTGGCCTGTTACAGAAGGAGGTGATCCTGCCAATGCTGAGTGTGAGATTGAGTTCTGGGGGCCTTTGAAGAATTTAACAATTTTCAATAGCTTTGAAGATAGATCTCATCTTTTATTGCTTCTTAAAACGTTTTATAATTTGAAGGGAAAAGAATGTAGTATGCTTGAGCCTTCCATAAAGACAAGTCGCAAGGCCTATCTTAACAGTTGTGTTATTGACGCTGCATTCAACCAAAGTTCTACAAGAGAGGCATGTCATGCTCATGTGCAGCTACAAGTGAACATGAACTCCAGAAGATCCGACTCTTACCATCCAGAATATAAGCATTTCTTCGGAAAGGTAGTTATATTCTTCCAACATGTACACAACTCAAAGAGATGGCTACTAGCTCTCATAACCATATATAGTGTGCATTTGAAAAATGGATTGCTTATTACACCTGTAGTAAAACCAAAGACTATAGTGATTCATGCCAGTGACATTATAGAGTTGGTTGGCTTGGTGCCATCAAATGTCAATGGTAGCCATTACATCATTTGGTCTAGCCTTAAACGTGGTCCAAAATTGACACTTGGTGCCTTAAGTGATATATAATTTGTTTTTTTTTCTTTTTGTAATAAATTTTTCTTTTTTTCAAATTGTCTTAACAAATTTTATCCAAGCAGCAGAAAGTTTAGATATTCTCTTTTTTTATTTCTGACGTCCAATATTTCTCAATTTCAATCTATATTTACCAAAAATGTAAGATGTTTAATCAGAATAGACATTTGTCCATCCTGAGATTTAATTTTAAGTGATTCATTTGCTTTTTATCAACAATTTCAAAGAATAAAGATTTTCTTGTTTCAACTTGGATTTTTGGTGATTTTTTGATTATTATAGGCCAAAAATGAAGTCACAAATTCAAAAAATACCACTTTTTTCCCATAGTATATGCATGTTCATGGCTTCCTCCGCTATACAACTGGACCCCCCCCCCCCCCCACAGGGGAACACCTCATAAACGGCTATACAAACACTTCACCCACTATTACAATACCCACACCCGGACTCCCTCTCACCTACTTGACTGTCCTAACAAACACCACACTGACATTTCACCATGCCATCGTACTTGGGTCTAATGACCCCCTGACAAAACCTCGCACTTGGCAAGAAAGTACTAGCCAGTTCTCTGTTTACTACACTACTCCCTGGGAAACCTCTCCCAAATTCATTGTTTTCTTTGATGCTCTGCTCCAGTCCTATTTGCCTGGCGAAATCTTTGGCCTGCACCCTTCCAATAAAGCTGGTACCCTCTTTGAGCTCCACTTGAGCTCCAAAGATGTTTATACTTGTGCTTGTTGTATAGGCTTTTGGTACAACAACGAAACTGTTCTTGCCTCCCCTGCCATTGCTAGCTCATCCAAATTGTTTAAGCTGACTTTGTCAAAGCTCCCTCGATTCCCTCCTCAAGAGTACACTACCTTGGATATCAAACTTCATAATGCTCTCACGAAATATGGCTATGTACACAATATCTCCATTAACACATTGTTTGGGTTTATGAATGGAAGTGGACACACATATGTGGAGCGTCCTCCATATGAGGAAGGTGCCCTCCTTCCACTTTGCTTTAAAATGGATTTCGATGATAACACAACATTCTTGGCCACTTGGCTCAATATGGGAGCCCATTGTGCTCTATGTCAAACCATGGGCCATGACTGCAACAACTGCCCCAATCGGCCAAAAGAAACTTGCTTGTGCTATGGCTGCCATCAGGTTGGCCATCTTTGCTCTAAATGCCCTCATGCTGCCAAAGTAGACAACTCATACAAATGGGATTGCAAGGTTCCTGAACTGCAAGGCCCCCATCGCACCACTGCCACCTGCAACACCACCAACCAACCCACTGTCACTCACTCTGGCTCACATATGAAGAAGACCCTCCCCCCTCCTTCACCACAACCAACCTTTATGCCCTACTTGACCCTTCCCTCTCTTCTGCCGGGTCTCAACACAACCCCACCAACATCACCAAAGCTGTACCAGCCGATTCACGCACCAAGACACCAAAAACACCTTCCCTCCCTTTTGAGACAAACTTAGTTGGTAGGGAAACACTCCTCACTGATGATCCCACAATCACCAATGACGACGTGGCAGAGGCAGAGGCATACTTTGAGAAAAACTGCAAAGACGACCCTATGAAGGGTATTGAAGAAACTATCCCCCAATAATAATTATGATAAAAATTGCATCTATAAATTGCTGTTGATTAGCTAAAACTAACCACTCACAAACGCGCTCCCTATTTATAAGACACCTTCGATCCTGTGGGATCGATATACTTGCCCTTCAAGAAACTCATGCCAATACTGAACCTCTCCAACAGATGTTCCATACACAATTCCATGCCCAAGATTCCTTATGGTCTCCGCACTGCAGTCTTGTTTCTCTTTCTCCGCACCTATCTTTGATTAACTCTCTATTCAGCCCTTGTGGCCGTTGCATCTCTACTACAGTCATACATACTAATAATTCTATTCCCTCTTTTCTTATATGCGTTGTTTATTCCCCAGCTTCCTACCGGGACTGCTTTTCTTTCCTCCGCTCTCTTCTCAACTCTCCAGCACTACTTCCTCGTCTCCCATCCTCATGCATACTTTTGGGCGACTTCAATTACACCTACCACACTACTTCTTCTAACCCTCGCCAGGCCCCTCCCAAATGGCTTAACTTTATTTTTAACTATTTCGTGGATTGTATCACATTGAGTGGTGAAGTCCCTGCCCCAACCTTCTACTGACAACTTTGCTCCTCCTCCATAGATTATGTATTTGCTTCTTCCAACCTTGCCCCGTGCCATCAGTTCTCTTCTGTGTCCTATATACATCCAAATTGGTCCGATTATTGTCTAGTAGCAACTACTTTTAAGTTTACCGCCAATCATGCAACAGGAAAGGGAATGTGGTGTGCCAACCCTCGTCTTGCCTGCAACCCCACTTTTTGCACTGAATTTGATGCCTATATTTCTACCTCCATATTTCTACTTTCTCCCTATATGTCCCCACAAGACCAATGGGATAGATTAAAACATATGCTTGCAAATTTCATTAAGTCCTTTACTAGGTGCTGCACACAAACACTCACTACACTGGAGGCCAGAATTCAAAGTAAACGTGACAAGTTAATTCACAAATTCAGACAACAACCTGCCCAAAACTTCCAATTGCCCATTATTGAAAGACAGTTGCAACAAGTCCAGCTGGAGAGAGTGGAAATTCTTGCCCTGCATGCAGGCAAACATTGGCGAGAGAATGGAGAGATCTCTACAGGATACCTCAAGCAAACAGTTGCAGAATGCCAAGCCCGAAAGAACATCACCAAACTATGCCATCCCATCACTGACCACTTACACACTGAGCCTGATGACATGACTGAAGCTGCTGCTTCTTTTTACGAAAGCCTGTATACACCTGAACCAATAGATCAACTAGCCATAGACGATTTACTTTGCCACCTTCCCAATGATCTCTGTCTCTCTGATACTATATGTTCCTCTTTGACTGCTGAACTTTGCATCGAAGACATATGAGAAGGCATGTCTTGCTCTCCACAAACAAGTATCCCAGGACCGGACGGCCTCCCTTATGAGATCCTCCAACTCATTTTTCATCACCATTCTCGCTCTCAGTTGCTGACACAAGTGTACAATGATGCTCTTAGTAGTGGTCAATTCCCTTCATCCTGGCAAACAACATGTGTTTCTCTGTTGCCCAAGAAAGACGATCTCTCATCCCTGAAGAATTGACGACCGATTGCTCTGATCAATGCCAATGCCAAGATTTTCACTCGGCTTCTCAATGCTCAAATGGTCAAAGCTGCTGGAGTGCTTGTACCTCCGTATCAAACAGGATTTGTCCATAGTTGCTTCATTGCTGATAACAATATACTTACAAAGCTGGTTATGGATCATGCCAATTCTACTGGTCACTCTGGAATTGGTCTTCTCTTGGATCAGGAAAAGGCTTACACTCAGGTTCACCCTGACTATCTTCAACAAGTTCTTGTTAAATTCGGTTTTCCTCCTTCAATTATAATCTGCATCACTAATCTTTTCTTCTCTTCTGACCTTAAGATTAATGTGAACCGTTTTCTTTCTCGTTCTCTTTGTCAAGCACGTGGACTCAGACAGGGTGACCCCATGTTCCCTGTTCTGTTTAACCTGTCCTTTGAACCACTTTTGCACCGACTCATACACGGCCCTCAGTTTCCTGGATTTGAGATCCAAAGTACGCCTGAACATCCCGCACCTCCACCCATAAAGCTACTTGCTTATGCCGACAATCTTCTGGTTTTCCTTCCGCAGATCCAGGACATGTCCCGATTGCAGCACCACCTTGCCACCTATTCCTCTGCTTCCAACGCATGCATCAACCTTCACAAGACCCAAGCTTTCTCTCTGTCAGGCAGACCTCATCCTCACTGGGTGGACACCCTTCACAGCTTGCAGATTGTCGATTGGCATGATAGTCGCTCTCCAGAACCTCTCCACTACCTTGGCTTTCTGATCATTTCCTCTCTCACCCAACACAACTCCTTCTGCTCACAAATCTTGTCTAAGATAGAGCGAGCTTCACATATCCACCTCTCCCGCACCTTGTCCTTCCATGGCCATGCTACTGTCCTAAACTCTCTTATATTGTCAAAGCTCTGGCACGTTCTTCATGTTGTATCTGTTCCTGACACATTCTTTACCAAAGTTTGCTATCTCATGGGTCGCGTTCTTCAGCATCGAAGCTTCCCACCAATTAGACTTGACACTCTATGTCTCCCCACAAAAATGGGTGGTTTAGGGGTTTTGAATCTAAAATTGCAACAAGGTACCCTTCAGCTCCATTGGCTTCGACCTCTGTTCCAATCCACTTCGTCTCCTTCTGGTCTGGTGTTGCCTTGGCTGCTATATCTTCTTTGGCATTATCTACCTGATGTCCATCCCCATCTTCCTTTCATTTTTTCTGACCTCAGACACCCTCGATTCCGAACTTATACCAGTCCTTTCTTTAATCTTTTTGCTGCCTGCGATCTCTTGCCTCACGATTTTGACTCTACTGTGATAAATCTACCAACTTGTCTGGACATTCCTCTCGCCTCTGCAGTTGTGGTTCCACATGGTCTCCCTGCTTTTCCTGCTTCTTGGCATCACCTCCGGATCCGGGATTCCTACGAGATCAACACCACTTTGGATATTCTTTCTCGCTGCTTACCTTCTTCCTTTCCTCGTTCACCACGCATCCTCTGCAAAGTCCTTCAGTGGGTAGATGATCACTCTCTTTTCCTTCACGCATTCGTCATTCGCACTTGCCTGTCTCAAAGTATCTTGACCGAACAATTCCCTGACTTGATGGCTCGCACGGGCACTGAGGTTGACCCTTCCACACTCCTGTTGGCCCTCTCTCCTACCTTTCCTTGGAAACGCTTGTCTACATGCCAATTCCATTCCTCCTGTGAAGTCGTCACTTCTTCTATCAAGGATGTACTGCACAACATACGAGCCATTAAATGGCGTCAATTCTGATCTCTTATCCTTCCGTATGCCTCTCGCAACATTTGGTTCCGGCTGCTTCACCACAAGATCTCATGTCAATCCGTGCTGCATAACCGTATTCCTACCTCATTTCCCTCCACTAATTGTTCGCTGTGTGGAACGGAAATTGACTCTCAAGACCATTTTCTCTACTCATGCCCACTCAAGCTTCCTCTCTGACTCGCGCATTTCAGCTTTTTCCCCCAATCCTCTAACATTCACAATGCACTATACAAGTTTTCCTTCCCTCCCCCGCTTAATCCCACTTCACATCTTGTCTCAATCCTTAGCTCTGTTCTTTTAGCCTTGTGGAGACATCACTGGGCTTTCATATTCGATCAATCACCTTTCGTTGCCACTAATGTCACTACCACTGCCAATTACCCACTTTCCCATTTACAATCCAAAGAACACCTTGATCAACGCCCTTTTCTGTCTAAGTTCATCGCGTTTCTTCGTTTCCACTTTTTTTTACATTACATTTACAACTTAAAACACAAAATCCCCAAAAACATTTAAATAATAGAAAAACCAAAAACAAGTTGTGGCGCCTCTTAAGCCTTTTGGACAAGAGTCCCACCAATAAACCAGAGCTTCGCTCCATACAAACAAAAAAACCATAGTTTATGCATGTTATCAATCTCAGTATTGATCTAAAACTAAGGTACAATACTAGATGCTATGTATAAATTTTCTAATCAAATATACTTAGATATGAGAAAGAAACTATGATTCAACTAGTAATTATTCCTGGGCCTAAACACCCAAAAAACATAGCATCTTTTCTTGAATCAATCGTAGAAGATTTGCATATGTTGCAGACTTCTGGTCTGAGAATTCAGACGATTTCTGGGCAAGTGAGTGTCAAGGTTCATCTTGTCATGGCAGCTGGCGATAATCCAGCCATGTCAGACTTGATGAACCTGGCTCACCATAATTCTTTTTATGGGTCCTAAGCCTGCATTTCTCAGGGTATTCCTCAATTTCACACCATGTGTTTTGTTGGTGAGAAGATATCTGCTCCTATGAGAACCATGGGGAGCCTCTGTCAGTTTGAACGAAATGTAAGTACATGATTAATGAATAATTGAAATATTAATACCTTCTTTATAGAGATACTGTGTCAATGGTCCCAATGTTTTTAGGGATCTCAACACATTGACAAGTCCTGCTTTCTTCAGGTTTGATGAGATACATCTAATTGGCCACGGAATTGGTCATCAGCTATATAATGTATTGAATAGCAAATTTGTTATGAGCAACAAGACTGAGGACAATGACGTCCAACAGGCAGATCATGACTAGCAGCAACAACAACAGCACCAGAATCAACAGGATAACGTATATATGTTTGCTCTGAATATTGGACTTGACCAGATTGACAGCTGTATTGGCAAGTCCAGATCAGACATCCCAGCAAACTTTACTGGAAGCTAAAGATTGCTGAAGAAAACAACTGACAGACAGAAGGCTACCAACTGGCTTAACTTCCTTCTGTTTGTTGTGCCAACAGCTGTAGTCCATAAGTTTGTTCTTGCCAGAACCAGACATTCTGTTTTGGATCTAGTCTTAGCATGCTGTATTGCTCAGCAATAGGAAGAGACAGAAGAAATTCGTACCATGGAAGGGTAAGTTAGTCAAATACATTCTAAACAATGTTTTAATCATTTTTATAGAGCCATTGATTGCTGACATTCCTTCCTTCATTGTGAAATCCAAGAAAGAAGGTTAAAACCTACTATATTCATAATAAACTAGCACATGCTGATTCATCTCGGTTATATGGTGATGGAGATGGGTCTGTTATGGGCATATAGCTACCACCTAATCAAGTGCACAATTGGTGCATACTGAGCCGCAATTGGGTTCCAGAAGGATACTGGGAAGAACATGGAGAATATTCTTCTTTGTAAAGCTGGAATACAGCATTGTCTTGGTGGTCGGGCAGCGCAAAGAAGACTGACTGACAGGAGGACCAGCAACTTTGAGGTTGTGAGTAACAATGTTGCTAGTCCTCAGCTTTGGTCAAATCTAATCAGAAAGTCTCTTGCTTCCATAGCAATCAAATGCTATATGAACTACCACAATTTGGTGAGTTTATTGACTTGTCTCTGGGACCAGAACAGCACAGGTATGGAACAAGAAATCATTGAGGTGGTCTGCATCACTAAGATGTGGAAGGACAATGTGATGTACAGAGTCCGGACTTCTTTTGACAGCAGACATGTTCAAGCCAACGACCTTGTTGTGCTCAAACACCCGGAGGAGTAAGTAACACAAGTTATATCTTACATTATTGTAATATTAATCATATTTCAATTATATTTTTCAAAGGTACGGATATGTTATAAAGTTCTTCTCTCATTCTGTCTTGGGAGAGACTAGGCTCTTTGTTGTAGTTGATTGCTTGCAAGACGTATGGATATACAACGAGTTGCTCTTCTCTGTTTGGGAAAGCCAAACAATTGGTGAGATGAAGGTGGTTGAGGTTAAGTCCATCAGGGGGATGGCTGGTCTAGTCCATGATATTAATGATACAACTATTCGACATGTGGTGTGGACTTCTCCACGTCACTACCAGTAGTTTTTTTTTCTTGCCCTTTGCTTTCATTTATTTTACCTTCAAAGTACAAATATAGTTATTCTAATTTTTAAATATAACTTGATATCAATACCAATACATCTCTTGATGACTTTGAATAAAGATATAGTCTAGTATAAAAAACTTATACATATCTATATTTAAAGTATAAGTAATCTATAGGCTGTATTGTTGTTTTGTTGAACTTTTTGAATTGATATGCAGTCCAACATACAATCTTCACCTAAAATGGCTTTCTGAATTAAAAATCCAAAAAATATATTTGAATTAAATCTCAAAAAACAAAAAAGAGCTCAAAATGCCCTATATTTGGTATGGTTGTAGAAGTTTAAACAAAGTTGCAGGTTTTTTATTGAAAGTTGCTGTTTTTTGGAATTTGCGGCAACTTTTTTTCTATAGTGTTAGTAACTGAATAAAATCTCACATCTGTCAATGAGCAGGGTTATACGGTAATCAATAACAGGCAGGAGATGAAAAAGTGGGTAGACGAAAAACACCCACCTGGGCGACCTCCTGAGCAGACCTCCAGTGAACCCCAGGAGGACTCTCTTTTTTCCCGTAGTTTTGACAAGTGTTGCGTTGGTGTGGTGCAACGTTGTCAGAAAAATAATAAATGAAAATAGAGTTGCCAACGAGGTCAGAAGGCAAATATAGAGAGAGATAGAGATGAATTACTGTGATAACGCTCGGGTCTATCCAACAGTAAGGAGATGTAGTAAAATGTGTATGGAAAGGACAAATATAACAAGAAATATGCTTATAACTATCGTGAAAAATTGTTATAAGTCAGTGACAATGAAATAAATATATAAACAAAAGTAAAATAAGGAATTTGATCAATAAAATAAAGATAGATAAGGATTCTGTTTTATTATTGCTTCATCTGAAGACTTTTATATGTGAACAATCTATACTGCTTTGTTATAAAGCTCTATTAAAGCAGTACCAATGATGAAATACAATGCACAAGGGTATGCCTTGTGCAAGGGGATTGAAGGAAATCCTTCAAAGAGCGTCATACTTCTTTGCAGGATATTCGTGGTCTGAGTGGAGCCAAAAGAACACACATCATGTCAGTTTTAGCAGACTGCTTTGTATATTATATGAGCTATACCAGTAGTATCCTTGTCAAGTTTGCTCTTTTTCTCGAGTACTAAATTAATGTCCTACTGTTTCTACTCATAATCTTCTTTCTGATTAGGTTGTTGTTCATGTTCTTAAAAATCTAACTAAATTTCTCATGCTTGTATTGCTTTTGTATTTTCTATACTCTTTCAACGGCTAATCTTTAGACTCAAAGTTATTCACATTTTATCTAAGATGCCTCTTCAATTTTCGTTGAACTCCATTGTGACAGTTGCCCTTATTCTTTTTCGTTCTATTTATTTCCTTCCCTTTCCACCTACTTCAACTCCTAAGAACACACCTGGCTCTGATCCGTTTGTGGAGTTAGTTTATTTCTTAAAAGTGCGGGCAATGTTTGGGGAAAGAATTATTGAGTAGAGAAGGATATATTTCTTATATGCTTTCATCTCAGTCGGACCCTTTCTTCCTCTCATCTTATGTCGTTCCCTAATCATATACTATATGCTTGATACAGACTAGAAAACTTAGATCCGGTTGTTTTTTATTCATAGTGCTTTTTCAAGCAGTCTTTCTGAAATGTTATTTTACTACAAAATGTTTGCTGCCATGAAACTTGATTATTAAGTAAAACACTCTCTTTACGGATTTTGTCTCCCTTCAATGTCCCAGGTTTTGGGATTGTACTCTTTTTTTTTCCTGTAGTAGAAATCACAGCTCAAACATTAAAATATGGCTTCCACAGAAAGTAATCCCCTCGTTCCTTTATTGCTTAATAAACGTAAGAGGATTGTATGTTACTTTGGGATACTGAACAATAGTAACATATTCTGCTGAAATTTATGATTACTTTGCTTTCTTTTTATTTTCTTAAGCTTAATCCTAAATTCACCTTTTTATTCTACTCTTTTATTTGTTTAATATGTAGCTCTAAATAGCTGTACAACGACAACGACGGCTCAAATCAATAAATACAATATAATATATATATATATATTATTTAATTTTTTTGGTATCGAGCGTTCCTTATAATATATCTTTGTACATGTACTGTTTGACTCGTATCAAATTTCTACGAAGCTTCACTTTGTAGTACACTTTATTTATTTATTTATTTATTTATTTTCTTATTTATTTCAATTACCAAAAAACTTAAACTATTTTTATGTAATTCAGAAATCAAAGGTAGATATCAAGAAACTATACTTTGCGTTGTAAGATACAACAAAATCTAGTTCTTAGAATTATTTTTGGGAATAAAGATTTGAGATTGCTTGATACATATTGGATCGATAAACATGAGACATAAAATAAAATTATCAGGGTTAAATTTTGATATGCCATATTTCGCTAAAATCAATAGAAAAGTATACAAGAAGTTGAGCTTTGGTTTATGTAACTCGTTAAAGGTATAAAGTATAAAGCAATAAACAAAGAAGTCAATTTACACGCCATTACTTTTATATTCAATTAATTTAACGCATAAAATATTCGATTCGTCTTTTTTGGTATATTTCGAAAGCAATCATATTGCATGCTTTAGCAACATGAAATATATATAAGAATATTTGTGTGTGTATTAAGCAGTACTTTTTAAAATGATTTTTTGTTCTCTTTTAGTGAAAGTCTCTGGGTATTAAGGTTTTTACTATTGACAATGTGATATACATAAATGCTTTAAGTTCTATTTGCCTGTAAGTTTTACCAGCATAATTAATTATCATGTTCTTTGAGTGCTTTAGGCAGCAATATACAAAAATACCCTATATTGTGATAAGACGGGATACACTTTGTTAGGTAGAATTAAAATAAATTCTGAACGCCTTGATAATACCATTATTATTATCGTAACAATAAATAATAATAATATTACTACTATTAAGTATTGAATAAAAGAATTATGATAAATAAGTAGAAAAAAAAAGGTCAAAAATAAGAGTATTCCAAAGTTTGTTCGAATGATTTTTTTAACCTTTAAATTAGTGAGGATATAAGAAGTGTGTCAATGAGGCTTTAACATGCCTTCAATAATGAGGATCAGTTGATCCGAAATAAAGTTCAATTTATGAACCACTAAACTCTTTGCCATTAGACTATTAAATGTAATATGAGCTTCTTTATAAGTGCATATTTATTAGCTTTATATATATATATATTCACACACTTTGAGCTAAAAGAAGCTTATGTCCAATTTATTAATTTTGGTCCACTTGAAGTTTAAAATATGGATATATACTTCTTCTTATTGTTTGATTTATTCATTTATTAATACGGCTACTACTACACAAGTTAGCAAGTTCTTATTAGTACTAGCAGTTGAATTATGGATACGATATTTTTTTGACGAAAGCTTTCTTGTAGATATCCATAACATTGAGTCCAGGCATCTACATATCGATACTCAAAAATGACATCAAATGGAATGTAATATTTATTTTTTGGTTTTTAAATAATGTATAAATATATACCCTGGTCATTATATATATATATATTCACCAAAGGATATATGTTTATCAATATACCCTTGTACCTTCGGGTAAGGAAACACAGTAGGATTAACATAATAATAGAATTTCTTTTGTAGTTACCTAATCTCACATTGAACCAATAATATTGGTGACCATGAGAATGCTGTACGAATAACTTTATATTTAGTGATTAACAATTGTGTGCGTATCAAGTACAAGGTATAAAGAGCGAGTTGATTTATATTAACATCCATATCTATCATTAGAGAGATAAGAAAGATTATGTAAAAGTATTTTCCTGTAGTACAGTTTATCATATATGTCTTGGACAACCATTCACACTGGAGTAGCTCGAAAAGATTTGTAGAGTAATTTGTGGGGCTTGTGTTTTTTCTTTCTTCTTTTTGTTCTTTCTTTTATATATATATAATACAAAGATTAGCTTAGCTTTGTTGTAATCAGAAAAATTGAAAAAATATAGCTTTTTTGTGTTACAGCTACAAATGATTCCCACAAATGGATTTGTGATATGCTTATAAACCCACAAAAGGCTATCATTTTATTCTTATGTATATATATATATATATATATATATTTCTTTAGAATCCTGATAGAGTATGTATCTAAATACTCAAGAGCTTTAGATATTTTTATATATATAAAACATTTAAATGCCATCTCAATAAGATTTGTACTTATATATATATATATATATATAGTGGTTGGTACCCACAAGAAGTTCAAATAGGTAGATTAGATTATATTGCACTGTCAGCTTGTGAATAATAAGAAAAATTAGAAAATGTACTGATAGGCTCCCTGAGTTTAACTTCGGTGACTCATGGTAAAAGGATTAGTTTTTTAATTGATTTGACTCTTTTTTTTTTGGTGCTGTATCCAATGTTCTTCGGGAGTTAAAGTAGATCTTATATATTTCTTCGGTCCATTATCTCATCTTGGTAGTGGGGATGAAAGAAATATGGCATTGACATATAGCGCAAGTAATAGGAATACAAAAGACACAAACCTGACAAAACCTAGGCCCAAAAGTAGAAATAGCGAAGTTTGTGACCCCAGATACGATGATAGATAAATCGGTCATGATTTCTTGATCTACTACGGATTTTGAATCTGAGACAAATAAGCTTGATTCCAGAAAAGGAATGCATTTTAACTATTATATATATGTATGTGTTTTTTTTTATACATTGATTAGATTAAGTTGTAGATGGTATTCGATACGTAGCACTATTGAATGTACATGGACTAAAGTTTAGGACATTTGATTAAAAGCAGTCCATGAGATTAAGTGTATGGTATACATGTGTGTATATATAGAGAATAATTGAACAAATTTCAATGGTTATGAAAATATTGTAAATATCAACCATACAATTCTTATTGCTTGTTCATATAAGATATATACATTTTGGAATAACTATTATCCAATAGATTAAACTCATTTGATTTGGACGTCTATTGTGTGATCTATCCATCTATGAGAGATTGACCAATTGTACTTTTTTTTCTTTTAATTTTAATGTGAAAAATGGTACTTTTTCGGGATATTTTTTTTCTTCCATATAATTTGATTCAGCTGTGTGTGATGTAGGAGTATTTTATCTCTAGGATCCATCGAATAAGAAGTCTATCCAGGAATTTTGATGATTATTTTAATTTTTATACTATTATTTACTGTGGAGGACAACCCCACAGTAACACCAAGATCTGTATAGAGCACACAAGCCGTAGAAGTATATATATATATATTATATAAAAAAAACATAACAACAAATAGATAAAGCAAATATACATACTACGAATACTTGCTTAATAAATAACAATAACAATAATTATAATATAGTTATTTTCAACAATAAAAAAAAGGTATAAAATCATTTTGCGATCTACTAGTTCTTCCTTCCTTCCTTCCTTCCTTCTCTTTTATATTTTATTTTATTACGACTACTACTTCGCCTTGTTATAATTATTATAAGCATAATACATAAAGAACAATGACAGAAACTACTGAAAAGTCTGTCGTATCTCACTATGAGGTCAAGACAACTGAAAAGGTCGAGATGTCTCATACAGACTATGATATCGAAGCTACTCCTGCCACAGAATCCTCGATTGTTCCTGGCACACCAGAAGAGATGCGTAAATTGATGTGGAAGCTGGATCTTCGCATTGTTCCATTCCTTGGTCTACTTTATCTCTGTTCTTTTCTTGATCGTGTCAATATCGGTTAGTAGAGATTCTTATTATTCTGGAAGCAAATTTATTAATATTGTGTGTTTTAGGTAATGCTAAGCTTGCTGGTCTTGCGACTGATATCAATGTTACTCCAAGTGACTACAATTGGGCCCTGTCTATCTTTTTTATTGGCTATGTAAGTTCAAGCCTTTCATTTTCTTTTCTTCCAGTGAGCGTAAATCAGTCATAGTTGATAAAGACGTCTGGTTGGATCATTTCAATTCGTTTGTCTCACCTTGCCACCATTTTTTTTTGCATTGCTGTACGTTCCGCCTTTCTTTTTTTGGATTTAAATCGCAGATCATCTTTGAAGTTCCGTCCAACATGATGTTGAAGAAGATTGGACCCAGCAAATGGATTCCAATTGTCATGATTTCATGGGGTGTCGTTATGGCTTGCATGGCTGCAATCAGCAACACAGCTGGTCTTTTGGCCAGTAGATTTTTCTTGGGTATCACCGAAGCCGGTCTCTTCCCAGGCGTGATCTTTTATCTTACGTTGTGGTACACCCGCCAAGAACAAGCAACACGAGTAGCCTTTTTCTTTGCATGTTCAACATTGGCTGGTGTAAGTTATTGCACTTGGTTTGAATTCTTTCAAGTCCATATTAGTGATTGTTTAAAGGGTCTATAAGAAATCTAACCTTTTGGTTTTCTTTTCTTTTGTTGGAATTGTTGCATGTCATTCTCCCCTTCTCTTACACCCCTTGCAGGCATTTGGTGGTGTATTGGTAAGCATTTGTATAAAGCATATATATAAATATATAAATATATAGATATATAGATATATAGATATTACTTTAAGGAGAACGTTATTAGCCTTTCTTTTAAGGTTTATAAAGACCTGTAGTGAATCTTGGCATTTTTGTATATTTTATATATTTAGGCTTATGGTATTATGCAAATGGACGGTCTTCGTAACATGCATGGATGGCAATGGATTTTCCTTATCGAAGCAATTCCCACTCTTTTGCTCGCTATCGCTTCCTATTTTGCCCTCCCAGATTTTCCTGAGAACTCTAAATGTAAGTTTGTTTTTCTCTTTTTCTCTTTCCTTAAGAAAAGCATGCCTAATGTGTACTATTAACCAGTTCTCAACGAAAGAGAGCGTGAATTGGCTGTTCATCGTCTCAGGGTTGATGCTGGGCCCTCAGTTGAAACCGAATTCTCATGGAAGCAGTTCCGTATGGCTTTCACCGACTGGAAAGTCTACATGCATTCTTTGATTTATATCTGCGGCTCTACTCCTTTGTACAGTCTCAGTCTTTTCCTTCCAAGCATCATCAGTGGTATGGGCTATACCAATCTGTCTGCCCAAGCCATGTCAGCTCCTCCTTATGCTATCGGTAGGTCCTTTCAGTCTTGTGCATATAAATATTGGAAATGAAGAGTTTATTTAGTTTTGTTTGTTTGTTTATATTAATGAATGATGAACTAATTTACAAAACATACACACATTTACGATTACATATTGTAGCTTGTTGCTTCACAATTGTTATTGCTATGCATGCTGACCGTAAGCGTGAGCGTGGTTTCCATCTTGCCGCACCTGCTTTTATTGGATTTATTGGCTATATTCTTTTGATTGTGCTCAAGCACAAGGGATCTGTTGCCATGTACATTGCTGCCATCATTACTACCACCGGTGTATTTTCTCACATTCCTGCCATGCTGTCCTGGTTCACAAACAACATTGGTGGACACACAAAGAGAGGTACAGCTGTCGCAATTATTATCTCACTCGGCAACATCGGCGGTGCAATTGGTGGTCAGATCTATCGTGCGACTGATGCACCATATTATTCCCGAGGTCACGCTGCCTGTGTGGGTTTAATGGCAGGTGCTGTGATACTCTCGCTCTTGTTCAAGTACTTGTTGAACAAAGAAAACAAGAGACGCGAGAATCTTACTGAAGAGGAATATATCAAGGAAAGCACTGGCGAAGATCTCTGTGATAGCGTAAGTACACCCTATATTTTCATTATCCTTTCGTACTAATCTTCTTTTTTTTTTTGCTTTTATCTTTACTAGCATCCTGACTTTAGATTCATTTCATAAATCATCCCTTTCTTTTAATTTTTACATAATCATTAATTACTTATATCTCTTACATCTTTATCTTACTTATTTATTTACTTATATAATTGTCTATACTCTTCCTTAATCGTACATCTATTCAAAATTTAAACCAATAAGAATAATAACAATAATCATTTTTTTATTATTATTGCCATTATATATTTTGTACCTTTTACCCCAATATTTTCTTTTTATTAATTTACTGTACTCGCCTGACCAATAAAGTGTCTTTGATATTTACATTTGTGGAAATACAAAATTTAAAATCCCTTTTTTAGAAATATTTAGGATTAACTTCACATATATCGTTCCCAAGAATTATTACAGCTAAAATTAAATAAAATAGCGTGGGATAATACAATGGGAACATTGCGCCTGAAGGTTTGTGTCTATTTATATGCCATCTTTCTTTGTGTATGTATATGTATTTTACTTGTAAATAATCATGAACAAAAAAAATATAGGCTTCAAATTGTATGTGTAATATAAAATGTGGTATGTACGGATTATGTAAGTGTAAACGTGTGTGTGTGTAAATATGCGCGAGTGTGTAAAAGCTTGTGCATATCTGGATGTGTGTGCTTGTGTGCCTGTGTGCTTGTGTGTGTTTGCGTGTGTAAGTATGTAGTGTGTAGATGCGTTTTGTATATATGCGTTTTGTGTAAAAATTAACGAAAAATGAATGAATAAATAAATAAATAAACATGCTTGGATTATTAAAGATCCTTTAGTGCGCGCTTCTTTGCTTTCTTCAACATGTAGCGCTTGCGTTTCTTCAAAGTAAAATTGTGCTTTTTGCTCACAATAGAGACCTTTAGGTGATTCCAAAATTTAGCCCCCATCTCTGTACTCTGCATAAGATTGAATGCTTGCTCTGAAAGCTCTAGAGCGGAATCGAACTCTCGGATATTGCACAACACACCGACTAGTATACTGACAATAGCTCTATCGGGCAAGACTTGGTGCTCCTCCATGGCATCCATGAGTTCACTAATCTTCTCAAGATCACGTTGTTGCGCAGATGCCTGCATCAAAATGCTGTACGTGTAGTGAGTCGGCCGCAGGTTTTTTCGGAGCAATTCATCGTATATCGCATAAGCACCCGTCCAATCCTTCATCGTCACAAACATCTTGATCAGAGTATTGTAAAGTACAACCGTCGATTTTATGTTCAGGCTCTCCATTTCTCCACACAATTCTTTTATCCTCTCCATGTCGTTTGGTGTTATTTTGGTTTTGCGGCCGATCAGATTGATCAACATCGTGTACATGTACAGCATCGAACGCAATTGTCGTTTCGAAGGTAGTTTGGATTTATAGTATAGTAAGAGGGTATCATGCAAGGCATACATTCCAGCCAGATTTGAAGCACGGTAAAGTGCCCTGGAGAGTTGGTAAAGCGCTTCCTGGCTGGGAAAACCGCCACTGCCCAGCAGGTGGAAGTACCTCGCGAGCGCCTCATCGACCCGTCCTTGTGAAGCAAACGATATTATTGCCGCAGAACTCTCGCGCAATAGTTCGCCTTTTTTAGGTTCATTCTTCAAAGGCAATTGCATTTGAATTTGTGTTTGTATTTGTGCTTGTGGTAGATCGTTTGACGTATCGTTCTCATCGAGAATTGTCGGTAGAGCTGAAATAAAGCGTCGCGTACTGGTAGAGAAATATGTGGTCTGAAACGGTAGCGAGCTGAAGCGAGTCAATACTGATGGGCGAAGAATTCGGCGCGTCAATTGATGTTTCTGACTAGCTTTTCGTGAAATGGTATTGTGTGTTGCTTGAAATGCCCATTGACATTTTGTGCATCGTCCTATTCCATTTGAAATAGGTACCAGCAGTCTTTGGCTAAAATCAGCCAATATAGTCTCAGGTACCAAGGTTGTGATAAATAGGTCGATTGCACGACCGTTAACATGCCGCATGCCTTTTGGTACTATTGATTATTACTATTGTCTTTTAATATTTTTTTTTTTTTGCTTTTATCTCCACTTCTTGTGGGATTCTTAAAAACATCAAATAAACAAATGTCATATTGCGGTGACCCAATTCACTCTTTACGTCACGGCTTTCCATTTTATGATTAAAATATAAAATAAAATGAAAAATGAAAAACGAAAAGTGTAGTGAAAATTAATAAAATAAAATAAAAAGTCTTTTGAACTTCTTTTCCTTTGTGATTTTATTTATTTCATATGAATCTAAAAGCTAAAACCTATAGAAGACAAAGTAGGGGGAATATATAGTATCAAGACCTTGCCACTAAATATATTCACATATTAAAAGAATTATTATCATTACAGCTATAATAATAGTAATGAATGCAGTAATAGATAAGGGTTTAATTAATACCTATAAATTTACCGTCATTAGAAAAACTTGTTCTTGCACAATAACCCTTTGATACATATCATCCCACACACATATATATATATATATATATATATATATTTGATGTGTAATTTTATTATCAATGCTTATATACTCAAACTGTTAAACTTGAATCTTGCCATCTTTCTACATACCTGTACTTCTTTAATTCTTAATAAATATTTACAGTTATGTTTGCCTATCAGCATTTGATTTTATTACACAAAAAAAGCACACACACACAAACATATGAAAGCAGTAATCATTTCTCGGGGGTTTATTTATATACAAAGTGAATTTTATTATGGGGGACTGAATTGTACAAAATCTTATGACTTGCTCGAGATATAAGTCTGTACAAATATGCTTGTTTTCCTATGCGTCTCACTTCCCGACTCTTTTCTTCTTACATTAACCGTCGCACCTTCTCAACCAGTATTGCCGCCAAGATGATCATTACACCTGTCCCATGTCTCAAAGACAAGTAATGCAATGACATTTTCTAATGTCTAATCACCAACCATTCTGAATTCCCTTTATTACTTGAATAATATATATATATATTTATATATTGTGTTGCATATATGTATTCATACGCGCTGTTTTTCTATTATTATTATTTAAAAAAAAAGTTATGCCTACCTCTTGCTCGATAATGAATCAAAGAAAGGTTAGAACAGCTTGGTATTAATATTGATAGTTACTTAATGTCCAAAGAACACGTATATTTTCTTATTTTATTGATTACTAATATATTTCAAAAAATCTTCAATTATATTCTTTACATTTTTTGATTTTTGTTTCTTTAGCTATGGTAGTGGATCCAGTTGAACCTGATAATGTATTGGGTGCTTTAAAAGCAAAGTATCCAGAATACACTTTGACTGGGTAAGTACTATATACATATACATAGAATCAAATATTTACTATATTATAGTATCTTGACTACACATCATCATTGGGATCATGCTGGTGGAAACTTAAAGCTTCTGAACAAACTGTCAAAGGATATCCCATGCTATGGTGGATCCTCTCAAGTAACTGGTGTAAGCAATCTCCTCAAAGGTGGAGAGACAATTGAATTGGGATCTTTGACGATCAAGTCTATGCCAACCTATGGTCACACTATGGATCATATGTGCTACTATGTTGTAGACAAGAACACAAACCAACATGCTGTCTTTACTGGTACTTAACAATTAATATATATATATATATATATACTCACATACATCTTTATACGTGCATATATGTCTATATTTCTAACAACAATAACAACAAAAGGCGATTGGTAGGATTTTGTCTCTTATTCTTAACAAAAAACTTCGCCCCCAAAAAAATAGAGTATTATTAATATTTACCACTCACACATCTTGTGTAATTATTATACTGTTTAGTTTGTTTTCGTCAGGTTGCGGTAGATTGTTTGAGGGTAGCCCTGGAGACATGTGGGCAGCCATGGTTCGCTTGAAAGCTTTGCCTGAAAGCACCGAGGTGTACTTTGGTCATGAATACACAAACTCAAACCTAAAGTTTGCCGAGCATGTCGAGCCCGACAACCAGGACATCCAGACCAAGATTGAATGGGCCAATGAGACCAAGTGTACGACCCCTTCGACCATCAAAAATGAGTTGGCTACCAATCCCTTTATGCGCGCCGATCAACCATCCGTGCGGGATCGTATCACCACTCCAGGCAACACCTCCATTAGTCCCGAGCAGGTGCTTGGAATTGTTCGCAGCATGAAAGACAATTTTTAATACTAAAGATAACATCATAACAGCAATTGAAGTGAAAAAAAATAAATCAAATCAAATGAAGCGAGTAAATAAACATTAAGGATGTTCTCTGTGAGTTTGTATTAGCAAACTAAGAAGGAGTCTGGTCCATGAATTATAGGAATCAATATACATTTAATATCTATATCCATATGAAAGAAATTGAATTGAACTGAATCAAATGTATATTATATGTATATTCACAATGATTTGATTTGAATTGAATTGAATTGAATTGGATTAAATTGTTTTGATATTTTTTGTGTATATGTGATTGAGTGAATGAGTGAGTGAGTGAGTGAGTAGGTAAAGCGATTGGGTGTGTGAGGGAGTTAAGTAAGTAAATGTATAACTTGATAGATAATGATATTTCTTTTGATTGATTTTTTGTTTTCTTTACATATACATACACATATATGTATAAGATTTTGGTTTTTGTTGTATATTATTTTTTTAGGGATGTCTGTCAGTTTTAGAGTCCTTTACATCATGCTCCGACTGAGAAAGGTCCTTTTTGTATTCTGGCTTAGCAGCATCGTCACAAGCTACTGCTGTTGGGTATCTGCCATGTTGACGCCAGTGCATTTCGTGGTATGCTGTTCCATATGGAACACCCGAGCTTGCGGTTGAAACAGGAGGATGCTCAGGTGTATGAGGCATACTTTGTGAATCAAATGGAAAGTCAGAAACCATTTAAACGCATAAAAATAAAAATAAAATCAATAATTTACCTATGACTCATGGGCCCATTCACGCGTGTATCATAGGAATAAGGTGATTGAGGTGGGTGAGGTGTACTAGTATGGTGAGTAGCATACGAAGGTTGGTGAGAGTAGTAAGGATGCTCATGACTAGTATGGGCGGTCATGTACGATGCATTTGAATGGTTGCTCTCCACACTAGGGTTGCTGGTGTTTGAAGTCACACGGATTCTTCCCCAAGGATCATGATGAGATGAATGATGTTGTGGGGTTTGCTGATGCTGTGGATGGTGTTGCTGATGTTGTTGTTGTTGTTGCTGGTGGTGCTGCGGCTGATGCTGATGCTGATGCTGCTGATGCTGTTGTTGCTGTTGTTGCTGTTGATGGTGATGTTGCTGTTGTTGTTGCTGGTGGTGCTGCTGTTGTTGCTGATGGTGCTGTGGATGATGTTGTGGATGTTGCGATTGCGGTTGATGGTGGTGTTGCTGATGCTGTTGGTGCTGCTGATGTTGTTGATGGGATCCTGGATATTTATTCTCATGGTAATCATGGTAAGGATCCGACACTTCAGATGGCGTACGGTCGTGCATTCTAGACACAAAATGATGTGGGGGTGGGGGTGGTGGTAATGGCATTCCATGGCCTGGGTGAGGTTCATATGGTGTGTGTGCATTACTGCTACTATTTGAGCTGGTGGTATTGTTTCCGGGTGGGGATGCCATCATCTGGAGAGGCACAGATTGGTTTGGAGTAGGGTGACCGCCGATGTTAGAAGACGCACCGAATTGCGGAGGAGGAGGAGGAGGGTAAGAAGGCACGGAATACTCGTATGGATGATAGTCTCCACTGGCAGGCGAGAACAGTCCGTTTTGGACAAAGTGGTGGACTGGTGGACGCTGGTGAGAGTGGCCATAAGGGCCTGGTGGTGGCGGTGGTGGTGGTGGTGGTGGTGGGGGAGGACCTTGGTGGGGATGAGGATGAGGAGGACCTGAGCGTTCATCATGGGGAAGAGAAGAAGACTCAAATCGGGCAGTATTTGCGTCTGATTCGGCATAGTGACCTGGACTGCGACCACGGACAACCAATGCAGCAGATTGGGATGTAGCAACATTGACCAGTTTACCAGAATCGATCTTGGCAAATAGCTGGGTTATGAGAATGTAGTATTGCTGGGCAGCTCTTCGTTTGCCGTTGTTTGCAGTTGCAGATTTGAACTGGACACGCTCAAACGTAACAACCGATTGATTGACACCTGCTGAGCTGAGGGTAAGGTTTCCTCCTGGACGGATTGGCTTAGGTTCAGGTACACTCTGAGGACCCTTGTCTCGCTTGGGTGTGTGCTGTATAAGTGTGATGGCCTTTTCGCTGTTTGCGATTCTTGAGGAAATACCAAGCATAAAGCATCGGACTTGGTGAAGACCACCTTCATACTCAACAAGACAAGGGAGATCCTGGCCTTCATAGACCATTCCGATACCCTGCAGCATAAAAGTGCTGCTTACTTGGAAGTAATTACGTCTATAGCATGTCCAGTCATTGTCAGCCAAAAAGAAACCACGGTCAATTTTTGAGTGTAGTCTAGCGTCCAGCCTTTATAGAATAAATAATACATACAAAAATTAGCAAAGATAAGTTTAAAGCACTGAATAATCTCAGTTAAATCCCCTGATGTTTCACACACACAAACACGCATATTTTTATATACATCATTTGACGTTTGACATTTGATGTTTTACTCTAATATTCTTATTCTTACACTGTGCTTCGGTCCATGGCATAAATGTTGCCGTTGTACTTTGTGGTCTCAAAATGAGGGCTGTCATCTTGCATGTAGACCGACTCTTTGCGTCTACGGCGGATGGCAGCATGGGCATTTGAGGCATAGACCAGTGTTCCCGGAGTGTAATTCGGAGTAGGTGTGTTACTGGTACTGGTACTGTTGCTGTTGCTGTTACTGCTACTACTACTGTTACTGTTACTGTTATTGTTACTATTGCTATTGCTACTGGAATTTGCTGTGGTTGGATTGGTGGTTGGATTTGTAGTGTTTGTGTCCGTGTATTTGCGCTCATCGGGTGTACCTGGGGAAGGTGGTGACGATTCTACCAGGGGCGATCCAGAAGGTCTAGGAGTAGCAGGTTGAGACATGGTAAATCTATGGACGAACGCCAAATATTTATACACAAGCACGACCCAAATAATAATAGCAATAATGTATATATTTATATGAAACCCATCTGTCTCTATCTCTTTCAAAATATTCCTCCGTATGGATATATAAAAACTCTTCTATTGATTGACTTGTTAATCTTACCCAGAATATGGTCTAGTTGGAGTAGATGGCTCGGCCTTTAGTGGTGAAGACTGAGTGTGTTGTGTCTGCGAGTGTGCAAGAGAGGTAGGCGGCAGATACGTACCATTGTCGTGAGTGTGTTGGGTAGGACTGTTTTTTTTAAACATTTTTTTGTAGGAGAATAAGAATACATATTTCTTCATACAAATACAAACACAAGCACAGGTACAGGTACAGGTACAGGTACAGGTACAGGTACAAGTGCAAACACAAATATACAAACATATAGTATATAGATAAGGATACTTACGACTGAGAGTGCATGTAACTAGAGGTCATGTCAACTGGTGGTGCTGCGTGCATTGCTAGACTGGTAGCTGGAGAGTATGGATGACTTGAAGGGTGATTTGGTGCTGGTAATGGAGACTGATAATGGGGCTGGGGTGCTGATCCCGACCATTCTTTATCGTGAACGTTCATTCCCTTGTTATTTTACTCACAAAGTTATTCTATTAATTTATATTTTTTTTTGTTTATTTTGTATGAAAATAAAAATATAAAAAAAAAAGAAATAAAATAAATAAAAAAGGAAGTAAAAGGAAATAGGAAATTGAATACAAAAAAATTAATTTTTTTTTTGCTTTTTTTTCTCTTTGCTTTTTTGTTGTTTTGATTGTCCAACAACCAGGAAAAAACTCCACTATTTTTTATTTTTATTTTTATTTGTGTGAGTTGATCAACTAATAAAAAAAAATAGGATATTTAAAGAGCAAAATCTACTATTTTCATCCAATCACATCTATCAGTTTCAGTTGTGTACACTATCATTTTGACATTTTTTTTCAGTGATTTTTAGTCAATCTTAGAAGGTGACGGCCAAAATCTAATGGGACCAATCACTTCGATGACACTAAACAGCTTTACAGTGTCCGAAGACAGACTAATTTTTATACAATACAAATATTGTACATACTATAAATTAGCAGTAATAAAGGGGGGGAAATAAAGAAAGGGGGAAGATGTAAATTTATAGATAAAGAGGTCGATCTGACATATTTATATATTAAAGAACATGGCATGTGACATAGCATACTCGCAAGTATACACATACATATGTTTTCCCTATATATGAATATTTTAAAGTACAAAAAAGAAACAATAATTATAAATCCTCTTGGTTGCCCTGAGCAACAGGGTCTTGTGTATTTGGTGCGACCAAATCTCGAAAATAGAAAATAGAACTTTTGTTGCACTAGATCCAGAAAATATAAACACATATACACACAGACATATATATATATATATTCTAAATTTGTTACTATGGTTACAAAAAATATGTAATGCAGTATTTATCTATTTGATCTTCTTTGAGTTTTCATTAGATGCTGTAATATGATGAAATAATATATTAGATTAGATTATATATGATTCTGTTTTTATTATAATAATGATATTAAACTGCACTGGCAGTAGGTACAACAATAGTGGCTCCATGGGGTGTAGAAGTAGATGCAGAAGTGACACCGTTAGATCCACTGCCACTGCCACTACCAGTAGCAGTACTCGTACTAGTACTACTGGTCGCAGTAGACACCGACTCTTGGGGATCCCTTTTGCGTGTCATAACTCGTCTACGTGTAGGTCTATCTCCGTTTGTCTCTTTGCTTGCCGCCCGAGTCATCCTGACTTCAAGCTGGTTTCCATGTCGATCGACTGCAATATATTTGTCTCCATCAATGTACCCTGTCTGGCCAGATGTTGATCGCGAAGGATGTACAGGAGGTGGGGTGGGTGACAAACTTCTGCCACTAATACTACCTCTCGGAAGAGGCCGTCCGGATGGCGACTTTGCTCGTCGGGTCTCAATAAAGCCTTCCTGGATAGATGGTAGTGATGCCTGCTCCATATCATCTTCTGCTATCGTCATTCGGTTCTTGGGGATAAACTCTCCCTCAAGCAAGCAGTGGTCTCTCAAAAATTGGGACAGTTCGGTCCAGCCGCCGCCCACTCGCACCATCACCATCTTACTCTTCAAAACACGGCAGTATGCCATCTTTGCATTGCCCTCACCGAACCAGTATCGTCCAACCTCACCAGGAACCATCTTTACTTTTACACGGTATGGCGTTTCGTTGATAATACGTCCAATCTCCATGTCCAAATCGTTATCTGGATCGGCCACATATGAATTCGGAGGTGTTCGCGTAACCCTGATGGCTGGCGTCCGCATGCTCAGACTAGCAGACTTCGATGGCTGATAATTGTGTCGATCCGGTGTCGTCGTCCCAAAATATCTTCCAGTCGTCGTGGATGGGTTCATGTATCTCCCACTATTACCACTACTACTGTTGCTGCTACTACTACTACTCTTGAGTCGAGATGATGACGTTGAAGGAGCTAGTCGACTCGACACAGAAGGCACCGTGCTGATGTTTGCTGATGTGCTAGTAGAAGACAGAACTCTCAGTGACCCAACCTCACGCTCCCTCAGTACAGAGGCCGCCTTGCGGGTTGGTAGTGATGACTTGCGGTTTCGCACTTGTCGGTAAAGAGGCTGATCAGGATCAACAGCCCCTTCCATTGTCTTTGTAAGCTCTAGTCTTCTAGTCTTCACCTGCGAGTTCACAGTCGTCCATCGAGCTCTCAATTTACGGAGATGGGGTTGGAGTTGCTTCTTTGCCGCTGCATTGTCAGATGTCATGGAAACCAGAGTGGTCTTTGCAGTCTCCAGTCCTTCAGTAACCTTGCCCTCGTAGTATTTGTAGCGTGCGTCAAGCTCAATCAACTTGGCTTGGAGATCTGCTCGACTGAACGAGCTGCCGATCATAGTAGCTCTGTGAGGCGCTGCCTTTGCTACGGCTTCTTCAAGTGCACTCAATACAACCTCCAATTCATCCGTAGCACTCAAATACTTTCCTACCACTCGTGCCTTGGAAATCTCCTGTCGCTTGTGATCCATTGCTCCCAACACACTCTCCACTGCCATATCTACCTCTGTTCGCTGTTGGACAAAAGTCGTCTTGTTGCCTCCACACTGCTCCAATAGCACATCCAACGCTTGGGTCTCTTGCTTAAACTGTATCTTGGCTTCACTCTCCAAAGAATCAAGCTCGCGCTCCATCTCTACCACTTCTTGTTCACGCAACATAGTAGTCACACTTGCAGTTGACAAGACAGACGTGGTGTCTTCGTCACGATCTGTGGCTGGATCAGCTTCCTCGGTTATTTGCAGATTAGCCAAATGCTCACGTGCCTCGCCCAATATCATCATCATAGTCTTAATCTTGCGGGCCACAGCTACACCCTGTGATGCCTTGACAATCGCTTGCTTGAACTCATCCAAAAGAACAGATGTTTCCTCCCATCCAGTCTTCACTGCTTCTGCACGAGACTTTACAGCCTGCTGGAGGAAAACATTCTGTATTATTGCGAGCTCAGAGACTGTATCATCACCAGTCTTGATTCCATCCTCGCTAGATTCCACAATAGACACATCTTGAGTGGGTATTTCAGGTTTTGTCGCTGTATCTTCCTCTTTGGTTTCTATACTACTGATACTGTCGTCTTTAAGCTTAACATCGTTTGCCTTCTTTTCTGATAAGCTACCGGCTGCTCTCACTTCCTTGTTTGTGCTGTTTAGAATGCTGTTGGTCATGTCTTCAAATGATACTATAATCTTGTGGAAAAGAACCATTTTTTGCTCTATTTCTTCCGCGGCAGGAGGACCATTTTGCTCGTCAATCATTGCAGGATCGGCAAGAAGCTTATTTAGGGCTGTCTGGCAATTAGTGATCCAAGATCCGATACTCTCTGCACTCTTGGCATGGCTCAGACAACGCTTGACAGGCTCTCCAAGCAATCTTTCCCGTTTCAGCTCGGTTTCTAGTCGCTCTAGAGCAAGATGTGTAGAACTCTCAAGCTCTTGAACTACCGAAGGATCAATCTCGTAGGCCAAAAGTGTCCGAGTATTTCCTTTAAGGCGCTTGGTTGTCTGGTGGGTCAGTCTCTCCAGAACAGACTCACTCGTAGCCAAGCTGGCTTGATATACACAGTAGAATCGTTCCAGGCTAGATCCATCCTCACCAAACATGTCGTTAGAGGCAACATTGGTCATACGCTGGATAATGGCATTTGATTCTTCATCGGCCTCCTCCTTAATCGCATTAGCCAAGGCAACACACTCGTCATAGGCCTCTTGCTTTTGTGCAAGTTTATGACGTTGATCCACAGTTGATTGCAAGTCCTCATAGTGCTTTTGAACAGTTTTTAGTCTATCCTCTAACCAAGATTTGTTGTCTTTGGTGGTACCCGGACTAGCCAAATCAGGAACATTTTGGATGCTCTTGATCAATCCCGGGAACACAGCTCCGGTTCTCTTGATTTGACGTCCGATATTAGCCAGTGCTGTGGTCTCATCCAAAACTGTCGTCAGGGAGGCTTCAAAAGCATCGAGTTGAGAATCTGTCTGGAGAAGAGTGACATAAAAGTCGCGCCACTGCAATCCTTGATCTGCCAGCTGCTTGGTTTCCAAAAGTGCTTTTTGAAGCGCTTTCCACCCGGATTCCAAAGCTGCGTTTCTTGAGTCAATCGTCTCCATTGCTTCAACATTCTGAAATTGAAGGAATCGATACTGTGACTGGACCTTTTCCAACTCATTCTTGTGGTCATCGATTTCTTCAGAAACAGAGCTATATACGGATGCCATGCTTCTACAGTAGAGAGTGTCCTGATCGGGCTCTCCCAAAAGTACACCAAATGTAGTACGACATTCTTCAAGTTTCTTGCATTTCTCGTCAACAAACAACTCGAGATTCTTGGCGGCGCTACTGTAGTCTTGGCGGAGACGGTGGTGGGCAACTTGCTTTGCAAGAGTTTGGAGCGCCTCAACAAGTTTATTTTGCACGGATACCAAACGATCCAATTCCTCTCGCATTACTGTAGCATGAATACCTGTACCTTCCTTCAAGGAGCAGATACGCACCTGATCAATCTTTGGCTGTACCATTGTTGTCTGGACATTGCTCAACCACATAGCCACAGTTTCCTCCGTAACACTGCTCACATCTGCATCGCTAGCTAATACATCGTACTCCTCCATTTGAGCATCTGCATTAGATACCAAAAGTCTAAACTCGGCCAGGCGTAAAGCTGTCGATGACTCGTTTAGTAAGCTCTCGGTTTCATCTACTAGGTCTGTCCAGGAAGCATCAATAGACTTCTGGCTGTTTTCAATCTGCTCTACACTTTGTGTAGCCTCAAGACGCTCGTCTTCCTCTTCCACTGAACGGTCAATCTCCTGTCGAATAGTGGTAGCATGGCTGGCAGCCGAATCTCTGAGTGACCCATATATACCGGTATATCCCTTGACAGCCGCGCTCACTGCTCCAAGCTTCTCCACAGTATCTCTCAGAACTTCGACAGAGGTTCTTGTGTCAGAACCCGTGTGAGCCTCTTTGGTACGCTCATGCTGCCCAGAGATCCACTCGCGCACAACCGTTGCATCAGCCAAATATGCTTCCAATGCTGCATTGCGCCTAGAAAGGCGTTCACGAGATCTCAGGATGGCTAACAGAGAATTTGATGTCTCACCGAGTCTAGCTATGCGCGCGTTTGTATGTTCGCGAATCTGAGTGTTGGCCTTGGTATCAGCATCTTCAAGTATTTGGGTTTTAGTCTCACGAATTGGATAGTCAATACGTGTTTGGGCACGGTCACGCAAAACTGCGACTCGGTTGTCATAGTCTCTCAAACAAGCTTCATGAGTTTCGTGGGCATCCAATACATCAGCACTCAATAGGGTGGTTTTGATAGTCTCTGCCAACTGGTCCAATTCCATCACTTCATCAAGACATCCTCTGATTCCAATTTGTTGATTGAGCACTTCACGAGCATATTTCAATTGTGATACAGCAGTGTCGCGGGATTCCTGGATCTTCTGAGCGATCTGATACACACCTTTGTCCAAAAACTTGGACTCTTTCTCCTCTTCATCTGCATCCTCAGCTTTCTCCTCCAGCTTCTCTTCCTCAATTCTCTTTTCAAAAACCCTCACATTTTGCACCAGCTCGTCCACATACTCGGACTGCTGTTCTGTCTTTACGCTCCACTCATTCCACTCTTTTTCCAGCACAACCAAACTGTCCTTACATCCCTCGCTTGAATCTTCTGAATGCCATCTTGCACGCTTTTGGATATAAGTTTCAACCCCATCTTGGTGCACGGTCCATTTGTTCTGCTGTTCGTTGGCCCTTGATTCCCATGCAAAGCGATCTACCAAGAAATTAATCTGGATCTGAAGAATGTCAAGAGTCTCGTCCAAACGTGCGATGGCTCGCTCAAGGTCTTGGTGTCGTTCGGCACAGTCACTCGGAATCTCCACTTGTGTCAATTCAAACGCAGCTTCAGCCTGGGTCAAAGCTTCAGTGGCAGCTGCCATGTCTTTAGTCATCAACCGTTTTGCGTCACTCACAGCCTGCTGGATAGTAGGCTGCAAAGAATCGTTATAAGTAGACGTTGCAATTGACTGAATCGCCTTGTCCTGCAGAGTGCGTGTGATAGTTTGCAATTTTTTGGTTGTGCTCTGACATTCTCTCCATCCATCTTCCCAAGTCAAACGGGCCAAGTATGCATTTACTCTCAAATCATGAGTCTCGGAGGACAAGATGAGCTGGTCTGCTTGGGCGCGTGCCTCGGTTTGGGTATTGGTGACATGTATGGCGTTGACTGTACAATTTGTTTCAGCAGCATATGCCAACAAATGTGCAAGCTCGTCCTGGAGCTCTTTGAGCGTAGTAGAAAGGGTCTGGCCATCCTCGGTGCTCTTTATAGAAGATGTCTTGATTTGGTTACGTGTGTCGACAGGTGGGAGCTCGGTCAAGGACATGGCAGGATCCAATTTTTTGGCTTGTAGGCTTGTCTGGGCAGCAATAATTTGTTCCAAGACCTGGGTGGTGTTTTTGAAACACTGGTCTATTTCCTGCTTCAGGTGAACAGCCACGCCGTAAGCGTCCAACAGAGCACGGATCTTTTTGCCAAGTTGTAACAGTTCGTCGTACAATCTCAATACAAATGCATTTATATCGGCGGAAATATTATCATCTTGGGTGGA